CCGTAGGCTGTGCTTGTACGACCGAACGGCCGACCGACCGACCGTTGTGCGAGGTTGACCGAGGTTGAGGTTTTGTGAGTTGTAATGCTGATGATGCTGGATGTTTGTCCGTGACGTAGACGGATTGCAAAATTGTGTTGAAGTTGACGTTGACAGTTACAGTTACCTCAACAGATGGAGTATGGGAATCGGATACCGCCCAAATTCCATTAAAGGCAGGCAGGTGTGACTTTCCCGTAATTACCTTATCGTGGCATCTTGCCTACCCAAATCGGTACAACGGTACGTACCGTACCTTGGGCTTCGCTTCGACCTAATTGTTAGCGAGGTACTGTCTGCCCCGCAATGTCCAAGTCCATGGCACGCTAAAAAGCACCGCCGAGTGACAAGACCGGCGACCCGGGGAAAGGTTCCGGTCATGCCCCAGGCATCTTTAGCTCTGACCCACTATTGCACGGCGAGATTGTGGATCGGCTGGACTGGACCTCGATTTTTTTTTTTCTCCCACCCGTGGACGACGTCTTTCCCATCACGCACGCCCCCTGCCAAAATGCCATGTACCGAACTTTGCCAGGAAGAAGGCATTGCATCGTCTTTCGATGTACGGATACCACCTACAATTCGTCTTCTGCCTCCCACAGCCATGGCTCGGCCAATGACTTCGGTGCGATGCAAGTCAACGCATTTCAGGGTCGACATCTCTAAACCACCGCCAAGAATTGCTACGATCAGCCAGACAAAAGACAGAACTCAGAGTACAGCCATAGCCATGCTCGTGGAACGACTACACCAAGTAAAGGGAGAGAAGAACCACGACTAGCACACCAAAGACCCTTGAAGCTGCTTGTGTCGTCTGGATATCGGCCGTCGCGGTCTATTCTTTCCTCTCGCCCTCCGCACGCCTGCCACATCCTGTTCATTCCAACCCTGTCTTGGACCCCCAACCTGGCTGGACCGGACGGACTGTCGGGACTCGGGTTGAGCGGCGCCGCCATCATCCAGTCCGCCAACGACCTGAATCCTCGGGCAGGCACCGCGATATGTTACACGGACAGGAGAAGTTTTGCAAAGGACGCGACCCAGATATCAAACAAGAATGAGCCCACAAGAGAATCTCGACTTCTGCGCTGGCCCTGCTAGGATACTCATAGTGGGCATAGCAACGTGGAAATTGTCCGGGGGCAGTCGAAGAAAAAGTTTTCCAAAATATTTTCTGCCCCGTTCTGCCTCCTTGCTAGGATCTTGCCGACAAACCCCTGCCCCTTACGGATAGGTTGGGACTATCTTGTCGCCTCGCCAATTTCGAGCGTACCAGAAAACGGGCTACGGGACCTTTTTTTTCCTTCGCTGCTTGCCTGGCTCGCCCTGGATTCGACTGAACTTGCCCCGACTTGGGATTGGAGTTTGCCCTACCGGAACCCTCAGACACTGCGGCGTCCGACCAGCCGGGGTTCGCAACTTGGTCTGGGACCTGGACTGATGGTCATGGCCATGGCTTATGACCAGTGCCATATCGAGCTTGGGCCAGTCGACCGACCTTGAAGCGTTCGTCGTCGTTCTCCTTCGCCGACTTTGTCGGTGCTAGGCCCCATCAAGTCAACTGCATGCCAGTCAGTTTGCCCGCGACGCTATAAACCGCATCAGCTACATCTGGGGGGCCCAGGTTAATCAACATTCATCCTAAACCGCAGAAGCCTCGGCCGTTGGTACTTGCGGTCGCGTTCGTTCCACCGGCAGAAACGGGTTCGCGTCTCCGTCACCTGACTTGCGAGACGTGATTGTCACCAGGGTGGTTCGACAGGAACGACAAACGTCCCCACGTTGACGTCTTCGTGTCAGGAACACGGAATTAGACAGGGACCTGGAGCTTGGATACGGCTGATGATCAGAGATCAAGAGACCAGAGGATCAACTCCTCTCCGCCGGCCATCATTCCTCGACTCTGTCGAACCGCCATCCGTCTCCACAACTGAGGCATGCATCTTCATTTCGTTACTTCATCCAGCCGGGTTTGTACGAACATCTCGATGAAAGCTGTCCACGCGCTTGCATCCGCACCATTGCTGGCATAGCGAAGATACTGTGCTTCAAGCAAGACCTGTTCCATTGGCCTATTGTGTCGTGTTTTGGCGCAGGAGGCTGTTCTCTCTCCTCCTCAAGCCATAGCGCGCAAACCTGAGATCGATTTTATGTCTGCTTACAGTGTTGCACGAGCATACTGCACACGGCCTTTTAACGGTACCGGACAATCAGCACCCATTCCTGGTAGCGCGTCCCGGCGGCCTTGCGCTACGATGCATTGGCATTCAGTCATATCCAAAGCTGGAGGAGCTATCCAGGCTCTCGTACCCGTCGATGCAGGCACACGTTGCCTCTCGAATTCCAGAGTCTGGGTTCTTCCGGCCGTGATGCCTTCATACTTGATATCCTCGACCAATCATCCCTGGCCGGCCTCTTGGCTTACATTGCCCGGTTCGTTTTGTATCTCGTTGGCCGCCACGCAAGATGCAGTTCCGGTCCGTGCTTCGACTTGAAAGGTTTCTCCGTCGAGAGGGATTCCAATATGATTTGGTTGTGGTCTCGTCTCTCTGAGACGACCCTTAAACCAGAACCTGGAGTCTGAAGAAGGACGCATCATCCCGCCTCCGCATCTCCTCCACCTCGCCTAAACGATTCCTTGCAAATTCCATCTTGCACTTCACATACTTATCCGGAATTACTCAACCAATCGCCCCTTCGCCGACTTCCACGCCGGATTCGCCGCCTCGTCGTTTTGTGTCTTGGCCATCTGTCTTGGCCGTCTGTCTCTGCGTGCCTGGCTTGACCTAATAAGTCCAGGAAAGCAACGCCTTCAGCGAAATATATATTGAGCTTCCCGTCCGAGCCCCCCCGTTCTGTCCACCGGTTCCTCATTCACGTTTTGGTAGAAAAGTGTCGACAAATAAACATCGAGGTATGTACCGCTGTGCTTATTGCTGTCTGCATCTTGGATCTCCTTCGCCCATCGATACACACTCCCACTTCCACCCCAGTTGTCGGTCTGGCTGCACGCTGCCACACTTGCGTCTAGGTGCGTGCATTAGCTTGCATGTCTGATAAACACCTGCTCTGCTCTGTTCTGCTCTGTACAGCAGCGTTGCTTTGCTTCCACATAGCACACTCCTTGGCCGAATCCCTCCCCTTACCTCATAGCCCTCTGCACCGCAGTATCTGTATGGTTACCTTTCTTCTTACTTTGCTCTCACTCTGTGCTTGCATCTCCATCCATTCAACCCAGCCAGCCATCTGGTCGTCGTCTAGCCATCTCGCCATCCAGCCATCCAGCCATCCAATCCACATAGCGATCCATCCACTTCTTACCCTTCCTCCTTGCCGTAGAGTTACGAGAGTTACCCTGAATACTGCGTAGTATACCTATGCACCCCTGCCGCCCGGCCTTAGGTAAGGAGCTTCCTTGTACGTAAAGTACTCGGTGGCGTCCGGGACTATGGCAAAGTACCTTTCGCATTGCTGCTTGCTGCCCAGCACATTCACTTCGCCTGGCCACCTGTTGCTGTTGCTGTTGCTGTCGCTGTTTCTGCTGCCCCGGTCCCTTCCCCAGCCCAAGCCCACGTCCACACGTCCCACAAACCCCAGCCCGGTTGTTGGCAGCAGCAGCGGCGGCAGGACATGTTTGGCTCTCTCTAGTTGTCAGACTCACTCTGTGTAGATATTCTGGAGTCCTCGTTCAACCCGGTCCGGTCCAGTCCAGTCCAGTCCAGTGGCCCAGTCCTTCTTCTTCTCGTCTTCTTTTTCTTCTTCTCCACAATCCACGCCCTTGGCTCTTGGAGAAGGGGGTCCAAGTCAAGTACCTCCTCCATGGCCACCATCACCCTTGCTTGCATCATCAAGCACCTTTCCCGAATAATAAGACGCAAAGGCAAAAAAAACTGTGTCTCCCACACACACCCCGGAGCGTCATCTCCCACGCCCCTCTGCCTTTTTCTGCATTCTGCCCCCCTCCTCTTCCTCCCTGACCCCTTCCCATTGCCATTGCCCTCCTCTCCTCAGGTTCCCCCCTGTCCTGTCGTCTCTTGCCCTGGCCTTCTCCCACTTTTCCTGCTCTCCTCCCAATCCACTCCACTGGGCGAGACTGAGAGCGAGGACCAGGACGAGAACGAGACCTGCAAATCAGCCTCCCAGGCTCGAACGTGCCGGTTGTCGTTCCAGTTTCTCGATCCGCTTTCCACTGACTCCATTTCCTATCCTTCCCTACCCGGTATTTTACTTTTTTACCTTTTTTCCCCCTTCTCCTCCCAACCCCTGTACCACCACTCCAGTACTTTTACCTATCCTTTCCTTCCATCCCTCCTCCCTCGGATGCTCTATCAACTCTCCACCTGCCCGGCTCCAACATATACCTACGCCTTCCCGCTCCCTGTTGCTCCCACCAACACGGCCAGTTTTTGACACCCGTTTGCGTTTCCAATGCTGCGATATCACGTTCTGTCGTCGCCCGTCTTCGACCGCCGTAACTGACCTCGCTCTGTTTTCTCGTCAGCCAGCCAGCCCAGCGAAGCGAAGCCAGTCTTCTTCAGTTTGTCTGCTTTCACGCCTCGCCTACCATTCTATACTTCTCCGCCTTTTCCCACTGGCGAAATTCCCCGCGAATCGCTCCAGTCACCGCCTTTGTTTCTTGGGACGCCACCGCGCTAGGTCCTGAGCCACCGAAAACCTGCACGGAATAACCAACGGCCTGGTGTAGAACGAATAAGAAAGGGGACCTTCATCCTCCCGCCCCAAACAGCCCCCTCAGCTCTTCCCTGCCGTCGCCCCGATTCCGACTCCTTGGTCAAAGATCTACGAGCTGCTGCTCCCGACCAACTTACCTACCTACAACAACAAACATCGTCATCGCCAACCAACCCCCTTGGATACTTATGACAGATCCTTCTTGTATCCGTTTAGGAGTCACGGCGATTAGGGACTAACGTTCCTCAACTCGCCCTAGCATCTTCACAATGGCTGTCGTTCTATCGTCAGAGGAGAACACCTACTTCTCCTCGAACTTGCGGAGGTCGCATTCGCAACCCAAGTTCGTCACGAAACAATCCGGCTTCCACTCATCCGCCTCTGCGAGCCAACTAAGCGACGCTTTCATGGACTCGAAGGCCTATCCGGACTCCGCGCCTTCCTCTGCTCCCTCCTCTCCCAGAACTATCCATGCCGAGTCTACCGACCTGTCGTGCTCGTCAACGCCCGCCAGCAACGTCTCAATAGCCTCCGACTGCGACGACACCTTGGATCTCGCCGTGCACGCCAATGACCACTTTGTGATTCCCCATTACGGAGAAGCAGGATACTTCGACCAGGACGTGGAAGATTTAGAACCCCCAACGAGCCCTCGGACAGGTGACTCTTACACGGTTTCGCCCACGGAAAACGACACCGACGGAAACACGTCCCGACCCAACACACCAGAGTTCATCCTTGATGTAGAACACGCAGAGGATGACACGGCAGTACGTGCACAACCGTCACGACACGTCGACTACCTGTCGCACAACTGGAAAGAGGAGGATATTTGGTCATCATGGAAATTTATCGTCTCACGGAGGTCGGAATACAGCAATGCCGCCCGGTTAGAGAACGCTTCTTGGAGAACATGGATGAAGGCGAAAAATAAGCTCAAAACCGTGTCGCCAGAAACACTGAACTGGTTGGTATTTCGCACACGTTGACGTGAGCTATCACTGACTCCTCCCAGGCTCAAGGACTGTGATGTCACTTGGCTCTACGGACCCTTGCAGACTGGTCCCAATACGTTGAACCCCATCAGCACCGACCCTAATAGTGCGAGGTTGACCAAGAACAATTCCTTCGTCAACAAGAAGCCTATCCTCAAGAAGAGGAGTATGTCGGAAATCATGCTGCAGAGGTCACTCTCTGCCTCCTCCTTGGTGAAGCAGGCGGCCGCGGCCGTTCAGGCTCAGGAAAAGGATGGTAGGAGACGACTTGCACGACCGACGCTCGAGCGTGCGACGACAGACTACGTCACATTTCCCTTTTCGTCGAGGAGACTGAGCCGCGAGAGCTCCAACCTCTGCCCATCCAGCACATCCTCCGGTATCATCTCACCCAGTAGTGAGAAGAAGCACATCCACTTCAACGAGCAAGTGTCTCAGTGCATCGCCGTTGATATCAAGGGAGATGAGGATGAGGATGAAGATGCCGACACCGAACGCTACGACAACAGTGACTCGGATGAGGGCGCCATCATGATGAAGAGGTCAAAGACGAAGAAGAAGACGCCACTGCTGAGGAAAAAGTCGGCAAAGGCGGCTGCCGCTGCCGAGGGCAAAACCATTGCCATGCTACCCTCCACGACACTGAAGTATCGCGAGGACACCCCCGAGCCGCCGGAAACCGCCATGAAGCACAGCACGGGAGTGTATCGCAGCCCCGTAATGTCACCATCATCGTCCCAGGAGACCCTGCGACCCTCCAAAGGATCCGGCAAATTTTTCTTCGATGATGACGATGAGGAAGAGGAGGAAGATGCTCCCATGGGCTGGCAATCACCGACCAAGACGGACGACAAATCACCCGGACTTCAACGATCATCGTCCACCAGCAGTCTAAACGCCGAACCGGCTGGCATGCGTAGGACCTCGTCAGGTATGTTCATGCCATATGAAGAGGGGGAATCATCTTCCAACGAAGGCATCATCGGCCGGGTCATTGATACAGTTAATACAGCCCGCGACATTGCTCATGTTATCTGGAACGTGGGATGGAGGAAGTAAGAGGTCGGCCATGGAAGTTCTCGGATTCTCGCTCAGCAATCGACGGCACATATATCCGGCACGACGGCCGTCATTGGTGGATGTAAAGATATGGAGGGAAAGAGGGCTGCTCCACGAAGGCATCATTGGCTTTCAGCTACTGTTGCGAGGATATAATCGGCTCATACAAGGGCTTCACGGATTCCGACTTAACGACACTATCGAGGGCATTTTCACGCAGCGGAACAATACCACGGGTCACGGAATCCACATGGACGGGAAAGGGTTGGGCACCGGCGCTTCGGCAAACGAATATTGGAACAGAGTGGCCGCTGTCCGCAACTGGAATGTTGCGTCGGGGTCTAATGACAACAATCGGAATACGCATGTAACAAATTTTTGGACGTTTTTGGGGAACTTGGTTGGACATTGTCATCATGAACTGGCACGCTATATCGGGTCCAGGGACAGGGTTTTCAGCAACGGCGCATTGGAAAGAGGGTGGAGAACAAAAGAAAATGATTTGTTTCACAACACAAGAGCTGGTTGGGTCTCATGATGGCGGGCACATTTCCCCCGGGCATTGACTTGAAGGCGCTGATCTGGGGTCTCTGCATGCCACGTCTCACCTCGGCGAACCATGGCTGGGAGACTCCTCCGTATGCGCCCCAGACATTCCACGGCGCCTTCGATGACGGCCTCCCGTAGGACCCGGGGATCAAGGGATGGGGATAGAGTGTGGATTGGGCCCCCAATTTGTCGCCAAGGTGCGCGACGGGATGAGACCCACGGCAATGGTACATAGAAGTCAAAAAAGCTCGAGCAACGAACTCGATGCGGCGAAAAGCCCAATCATGACAACATTTGTTTACTTTACCGCTTCTTGTGTGCTTTGTGTGTATTGTGTACTTAGCCGTTGGGCCTCGTGGGCAATGTCTTCCCACGCCACTGTCTCACTTCCGTCCTGCAATATTTTGCTTTTTCTTTTCCAAATCTGCGCGATTGACCGCCATGGGGGCAACACTTGAAGCTGGGGGGCGTCCGATAGAGTCCGCAGTCGCAGGACGGCACGGGTGTGTGTGTCCTGTTTTTTCTGAACCGATCATCCGAGTCAAGTCAATGTCAGGCCTCCGTTGACGGAGATCATGAAGGCGGGGAAAGGGATGTGAAGTGACGTGCTCTATCTATCCTTTGGGGGTTCATCATCGGGTGTGTATTTTTGGTGTTTCTTTCCATTCTTTGGAGAACACCTCTATGGCGTAAAAGGTATCGTGGAGTGAGTGAGGCTGATTATGAGGCTCCCCCCTCCTCGGATCCCTGTGGTAGATCCCATCTCCACCCCGGCGACGGCGGCGGTTCGGTAGTTTAGAATGGGACATCTCATCATACGTTCTGGTTGTTGTATTCTAGGTCTAGCTTGGATATGCTCATCATTTTTTGTCTTTTTACTCGCCACGACGAGGCAGAGGGACGGTCCGCGGGATGGGGGAACTGCACGAGATGTAGGTTGGGTGGCGGGCGCACCAGGCGTTCAGACATATCATGGTAGGCAGGATGTATGAGGGGGAACGAACGACGATCTTTGTAGATTTTGGAGGAGAGCGTGGTACTTGACACGGAGGCGGATGCGGGATGGATGCTTGTTTTCTTTTTTTTGGGTGTGTTTTTTCTCAGGGTCCTCAGGGTCCTCAGGCTTCTCTCTCCCGCGAGTTTACTTTACTAGATGAGAAGGTAACGGGGATATGTTTGTGCCTTGGAAGCAGGGTGGCATTTTACGGTTTTTTGGGGGGGGGGGGTCTTGAATCGTGTGTTTGTTTTCAGGTGAGGGTTTTTTTATAGTTTGTTTGTGTGTGTAGTTTGCGTTTACTTGATTTGGGATGTACAGAATCTCTGTGGTGGAGGAAGAAACCTGAGTCGATATCGGGGTTTGGGTTCGAGTAAGTTGGCGGATTTTTCACGGGAGGCGCGGGAGATACGGGAGAGTTTTGCGGGATGGGATGGGTGAAGAAAGGTTTGTGGGTTCGCGTGTGCTGCCTTCTTTTCCCCTTCCTATCTGTCTTGCCATACTCTCGTCGAGTTTGTGAAGCTCTGCTCTGCTCTTTGTTTCTTGTTTTCGGTTCCTGGAGTCGTGAGGACGGGTCTATCTGGTGTGGGAAGTGTGAGGAGATGGGGGAGCAGGGGGGTGGATGAACCGGGGCATGGGGTACGGAGCGAAATGTTTCGGAGACTTAGTGATGAGGGGGATGAGGAGGAGTTTTTCGTCGATAATGCACGATGAGGGGGCGGGGGGAGGGCATGAAGTCTCGAACGCAGGGACCTTTTCGCGATCCGTCTTCGGGGGAGGAGCGCGGTGCGGCGTCGGGCGTGTGCGGTGGCGAGGGGTATTGTTTGGATTGCGCGGTCTGGAAGCATGAACTGAGGTCAGGTCGGTAACCTTGAGAGCTCTTGCGTGTGTGTATGTATGTGTTCCGATGCATGTCGGTGTGGTTGCGTTTTCCTCACGTATGTAAGAAGCTACAGCTTTACGGCGTTGTATATCTGGGGAATGACACTTATTTCGCGATGATCCTTTTTCTCGGTGGCTTGCACGCTTGTCCCGATGCCGTGTTTTCGGCTTTTCTACGTAGGTACTTACTTGTGGTTCAAGCGGATGGGGTGTGGGGGTATTGTGGTTTTCGTATGCGAGATGCGAGATGCGAGATGAGGAACACCGATACGAAGAAGAGGTTGGATGGACCCTTGAGATATGTGAGCTGACGCAAGTTTGTGTTCGTGAAGATCGATGGGAGGTGACGATGTGTGATGCAGAGCAGACGGGGAGATTGTGGACGTGGGGGTGAGGTGAGGCACCACGATGATGCGGAGAGTACCTAGTCCAAGGCGGCTCTGGAGTGCTGCTGTTTCTGCTCCACTGCGAAATACAACCACATTCTTGATCTTCGGTGGAAGGGCAGGAGAAACATGCTCGTATGTCCGAGCGAGCGATAGAAGGGATGGCTGTTGTGGGTGGAAGCAACGCCAGAAGAGAAGAATGTGGGATATACGCCAATGTTTGGTTTAATCCATGGAACTTCCCCCCCTTCCGCCTGGCCCTAGTTTGTGTCTGTTTCTCTCTGCCCCCCACCCTGGTTCTCAGGATCTATTTTCTTTACGCCCGTAGCTTTTTGTTTTCGTGGGAAGTGGAATTGGCCAATGAGGGGTCTGGATTGGGATGCGTGGTGTCTGGGAAGGGGAACGTGGTTGACGTTTTCCTGATGCGGATGCGGCTGAGGGATGGATGGCGTGTGTGTGTGAGGGAGCCGCGAGCTCTGTTGTACGAATAATGATATGATGAGTTAGTTATCTGTACCTATCTTCCTCGGGAAAGGAGTTATGGGTTCCTGAGTCAAAATGATGATGTTGCATCCCTCTTTGGGACGAGAGGGAGAGAGGGCTTCTCATCTATGCTTTTTGCCCCCGTTCTTGTAACTTCTGGTGGCTTTTTTTGGGACGAATGGAAGAGACTTCGGGACTTGTATTCTCGTGAGGGGATATTTGGAGGTCTGGGCTAGACCTGAGTCGTTGTGTGAGGGTGTGAGGATGCTTGTCTGAAGAAGGGGGCTGTTCTTCCGATACGACAGACAACGGTCGCTTTTAGACATGACAGAGTCAGAATGAACTTTTTCAGCATGTAATATATTGGGGTCCTCTTGATATCAGAGTGATGTACTGGGTTTGGATGATCTGAGTACACGTTTTGGCGGCGTTGACCGAATCGACTCCCGATTCCAGGGCCTTCTCGACCAGGGCGGTAAGTCTGCGAATGCGATATTGAATCTCGTCTGATTGATGTTCTCTGGTTCCAGAACCAAAGCCTGAATAAGACTTTGAACGATGCTGTAGATTACATACATCCGGTGTTCCTACTACTTGGTCCCCTTGGTCTTATTCGTCTTATTGGTCTGTTCGATCGACGTGATGGCTGGGTCCAAGTCATAAGTCTTCTTGACCAGGGGAGTAAGGACTTCTATGATGCTGTAAATGTCCTGTACCGTGAATTTCTTCTCCTTGCTGTTGTCGGTCTGATTGAGATTCTCAGCGCACGGCATCTTCTGCTTCTTCCGGGGGATCTAGTTGAGCTCACTTTCCGAATCGTCAGTGGCTGGGTCTTTCCTTATGTTACTTTCCTCTGCGGCATCATTACTTTCCGATCTGTTATTATCGATGCTGTTCTTGTCATTGTCGTTTTGGTTGCGAGGCTGGAAAGACGCAAAGCAATCTGGATTAGAGAGTAAGTTGGCATCAGGTGAGTCGTTTCCGTCTTGAAGGTCGGGAGGAAAGGCAGTGGGCGATCCCTCTTTCTGTAGACAGTCGATAATGCGATCTCGAAGCCTCTGAGACCAGATTTGGTATCGAATGTCTGTTTTGAACAGCTCTGATTGCTGTTCCAAATGGAGGTTGTTCACCTTCCCGTTCGCGTCGCCCGCGTCGTTATTGAGGATTTCCATCATGGCCATCAAGTGCCGATTTGATCGTGGGCTCTCGGACCTGGTTTATCGTTTCTTTATGCGGAAGCTTTGCTTCGTCTCGACGATTGATATCAACGTATTTCTTGACTGTGTATGTTAGTATGTCTGTTTAATTTTGGTTGTTAGTTGGGTTCGCGTGCAAGCACGAGATCGCAACCCGGTTGATGATAACTCTTATCAGTGAAGGATGTTGTGAGTTGGAAAAAGAATGGGCAAATTTGTCTATTAGTAGGAAACAGTGGTCACTTTTTTACGCATAAGGGCTGACACTAGAAGAGCATCATCCTGTCGAGGAAGTAGCGACAGGTTAGTACAAGAGATCTAGAAGGCGAAGAGTCTAGTGTAGAAGTGTAGAATGACAAGGCAATAGCTCTGGGATTACGGGAAGCCTTGTACCGCCTATGGGTAGATGCAGCTCGAAGCAGTAGCATCTGCTTTCCAAGTTTGGTGATGTTGAGATGCCGAAGTCAGGCTCGTCCCCGTCACCATTGCCCTCATCGTCGTTGCCCATGCCGTGGTTGCCCTCGTCATCCTCGTCTCCTTTTCAATACACATATCCAACGTTCCGCAATACAGTAATTTGGGAATGAAACCGAGAACTTCAATGATAAATGCGGCATTATCTAGTGCGGGGAACACATTCAATGCTGTTCCTACTGGCTTGGTATACTGAGGATCTCTTGGGTTTTGGGTGTGTGAGAATCAGCTTCTAATCGTTGCACATGATTTCCCGTCAACTTAGTCTGACCATTTCTGATGAACGGATTATCATCATTGGGCTCCATTTCTTTGCTCTCGATCAAAGCGTAGGTGAGCTATCTGGGTTTTTGTAATTGACAACCCCTTCGTATCGTCCTCTGTTCTCATGACATGGCTTCAGAGTTCTTGGAATTAGAGCCCTCATTTACAGTGCTCAGTGACGAAACAGCAGTAAAGAGACATCTCAACCCACCTTCCTGCGTTTCATGTCTACGCATCTTTCTATCTTTGAGAGAACATATTGTTCACACAAGCTGAAGTCCTTTATATCACAGCTCCGCAGATGGCCGTCGGCACTCGGGCAATCTTAACAGTGCTCTGTAAAGGAGTCTGGTTCAAATTTACGATGGCTTCTGCGAACTCGTTCTCGAGGTAGCCGGATCACCCGGATTTTCGGGCTACAGCTCGTGATGCGAGTCCTAGCTGAGGTCATCACTCAGTAGGTCTGTACTTGACAACATCCTGGAGCAGTTGCTGACATGATCTTTGTCGCCTGATTCCCGGGTCTCTTTAGTCATAGTATGGGAGCTGTTCTTGGAAGGTTCTTGTGATTTTCATTGAAATGAACCATGAATCAAGTTGAATGGGTGCTCAGGATCTTGACTATTCATGAGGACTAAGTTCTCTACGAGATCTATGTTTACAAATATCACCTAGGAGGCATCCTTACGAAGGATAACATGCTCATTTCTTTCCCATTCTCAGCTTTGCTAACCTTGTTCAAGATCTTGATTCCTCGCAAGAACCTTGTTTACTCAAGACCCAAGTTAGTGAGGCTCGAAGTTCCACGTGGGAATCCATGGGCTTTCCGATGGGATAGCAAGAATGAGTGTATGAGAAGTCGTCATTCTCACGCAGGCAACCTTCTGCGGAAGAAAGTTGCTCTGGGTGATAAAAGCAGAAGACTTTGAGAAACCTAGTCGAGCATCCCGATAGGCAACTCAGCGGGGTGCAGGCTCGCTTGTCCGAAGATGCCGTTCTCAACTCTGAGAACGTGAACGAATACAGTAGTGCCACGTTGCTACAGCTGTTGAAAGTGATCAAGCGGTGGAAGCACACCGATACTGACAACCATGTGCTTCGAGTGATGAGTGTGATCTCAACCGTGCAGAATCACAACGTTACAGCACAGGAGGCAGATTGACGGGAGGCGTCGATAACTAGTCACGGTTGTCGCCCGGCTTTGCTGAGCAAAATATGCATCACCGTTTGAAATTGGTACGAAGTCGCGTCAATTGAGATGTCTTTCACTTCGTGGTTTGCTAGTATGCTCTTCGCTACCACCATGTTGTTCGTTGCCTATTTGTTCGCTCGGATATCGTTGAACATAATCCACAAAATTTGGACTCATGTGCTTGATTACGGACCATCTAATCGTCATAGACTTAATTATGCCCGGCTTGGCTCATCTCAGGGCCATGCAGGTTGCGCGTTATGCCATGTCACATTTGGTTTCGCACCAGTCACAGATCACATATTCCCCCCAACCCCTGCCACACACTCATTCATCTCTTGGCGAGCTGCTCAAGGGGGCAGTGTCAGTTTCGAATCTCACTGCTCTTCAAGTCTAGCATTTCGCGAATTCGATTCTAGAATCAATCCAGCTGGTCGTCAGTCGTCCAATTTCTGATTCCTTTGCCCATCGACGGATGCGGGGGTTGGAGTGAGGGGGTTTAGGCAGCAGCTTTGTTTGCACAGCCCATCCCGCTCGATCTCTTCGTCGACAAAGAAACGACTTGCCAAGTTCTGCAACAATTAGATAAGGGGAGGAGGTTCCCCAGATTGCCTGTTCGGGCAATGTACGAGATCTCGGATTGATCCTCGAAGCTGCACGGGACGGAGTCATAACGTCCTGCAACCGGGCTGTTGGCACATACCCTAGAGCACACCATTCCAGACTTCAGCCCTACGATTCGATCTAAGCCCTATGGTATGACGTCTCGTTCGGGGCCAACGGTACTCACCTTCGCCCTCGAGGACTGGCCGCGGAAGGACGGGCCTTCCACGAGGGCCAGCAAGCCCAAGGTCCGAACGGGGTGCATCACCTGCAAGTAAGCTAGGCCGCTGCTGGATGTACGAGACTGTTCGGAGTTGACGTGTCTTCAGACGACGGCGGGTGAAGTGCGACGAGACGAAGCCGACTTGTCAGAACTGCACCAAGCGCCGGATCTCATGTGAGGGCTACATCACCGAGCCGCGGGCAAAGACGCCTCCAAAACAGGCGCTTCGGAATTCCCGCGAGTCCGGCAGCGTTTCTCCGATATTCATCAACCCAAACTACGAGAGTCTCGTCTTCACCACTCAGCTCCAGAGGGATCATTTCGACAACTGGCTCTTGTTTGCGAAGGACGCCTTGATATTCCCGTCAGAACTGATCACCGAGACGATACCGCAACTCGCTCGTTCGGATCTAGCAGTGAGAAATGCCGCCTTCGCCATCGGCGCGGCGTCGTTGGGGAGCAGCACTCGAGAGCAGCGTCTCAAGGGCGAGGGGCCCTACTATGCAGACGCTCTGAAATACTACAACCGCTCGTTGCAACTCACAGCAACGTCTCCCACTACGGAAGAAGCCATCCCAAGGGTTCTTTTGACATGTCTTCTGTTCTTCATGTTCGAAGCTTTGCAGGGGAACAGGAAAGAAGCCTTGATACATCTCAATCACGGCTGCCGCGTGTTGGACCATTACGAGCGTCGGTTCGGACGAAAGAGCACACCGCTAATCGACGCGATAATCGCCAACTCCCAGCGCCTCACGATGCAGTCGTGGAGTCACAACGGTTATCATCCAGAAGAGACCGAGGACGAGGTGCCGTGGTGCTGCAGAGGAAGACGTGAGCGGTATGCGGTCGACGAAATTCCGGATGAGTTCGAATCCATCGACGAAGCGCATCGATGGTGGGAGGTCACGCAACATTTCGTCATACGCCACGCTCCACTCATCATAGGTTTTCGCGTGGAGGGAACGGGGAGCAAGGCGCCGGCCACATATCCGCCGAACCAGAGCCTGCCCATCCCGCCGGAGCAAGTAAAAGGATACGCCCGTTATATCGAGCGTTGGCAGGCCAGATTCTTGCGCTTGATGGAAGCGGAAGAACAGCGCGGCGGACAAAAAGATGACAAGGAACGCTTAAAAGTGCTCGGTCTGCAGATTCAATCCGGCTATCTCACAGTGCCAGTGAGGACAGCTAATTATACAGATGTGGAGACCCTCGCGACGTTGAACGATACCTTTCGCGAAGTTGTCTCTCTCAGCAAAAAGTTCCTCAAAATCTACGAGAGCCAGCCGAAGAGCGGTGAGGTTTTCACCATGGACAGCAACAGTCCGACCTGGGCACTCGGGGCCGCGAGTATGTTATGCGCCGACGAGACTACCCGCGCAGACGCGGCGAGGTTGCTCCGTGAGTTCCCCCGCCGCGACGGCTTGTGGGATACCCAGACCTACGTGGCTATGATGGAGGCAGTGGAGAAGGCGAAACAGGCGATCACGGGCCGATTGGGCCAAGACAAGACGGAGCACCCGTTCGACTATGAGGTCGTGTATGAAGACAAGTCTGTGTCGTGGGTCAAGACGGTTGACAACCCTGAGGCGGTTGAACCGGACATGCTGGAGTACAAGATTGAGATACCTTGAGATACCTTGAGAGCTTCATGAGAATAGCAAATTTAATGAGTGTATGTCATAGGTCAAAGCGGTTCCGCGTCCTTGAGAGCTACGCCTCATGAATACCCACGGGAAGAAGAGAGACAGAGACGATGGCACCAACGACAACAGCGCCAATGACAATAGCGACGATGGCAATAACGACGCCGACGCGAGATGTAATTGCGATCAGAATACCTTTGCGGAAACTTCAATAATGACAATCAAATTTCGATTCACAGCATTTTCCGAAGTGGATGGAATGACCCAGCCACTCATATTCTTTCCTTATCTTATCAGAACTTGAGGCCATGTCGGTGAGCTCGGTATGCAGAAGTCTTGAGCTATCCAGGTTACCATACATCTTTGTCTAATTGCAATAAGCATCAACATTTCTCTGGATTGCTGCTTTCCGGGTCCTCATCACAGCGACTCCATAGACTCTCATGGAACGGTCTGTTTGCAAGGTGCTGAAGGCAGCAGCGGGCCTCACAGCAGAGATTGAGCCAATAAAATCCAGATTGTGAGTGAAACTATGTCATAAATGGAGTAGATTTAGGTAACACCACCGGAACCTGGCCAATGCCAAAGACACCCGCATGGCACCCGACGCTTCCATTGGATGTTTCTGGGGCTCATTTCCTTTGAACCCGCTCGGCGCAAGGTTCGTCCGTGTCCAAAATGACTCAGGATCATCCCAAATTCTGCCACACGGCTGATTTGGCCTCAGGGCCACCGCCCTCCAGACATCTATATATACCGCGCCAGTCCGCCGTCCTTTACCTGCTTTCTTCTTTTCTTCTTTAGCTCTCTTTGCCTTTTGGCTTAGATCAAGTGTAGTATCTGTTCTTTTCAGTTTAATCTCTGAAAGGTCTCTAAGGAGACCAATCGTGATTATTCTTATTTTTGGTCTTAGGGGAGAATCCTCTGTGCTTGCACACGATTCTTCCCACAGTGTCCCTGGTATTACACTGCCTCCAGGCGACGCGAACATCTTTTTTTTTTCATTGTGCTGTCTGGCCGTGTCCAGGCAAACAGCGAAGAAATGTCGGCCGTCGGCGCGGATGTCGGCCTTCGGATCCGACTTCGGAGGTGTGGGTTCTGAGCCGGTTCTCCACCTACCGTCGAGCCCGAACCAATAACGAATTCAGACTATTATTGGTATCCATTTTTGCTTTCGCAGCTAGGTGCCTTAGCTGTAGAGGACTACACATTATTGCCAGTTGTCCGTCGCATGAACGTAGCCCTCAGTTGCAGAGTGTCATTCGCATCCAGGAAGTGGACCATGAGACGTCTTCCCAGTTTGTCTCGGTGGAGGCCGACCAAGCGTGGCTGCGAAAATTTCTGTGTGCTCACGAAGGCTGTGGCCGGCGGTTTTTGACGACAGGATTGACGTTCGACACCCAATGTAAACTCAGGTTCTCAGCACCACCTCATGATTCTTGCAGTAACATTCGCTTTTCACAGCCAAATGAAGTGATCTTGATCACCGGAAACCAATTGGCTTGACCTGTCGCTGCGATACCTGGGCATAGTATCCCTAAGGTACATGGTCGACTGCGGGTGAAGTTTCGTCAGGGCCCATTATACTGTCAGAGTCTGATATGCGAAGGAATCTCGTCGGTTTATGCTTTGGGTCATGTTTCCCAATCTAGTAATTTTGCTCGGGAAGGCATCTCGACCGAAGACACCAGAGAAACACCAAGCCATCCGGAAATCCTTAGACAAATGAGAGTGCTGCTGAACCTGACTTCCATGAAAAACATCTCGAGAAATCTGTCGCCATGCTGAGCCTTGCTCCTCAACTACGAACAGCACTGACTTGACGCCAAAGCTCATCCAGCACGTCATCTCTTCCAGTGCCTGGGAAGTGCTCAAGCTGATTCTTGCAATATGGTCAGTATTTACAGGCCCCGAGTATCAGGATAGCTTTGCTCATCCTACATAGAGTCCTCATGGAGCATACCGAAGCTTGTTCCGCAAGACACAGGATATTTACACTATCCTCAACACAGCCTGGGAAGTAATTCCCGGTGTCGTCTTCCTGCCGTATCTTCTTGTTGGCGAATTTGTGATCATTGCCGGCGTTTTGGTCACCCTCCCGCTGATTTGGGGTACTAAGGCCACGATCTCAACATCAGTTTTCACAGCCGGCATCTTGTCGAGAACCTGGAAGGCCTTTCTCGCGTGCGTCTTGTTTCTGAGGCGAACTCTCTTGGCTCAGATGGTTTGGATTCGTATCGACGCCACCGTCGCGTTCCTTGACCCCAGCTCTGGTGGATGTGTGTCTTCGGTCGAAACGGAGATTCGATACGTCTTCTCGCCGCCGTTCACACATCTACTGCATTTCTTCCGGAGAATGGCCTTGGAAGACACGGGTATCGAGAAGAAGCAGAAGAAACTGGGCCAGTGATGGGGAAGGGCATGCAGGGAAGATGGGACACCTCGATACGCCAGATTATGTGACGAAGCCATAGGTCGTTCTCGATCTCCTGGTATTGATTCTGGCGTTGGCATCATCGCCTCTTATACTATCCTCCGCTATAGAAGTTGCTATTCCACCTCGTTGCGACTGAGCCTCTTGTTTGGCCCAGTTGTAACCTATGTGGCAGCACTTTCGTTATATTTCTGCTTTGGTCGCATGAAGCCATGATATTGATAGAAAGTTACATGAGACTGAATATGGGCCTGATAGTCCAACGAAGATGGCGGCGACAACAACAATGACAACAACACCAACGGTACGAGTTAAAGACTTCAAATTTTTCTTAACGCAAATTTAGAGTTCATCGACTTTACATATATGGATAAAGTGATCTCCTAGCTAAGCTCTCTCGCCAGATAGCCTCAATGACGAGGGTTGTGAGGACCTTGGTAATTCTAGGCTCTATATAAGTGCAGCCGGAGAACTCCTCTCACAGAAAGAATCCTTAGATCTATCACACCGACCCCGAAGTAAACAAGATGGACGCCCCGACTTCTGCCCTCAACCTCGAGCAGTTTTCATATCGCGACGAGCGAGATGGATGGATTTGCACCTCGAACATGACGGAGGACCAGCATGCTGCACTTCAGGCGTACCTTTTTCAGACGTACGACTTGATTGCGATCGGCTACCAACTCCCATATCTGGTGCTCAGATGCTGTGGGCAACTCCCCGACGAGTCAACCCGTCCTTTCACAATAGCGGGCGCCCTCGTCGTTTGGCTTTCCGCGGACGACCCAGAGCTCTACCCGCTTTTCGGAGACTTCTCCGAGGGAGAGTTCATCACGATCCCGGAGAACTTTTCAGATCAAGTAGAGAGGTCGGGCCATTTAACACAGGAAGTCTTGAACTACTTCGCATTCACGCTTTTCCCCGACTGTATTGCCATCGCCGTAGTTCATGGCTCATTGGTCGTACAGTTACGCGAGACGGACATGGAAGTCTATATCGATCGTATGCAGACACTCCCTCGCGGACTTCGCAAGGTTCCTCTCCAGTTGAGATACTGCAATGGATTCTTGCCAAACTCCGAGAGAGCACAGCACCGGGTGATCACACCCAGCCCCGCCAGTTTCACGGGGTTAGATGTAGCACCCACGCTTGTTCACAGCTCGGAGTGCAAGGTCATTGAAGAGTACATGGTCGGAAACCAGCCACTGATAGGTATGGGACATCAGTATCTGAAGAAAACCCGCGACGGTAGCCGATCATCTTCGAAGAATGAACCAACGGACTCGGATGACCTGCCGCAAGACGGCCAGCAATACATGGAGCTGACCCAGGGGATTTACCACGCCAGACCCGAACTCATCAGGGGCGAGCCGCGCGTTCGCGATCGTCTCTGCGGAAGCGCGATCGTCAGGGCTAAAGCCTTCGGCGCAGACCGCAAGCTTGTCGACGTTGCGCACGAAGGCGGCGTCTGTGGAGTGATGCAGCATTGGGAAGTGCGGACTCAGGACGCGTCCTGCATGGTGAATGGCGTGGACTTTCTGCATTATGCGGAGGTTTTGGACCAGTACATTGAAGATGGTTCGACTGTGGATGCGGCGAAATGATTCGCTTTACATCTTAGACTGGTATCGTTGGCAACGCGCCTCGTCGCAGGGAAGGTTAGCCAAATATGCGGCCGTGAATACTCAATGGCTAGAGATGAAAAGAACAGGTTGTCGATATAGATACGAGGGCAGTGATAGGCGGGCTGATTCGTGCTAATGCGTGGTCTTGTAGCTGACTTCAATGGCTGGTAGACAGCTGAACAACCTGCGCGGCAACGAATTCAAGGGTGCGTGGCCGCTTTGTGTCGTAGTGCGTCAGGTTAGTACACAGGAACATATATACTATAGATTACACATTTCTCTCTGCTTGCTGAGTGATTTTTACGGTGGATTGACGGGTAGAAATACGTAGCCTTGCGGTGGTTGCGTTGAGTGAATGCGGTCGAATCAACATAAGAGGAGGACATGGCCTTCTCATAGAATCATTGAAGGTGGCAAATCCAATGATCAGAATCGAGAACATGCGCTTAAGTGAAAGCGGAACCAGTAGAGAACGGCTGTTCTTGTGGCCAGCCTCCGTGCCGTGCCACTTGTTGAACCCCAGAAGTCGCGATATTCGTCCTAGGATTGTTGGTGGAATAAGTGGACGATAGGGATGACGGAGAAGACGTGATGTGCGCTGACTCGGGGGTCAAGGTTCAGGAAGACGATGGGATAAGTCTGATCTGCCGCCTCCATAGCTTGGCTAAGCTGTACAAGTAACGTCCAGCACAGCTAGGACTGTGCTGGCAGACGCAGATGCCATTGTCGGTTCTTGGTCTCAAAACCAAAGGCGGTAAGATCACTACCAGTACCCTTTTATAAACCATCTGCTCAACATCATCAGAAGACTGACATCCCGATCTTCTGATGTGTGTGAAGACTCTGAAGAGAGGCTACGCAATCCTTGCCATGAGTTTCGGCTTAATAGCCCATGACAATTGAAGAGAGTCAATTGTGTGCAAAAAGAGGGACATATCTTCATCTGTGTTCCTGGGAGCCTCGATCAATCTGGATCGGACTTCGGCTTTCGAATGACGACTCTCTGTGCCATGGGCTGGTCGAAAACGCTGGGAACATAGGAACCCAAATAACAGCCACGAATATCTTGAGAACACTTAAGACGAACAGTGAAGAACAAATGGATCTTCAAGGCAGATCTCGGCGTTGTGAAACAGAAATGCACCCCGGCATAATCCAAGCATGTCTTATAACACCCCTATCTTGTCGTCAAAGAAGAAATGGACGACAACCGTCATTGCCAATACCTCAGACCATGATCATCTGCTTTTATAGTAGGTTCCACAACCTTTCATGCCAACCACTGGACAACGGTTAGGTATATAGAAATACGTCTCTCTGTATGTAGTTGTCCAGAAGCCAGCGTCTTCCTTAACCGGGGCAGGATTCAGCAGTAATCAAGGGAGTTGCAGAGCGGGTGTTTGTCCCCGTTATGGTTGTGACAATGTCCAAGACTTTAGTTAAGACACTTTGCGTGATCGATCTTGAATACACTAAAAATATGTGGAAAGAGATGAGGCCCGGAGACGGTGACGAGATGGGTCCTGCTTCGATAAAATGAGTGCCCCCCGGCGTACCAGACAGCGGAGGGAATCACACGAGTGATTACATTTGCCTTCATTAGCACCACATATACATATAATGTGTCTACTATCTGGTCAAGTTGTCGCCGCATAGCTTTGTATTCGAGTCGAACAGGTCAGGTTGAAAATAGTCAGCTTTGCAACAAACGGAGGCCGCTGGGGGCTTCCACAAACCATACAAAGCCTCTCGAGAGACTACTGTTGGATACTGTTCTTTCAATTGCGCGATCTAGCTTGAATCGCGTACTTTGTTTCTCGTTGGTGCAATTGAATTGCTTCACTATCTGAACCAGGATGATGAGCTGCCAAACTCAGAAGACCACGAGGCTGAGGAGACACGCTGAGATCAGAACTACGTGACAGATGATGACTATTCCTCCCAAGTATACTTCGAGAACCACCGAGACGGACGACGAGTTGAGAAGCCATGAAGAAATGTTCATGATCGAGTTGCAAGCCGTCGAAGACACAGGCATGATCGAAGAACTGAACAACCATGGAAGAAGCTGTATGACAGAGCTGCCCAAGTCGTCGAAAGCATACAATGCCTGGCTCATTTGTTGCATCAGTAGGAACCAGCTTGCCATTCGCGACACGATACTATATATCCTGCAACAGGGTCATTGTTCGGAGCACAGCAGAGCAGGCTCCAAGCATACGTGAATAGGCACGTATATGGTGATCACCACGAATCGGACCAGAACAGTTGGACCGACATGGCCTGAACGTCTGTCTTCCAGAACTCGAAAGAGCCTCGCAGTCTCGGCCTTTACGCCGTAGCTAAGCACGCTCTCATGGCCATATAACGCCGAATTGACTAACATTATTCGTGCCCCAAATCATCTCTACGTTCAGACTATATATATAAACCAGAGCCTCATGTTTTACAGTAAAACCAAGACACGAAGTGCAATCTTTATCATCCTGGCTGGGACTGTCAAGTCGCTTCAACACTCTCCATGCATACGACGCTACACATCTCAGCTTCAAGCAGACCCTACGCAGAGCGGTAGGCTGAGAGATCGAACCGGAATACACAGTAGTAATACGCCCAAGACAAAAGAGCTCAAGGAAGATGGACCTCTTCACGCCCACAACGAACCCCGCAGCTTCAGTAGATCATCGACTATATTCACAGTAGAGAAAGTCTGGGTGACAACGCGGGTCCAACAGGAGTCAAGTCTACCTGGATGAGCGGGCGTGCAAAACAATCAGTTTCGGCGCATGGGTGCGTCTTATAAGCCATCAACGCAGTCATGTCGATGTCGTACGAGGTTCATGAGGGAGTTGGACTTTGATGACATGTCACCACGCGAAGCAATCACGTACGCGGCGAAGGAAGCTCTATAAATTGACTGAAACAGGAAGCTCTGTAAATTGACTGAAACTCACCCCGAACTTGACATTCTGGGTGACAGACAGATTCAACAACCACGTGCTATATGTTGCACCATCATCTTCAAAGACACAGAGACAAAAGTTTCCACGACGAGACTCGTATATGTCATACGTGCGTCGTACCGCAGCACAATGCACCAGTTTCCCCAAAAACGAATATCAATACACGTTAGAATAATACAAGAAGAACAATAACGGACAGATCCGAAGGCTGTTGAATACCAGCTCAGTAATCGCACGATGACGGGAGATTGCCAAGGCTGTCGGATGGCGTGCGGCCTCTCACCAGAACAACTGACAACAACGAAATGAAGACACCGTCCATGTCCGCTTCCTCTTTCTACGCATACTTCAACCGCATGCCGGGGCTTTATATCCGCTTCAATGTGTCGGACCCGGAATGGTACCACACGCCATGCCACAAAGCAGCGGGCAGACTTTGATGCGCCCGTGCTCGAGGACCATCGATGCCAGAGGTATACCTAGCAACCCCGGAGAGAGAAAGGACCAGCGAGAGTCATATCTAACATATTCATGCGTTTTGATAATCCAGGTGGTGCGACCCCAAGATTGATACTGATAGGCCACGACTCTAGTGATCCAGCTTCGACGTCGTTCAACTCCAGGCTTAGTCTAACATGCTAGGCTGGTAGGTACGATGACTAAATATACAGACTATGGCCTTGGAAGGGCGTGGAGCCGTCAATGTCGTGGCCGCGTTGAAAAGACTCATAGATCGAGTTCGTAGACCGAGATTGATGGATATCATATCATACAAAAGAGGTGCTCACAAGCTCTGTCGGGAATCTCAGCTGGTGACGCGCATTAGGGAATCTCCGGCGTAATAAACACACGACAAGCACCATTGAAAACAAGACGGCCATGTTTACAGAGTATATCATAGTGTAGTAAGCTACGCTATCGTCGAATGGCTGTTGTTCATCGATTCATCTGGATTCATACGCTGCTACCCATTTCCGAGCTGCCTGGTGGCTCACGACCCATCGCCTGCCTGCCATTTACGCAGCAAGCCCACGCTAAACTCCTTGAACACCCTCTCACTCTGCGGAAGAAGCCCATTGCTATCCCGCAGGACCTCAGTCGCCCTCGCAATCTCCGCCGTTGGAAGGTTGACCTCCTGGACGTCCGAAGTCAAAGTCTCCAGCATGGAATCTGCCTCTTGCTGGGTGATCTCCTTGTAGAGCAACTTGATCGCCGGCCATTTCCCCTCGCGCTGCGAAGAAGCATACGTGATGTTTCCGTTCATGATCCACAGGTACAGCGAGGGTGACTTGGACTCGTCGCCGTCGCCCGTGCTCTGCGACGATGAAAACGTGGGCACGACCACAGACTTGGACGAGCCCGAACGTGACATCGTTGCGATCAGCGTGGCGGCGAGACAATCCGAGCTGCTCGGCGGGACGCCACTTGAAGCCGTCCGACATGACACTTGCCACTTGAACAACATCACAGATGAGATGGCAACGTTGAAGAAGCCGATGTGATTCTTGCAGCCACGGCCGAAGACATAGAGCATCCTCGGCGGTGGATCAGCTTCGCCGGCCAGAACTGCTGAGCTGGTGTCTGATCCCGCTTCAAAGGATGAGGAGGAAAACTGCACCGGAAAAGAAAAAAGTAAGCGACAGAAATGGCAAGAGTGTAACACTCGTGCGTATAGAAAGCTGAGCATGTCCCTCTTTGTAATCCCGAGGCTTCCACGGCTCTGGAAGTCCTCAGTGAAAGCAAAAGGGCGTCTTCGTCCAAACCAGCCGAACCCGTCTGCGAGCAGAGGTTTCAGCAGGCCAGAAGCCTGAGTGAACAGGAATGACGGTATGTTGATATCGGGGCGGAGTATCGGTGACCACATCATTGGGCGGCAGCAAGTGCCGATATGGCCTCCTTCTTGATGCCCCGGTGAGACATGTCACGGTAGCAACAAATTTGACGCCGAAGCCATGAACAGAAAAGGAGATGGCACTTACCACCAGTCCCGAGCAGTCGGCCTCAGTGAATAGCAAAGACGTAAGATCGACCAACCCTACGCCATTCTGCGCAGCAATGCTCGAGTTGGCACCGTACCCGCGCTTCGCCAGATGCTCGGGCTCCTCGCCGTGCTCATGGTCCGTCGGCTTATGACAATGCCAGAAGTCCATCATCTCGGCCCAGTTCTCGCTCGGCAGGTCCTTCCACTCCCTCACCTTCCCTTCAGACACGACGACCTCCTCGCAACTTCTGCACCTCACTGCGGACTCGGCGAGCAGGTCTGTCGCGGCCCATGGCACGGGTTCATCGAGCGGGCCGCGCGCCGTGAGCGCCGAGGTCTCGGATAGAGGCAGACGCCATGATAAGATGAGAGATCCTGGGTGCGGCGAGGGGAGGACGCCGTTCCTTGGCGCGACGACTTTGCCCGGGAGGGAGAAGTGTGTTTGGGAGCCCGCGTGTGCGATGGTCAGCGTCGCGCCGTCTGAGGCGACGACCCCTTGTGTGCTTCTGTCGGCGGGCGAGGGGAGGGTGACTGCGACAGAGAGCTGACGGATGTTTGTCAGAAGCTCCGCGTATATGGTCGGTGATGACATTGCGGGTGGGAAGAGGTTTTGTTAAAGACAGTGGAAGGTGGAAATGGTTACGCGACTGTGAGGTTGGATTTAAGCTGCCTGCCGCTGCGCGTTGGGTGCCAGGTGGGGTCGGACAGCTGCCGTGGGGCAGGAAGCTACGCAAGGTACCCAGGCGGAGGTGATTCAGGAATCTGCCTACCTAAGTTAAGGCACCTTAGTGCACCATGAAGATTTGGATTAACAAATAAAACCTATGGATCTTTAGACGACTTCCTCATCGAATTGTTTTACATTAAAATGACGGGATCAGGTTGCCCAAAGATGAGAAAACCCTGGGATAAATGTTCATCTGTAGTCCGCCTCTGCTAGCAGCTACTGGTCACCCTGCCGATTCTACTGCTTCACAACCTGAGATTGACAATGATGAATGGGCAACAATGGTATCATACACGCTTAAACAGACTACTCATTTGTTCGCCGCGAATTATCTCAGAGGCCATTGATGGAGCTCATACGCCGGAGCTGGTATGTTCCCCTGCTCACCAATTGGTTGAGGGAGCGGGTTTCGTACCCCCCTAAGATGAGCCAACTCAATGGGCGCTTGAACACTATCAGGATGCCTTGCTTGCTCCAGCGGGCTTATGCCGCCTTCATTCGGATCAACCCTCGAATACGGCGGCAGCTCGTCATCGACCGGGGCATTCGGGTCGACCTCCCGGTGCACCGCCGGCTCCTCGAACCTGCGGGAGCGATACTGGCCCGCCCCGCGCGTACTCCTCCTTCTGATCCGCTCGATCTCGTCCTCCGGCTCCGGCGGATACAGCTCCGAACGCTGCAGTCGGTTCCAGAGGAAGACCGTCGCGCCGTAGGCGAGGCAGCCGAACATGTGGCTGACGAAGGCGCACCACGTCATGGCCGCGAACGAGGACCCGATGGCGTGGTACGGAAAGATCTCTTTGAATTCCCCCAGGGCATTTCGCGCCTTGTGAGCCGCCGACGTCGTGATTCCCGAGGCGACCAGCAAGGCGAAGAGCGCCAGGACCTGCGCGGCCGCCATCACCCGCCAGTGAGAGGCGCTCAGAACGATCTTGTGCCGCTTGGAGATGATCTGCATCATCCACGTGCCGATGTTGATGGCGAGGTAGATTCCGTACGACGCGAGTGCGTCTCTCGTCGAGCTGATCGTCTCTGCGCCGGTGAATTCGAGGGCATTCGGCCCCACGAGACGTCCTTCCGACGCCGTGTCCCCCAGGTTTTCCGGATACGCCAACCTCCCTTCCACATCCTTCACGATACTCTCCAGATCGAAGGAGCTGCCGGGAGTCCGGTGTACACAGCCTGCCAGCGCAGAGCCGCTATCGATGTATGCTTCTTCGAAGCAGCAGCTGCTCAAGAACCAGGTCAAGACGAACGTGCTTTCACGCTGGCTCTCGCTCCGGCGGTATACTGCCGACCACTGATCCCTCTGTGAGTCGCCGCGTTGAATGGTGAGGCGCGGCGCAAACTTACCGTGACTAGATGGGTGTCTTCGCTGTTGACGGCGCCGCCCACCTGGTTGGCATTGTGAACCCACCCACCGACGCAGAGAGGTATGATAAGAGCAATTGCGATGGCGTCGAAGAAGAAGGCCGTATAAATAAACCGCCGTCGGATTTTCCTCTCTTCGGGCCTCGTGAAGATGAACTTCTGGGCGGCGAGGCTTCCTTGCCCATCGGAATGTTGGTCCATGTCGAAATGAGGAGTTTATCCGTCTACACTCATAGAACAGGACAACGGTGAAGCTCAATGAGCTGAAGACAGCCTCACGGCTTCAGGCATGCTCAGAAAGAGTGTTGTCGACCTGAAGACGCGTTGCTGAATTCAAGACTGGTAGGAAATGCGATTGAGACGTTTGGTCGCCTCCCTGGGCAAGCGATCATGCGGCACAGCGACAAATGCGACTCGCTGAGCTGCAGCTCTGGTTCGACCAGTCTGGAGCTTCCATTTTGGGCGAGCTCGCTCTAGTCCGTGATAAGCTAGTGATGAGCAGCGCTTGCTGCCACTCGGGATCGAATGTGTCAGCCGTTGAAGAGAGTTACATGGGAGCACTAGGCCTGTGATGCGCCATGTAATGATTTCCCTACATCGTGGAGACGCATAAGAATTTGCAAATCAAGTCAAGATCATCTTACAAAGATGTTTTAAGTGCAGGATGGTTGACATTACAACGGCTTGAACTTTCAGGCCGTCTAGACACCGGGAGCACGGACCAGTTCGCAGAAGCTCCTCAGCAACCGTGCTCACCTTCAGCCAAAAACGGCTTAGCGCCGAAGCTCCAAGATCCCTCCCACCCAGAATTCCGAATTTCACCAAGCGGCTTCTACTATCTAAGCTCGACATTGCGGTACGACGGGTCCAGCCAAACACGAGACGATAGTTCCGCCAGATTCAGACGACAGGAATACCATACTCTGCGACCCCGAATCGTCTCAAACTTCCATACAGACTCGGCCTGCCACAACAACCCCGAGTCCGAACTATCGAGTCCATACCGCAACCATGGCGACCCTCGGAGGCTATTTGAAGAGTACGTCGCAACACTCTGCTCCATCCCCTGCGGCTCGCTGACTTTGTTGGTAAACAGAGAAGGTACTAATTGTGACGGCGGACTCGAGAATCTTGGTCGGCACCTTGGAAGCCGCGGACCAGTCCACAAACCTCGTGAGTTTTCCCAGCCCTGCCCAGAGTCGAGGCAGCCGTCTGACAGCTTTCACGCGCGCAGGTCCTCAGCAATGCCCAAGAGCGAGTAATCCAGACCCCCGAGAGCGGCGAGCCCTCCGTCGAAGTCCCTCTCGGCCTATACCTCGTGCGCGGCGACAACGTATGCACCGTCGGCCTGGTAGACGAGCAACTAGACGAGAGCATCAACTGGACAGAGGTCAAGGGGTCCGCCATCGGAGGAACGAAGCACGTATAACGAGCTGGCACGTTCGGCATGGCATAAACAGGATGGGACAGGCATATGTGTCAAAAGAAAAAAAAGTTGCGAATTTGGTTTCTTTTTATTTACGAAGCGGGATACCCGAGTGTTGAAAGGTATGGGCTTGCGGCCACACCAGAGTGGTGCAAGCAGACACACGAGATACGGCGTTGAATTGTTTTTTCTGGGTCGGTAGAGAATGAATATTGGGTTCCTACGGGGTATGCGCCTGCCTTTTTCTATCCAACCCCCATGCCAGTCAATACTGTTGTGCTGACGCTGAACCGACGAAAGACCCGCGGCACTCAAGGGTCGTCTACTGTATCTGTTCAACCAAAGATCCTCTTCATGAGATCGTGGGAGAAAAGCTCCGCTCCGGGAGACTCGACCATCCTGTTGATTCTGTTACCTCTGCTGTAGCTGAGCCAGCCGCCACAGTCGCCCGGCACCTCGGCCAGTGTCAGAACGTCAACACCGTCGCCGGTGCTCTCGCTCTCGAGGGTCGCCTCGGTGTACTTGGCCCTGACTCTGCGGTCGATGACGTGCATTCCGCGCGTCCACTGGCCAGAGGTCTCGATGCGGATATCCTCTGGCTCTGCAACGGGCTTCCACTTGGGGTCGGACTGGGTGAGAAGGTACCAGATGGTGAGGGGGTCGTGCAGAGAGAGACCAGGCTCCTGGCCGTTGCCCTCCATTTCATCGATCTTTTCGAAGCACTTGGACATGAAGTGGTCGACCCACTGGCCGAGAGGGCTGCCGGCTGCCACGATGGGCTTGATACGGCTGGTGAAAAAGTTCTTGTTGAGCAAGTGAGGGCAAGTGATGTCGAGAGGGAACAGGGTCAACTTTAGTGTCTTGGAGAGCTTGGCCGGGTAAGGGGGCAGAGAGGACTTCTTTTCCGAGATGGGAGGCATCGTCGAGCGAGGGTTAGGGGAAGTCAGGGCGAAGATTCTGGCAGCCGCGACGGTGTCGGCAAAGGTGTTGAATTCACCGACGGGGGTGATGTTTCCTTCGACATGGACGGCGCCGCCCATAACGCACAGCTCTTTGACGCGGAGGAAGGTCTCGGGGTCCTCAGCAGCAGCCAAGGCGACGTTCGTCATGGGCCCCACAACGGCAATGGAAATGGTGTTGGGGGGATTCTCCCTCAGAATGCGCAGAATCTCCTTGTGGGCGACCTGCTTGGCGGGTGTGAAGTACTGGTTGAAAGGAGACGGGTCGTGGTCAACATCCTTCTCCGTGTGGAACAGGGCCTTCCACCTGTCGTCAGGGGTGAGGTGAGGATGCTTCTCGTGAACGCCGTGCAACCCGTCCAAGCCGTCTACGTTTGTCAGTGGATGACGCCTCTTGCTACGATGCTGGTGTCTTACGGAAGTAGTCGGCAGCAAGCTCGTCATCCTCAAGAGGATGCTCGGCACCAACAGCCACGATCGGCTTGTAAGCTCTCAAAGACTCGAAGCCCTCGGCCTTGCCATTCTCTTTGCGCCAGGCCAACTCCTTCTCCAGAACATGGAACAGGGCAACCGCGTTGCGCAGACAACTGGGGTTCGTCAACATCAAGAAGTCCAATACATCAAGACATCGGCACGTACCTCTGCAGAGGCACGTTGCCGTATGTGACTGAAATCATCATGACCTCCAACTCCTCGGGTGAAGCCGCGAGGGCCAGAAGCATGGCGAGGACATCGTCGATGCCTTGAGTTTGCGATTAGCTGCAGTCGCGATGTTGCCGTCGGATGAAACTCACCTGGGTCGGTGTCGATGATAACGCGGTTCTTAGGGGCCATGGCTGAGGTGGGTGAGTAGGATGGTGTGTTATGCTCAGTTCAGATGATGTGAAGTTGTTTTTTCGTCCCAAGTCCCCGCGAAACACACAAGAGATAGTTTGTAGTTGGCAGTGTTATATAAAACCGGATCCAATGAGTCAGGCGGACTTCGACGGATATCGGCGGTGTGTTTGAGGCTGACGGAGTTGTCCGACAGCGATCCTAAGTGTTCCTAACGGAGTTGTTCAAGCTCCTAGTTGCTTCTCAGTACAGGTAGGTAAGGGTTTTGCCTGGTGACGGCGTTGCATGGAGAATCGGTAGCGACCCCTCATTCCTAGGTATGCTTAGGTAGGTTCCTAACTCGATGGTGGGGTGTAGTGGGATACTGGAGAGGGCGCTAGACCTTTTCAGGCGAAGGAATCCATGGATAAGTTTGGGTACAGCAAGCTCTTATCAGGGAAAGGTGTCATGCGGCAAGTACCAACTCTAGGTTTTCGACATTGGATGAGATGGCGGGAAGGCAGCTGGCAGCCTCGGGAGCCGCGTTACTGGTGTTGCACACACGTGAACCCGTCTGTGGCTATTTTTACTTTGAACTCAACGGGACGCCGTGATGATATCTCCGGAGCCGCCTTTACGGCTTGCCGACCTGCCTTGACTTCTCCGACAGGGAAGCTCCCATCCAGTTGGCACCTGCCTGCAGAGGTGTCAAAACTGACTACCAATCAGCAGCTTCGAATACAAATTGCCTATATCACGTGAAATCCGACAAAACACGGCCGCGCCAGAGAGGACACGTGACCTTTGCAGCTTCGCAATTACTCCGAAGCCCGTGCCAATGGCGAAATGGAAAAGGTGGATCCCAAGGTCCCTTCCGCCCGTGGAAACGCGAAGCTGTCACTTTCAAAGGTGATCCAGGAAATTACATAACAAGGCCCTGTGAGATAACCTCATCCTTTCCACTTCTCCAGCTCAAGCTCTGGAGAAAGCGATACCTTAGCATTGAAGATCGGTCAATGCGACTCTCGAACGGTAAGTGAAGCTTTGATTCGCGATCAACTACCCCCTTCAGCCTCGCGACTCACGTCTTCTTCCATCATTGCTTTTAATTCTCAACCCTCTCGAGCTTGTCTCGTCCCTACCTACCTACCTACCTTATCCTTCGCCTCTCGCTTCATCTCAGCTCCGGCTGGGCTAGAAACACATCCCTGGGGACCTGCGGCAGCTCAGTGAGCACACCAAACCCAATACGTAATATCCACTCCTTGGGGGATTCGGATGCACGTCGGGTTCGTTGCAGCAATCAGCAGCAGCGCAGCACCTCTGCGGCGGTCGGCTTTTGGATCCGCGACGGGACCCCTCCCCTTCCGTTCCCTCTTCTGCCCAAATTCCCCATTGCTGTCACCCTAGCACCTATCTAGGTACCTCCCCAGTGGACTGCTGGACTTGACCAACCACTGGACGGCCCATTGGCGGCAGGCACACCTACCTCACCTTGCCCATTGGATTTGCTGAGAAGCCACCTGGTAACTTTTTTTCGCCTGCTCCTGCCAAGCTACCTTCACCTGCATCTTGACACGACATCGCTCGTCTTTCAACCGCGTGGTAGGAAAGCCTCCTTCATCGCCTTTTGCTGCCTCCCTTTTCTCTGTATACCTCAGCCTTTATTCCATCTAAACTCTCCTGCTATTGATCTCCATTGAGCCATCAATCATTGCGCCCAGTTTCCCCCCTTGCGCACCCCTTCATCCGTATGTCTCCATCAGCAGTTTACCCCAGCTTCTTCAAATCATCGTGTGCTGTGCAGCACTCAATCCTTAATTGACCTCAGCGCTAACATTCTTTTCAGCAGACATTTCATCTGGCTCACTTCTCCTCCTGTAGTGAAGCACGAAGGCACGCCCTGATTCAACACGGCACTTGGTTTCGGTACAGCTCCGACAACCCTTCATCTTCGGCCGCATCGCCATAATCAACACCCCCTTAATACCCATCACATAGAGAGTGCCCTGCACCTCCAACATCACCCAAAATGCCAGCTTCCGAGTTCCTCACTACCCAGACTATGGGCGGGTACCTGGTGGTTCTTGCTTTGGCTGGCGGCCTGTCATACTACTACATGGCCGAGAAGGAGAAGCAGAACACCTCCAAGGGAGTCAAGCAATACGTCGAGCCGCGTAAGGAGAACAACGCAAAGAAGCAGAGAAAGGCTGCCTTTGCCTCACAAAAGACGGACGACAAGGGCTCCTCCAGCGCAGTCTCCAGCAGCCCAAGCCCATGGCTGAGCAACGACCCCGATGAGAAGGTCGACAACAATGACTTTGCCAAGCGGATGGCTGCTGCCAAGGAGGGCAAGAAGTTCGATGGCAAGTCCTCCACATCAGCCAAGAAGCAGAAGCAGAAGTCCGTCAAGCAATCTCGCGCTGTGGAGAAGGACGAAAAGAAGGTGCAGGTCGCCGACGAGGAGCCTTCCGCTCCCGCCCAGGCCCCCGCTGTTGAGGCTGTCGAGGAGGCTGAAGAGGCCGAGGAGTCTCCTGCTACCTCCCCCGAGGTCGCCCCCGTCGACCCCAGTGGTGTCAACGACATGCTCGAGCCCGCCGCTGCCGGCCCCTCCGTCCTTCGCCTCACCGGCACCGACAAGGAGAAGCCCAAGCCCAAGAACCAGAAGGTCCCCGAGAAGGCTGAGACGAAGAAGCAGCGCCAGAACCGCCAGAAGGCCGAGGCCAAGAAGGCTGCTCGCGAGGAGGACGAGAAGGAGCGCAAGGTGCTCCTCGAGAAGCAGCTCCGTACTGCTCGCATCGCCTCCGGCACCCCTGCCAAGGACGGCTCTCAGTTCATGGCTGCCGCCAACGGCGGCAAGTCCGCTTGGACTGCCGGTAGCCCCAACGGCGCCTCCACCAACGGCAGCTCTGCCGTTCAGCCCCTCGACACCTTCGAGGCCCCCGCCAACGGCACCACTGCCGCTGCCCCCGCTCAGGTCCAGGCCTCCGACAGCTGGATGTCTTCTCTGCCCTCTGAGGAGGAGCAGATGGAGCGCCTCAAGGAGGAGGACGAGTGGAACACCGTCTCCAAGAAGTCTTCCAAGAAGGCCAAGAAGGAGGTCCAGGCTCCCTCCCCCGAGCCCGCCGCCGCCGCTGTCGCTCCCGCTCCCGCTCCGGCCCAGTCTCGCCCGATCGCCCAGGCCGTCCAGAAGCCGGCCGCCTCCAACGGCAAGGCTGCGAAGCCCGCCCAGTCCTACGGCTCCTTCTCTGCCCTCGGCGAGGAGGAGTGGGATGTATAAACGGCCCAACCAAGAACACCATTCTCCAGGACATCCCGCCCCAGACACGCGCCTCCACATCATATCCCACACATATGAGCGTCGTCTGACTGTCACTTGTTATTCTAACTGTACAATACTTCTTCCTGGAGTGCGGAACCACTAAAACTCTCATCACATGCATCCCCATTCGACGTCATGGAGGGGCGCCATGCTTGGATCGACCGCGTCCGCGTAGAGTGGAAGCGCGGCCGGGAAGGGCACGTGGCTTGCTATTGCGTACACACAAAAATCGATCTCGGCAACAGTATGAGATCTGGAGTTGGGGGAACATTGGCCAAGCGGGCTGAATGATTTGCACGTGCTTTTTTTTATATACTCCTGCTCCGAGACCAACCTGGTATAGGCGGAGCGTGACGGAACGGAGGGAAGGAATGACAACCGATCACGATGTCAACGAGTGGAAGGAAGTTGGTTCTCGAGCGAAGAAAACAAAATCAAAAACCTTTTCTTAGGGCAGAATGGTTGAATCACATGGGGAAAGGCCATGCATCTCAGTCGTTGGTTGTGTGTTTAGCGCAGATTCCCGCAAGATACTTTTCATAGGTTTTCCAAAAACGTCCTCTTCATACCCTCCTCCTCCGTGGTCGTGACCATGCGTTCTTCTTAAAAGTCTGCCCTGCCGGGATCGTGCCGGCTGGGTGAAATGAGCAGCAACCCCCACGTTCATGCCGCGTGCTCCAGTCCGTCGTCCGTCGTCAGTGGTCACGATTCTCACACGGTAGGGCATCTCGTCGTCACTTGGGTCAGATTTACACAAGTCGCCGAGACCGGGATGAGTTGTCCGTCAGCATGTGAGAGTGAGAGAGAGAGAGTGCCTTCTCGGATTCTACAAGTCCATCCGGTCGGTGTTGGCATAGGGACGGTGTGTGGGGGGAGCTGGAGCTGGAGCTGACCGCCCCCCGCCTCGCGATTTCGGATCCAAGACATGCATCATTGCATATGGCCCGCTGCTGCGGTTGCGGGAGTACGTGTGCAGTGGCAGTTTAGCGATGCTGAGAGGTGTGCAGAGACGTGCTGGTCTTGATTGGATTTGCACGACGCTTGGTTTAGTTCACGAGACGGGTTCTATGTCTGAGATTGGTGTGTAGTAGCGTGGGGAGGGAGTTGGGCAGATGGCTTCGGACCATGAGCTGTAGACACGTGAAGTATGGCGGGAAGGGGAGAGGACGGGAAGAGGTTAGTCGGACACGGGGGTCGACGACGGACCTTCGGGAGCCGGGCTGTGTGTGTGTGTGTGTGTGTGTGTGTGTGTGTGTGTGTGTTTGTGGGCTGGACGGAGACCGCTCGCCAGGCCGTTCTGTTTTTCGGGCCCGTGAAGGAGGGGGGCCTTGGATCGATCGAATCGCGACGGCGTGTCCGGCTGCGTGTGTTGTACAGGACGCGCGAAAAGTCGCGGGGGTGGAGTTGAGGATGGGGATACAGTGGAAACGGTGTTGTTGCGTGTCTCTGGTACTCTGGTGGATGTGGATTATTATGCGTGCCGACCGACGATGGTTGCATTGTTTTGTTTTGATATGAGGGAGGGGGGTAGAGAGGGCCAAGTCGGGCTTGGAAGGATTGCCCAGGCTTGGGACGGGAGAAATAGGACGGAAATCGTGAGGGGAACGGATATGTGGCTGGGCATGAGGTGGTTTTGACGAGAGATGATGGATGTGTTTTGTTTGGGAGAGTGGGTTTTTTTTGGTTGACGTCTGTTTTGGCTTGGCCTGCTTGAGCCCGGTCGCTGGACTCGGGTTGGATCTCGAGGCAGCTAGACGGAACGTTCGAGGAGATTTCAGGCTGTTTCACGAAAGGCTGCTTTCGAGATCATCGTCCCGTTGGAAGATGACGGGATCGTGCTAAAGTTATTTTTACACACGGCTCGTGGGTTTCTGGTCTGCCGCGAGAAGAGAGATCTTTGCTGTCTTGGCACGGCGGGATCTGCTTAGTTTCCTCCATTGCTCGTCAGTAGGCACTGCTGTGTAGTGAAATCGTATTGTGATCGCCGTCAGAGTTGTGTAAGTGTCGAGTTAGCGTTAAGCCTTTTCGTATGCCGTAAGCTTCTCTGGCGGTTTGTTGGGCTTCGGCGACGTGTTCGTCAGCCGCAAAAGCTTATGGCAAGGTTTGATGAGTGTTGGTCGTTGTATCGAGGTCTCTTTTGACGGAACGAAAAAGGTTGTCGCGGGAAGCTGGGTTGAGATGGAGGGATGAAGAGGGGCGAATGACAAGTAGTGTGGAGGGGATGCGAGTTGGAGGGGGGGGAAGGATGATGATAGTGTATGTTCATGCTTCCCTTTCGTTGTTGGTTTGCTTTACTTCGTACTCCTTCGTCGTGAGAGTTCCGTCATAGTTCCCGGGCTGTTGGTGATGTCCAATGCGTGTTCATGGATATAAAGTCCCGTGGGATGATCGACGTTGACAATCCGAGGAACCGGCTGGTAGTGCAAATAGTAATGCACCGTAACAGCGCAAGTTCCCACGATCGGCGACGCAACGGCTAAGGTGATTTGAAGATCCGTCTCAGATGGCGGCATGCCTCGATAGCGGATGGCGAATGAGCGGATGGAGAAGTTTGGGGAGGTACAAGGTACGGACGGCCTGTTGGTGTGGTGAGGGGTTTGCGAGAGGGAACCTACCAGGCCTGGAGAACGGTGTGGAACGACAGGGCATGAGTATCGATAGGCGTCGACAATATCCCTCCAACGAGGGTCCCTTGCTTGAGGGATCGATGCGCAGCGAGGCCCCTTCGTCAGACCAGGAAGCCGGTGCCGACGAAGGAGTCTCTTTCGTCAAGGGTTGGATTCTGATGGCAGCAAGTTTGGCTCGAGGAGCAAGACAATGCCAAAATATATTCCTTTGGCGCGTCAAACGCTGAGGCGCATGTCTTGTCTCAAGTGCCCTCGAGACCAAGACAGCAGGCAGCGACCTATCCAGAGAAGGTCTAGAGAGGCCGAGGACACGACTGGATTGGAAACGTGCGCTAGCTCATGGGAAGAAGTGAGAGAAAGGACTCTGAAAGGAGCGTCGAGCATCGACGGCGCCGCGCAACGCCGCCTCCGCCCTCCGTTCAACCGCCATCGAACGAATGGCCACTGCGGGTTGTCGGGGGCGCGGACGGCCGAGACAAGCAACGGTCTGGCTGTTATCGCTTGCGAGGCGTGTGCCGAGCGATGGTGTGGAAATTGGGAATTGGATTTTTTCCATTGCGTCGCCTCCTATTTCTCGGGTCTCAATCTCACGGTTTCTGGTTGTTCAATCTGGATCCTGAATCGGACAATCGCTAGGCTAGTCGTGCAGATATGACTGCTGGGCGAGAAATGCCACGGGCGGACTAACGGTGATTGAATGAGTAGAGAACGATAGACGACGGATGCTGGGCAATAGTTTGAGTGGTTTAACGAGGAATTGTCGCCCAGCGCGCGTCGACGGTTCCGAGGCGCGACACGGCGCAAATTGGCCGAGTTGCAGATTCATGACTCCGGGCGGCCCCATGGTGTCAGTATCGGGCGGTACTGGTGAGGGATTGAGGGATTGAGGGTTCGGTAAGAGCGCATGGTATTCAAGGTCGAACGCTGGGTGTTCGTTGTTGTCGGGGGGAGAAGTACCGGGTACTTTGTCGGGGTGGCTTTTTTTCCTCCCCTCCTGGAGGATTTACTGGTTCTTTGCGGGTGTATTCTCGAAGAACTGGGTGGTGATCGATTGGGATCTTCCGTCAGTTTGGACCCTCGCACCCCCGATCCGGACAGATGTTTGATGATTCTCGACGGGCATATTTCGATATGCGTGCGAGGCACGAGTTCTCGCAGGAAACCAAAGGATGAAGCATCTTGGACGGTGCGCTGGCAGAAGATTCGAGGCGAGCGAGGTGGACACATGTTGGACGTGGAATCGCTGTGATGCGCTGTATTCGTCATGCACCCCGTGGGCCACAGCATCAGTCTCACAGATTGCCCGGCCGGAGAGACGACGGCTAACGCACTGGACAGGTACAGGGCGTCCCTGAGATGGGGGTTGGGTTACTTTCGAGGGTACATAGGAGGATACGGTACACAGCGTCTTGGTCTCACCTCGATTGGACCGTCTGGAGGTGCGTGAGTAAGGCACAGGCTTTTGGCGTCCTTGGACCTGACGACGACGATATCCATTAGGGAAGGTGAAGCAGACGATGGCTGTCAATTGGAACTGCAGACCAACCTCCCAGACCCGAAAGAGGCAGATGGCGACGAGGAGATGCAGCCAGACGTGCAGCACAGGCTTGCAGGCTTGCAGAGAGTTGAAGGTAGCAGGTCCAGGACGCCGCGGTGGAATGAGATTAAGTAAGGTGTACCCACTTTGCGCCGCTGGTTTTTTTGATTGGTGCATTGCGCATGGAGTGAGCCGTATCTGGAAGTTACGGTGCCCTGTCCACACAGGAAAGACCGGGGTACTTGAACTGGGCCATTTTGTGGGTTGTAACTTCCTCCCAGGTCCTGATTGTGTGGAGGGGAGACCGCAATCTCCCGTCTCGTGGCTGCCGTGGTGATTTCCACTGGAATTCGAGCCATGAGAGAGAGGGGGGAATTGGCATTCAATTGAAATGGAAGTACTCGGTACTTTGCTCGTCCAAGGCCCCCAGCACTCCATCGCCCCGTTTCTCCGTCCGCCCTCCACTCACTCCCCCTTGGCCTACCTAGGTTGGGTCTGCTGCAACTTGCTGCACTGCTACGGATACTGCTCAGTGCTCTCGCTCTCACATTGCGCAAGCCCATGCCCAAACCTCTGCCTCCCTTTTTCGAAACGTCGTCTCCTGCACTCCCAATTCGGCTCCTGTTCGCCTTGCTTTTCCACCTCACTTCCGTTTGTCTCCTCCTCTTCTTCTTGTTCGGCTTCTCTTCTACCACCTACTCTCGACATCCGGCAGGTTACCGCCAATTCAATCTCTAACGTGGTAGATCCGGGGAACCACCACTCTCTCATTGCTCACGCGACGCAAGCCCCCGGCATCATCATCACTATCATCTGGTCCTCCTCAATACAACCAGTCCACGCCGTCCGTCCGACCGTTCACATACACCCGTCCATCCCTCGACATCACCCGCCGCGCCCCGAACGCCGTCTTTGCGCTACGGTACCTTACTATTACCTTACTCTGTACACATCAACAGACAACTCAATACTGCAGAGTGCACACAACTCTCTCTCCCTGACCACCCGCACACACACACCCTCGAAATAGCCGTCTGCTGCCAACCTTGAAACCCTCCCGTCCGCCAAACCAAAACCTCGATACTCCCGGCACCCAAGGGGCCGCACAGGCCGAGCCACTTTTAAAGCAATTGCGCCTCCGTACCGAAACTGTGTCTTGGCCTGCGCGCCGGTGATTCACTTCAATGGCGCTTTAAACTTCCTCTGGCGCTGGCACGCGGTCCCTTCTCTCGTCTGCACTTGTACTGCACCGAACAGATTCGTCCACACATCCAATACCTTACCTTACTTACAACTTGCTCGCCTACCCGACGTAGGGTACCTTGAACTTCGAACACCGTCGCTGACACTGTACCTTCCTCGTGGTTCCTGTCACCTCTCCCATCAAAACTCAAGACGTCCCCTCCCCCGCGAACCACCACGAGGCACCACGCCCAACACACCCTCGCCGCCTATAATACTCTCAACAACCTCCGCCGCACCTTCACTCTAGCCATTCGATGTACGCTTGCACCCACGACCGCAGACTACCGTTCACACCTTCTCCCCGAGCCGGGGTTACGGCCAACACATCGCCATCATGTCGTTACCCGTCGCTATCCAGTCCGCCATCTTCTACTACCTCGCGTGTACACCATGTAACGAGATGAAGGCCTTCAGAAAGGCCAAGAAGAAGGCCAAGGAGGAGAGAGAGGTCAAGAGACGTATAGAGATGGAACAGCCTGGACTCTACCGCCATCCCGATCCCTTCAACACCAACCCCTACTGGGCAGAGGAGATGGCCATGGGCCCTCACCTGCCCAAGAAGTCGGCCACCAAGAACCCGAGCCAACGAGGTCTGGCGAGTGCCGGCCGCACGAGCACCGCAGCCAGCTTTGGAAATGCCAGCACCGCCGCCGAGAGCTGCAGTCCCGTGAGCCCCACAATCAGCGCCGAGAAGGCGCGGAGGATGTCCGGCGATGGTTGGAACAGGACCCTCTACCAGCGCGAGGACGAGGAGCTGTGGGGTCACAACCTGTCCGGCATGGGCCACAAGCTCATGGACAACATCGTCAAGGCGGGTAACACGGCAGGACGATACGTCGAGGAGAAACTGGGGCGCGAGAAGAATATTACGGACGAGGACCGCGAGAACTTCTACACGACGCCGAGGAATCCTCCCGTTAACGAGTACCACCCGCCAATCGTCGGTAGCAAACCCTCACGCCCCGACGCCCTCAAGTGGATGCTGCAACCGCCCCCACCGGCAAAGCTCATGGAAGGTCGAGTACCCGTTACGAGGACCCAAAGCACCAGCACCGTCGGAAGCAGGAGGACAATGGCCTCTGAAGACACTCCCTTGGATAGACTCGTCCGGCAGAAGGCCCTCGAGAAGAAGCTGCGACGACAAGGAGACAAGTCACGGGAAGAGACTCCTTCGGAATCGGAACTGATCGACTCGCTTATCGGATCGAGAACAAGATCTAGAAAGTCAACGGTCTCTAGCAAGGGCGGGGTCAACCGTAGCCGGAGCCTCTCGCTGGAGTCTGAAGTATCATCAGACGGCGAGTTGGTAGAAAGGCGGCGAAGAGCCCGTGCAAGACGCATTCCCATCACGCCGGAGGAGACGTCATCGGACGAGGACGACTACATGCAACAGCGCACATGGGACTCGCTGGGACGCGCGAGCCCTCCCCGAAGGCCAAAGCTGGAAACGATTAGCAGCTCCCGGTCGAACAGGCAGGCATTGAAGGCACGTCCTAACGGCACCAAGCCTGATGCCGCGCCAAAGGACACCTCCGACATTACACCTAAAGCGTCGGCCAACCCTATTATTCTCAAGGCTGACGAAAACGAAAACATGCCTACCACACCGGCAACAGTATCATAAGGAGTCCTGAGGACTCGTCTCACAACACTTTCTTTCTTCTGGCTCCGTCCTCATTGCCCCCATCGGGGTCATCTACTGCATTATTACAACTAGGGTGGCATAGCGTTCAGGCAATGGTGCATTTGCATTACCGGGGTTTGGATTGGCATCGGCGTTCAGACGTGCGCAAAAAGCAGCAGCGGCATATGGAACTTTGGTTTTTTCAAAAGGAGGGTCTGGTTGGTTTTCGCTTTTCAAGGGACGACGACACCTACATTCAAGTCAGACCCTTTCTCCTTTTCAAAATTTTCTTTCACTTTGACACTTGGCTACGCACATACTTGCGGTTATGAGCCTCCACTGTTCTTTTTTTCCTTCCCTTTGTGATGGCATGCTAGAAAGCAAATAGGAATATGAGGGTATTATCTCTTTCCGACTCCCCGCCGGTTTTGTGTTGCCAACTCCGGCGTCTCCCAACCGTACCAACTCCGCTTTTAACCGTGACATGTGAGATTTGAAGGTTTAGAGATGCATTCCACCGTCATCCTCCTCGTCGTCCTGACCGAGACCCCTCATCCGCTCCTCCATCGCCCGACGCAGCTCCTCATCCGTCAACCGACCTCCCGTACCATTAGCCCGCGCGCCGTTCGCCCGCTGACCAGCCTGCGCATCAAGCTGAATCTCGCCGTTGCGTATCGTGCCCGTCTGGAACGTCCCATCCAACCATGCAGGATGCCGCTCAGCAGCCTCACCACCATTCGCAACCCTGTCCTCCTCCTCCCTCGCCGCCCCCAACCCGTTCGTCGTAGTCGTCGTCGTCGCCGTCGTCGTGCCGTTGACGCCTCCACTCCGCTGCTCCGCCTCGGCCTCGACCTCGTCCTTGCTCTTGAACTCGTCCCAGCCGTGGCCCCTGCCCTCGACCTCGGCGCGGATGATGTCGACGCGCTCCCGCATGCGGGCGACGACGGCGTCGTTCTCGCGGATGGCCTCGACGCAGTCCGGGTCCGGGCGTCCCGCGGCGGCGTCGGCGGCGTCGAGGGTCGTCGCGGCGCCCTCGGCGTAGGGGCGGAGCTGCGCGTTGGAGTACTCCAGGTGCAGGATCGAGTTGCGGATCTCGAGGACCTTGAGGTGCAGGGTCGGGAGGGAGAGGTCTTTCAGGGCGGCGGCGAAGCGGGTGGGGGATATTGGGGCCGTGTCGGCGGACATGTTTGTGGTTGTGAGGGTGAGGATGGTTTTGGTTTGTTTGATTTGTTTCCTTGGGTTTTGGCGAGTGGTGGAGGATGTGTCGCTGGTGAAGGCAGGCGCGATCGGGGAACTCGGCGATCAGTCGTGCAAAGTGTTGAAATCACCTCGGTTCTGAATCTTGTTTTCTCAAGGTGGTAGATGTAGTGAGGTAGGTAGGTAGGTTGGAGGTTCAGCTTGCCAAACGGCGGGGTGAAAGGTTCAGGTTCCCAGTGGACGGTTCCTGCGGTGGGGGTTGACGTACCTAGGTGCAGGGGTGGAGGAGATCGCAATTGGGCACGGCGTGGCGTTAACTGCACCAACGGCGATTACCTACGCACCTCTGCGGCCAGCAAAAGTCGACATTAAGCGCACGCCAGGGCGCAGTCCGGAACACGACCTCCGCCGAACCGCGGGCGGCCCCGATTCCGTCACTCAAAGAATTTCTGAATCGATTGAAGGCCGTCCCAAAAGCCACCGACATCGAACCACCACCGAACGGCCGAATCGCGAGCTTTTCTTCCCCGGGAAGAATCCTCCAGTCCTCCGATTGCTCCCCGAGCAGAAGAAGGTAGACATCCGACTAACCGGCGCCGGCGCATTGAGGGCTGCGACTCTCGGTGCGCTGCGAACGAGCCCGGTTCACCCCCCCGCCGCCGAGGAGCCATGAACACCTCACTCGCCCTCGTCCCCTCGCGATCCCTCCTGCAACTCGGCCTGCGCGCCGCGTGCCGCCGCGTGACGACTTCCGAATCGCTCTCCGGCGCATCCCCCTTCCGATTCATCTCGACCTCTCCTCGAACCACCAGACCGCCGTCATCATGGTCGTCGCCCCTCCGACATAACCTCTGGCCCTCGCCGGCGGCCAGAGCGTTGCAAACCCGACAAGCCTCCTCCTCCTCATCCGAAAGCGTCCTACGAGAATACGAAGACCTCCCGATCGACTACAAAGACAAGGAGGGACTGCCCTTCAGGAAAACCGATCTCGACGCGGCCGAGGCCAGGAAAATCTTCGGCAGCTCCCTCAGACCCCAGGCCGCAAACCGCCTCCTCAGGATCCTCCACGGCCGCCGCGTCGCCGGCACCCTCGACGACCCCGTCTTCACCGTCAACACCGCCTCCTACTCCCCCCAACAACGCGCCGCCGCCCTCGAGTACCTCCGCGAGACCGTCCCCGTCGACGAGGTCCTCAACGCCGGCCTGCGCGCCGAGGACGAGCTCCTGCAGCTCGAGGCCGAGGGCGTCGCGGTCAGCGGCAGCGAGGAATCCTCTGCGGCGACCACAACTCCCGAGAAACCCGCGAAGAACGCCGAAACGGAAGCGGAGGCGAAGCCGGACCCCGTCTACGGATACAGCGTCATGGACGCCATCCGCGCCAAGAACATAGCCAAGAACAAGGCCGAGGAGGAACGTCTCGCGCGCGAGGCTGAACAGAAGGGCCTCGCGGCCCCCGGCACCGTCGCCGCCCTCCCCATCAAGCGCCCGCCCATGACGGCGCGCATGCAGAAGTGGATGGCCGAGGGCGGCTCCGACCTCGAAGCCCCGCCGCCCCTCACCACCGCCGAGCGCATCCTCCCCTCCGCCGCCGTCGTCGCCCTCCTCGTCGGCGCCCTCGCCGCCCTCGCCATGGTCTACTCACCGCCCCGCGAGGCCGACCGCATGTTCCCCGAGGTGTCCGCCTCGACCGCCACCGTCGGCGCCCTCGTCCTCCTCAACGCCCTCGTCTTCCTCGCCTGGAAGGCGCCCCCGCTCTGGCGCCTCCTCAACACCCACTTCACCCTCGTCCACGGCATGCCGCGCGCCGCCTCGATGCTGACGGCCAACTTCTCCCACCAGGGCCTCTGGCACCTGCTGCCCAACATGGTGGGTCTGTGGTTCGTCGGCACCGCGCTGCACGACGAGGTCGGCCGCGCCGCCTTCCTGGCCATCTACCTCTCCTCGGGCGCCGCGGGCCTGCTCGGCAGCCTGGTCTTCTTCACGCTGCGCGGCGTGCTCACCGTCTCGACGATGGGCGCCTCGGGCGGCGTGTTCGGCGTCGCGACGGCCTATTTCTGGCTGCACCGCTTCGACTCGTTCAAGGTGCTCGGCCTGCCGCCGGACCCGATGAACGGGCCGCAGGGCCTGGGCTTCATCGCGCTGATCCTGGGTGTGCACATCTTCGCCATCTTCCGGCGCGGGAAGCAGACCATCGATCTGGCGTCGCATCTGTGCGGTATGCTCGCGGGCATGATCGGCATCGAGCTCGTCACGGGGAGGAGGGGGGAGGTTGAGAAGTCGAGGGAGGATCTCGTCAAGGACGCGCCTGCGCCTAGCAGCGCAGATGATGTGAAGGCTTAGGTTGGTGATGTATTGTAAAGTATGGTCGGAGCAGAGTTGACGATGATGTTGCTTTTTGGGGTTCGGAGAATTAGACTTGTATACAAATACCACTTTTCTGGCTTTCAATCTTGTTCTTCTGAGCGCTCAGGGGTCCTGAATGTGTGCTACGCGGAGCTGTTGAAAATAAGAGATTCGATGAGCATCATCGTGCTTGTTCGCCGCCGGTCCCCCGGTCCTACCCTCCTGGAGATGACCCAAAGAACAGATCATGCTCTCCCGCTTCAAACGGCGCTGTTATGATCGCCTCGTCATAAGACCTCTAACTTTCCCGTCTCGAAAGATATCTCCGCCATTTGTCTTGGTTGGACTGGCTTCGTCTAGGCTTAGTGAGGGTTCATTCTCGCCATTGGTCCGTCTTGGACCATGTCGAGGAACATCTATGTCATTGATCGACAGATTGAGGGAAACGGAGGTCCCATGTACCATTTTTTTTACATGGAGGCGGTTTCTTACAAGGCACCTTGGGGTCAGTAGTAGCCACTTCCTCGGGCTAGGCAGGTAAGGTATCGTGAGATGCAAATTCGTCCATCCTGCCCCAAGCAAAACATCAGTAACAATAACGAAAAAGTAGACACCACCATAGTCGAACTAAACCAATGGCATCAAAATAGTCGTGATACAAAAACGCATCAAGATAAAAAGATAAAAAGGCAAAAAGCAAAAGGCAAAAAACTTTGTAAGGCCCTCTGCTTGCGTGACAAGCTCGAGATTCGAACGAGCGCCCTTCCCCGAGTAACCACCAGAGCCCTCGCTTGGGATGCATTTCTTTAAGCTGTCGCTTTTACCAACTAGGCCACGCCATCTTGGTTGAACTGGTTGAAAGGGCTTGAGGTGAAAACAATTAAGTACCTTGGGACGGGAGGGTGGTCGAAGGTTGTAAGGCGGCAAGGCAGCAGCCTGGGTTTCGTGGTGAGGAGGGAAGGTGCGTGGCGTGGGTGAACCGGGAAGGAGCCATGGGTGGACGAGGGCTTGTTAACCTCAATGAGGCAGAGCTAAGAGCACAAACTTCCTTCACACCTTGGTGGTGTACGCAAATGGAAATGAAATAGGACTGCGTAGCGTATGGATGAACATCGGAAGCCCGTAACTTTCAGATTACCCCTTTTCTATCCAGGCCACCTCATATGGGCCTCGTCACGCATACCATATATCGGCATTAACACATTTTAGGATCTCATGATCATTATAAAGCTCATACATCAGGTTAAATTGTTACTGAGAATTATCTATTTGTGCCAGTTTACTTGGTTCACCCTGGTGAATTCTTCTTAGGCGCGTCCTCATAGGAATCTATTCGAAGTCTGCTTTCAGAGTTCCGATAAGTTCCTACGAACCCTCGCGTAGCTATTGCCTTAGAGCTTTTGGAACCCTTATGTGTCAGGTTTTCGCTCATCGCCACTGCATGGTGAACCTGAATAAATGACAACCTGACGCAGACGTCATCCGACACTCGTATGAGAATGGACAGACAAGATTGGAAAGTACCTATCAAGAATTATATTAAGAACTTCGCAAAATATCAATGAGCGTTGTCGCATTTCATACATACGGAACTTCCTTTCATGAGCCATTGCAAACAGACACTTCAGTATCTACCTCGATACCTCAGTACCTCAGTAGTTCTTCGTGTTCTTGATAGTAGCGGCTCAAACGACATGAAATCTCAATATGTGCGATGGGGCGGATACTGCTCAACCATCGAATAGCTATTCTGCCCATAAGATGAGGGACAAAGCTATATCGAGTCTTTTCACGCGTACACGAATGTACTCGACAAGAATTTTATAACTCAACAGCGAATACGCAGAAGTAATATTTGCTAGGAAAGATGTTCGGAAAAGAAGGAGAAACCAAAGTGACAACATTATCTTTGCATTGTATGCTGCACAGTTCTTCGCCAGATACTTTCAACACTTCTGAAGTTGAAATCACGAAAGAAACAGTCGGACTATGTTCAGTCTCAACTGTTCCCGATTGTACAATTATGCATCAAGCAAGCCGCCGCCGCCAAAATAACTGTCACCAATGTATATCGACGAAACATTCTTCATTCGCCGAATCCTCCCATATAGGCTTTCCACTGCTTCAGCTTCCATGTCCCAAACGCAAAGTTTTCAGGATGATCAAAGAAAAACATCACGGCGAGCATAATGAATCAGTTGCGTGGTCATGACACAACATGCATAAATCTGACTAGGTCCCCTGTGACGCCCGCAGAGTACTCCTCACGCTATCCATAGCTATCAAGAACCTGGGTCAGCTAGGCTCCATCTGGAGCATGTCACAGCATGGCCGCCGATCAAGATCTCACATGTCGTCCTGCGGAAGGTGCTCCGAAGCACGTCGCACGAAATCCCGAATCCCACAGACAGATATCCCAGGACAGGTCCATCAACCCGATCCTAAAGGGACACACCGCCGTTTAGGCCGATGTTTTCCCTCTGAAAAGGAAGAAGGAGATTTGTTCGCTACCTCCAGGGGAAATAGACCGACGCATGCCGGTGAAATATTCCCCGGGTCACATCTCACAAAGCGGACCCATCCGGATCTTGTGTCACTCCCTACCTGTGCCTCGGTCCCCACGCTTTGAGTTCAGATCCCGTTTTATCTTGGCGTGGAAAGAAGCAAAGAGCACTTCGTATGTCTCTGAGCTCGTAATTTATCTAGTCAGATCAGATCATGTCGACGGATCAGGTTGTGTTGTAGACGCAACAGACCGGGGATGGAGAGACCACGTTTGACATCCATGTAGGTTTTCTTGCCAGGCGCTTCTAGCCTCATGTATTCCTGGGCCGGTATCTTTAGAGTTTCCGCTAGTCTCTGTCCTCCCTCAAGGATGGTAGCATCGTGAGCTGAGCGGGTTCACAAGATGAAAAGAACAAAGACGGAAACGTCTTTTTCCCCGAGCCCAGCGAGCGGGCCGCGCCGAAACCTTCGTCTCTGCTGGTACATGTACATAATTCATCGACAAAGCCGTTGACTCGGCCGACTCCGTATATCATGTAGTCCTTATTAGTCTCCATTGCATTGCGCCGCCATATGTGCCCAATGTCTCGTGATCTCATGTCTTGACATCAGGCCCCTCCCTGACCATTCCCTGGCGCCAATCCCAATACTGAATGCATCAGCCCAGACCTTTTCGGTCTACTTAGACCCCATAAATGAGTTAGGGCCGCTCACCGAGTTTCCTATTCCATTGATATTCCCCGATGGCATAATCGAATCCCGAAGGGTGGTCCCCGAAATGTCTTTGTAAAGTACGTAAGGGACATGTGAGTTAAGCCTAACATCTCTTTCAGGCAAGTTTCTCCTTCACAGCTCCCTATAGCTCACATGCGAGACATAACCCAGCCCATCATGTCGTGCCATGTCATGTTATGAAGGTGGCAGCGCAGCAGTGATCTAAGCGCGCGAACAGGACGTCTCAGCTACCGGCTTTGTTAGGCAGAATTTCCAAGAACAGAATTTAAAAGACACACCCAGATTGAAGCCTCCAAGATTTCCGAGTCTGGGACAGCTCAAGCCAGCAACGGAGATCCCCGCAGGCTGGTTACGCGTTTGGTCACTAGCCTGCCCACCCCTGAATGTTCTTATCCTCTTGCAACGATCCTTCTCCCCCCTCCTTCTTCGGCCACTGAGATCCCGTTCAAGGAGAGCTGAATGCCAGCGGATGATTCGCGTTTCTTTCAGGGTCGCTATCGGGTTAGTTTACTCGGCAGTCCCACGAGGTCTCTCTTCCACGCCCGAGAGTTTGGCCAAGCTTCTTAGCTCTGTTTTGCGGCAACATTGCCTCGTTCCAGGCCATTGCTGGATCTTTCTTTGGCGCGTGTATTTTACTCCCAAAGCAACCGTAACGCCTGAATAAATCAACACCGCATGTGAGCGTCACCCGTACATAACAGAATCCACTCGCAAGTGACCCTTTCCTTGTCAAGCGGAGTCTGTGCTACCAACCAACACGCCAGTGTTGTCAACGTTTCTCGAGACGCTGGCGGGGAAGGTTCATGGAAATAACCAAAAACCAGATCCATCTCATCCTATACCCGGCCTTCGACTGCTTGACCAGCCCTGGTCATATCAGCCCTGGGAGGCCTGGCGGACAACCCGGAACAGTCTTCCGTGGGATCTTAGATACGCGGGTCTGATCACTCACATACGCAGGCCCGCTCGCGCGAGATCTGTCATTTCCGTGAGTCAAACCTAAGCATATAATGCCCGTTCGTGGCCAGGCTTCCGCAACGGTCTAAGGTGGTCTGACGGACTGCAGCGGAGGTCGCCAAAACCAAGGCCGGCAGTATTTTCACGACTACGCACCTACATCTTCGAATATGTATTAGGTATGCGCTCAAATGGTGGCCCAGATAAGAGGAAGATCGGGTGTTGTAAGCTGAATAGTGCAGTAGCTGCCAAGTTGCGGAGTAAGAGATGACACCCACGAAGACACGCCTCCGTGCCTTGGGCCGTCATGCGATTCACGGTCACCTTTGCTCGCACGACCATCAGTATGCAACATTTCAGCTCCATTCTGCCACCTACTCCCTGTATCTACATGTACTGCATGAGACGTTCGAAAAGAAACCCCAGATAATCAAGTACGACGCCGTTGTCGACCAACCAGACCGTCCCGGTGCCTCACCGGTGTGACTAACGACGCAGGCCAGACTGGCATTACACCATCATCAGCACGTCAGATATCCCTGCTGCTGGTCCGGTTTGGAAATAAGAAAAGAAGAGCTATCCCCTGGTTCAACCGTTGACCGTTGCTGCGTCTCGGCCTTATACATTGACCCTCCACTTCCACGTCTTGCCCAAGCACAACCACCGGACGAAACAACAGCTCACTAGAGACAGAAAGAGAATGGCCGCCAGGAAAGCGACGGTCAAGCGGGTACGACCGTGCTGGCCGTCGCCCAAAACGGCCTGGCTCGCTGGGTTGCCGATCAAGGTCGCCAGGCTCACCACGGCGTAGCAGCAGCCGATGTAAGTGCCGTTGTCCTGGACGTCGCAGAGCCTTCCGAGACATGTGGCAGCAGTCGAGACGAAGCTGCCCGTGCCAAATCCCAGGAGGAACGCAACCGTGTAAAGGACGGGAGCCGACGTACTGCCAAAGGGAAGCCACAGGGAGAGCATAGTCAGCTCTGTGATGATTGTCATCATGATAGTCACGTTGAAAGGACCCATCCTATCTGTCAAGTATCCCGGAATCACTCTCCCCAGAGTAGAACCGCTACGAGCATCGCGGTCAAGATCTGAACATGAGGGGTTGGTGGCGGGGTAGACTTACACGCTGAATACCAACATCAGGTAGAAGACGTCCCCGAGATTGACTATGCTGGAAAATGTAGGCAGCAGACCCCAGGCCACGAATAGGACAAGCTCGAAACCTATCGACAGCATGCATCAGGACACAAGATGGTACAGAGGTTGAGACGGGAGGTACATACCACACACGCTCAGGGTAAAAAGCAAGAACTTCCAGCGGCGGAAGCAAGAAAAGTCCCACAGTTTACCTTCGGAGGGCTTTAGTACCCTGGGCCTGATCATAACGCATCCGATGACGAGAAACACGCAAATGACAACAAGATGGACGAGGCTTGCCTTCATCCAGTTAAGATGTTTCGTAGTAAATCGGAGTAGGACAGAGAAGATCACGCCCCCGACTCCCCCGCCCATGGTGCAGATTCCCATCGCCAGACCCTTCTTCTTGTCGAACCAATGGTTTATGACTGCCAGAGCACTCGTCGTCAATGCGGCTGTGGCCATGATTAGATCAATCGACATAGCTACTAGATCTGACTGGGAAACCTACCGGCACCGACTCCAGCAAAGGAAAAGCAGAGGAAGAACTGCCAGTACTGAGTACAGAACGCTACGCCCAGGAACGATGCGGCATAGAGCGTCGCGGCAGGCGTCAGGATCCATCGAGGGCCATACTTGTCGAACACAGCACCGAAAGGACCACATAGAAGAACCGCAAGGAAGCCGTAGATGGATATGATCCAGGAGATCTCCGTGTTGGACCGGGCAGAAAGCTGGTTGGACTTCCAGATGACTTGGAAGATACCAATGGTCGTCATCAAGCCGAAGGTTGGGATCATGATTGCCGTCGACCCCACAACGACACACCACGCCCTGCAGCCACGATCCACGGGCTCCTGTGAGAGCACGTAGACTTGGTTGCCGTATTGCTGGCGGTGTGCTGTCGACCCTTGGGCTGGGGTTGACAAGGGACGAGTTGAATCCGCATGGCTTACGGTTGTTGTGGTCGTCACCGAAGGTAGCGTTACTAGCCTGCACGAATAGAATGTTAGCCTTCTCGAGACAGTCTATAGAGAAGAGCGGTCGGCGGAGTTGAGAGGATCAGGTGCTTACTCTATCCCTGTTCCCAGGGTGGAAGCAGTCCCTCCGTGAGCACTGGAACACGCAGATTTTGCGGTATCCATGTCTGAGATTCGTGACACCGAGACACAGATGGTGGATGTAGATCGATCTGTGGACGATTATTTACGTTTATTGCTTGGTCAAATTGTACTCGACAGTATTCCTGTACTCTTGACATAGAAAGAGTGTGTGAATGCCGGGTTTCTGTTGACAACGATGGATTTGGGGACAAGCAAGCGAAAACATGGCACATCTACCCTGGACTTTTAAAAGTCTCGACATGCCATGATTATTACGCTCCCCTTTCCCGAGCCTCCTCACCCGAATCTCTTCCTTCCCGAGCCCCCTTTCCCGAGCAAGCATTGCCATGCCGTGCTGTTTGAGGTCCGCACCCTCCAGGAATCAGGCAGGATTATCGCAATGCCATCGGGAGATGCGTGATTGCGTTCCCTCCTGCCATCTGAAGACTCCTGAAAATCTGGCCGCATTTGAGACGGCCGCCCAGAACAAGCCACCACCCTTTAGAAGACCGTGATCTGCTCTGGTCGAATTGGAAAGATTCGACGGGACAAACAAAGCTCTAAAAAGCGGCAGAACATGTCGTTTAAGATGGCGCGGCTAATTACTCTCCACAGTAAGCAAACAATTGAATTGCCATTTTGACACAGTCTCGGCTTGGCCAACGACGAGGGTGTGCCAACCTAGGAGTCGGTGAACGAGACCAACAAAACATCCGTTGGAACTAGGTTCTCAGCCTCGAAAATTTTCGCATGCGCAAAGTGGTGGCGCACGGCGGCGAGGACGATGACCTCCAGAGGTGACTTGGTGGCCTCGGATGGGTTCGCCTGGCGCCAAGTACCTCGGGATGACCTCCAAGGATTTAATGCACGGTCAACCAGGAACTCGGTAACTAATAAGACGTCGACGCTTGTAGTTGGGGTCTTTTTGCTTACCCCGGAAATGTTTGCACCTTCTTCTGGACCAGGGTTCAAGACAAAGGAGACGGGGCCTAGGCGTCATCAACAGGCATGGCATTTCTGGAAGTGGTGTCGTATTGGGAGAAGATGCCCATCCTCTGCCATGGCTGCAGGAAGTTTGTGAGACTCAACCCAAGATCCAACACCGCCTGTAAGGATTGAAGGACGTGGGGTTGGCCTGGGCAAGATCAGAGGATGGGCATCGAAGGGGTTGACAACCATATGGGGCAAGGTAATCCCGACACACCGTTTCTGCAGCTTCTTCTGTAAAAAGTCGTAGCAAACACATACATGAAGCTGTCGACAAGATGGATGGTAACGTACCTTTGCGCCACCAATCTAGGACTGACGAGGAAGTGAGGAGAAGTCGTGAAGAGGGGCTGCGTTGGGCAGGATCAACCACTCGGTTGAGGTGGTCATCCAAGTCGGGCTGCTGAAGGTAAGAGCACGGAGACACATGTTTGCCATTTGGCCCAAACACCGTGTTTGCCTTCCTTGGGTACGGTTGGTCTTCGTTAGTAGACCAGCTCATGATTGGAACCGGGCTCTTGGGAAGTCGTCATGCGTTCAGTCATACTTGCTGCCCATCGAAAGGGGCAAAGGATGGCTCCGCGGGCGTCCTCCTCACACATATCTTGATCATCTCCGCATCAAATCGCCATAGATATCTTGACTCAGTCTTCTCCCAACTCGTTCCACTAGGTTCTGTCTCAGGCGTGTCGACAAAAGCGCTCCGCACCTGCCGCCCAGGAATTGGAGTATCCTCTTTCATTTCTTTTCCAAAACAATCATTGACGGCTTTTCTGTCTGGCAGAAGCCTCTTGAACTGGCTATACGACTACAGCCATACTCTGCGGCTGGAATCAATATGGCCATGGCGTCAAGGAGAATTCCGGTTGCCGCTGCAACTCGGTTTGCTTCAGGTTGGCGTGGGCATGGTGTTCGCAGAATCGCCACCACCTCTCGCTGGAGATCTGCTCAAGCTGCAGTTGCCGAGATGCCTGTCCAACAGACAGTGTTCTCTGAGCCTGTCAGGTCTGTCGAGCCTCTGTCTGCTTTGGCACCGGATCCCGAACCTGTCGACGAATTCTGGCGCAAGATACCCCGTTGGAAGGAGGTGTCAAAGAAGCAATTCCTAAGTCACTCTTGGAGTGTAAGACGACATGCGTCCTTCTTCTGTTGTTTTGTTTTTGAATCTGACCTCTGCCTGTGTTTAGATAAGAAACATCGTTGAAAAGACAAACAGGATGGTCAAATTTCTGGACGAGACACTGCCTGAGGAAATCCCTGCCAGAGGTGGCAATGAGATGGAGCACCGCAATAAACTTATTGAAGACGTCCAGGAGGGCATCAAAGAGGCGACTATGTCTGTACGGCTGATGTGAGTGACTTACAAGACCTATCAGAACTTGACTGACACCGTCCCATGCAGGCCCTACACCCTTAGCCGCATCGACTGGAGCAACCCCCGCAGTGATCCCATCTTCCGCCAGTTCATACCGACCAAATCGATCATGCAGCCTGACCACCCGAAGCTAACGCTCGACTCTTTGGAAGAGGAGGCCGACTCGCCCGTCGAGGGTCTGGTTCACCGGTATCCAGACAAGGCGCTGTTCCTTCGTAAGTGCAATACATCCGGCATTCAGTGTTCACTACAGTACATGAACTTACCATTATATGTAGCTGTTTCTGTCTGTCCGACCTATTGCATATTCTGCACCCGATCTTACGCAGTTGGCGGCGAAACTGATGAAGTAAAACAAAAGAAGTCATTGAAGCCAACACCGGCAAGATGGAAGGCGTGCTTCGAGCACATCGAAGCCACTCCGGAAATTCAAGACATCGTGGTCTCCGGAGGAGATTCCTACTATCTCACACCCCCGCAGATCGTGGCGATTGGGAAGAGACTCATCTCTATACCTCACATCCGCCGGTTCAGGTTTGCCTCCAAGGGCCTCGCTGTTAGTCCAACTCGCATTTTGGATCCTGACGATGAATGGTTTCGTGCAATCGTCACTGTTTCGAACCTAGCTCGCAAAGCCGGCAAGCAGATGGCCCTCCACACACACTTTAACCATCCGAACGAGATATCTTGGGTCACGGAGGAAGCCTGCCAGAAGCTTTTCGAAGCGGCAGTCACGGTGCGGAACCAGTCAGTGCTCCTCAACGGAGTCAATGACGACGTGCCGACCATGGCAAAGTTGATTCGCAAGCTCGCGGACAACAACATCACTCCGGTATGAACAGCTGTGCCTCATGCTTGAAGATAAACTGACCCGATACAGTACTACGTATACCAACACGACATGGTGAGGAAGGCGGAGCACCTGCGGACGCCTTTGCAGACGATTCTCGATATTGAAGCCGCCATTAGGGGGTCGATTGCAGGCTTCATGATGCCGCAGTTCGTCGTCGACCTCCCTGGCGGTGGTGGCAAGCGGTTGGCCAGCACTTTCATGAAGTACGACCGCCAGACGGGTGTATCGACGTACATGGCACCGGCCGTGACGGGTCATGGTGTAGAGGGTCGTAACAAGACAAACAAGGTGTACGAGTACCACGACCCGGTCCTCTCGCTCCCTGGTGGGCAGGCTTGATGAGCTACCTCTGAAGATTTCTTTCAACCCGAGTTTCCGGTGGTGGCTTTCTTCTTCGAACGATTTCCTCGCGTGGTCTGGGCAGGTCTTCCTGATTCCTGCAGGTGGATGGATCTATTTGTGTTCGGGTGTATTTAAAAAGTCGTTCGTTTTCCTGGAATATGCAACGACATTCGCTGTCAAGGCCGTTGAGCTAGTGCCAATATCAAGTACGTGGGCTGGTAACATTCTCGTTAGCTGAGGTCGTAAAGTGATACACAAATGCGTTCCAAAGAAGATTTGGCAGTTTGCCCGATTCTCTCATCACAATTCTTGTGGCGTATGAATGACTGAAGAAGGTCTCTGTTAATGTTCTGGAACTGGTACAGTGTTGAGGGCTCTTGGTGTGGAAAGCGTCATGAGAATCAATCGACTAAACTGCTAGATCCTTTAGAGTATACGACGGCAGCCTACACGCAAGAAGGCCTCTATGACATCGGCTTGTCTATTTGCATGCGGGAACAGTAGGAAACGTCGGAAAAGGCGCGATGTGAGAGGTCGCGAGAGAGAGGACAGTCTGCAGTCATTATATACCACGATAGAAATTGGAATCGACTCGAGCACCTCATATGTCTTGTAAGACAATGTCAACACACCGAATACATACCCATTTCTTTGGCGAGAGCGCTCGAATATTCTCATATCAGCAACGGAATCCTTCATTCTTGTTGAGTTTGGCCAGAGACAGTTTTCCCGAAGGAATGGAAGGAATGCCAAGCGGACTTGTTTGTAAGTCTTGGACGGACACACCGCTGTGCCAGAGCGCTTATTGGCAATTGAACTTCTACAATGTTAATAACGTGAAGATAGATGCTCACCCCGTTAGCTCTCTCTGCGGTTCATCAAACTCGAGCAATGCGGCCGAGAACATGTTACGGATCGAATCCGAACAGCTGGAGACGCAGAGGGGTCGCGATCTTCGTCATGACGTCGACTCGGACGATGACCCAGAATAAGTTCTCCTCTCCGCCGGTGACTGCTAAAATTGGGATCAGAACCAGATAACAAGGTAGAGCCCGGACCCGGAGGGCATTGCCAGACCATGTAACGAAGCTGGCAAGTCGAGGAACAGCCAGATTCGACCTGAGCCCAGCAAACGCGACAGCGCGAGTTTGGTACGGCCCCGCGCTGAGCGAGATTGACAGAGGCCAGCAATCATCTCCCGTTGGCGTGGAAAAGTTCGCGAAGACCCAAGGTCTGCAAAAAGTTGGAAGCGGGCACGTGGACGTCGTATGGACCGTGGAGCCGGGAACCACGAAATGAGATAATTCATCCAACTCTCGCCGGACGCTAACAATTTAGATCCTCGTTCCCAGGAACGCGGTTCCCTTTTCGCTCGACCACACCACATTACTTTCCGCCCCACGGTTCACGCCGGATGGGAAATAAAAATAAATAGCGTACATGACCTACACTACCTTACCTAGGCGACGGAGATATTAGAGTCGCAGTCTATCTGGAACTGCAGGTTGCCCTCTCGGCCCCCCGTCTGGTGTAACCGTTCCCGGAGGACGCCGAGGAAGGCTGCTGGGCGGGCCATTGCTGAGATGAAGTCGAGATTGGCTTTTGGTGAGGTGCACACACACTCTCTCTCCTTTCGAGGGCTCGCCGTGTTGTGCGAGTCGAGACGAGCAGATTCGGGATGATGAAACACACCACGGCACGTCACGTTGTTTGCCTCTGCTGCGCATACCTGCAGCCGTCCGCTTGTGCGGCCGCCTCGTCGGGCTGGTGTTTTGGATATGTCGTTTAACCGCTTTGCCGCAGGACAGCCGCATTGGTGTTCGTACGAACGAGGTGGAGTTTTCTTCCTCGCGGACACACCCACCGGGGAAATGGACCAGTCGCGTGTCTCGCGCTCGACGAAGAGGGCAAGGGAAGGTCCGGTGGCTGCGGCCGTGGCGATCGCCGGCTGCGCTTGGAGGAGCTGCGGGAAGGGCTTGTTCATTGAGTTTTGGGTGTGGAGGAATGGACTACGAGCCATTCGACGACATACTTCGATGTGATTGTGTAAGATTCAATCGTAGCATTTGTACGAGTTTCGATCACGCAGAACTGTGGAAACATGCCGAATTGGTAGGATATTTATCGAAGTTTATCAGAGCAATATTGCGACGGAGCAAGAGGCCGAATGGAACCGCAATCGCCGTATCCCACAGCCGGAACAAGACTCGATTGGGAGAGCTCGCGCACAAGAACTGTGGGCGCGTCCGTTCCGCCCTGACTCGTCCCTCGTCGGCCCCATCGTGTATTGATTGCGCCCGCGTAGCACTGATCTCCGAGAAGCAGCACGGGAGACGGCATGCGTGCGTGTACGACTCGAGTCGTCTCGGTCGATGTTGTTGGCGTTGATCAGTCGTGGCAGAAAGCTCGCCTGAGACGGGGTGTGACATCGCACAAACCTCAGCCCAGCCCAGCCCAGCCCAGTCCAGTGTCAGCCCTCCGTGGCTGGACTTCGCCGATCAAACCTCGTTGACGGGCGAGATCTCAAACATGACAGTCCTTTATTCTTGCCGGTTGGCAAACATCACGGAGGGGCTTCCTTCGACCCGGCGCTGAAGACTGCTTCTGGCAGCGGTCACCGCGATGGTCCTTCGGCCTCGCGGGGGAATGGGTGAAGAGAGGAAAAAAGAAACGAGGATCGGTATGCACGATGCCGGCTGTCACGACATTAACGGAACGGACCCCCCGTGGCGGAGTGAATGGGCAGCCGCCATCGCATCGTGACGAGGGCGGGACGTTTGAAAAGAGTAAGAATGTTTGCTTGCCCCCCTTGCATCCGCTGCAGCAGCAGCATCATCATCATCAGACAACCAACCGGCGTCCTGTCGTCGCCGACTCGTCCGTCCTCGGGCATCCCGTCGGTCGGACGTTTCGAGTCTTTCTTTGTTCTTCGGGGCCCGGGGGGAAACCACCTTCGAATCGGGAGAGGAGGAGAAGCGAGGTCGCCGAGTCGAAAACCTGCGGTGTGCGGCTTGTCTCGAGCGTTGTTGGTTCTGTCTTCACCGCCGACTTCCCCTCGGTGACGACGAGTTTTGGTGGGAACTCAGGGTTTAGAGAGCGGTCAACCGGTCAAACTTCTTCGAGGTTTTCCACAAAGGCAAATATGTCTTCGTTTCTCCTATCCCCCCTCTGGTTCGAGGGGCTAGACAAGGATGTCGTCGACGGGGACGCATGGCAACGGTGAGCTAGTGTTAGTGCGCATACGAAGGCACGATTGGAAGAAATCCGAGGCTCCGGGCATCTCAGTTACATCTCAGTTCCAACTCAGTTTGTATATTCTACTTCGCATCTGTAAAATCTCACCAATTAACAGCAGGAAGATCACCGATGAAACGATGAACATCATGGTGACCTTGCCAGCTGCTTCTCTCTGCGCCGTGGCGGCCGGGCGCATGGGGATCCCCCGTTCTCTGGGGTCTGTAGTGCAGTGGAGTGAAGCTCGAGATGAGACGAGTTGTTGGTGACTTTGCTTGCGCGCGCGGTGTGGATATCGTAGATGCATCGAGCTTTGTGCTCCCAGCCCGGCTTTTCCGCTCTTGTGCGCAGAGTCAGCTTCACGCCGGAGGAGCCAATGCGATGATGATGTTGGGTAAATGTTTGCTCAAATCTAACGGGGAAAAAGAGGGGATGAACTGAGCGCGATTGACTCGTCCTCGGCCGAGGCCAGGCCAGGACCGAACGGGGCTCGAGTCGTGCGGCGGCCCTTTTGATCGGATGACGGGTGTCACTTGTCGCCGACTTTTATCTCGACATCGTGAAAGTCCTCACACGGACGTTTTAGGGGAAAGCGCACTTTCCTCTTTCATGAGCTCTTCAGGGTCTAGGCCTCGAGCCGATTCAGTATTCTCCCTCCCCACTAAGAGAGAGAGAGGAGCTGTGGGATCACCGTAGTGAATGAGGATTTGCGAGGAAAAGACCGGGAAAGCTTGTCGAGGAAGAGAACATCCACACGTGCAAAACCGAATCTGGAGGATAGAAAGGCTTGCATAAAAGCTAATCACGGCCTCCACTGCTTCGGGAATCGGCGTGGTAGCGAGCATGGGGACTGCGGTCGTTGATCCGGAAGTCAATTATGCTATCAGAGTCTCTCGAGCCTTGCGTCCAGTGACAGTATCGGGTATAAGATCAGCGATATAGGGTCCCCTATTCGGAGCGCACAACTCAGGGTCAACGCAAAGCACGAATGAGGCAAGTTCAAGTTGCGACTTGGTCGTCAGTCATCACGACAGGCGTGCTTTCTTTTTGACGGGAAAAGTGGAATGGAAAGCGAATGCCGCCCTTCTGGAAGAAGACGACGAAGCGACGGGGTTGCATCGGATGGAATGTCATCATGTCATGGGCATTTGTGATGAAATTGGGCCCGGGAAGTGTCGTAGTCGCCGTCATGCCGTTCCTTGCCGTTCGTGCTACGCCGCGCCTCCGTCGGGAATCGGAGCAAAAGAGGAAGAATAGGGGCACCGACGCGTGTAAGGCTAACCATCGTGCTCCCGGCTCCTCTGGTCCTCGTCGCGTGCTCTGGAGTAAACTCCGGCGCGTCGGGTGTTTGACTGCAACCTCAATAAACCCCCAAAGCGACACAGATGCCGGACACGAGGGGCGGAAAGTGTCGTGGTGAGGTTCCATTGCATGCCGTCTCCTCCGGGGTGGGAAAGGCACGTTTTTCCTTCGTTTCTTTTTTTGTGTCCCCCCTATCTCACCGGTACCCAATTTGCTTGTTTTTGGGACTCGAAATCTCGCAACTTTCATGCCTCCTATATTGGATGACGGCCCAATTCTGAAGTTGCCAAGCTTACCATCCCGTCGTTCGGTTTTTGGTCGTTGTGTTGCGTGTTGTGATGGTGGTCGCCGAGACTTACATGCGGGCTGGGACCACGGGATACTCTCTGCGGTAATATGCCCGCGATGTGCGGCCGCAAGAAGCAACGCGATGACAGAGTGCTGACGAGAGACGTTCAAAGAAATTTGGCTGTATCTTCTTGCTCCTCTTCCTCTGCTGACATGGCTCAGAATTCAGATTGACAGGTTCCAGACCGGGGGCGATTATCTGTCTGTACGGATACCTACCCGCCCGTCATTACTATCAGCGAGTCAACGAGTTCACGGAACGAGTGCGAAGAGAGGTTCGGGGACATTGCTGACATTGTGGGGGCGGCGGCCCAGAAAGAAGGGGACAGGGGTGAGGGAGGGAGGGCGGGCGCGGAGGAAACGAGATTCTTCTCGCGTGATTCGTCCAGTTCCTGGCCCTGTACGCGCTCTCGATGCAGTGCGTCCGGGTTTGTCTCTCTCTTCTTCGGGCTTCGTCTTCTTCTTGCCTCGTCCTCGCGGGGCGGCGGTTGGTTCAACGTTGCGCAAGGGCTGGCTGGTCCCAGGGTAAATTGCAGGCGTCCTGCCTCGTCGTCGAGGTAGGAATAAACAAAAAAAGAGTTGTGCGTCCGTTCCATGTCAGGTCTGTGTCTTTCTCTCTGTTCAGCTCCTGATCTGTGCTCTGGCGAGCAAAAAAGAAGATGAACATGCTCGCCAACAGCGGTGAAACGAGAGAGAGCTCAGAGAGAAACGTCGACAGGGCCCGGAAAGGCAGTGCTTCTGGTTGGACATGTTCACGTTTAGGGGTCGGCGACTGTGCCCAATGATCTGCCCCCATCGACAAGGGGAGCCTCCAAGTCCCGATGGTTGGGCAATCTTGTTCATTGAGAGACTCTCTCTCGTCCGTTCTCTCGCTTGTTGTAACTTTCCTTGGGGGTGTTTGCCGGGTTTCCGATCCGTCGTGGACCAAGATGAACTACACAAAAAAAGAACGTCCAGGGGAGATGGGGCCAGGTCCTGTCAAGAGAGATTTGCTGGCAGGTTTGGAAATGGAAACTGCCTCACACGCTGGCTTCGTTTTTTTGCTGTGCCGCCGGGGAGGTTCTATGCCGCGGGCGCGGCATTGGGGCTGATGAGGGTGGAATGATTGACATGATTGATATTCAGGCACGACGACGAGACATACTCGCACAAGGGGGGTGACGGGGACGGGGACGGCAGCACAGACTCGCGTGATGGATGCGCGGGTTGTTATTGCTTCTGTCTTGGTGTATCCGTAGACACACACACACACACATCACAGCGAGTTTTGTGTGATTAAATGAGTTCGGCTGGCGGTCTTGACTGCTTTTGGACTCGAGATGGCCAGATACTGGCCCCCAGCGAGACATGAGGTGCATGCTGTGCTACCGGATGGTGTGCGACGAACCGTACCGACCCTCCCTCTTGAGCAAGTTCACACTCCAACGCCTGCAGAACCAGAACCGCTGAAGATATTCTATATATATTTGCTTATATGATTGCGTCGCGTCGTGTGTGTACGGAGAGCGTGTGTGTGTGCACGCATTTGTGCGCGCGCTTGTGTGGTATTGTGTTGTATTGCAGGGCCCCTTTCTGATTCCGTCTTGCATCAGAACGGCGGCTTTTCCGTGAAGGGAGAGACATACATGAGGAAATAAGTATCGCGTATATACATCGTACATGCACGAATAGATGATGCTGGCTGGCCGTTTGGCAATCTTGCCCTTGACACTTCTGTTGCCTCAAGGTACTCTATGTCTATCTGTACGGACATCATCTCCAAGTCATGCCCGAAGTGTTGGTGATCAACATTATCAATACCTTTCTCGAGGACTCATCATCACATCCTCTCACCCCGGCGCAGAGTGACCCCGAAGGAAGCCCTGCCGGTGGATCAGCCCATAACTTTTTCATAGCCTTTTTACACTACTCTATTCGCCTTCCCCTGCCCTTTCTCATCCCATTCGAACCCTGAAGCCGGTGGAGACGGGACCTTTACCAACCGGACCCTCAGGCTCAGCAGCATCGACAGGGCCCTCCCTGTGGCCTCTTGGTCAGCTCAATACCGCATTTGGCAGCACTTGTTGGTGCTGGCGGAGTCACTTCTGGACTCTGGAGTGCCTTGGAGACTGGGAGACTGGGAGACCGGGCCCCCCAAGGCAGCAGGATCCAAGGCGATTGGGGAGGAGGGAACGCGGGTGGATGTCACTGACATCGACCACGACCACGGTGTCGTCTTGGCCGGCAGCGGAGCAGCAAGAGGAAGCAAGCTGGACTTGGAGGAGGAGCGGCGGAGAAGAGCCAATGTCAGCGTCGATGTCAATGATGGACGCCGCCGTCGCTGCGCTGGCGCGCGTAGGAGGTGTGATGGGCGCGCTGCCGTGGACCCCATCACCGCTGGCACCGTCGAGTCGTAGGCGAGAGCGCAGGCGTGGACAGGGGGAGAAGGAGAAGCTGCAGGTCGAGCTCCAGCTCCAGCTCCAGCGCCAGGGACAATACCACCGCCAACCTCGGGGACCCTGGACGGCGGCAACGACGGCGGTGGACCGGCATGAGCTCATAAGTTTCCTCGACGACGCGGACGCGGACGACCTCTACCTGTCCTGTCCTCCCGTTGCTGATAATAACGTCCCTCTCACCACATGTTCGTCCGTCTTGATCATTGACACCGACACGGATGAAGAAGAAGAAGACGACAACGACGACAAGTACTACGATAACGACGACGACAACACCAAAGACGACGTCGACTACACAGCCACCACCACTAACGAATCATTCCCCCGATACCCGTCCTTTTACTCGTCTGCGCGGTCCAGCTTGGAGTCGACGGACCTGACTACGTGCTCGTCAGCCTCGGCCACCACAACAACGACAACGGTGACAATGGCGCCCTTGTTCCTGATGGGCGGCGGCGTCGGCGCCAAGAACAATGGCAAGACGACAGCGCCGGCCGAGACGACGGCGTCAATCGGGAGGGCCAGCGACGATAGCGTGGACCGGTTCGACGGCCTCTGGGACTATTTGCATCACGGGCTCGACGGCTACAGTTCTCCCGATCTGCGATTGCTGCAGTACCAGGACAAGGAAAAGTCGCCGGCGCAACAGCAACAGCAACAACGAAAACAGCAGCAGCAACAACAACAACATTACCAACAACACTCACACCAACACCAACTCTCGTCATCGTCGACATACCACCAGACGCTCTACGAGTTGCGGCCCGAATCGTCAAGGAGCCACACGCACCCTCACTTCCTCCACCGCACGAGCTCGGAATCCGGGGGAGCGGCGACGACGACAACCACCACCACGGGGACATGGACGCTACGGAAGAGCCACGAGAAGACGAATAGCGGCAGCAGCAAGAAGACCACGGCGACGACCGCATCGACGGCCATGACGACGATCCCGAGCGCGAGGGAGAGGGACAGGGAGAGGGAAACGACGCGGTCGCCGGACGGGAGCGCGGTCGTTGTGCCACCGCCCGTTTCGCCCTCGACGGCATCCTTCGGGGCCGAGATGTCCAAGGAGGAGTTCGAGGCCTTGCCGGAGGCCATTCAGCGAAAGGTGAGCAGCAGTTCTTTTCTTGGATTCTCGATGTCTCTGTCTCTTCATGTTTTACCCTGCGAATTGTCTGAGCTTCATTTCTTCTTGTTCCCTCGATACCGTTCTGTTACTTGATTTTCCATTCTTCTTCTTCCTCGTCTACGATGAACCTCCTCGTCGTCTGAGCCACCATCTGCCGTTCCGATCTCATTCCTTTGAGCGCAAGTGCCGAGTCGTGTTTTCTATTTTAGCGCGGCCCCTGTCAAGAAATCGAGAAACACGCCGTCTGGTGATGTCTTTCATTCTTCTCTTTCTGTCCCTGTCTACCTACCCAGCCCAGCCCAGCATATTCCGTAGCCCGTTTTCCCCGTGGCTTTTTCCATTGGCGTGTTTCCCCCTTGCCAGCCCTGGACAAGGCTGTTCAGGTACACACAGACGATGAAGCCGCATCGGTGAAGTCACGATCAGGAACGAAGAAGCGAGACCCGATGCCCAAGCTATTCTGGCAGTGGTAAGGCAGCTTCAGCTTCAGCTTCAGGGCCTAGAACCCAAGACTGGGGGCCGCGGGCTGCATGTTTGCTGCGGAAAAGGGGCCGCGGCGACATTTCCCAGGTCCCCGGCGAAGCGAATTGGCTGCTGTTTTGGGGGCCAGCTGGACACCTGCAGCTGAGAGAGCAGTGCATTGCAGTGCGGTGTCCACTGAGGACTGAGACATGCTCCCAAGAAGAACGGCCTGCAGTAGCTCCATTTCCCCTTGCCATCGGGCTCACATCACCACCATCTTTTCCGTCCAACCAACACCCTGAACACACACCATCATGCACTCAACCTCTCGATATCACCTTCGTCATCATCCCTCCTGGCCAGTCAGCGTTGGCAGTCTCGTCAGGCACAGGCGCAGGTGCGTCTATGTCGAACCAATGCGAGCGTGCGTCCGTCAGTCTGCAGATGCATATCCATAGCAGCCAGCCGCTGAAGAGACGCGGAGAAAAGACAACAATACACACAGAAATCACCAATTGAAGTGAGGGGCAGACGCGAGGTCGAGAACATGGCATCGAGCTCTCTCCTCTCGCATTGGACGACTCGACTCGACTCGTCACGATGTTGGGAAGATGACTCGCGGAACGGCGAGAACGTCAATAAACAACAACCAACAGCCCGTCAAATCTCGTATCATCCACACTTTCACTTTCACCAATGCCTGCAACCCCCAATCCTAATCCCGCCTCTCACTCGTCCTCGTCCCAACACACCGTCACGCTTTCTCGGCTTGATATTGCTGCTGCTCTCTTTTGATTGTCGAGACACTTGCCGGGCCAGGCAGTTCGGTCCACAACTTCTATCACGGCCAGTTCCCGTCCCGTTCGAACCAGGCGACTTGTCTCACTGTCAAGTCTTTGCAGACCGGGGCCGAAGATCCGTCGTCATGTCTCTCCTCTTTTCCAACCCGCGCGTCATTCCCTTCCCATTCCATAACGGTTCCCTTTCCATCACGATGGACCGACCGAATTGCAAAGACGGGCCATCCCAATTAACACACTTCCCACATTCCATGGAACCCCCCGGGCCGCCAAGTGGTGCCGCTGGCTAAAACGGAGCCGTCGAGCATCGAGCTAGACCGCTTGCGATGTTGGTGCCTCTGGTGCGGCGTCGTCTCGCAGGCTATTTCCCACCCCAACATCCAAAATGGACCATGGTGTCGTGTCTCTGTCTGTTCGCCGCGTTGCTGGTCGCCTTTCACAATGCGCGCCTGCATCAGCAAGCTGCACTCGCACTGACGCCGGCCCTGCTGCCTCTGCACTGACCTGACTTGACGTGTCTCCTCTTCGGCTCGCCCTTTTCTGAGCACCGTTACCTCCTGTCTCAATTCATGGGATGGACTGGCTGGAGTTTCCCGTCAAAGTCATGGTTCATGGTCATGGTTCATGGTCCATGGATCAACGGCCTGTCCCCAGTCCAGAGTGGAAAGAAATGTACCCTTTCTTCTACCCTAGTACCTTTCTCCAATCTCCAATGGGCCGGCTTTTGGCTGAACTGGCTGAATTAAGGCTTGAACCCCAACCCCGAGCTTCACACTCGTCCCGAAGTCGCTCAGCTCCAGTCATTGTTTGCTGATCTCCATGTCTCGTTGGGTGGCTGGCGTGCAAGTGATGCAAGTGCTGCGCTGCTACTGCTGCTGCTAACGAGCTGCGACGCGACTTGGACTGCGGCATCGCTTCCCTTTCCTACCTCACCTTCACCAGAGACCCATCCATCATGCACCTCAGCAGATGCAATGCAGGTCCGCCCCTCCCACACCTACACGACACCACGCAGCACGATACAGGTACGAACGGGCACAGGCACATCCATACGAGTTCCCTGACGCTCTTCCTTCGAGTACCTTACCCGTCCTCCGTTCCATTGGCGAAGTCGTACCCAGTGGTATTATAGCACGGCGCCAGGAATACCTCTCCCGCATCCTTCGCTCCCCTTTCCCTCGTTCCTGCATTAAGACATTGCGTGCCCTCGTTGTTTCTCAACTTCATTCTTGCTCTCTCGCTACCATTCCACCACATGCCTTTGTATCATTGCTAAATCCTTCCTCAGTACTTCAGCTCCCTCGAACGGCTTCATTTCGCCAGCCTCGCACCAGCTCCCCCTCAGACGCCAAACTTCCTCAACCCCTTCTTTGAGCGCCCGGAAACTAGCCCCAACCCCCAGACCCAAACCATTAAGCAACGGCGCAAGGCACGACAGGCCAGGCTCGCCTCCGACCACGTCTCCGACCGGGTCAAGAGACGCAATTCTCGCCGTTCCCGCATCACATCCACCGGGTCTTCTGTTTACGTCCGACTTCCCGACAAGATCAAGAGAAGGCACCTCACCACCGAGGAGCAGCTTGCCTCGTCCCTGAACCGAAGACACGACATCATCCTCGACCCGGCTGATGAGGCCATCTACAAGGTCCGAAGGAGAGCGTCTAGTGTTGTGATTCCGGACGATCTGTGGAGCCCGACGCTGTCAGTCAGGCCTCAGACGATGGAGTCCCAGCCGAGCCAGAGGGAGGTGCCGAAGAAGGCCGTGGCGGCGGAACAAAAGAGGCCGTCACCCAAGAAGCAGACGTCTTTGCCAACTTCACCGCAGAAGAAGAGGGATTCTTTCTACGACAGCTTCCGTTGGCTGGAGGAGGACGACGAGCTGGACCTGCGTCTGCACCTGGACGACTACCATGCCAACCTCAGGGAAGAAGTTCCCGCCCCTTCGAAACAACGCAGGCCGTCGTTCCGCAGGCACCTTTCCATCTCCAAGATACCCTTCGGCCGCACCTCGCTGTCCATGAACCGCCCCGGCACGACACAAGCCATCGCGAGCAGTCCCGGCTCTCCACTCTTCGCCAACGCCCCGAGCAGCCCCCAAGCCACCTCACCGGGACATGGTCGCCGAAGATCCCGCGCCCTGTCTCTCATCACACCGAAGCATAGCCCGCAAGACACCGTTGCCGCATTCGATCCGGAGGCGGCGCACTACCAAGACCCCGAGGCTCGCCTGAAGCTGCGGCTGTACCTCGCTTCACCGCAAAAGTTCGACGAGGCCATCGAATTCGGATTCCCCGCCAAGGAAGCCATGTGCCCAGAAGCGGCGAAGAACGTCAGGGACTCCAAGTTCAGGCGCTCAAAGGCCGCATTGGCAGACGAGCCGGACAACCTGGGCACTTTTCTCGCAGACGATAGGTCGTCCATTTACAGCGAGGATGGTTCTCTCGACTCGGACTCGCCCAAGACGCCTCAGACGATGGAAAATGCCACCGCTCTCCGTCCCCCACCGGTCAAGAGCGACCGAGGCTATTCCCCGGCTCCTCTCTCTCCCAAGCCGTCGAACGAGTTCACTCGGGGACCGGCCGAGACGAGGGAAATGACGATGCGCATGACCCTCACCCGGCCTGACCTGCGGGCTCATGAAGATCAGATCTACGGCTGGCAGCAAAAGTGCTGTCCACCGGGGAGGAAATCGCAGTCGAACGGGCTTCGAGACGAATTCGGCGCGCCCGCTTTCGCCCGCGATGGAACGTCAAAAGAAAGCATTGAGCGTCAGTTCGCGGCCATGGACCAGTGGAACGCTCAGGCCAACGACCGAGGCGTCATGAAGCGTTTTTGGAACAAGGTCCGGCGAGGACCGGCATAGCCCGCAATGATGCACGGAAGGCTTCCTTGGCCATTTGCCATGCTCAGACCCCGAATAATTCGAACTGCAAATTTTACGACGCCCGTTTAGACATCGACAGCGAGATTGCAAGACTCATCAGCATAATGACCCGAGCAGCACCTGTTTCTTTATACCCCCAAAACGAATATGTATACATATTTATTTCATAGTGTTTACTTTTTATTTCCCTCTTGTTTCCCAAGTCATATACTTTCCAAAGCGATTTTCCGTGGGGGCGATGCAGCCAGGAGTTTAGAAGACGGGAGGCGGTTGTAAGTGGCGTAGGGTAGAGGAGGAGGAGTTATCGGAGGAAGATGCAACTGCCGCTGTTTCCGCCTGTCATTTTTATCACAATCACACTCGAAAAGTGATGGACCCGTCTAGAGGGCGGATCATTGCTCAAAGGGGAGAAGGCAGAGGATGGGATGTAGCGTAGCATTGTCAACGGTGTCGCTCCCGGGCGCCTACCGACCAGAGAAGAATTCAAACCAATGCCGCTTCACACGTTTTCGGTATCTGCTTCGCGTGACGTGCCCAAAAGGATTGCAGCTTGTCACGGCTGAAGACGCGTGAGACTTGGTTTCGTTGGATGCTGTGTAATTACTCGACGTGCAGTGTCCAGAAGAAAAGAGTACATACACGAGGTTCATGGCGTTGATGGGCGATGGATCGTCGCAGGATGAGCACCACCCACCACTACCACCGGACACGGCTGCTGGTTGACTGGACCCAGGAACCTGGTTCGGCGTTAAGCCACTCGGACGTCAACGTATCATCTTGCGAAACGAGGTAAATCCTTTCTCCCGGCAGTTAAGTCAGTTGCGTTTCTCACTTCAATCTCACACGTCGACGGTGAACTCGACAGTTTTGGGTGTGATGTGGTTCCTGCCAGGAGCACGGACTCGGTTGGTATCATTCGGGAAGTTTTAGGTGTGGAGACCTATGGTGGTTGGTGATGGGATGGACCCTGGTAGTAGCCGTGGTTCAATTCTGGCGGTTTTGATTAAGAGCAGTGTGTTGGCCTGGCGGCGGCCGCGCTCGGGGCTCCTGGGTTCTTCCGTCACGTTCAGTCGGGTCGCGGAGGGAGGGGGCGGGGCGCTGCTGTGATGGGTGATGATGGGTGTTCGGGAAGGCCGTCTTCCGTGGTTTAGGTCCGTAGGTAGTTCATCGGCAGTCGTTGTGGTATGAATGGTCGTCGCTGTGTGTGATTTCTTGCTTTCTTTTTGTGAGCCGGAGGAGGAGGAGACTATTGGGTAAGGCTGCGGCAGCTTCTCGGCGGGCTAAGTCGGTGCTGTGAAGAGTGACGGTTTGTCCGAGGGATAGGTGATGGGAAACGGGGTTTTGGTTTTGGGTTAGGTTCGGGTTGACTGCGCCGATGTTGGGATGAGGGTTTGTGTCATCGTGCCTGACAGGAACGGGTTTTTCTTATTTTTGGTCTGGCTTTTCGAGGCGCGTGTTGCATGCATGCAGACTTCTTTTTTTTTTTTTTACTTTTCCCTGTGAGTGTTGGGTCTTGGACGCCAGACGCCGAGACATGCTTATCTGCCACGTGCGCCTGCGACGTTTCTTTTTGCCGTTTTTCTACCTCTCACCTGAAGAGACGACGATTCGGTGTGGATCTTACATCCGTAAGAGGAGAGTCCTCTTTGGAACGGGCTCATACGATTTGCGTTCTGTTGTCGCAAATTTCTAGACTGCTAGGTTGTTACGGTATCTTTGTTTGATTTACCTTAGTGTACGGATAGTGTGTCCAAGGCTAGGTCAGGGGACTTTGGTTACTGGTGATCGACGGGCACCTCGCCCATGTGACGAACGGTCTTTTTCGAGATTACGGTGGGGAGTGGGATGTTCCTGCGGTGAGTGATTGAGTTTGCGACGATCATTTGCTTGTTGGTTTATTGGGAAAGGTGCGATGGACCGGATCGGCGGTGGATGCCGGAGGAGACCGAGAGGTGGGGCCCGAGTCCCGGTGCAGACTCGGAGACGGTGTGGGTCTACTGCCCTATTGGGAAATCACAGCACGCCGGACGGACGGGCTTGGGTTTGTTTTCAATGGTTTACGGTGGTTTTAATGGGTGAAGGCGAGGCGGGTGAGGATGGGAGGAGTGTGGTTTGTAGGGTTCACGGTGTTTCCGGGATATCTGCTGAGGGCCGTCGAGAACTCCCCGTACCACACGGGGGCGCTGAGATCGAGGTCATTCATCATTCATATTCTCAGTAAATTCCAATATTACTAGTTTGTATCACGATTTGGCGTGTTTGATGTGATGCTCAGTCGTTATTCCGTTGGGCCGTCGAATCAATTAAGCAGATCACGTGACAACGCGGAAGTGGATCCGAGTGGGTCCGCGTGGCCAATTGTCACGACCAGAAATTTTGAAGAGCTGCATCACTCCTGCGTTGAGACGGACGGCACTCAACCCCCGTCTCCTCACAACGTCATTCAATATATACCCAGTGGCCCGAGATGTTGAGAAACTCCGGTCGCCCCTACGTCTGTTGGCGATGCCTCACGTCCTCGTCCTCGTCCGCCCATGTGGCGGGCGGTTCGAAATTTGCTCCACGGGGTCTCAGTGGCCAATCGTCTAGGGTGAGTCTTTGCCTTGAGACGGAAGTCGGCTTCATGGCTCGAATCATCGCTGACACTCATTCGCAGTTATACACGCGTGACACGCGCGACCAAGGGTCGCAAAGACCACAAAGGCACGGCCAGAAGTCGTTTTTCAGATTTCATGACGGCAACTTCGGGGGCAATCGCGGCGGCGGCCAGCACAAGGGGTCCATGGAACTCTCGGCGTCGGAGCTCTCCATCATCCGCTCTCGCTCCAACATCAGAGAGCGTCTCCGGGCCTGGGAGTCGGAGAATCACATCCCCGCGAGCCGCCTGCTCGGGGACGTCCCGACTCGGGACATTCCCCTCTCCAACTATCTCACCAGGCCAGACCAGCTTCCCGGCTCTACGGAGGCCATGCGAGGCAAAGACAGCCTCGGTAGCCCGGAGAAGAGTCAGGGCAACCGCGCTCTCTACGACGGCGACGAATTGGAGGACTTGCGAGGAGCCACCTCGGCGCTTGTTGCGGGCGATCTGGTGGTGACGAGGTAGGCGCACCTGGCGAGGATGATGTGTGATTGATCGGCTTGCTAACGACGTGCCAGACTCGGACTCAGTCGCTTGCCGATCTTGGCTCTCTGCCTCGGTCGTCACTACGACAGGCAGTACTTCTACATGAGCACCGGTGAGGTCGTCGTCGAGGAGAATCTCCCTACCCTCTTCACCCTCACAAACTTCATCGACCCGGCCAAGTTCCAGCACGTCGTCGACATCATCCCCGACCAGGTCTACACCAACCCGCGCAACGTGCTGTTCCACCGCAAGAACCCCGAGGTCATCGAGAACGTCGCCCTCCTGCAGGGCCAGATGATTAGGTTCCGCGAGGACATGATCTCGTTCTACCAGGCCCACCAGCAGCTCGACAACGCCAGCAGCTTCCTCGCCGATCCCGAGACCCCGCAGTACATGAGCCTGGAGGAGATCGCCGACAAGCTGCTGCCCAGCTACCTCAAGACGAACGACAAGTACCCCCCTCACGCCCTGTACGCCGTCCACAGCGCGCTGCAGCGCGACGAGTGGGGTTTCCGGCCCCTCAGCCAGAGGTGGCACAGGCGCAACTACATCTACGAAATCCGACCCGCCTCTGACATCCGCGTCCTGCGCAAGACCGAGAACCAGGTCCGCGAGCTGATCGAGGGCGCCGCTCTCCGCGAGAACCCGGCGCAGTCCGCCTCGTTGTTGAGCAAGAACAGCCTTGGTTCATTCATCCTGAAAGCGCGGGGAATCATCCAGGCGAGCCGGGCGAACAGAGAGTGGACGCCTCACGGCATGATCGGGCTCAGCAACGAAAAGACGGAGAGTCGCGGCGTGTGGAACAAGTCGGACCAGGACTTCATCCGCTTCATGGAGCTCTGGGCGTGCCACCGCATCGTCCCCAACGCCTCCCAGCTCGAAACCCTCGGGTCTACGATTCTGCGCCTGACGGACATGTACACCGAGTCTGAGTGGCTCGCCCACTGGACGGGCTTCACCTTTCTCCAGGAGATCGGCTGGATTCCCCCTTGGGATATCCCGGCCCGCTATGATTACAAGTTCCCGGGCACCAAGGTCCAGAGGGGAGCCCCGATGAAGCTGCCCCCCGTCGACGTGCAGGGGTCCCTCAGGCAAGACGTCGCCGGCGGCGTCCGGCGCGACTGGGGCGATGCGACCATCTTCTGCGTGGACGCGGAATCGACAGAAGACGTCGACGACGGCTTCTCCATTGAGCCGACCGAGAAGCCCGGCGAGTACTGGATCCATATCCACATCGCCGACCCCGCGTCCTGCATCGACCCCAACTCCGACCTAGCCCGCCGCATCCAGCACACGCCCTCGAGTCTGTACCTGCCCGGGTTTCCCGAGAAGATGCTGCCCGTCGACCTGGAGGAACAATTCTCCCTCGACCCCGGCAGTCCCACCCTGACCTTCAGCGCTAAGGTTAACGAGCTCGGCCAGGTCCTAGACCACAACGTCGAGCCCGGCATCGCCAGGAGAGTCCTCCACGTGCCCAAGAGTGAGGTCGCCGCCGTCCTTCCCGGCCTCCACGAGAAACCCGCCCCCTCCGAATCCTTCTCGGTCGGCACACCCCCCGCGCCCCGCGTCCCCCTCAAAACCATCACCAGGGCATCCGACCTCCCCCAGAAAGACAAGGACGACCTCGTCCTCATCAACCGCCTTTGCAAAGCCCTCGGCCACCGCCGCACGGCAAAGGGCCAGATGCCCGTCTTCCCCTCCAAATTCAAAACCCCCGAGGTATCCCTCCACTCCGTCTCCGCCGTCGGCGACCCGGACGACCTGGGAGCCTCCGTCTCCTGGGCCGGCGACCCCTTCATCCGCATCTCCGACCCCACCCCCTCCGAGACCGAAGACCTCGTCGCGCACCTCATGCACACCGCCGGCGAGGTCGCCGCCACCTGGTGCGCCGCCCGCAAAATCCCCATCCCCTACAGCACCCAGCCCGAGGCCCAGCGCAACCGCGCCGAGCTCGACGCCTTCCGCCGCCAGCACGTCGACCCCCTCATCGCCCAGCGCAAGCCCGTCCCCACAGAGACCATCTTCAAGCTCTACTCCCTCGTCGGCACCACGGAGCTCTCCATCGACCCCTCCCCCTTCTACTCCGTCGGCCTCGACGCCTACTCCAAATCATCCAGCCCCCTCCGCCGCTTCGGCGACCTCCTGGTCCACTGGCAAATCCACGCCGCCCTCGCCCACGAGCGCGCCACAGGCCGCTCCCTCGCCGGCCACGACGCCTCCCACGCCCCCTTCCTCCCCTGGACCCGCGCCGCCCTCGCCCCGGCCCTCCCCATGCTCCAGGCCCAGCAGCGCCAGATCAAGCAGGTCGACAACAAGGACGGGCCCACGCAGTGGACCGCCCAGGCCTTCCTCCGCGCCTGGCGCTTCCGCGAGGCCGACCTCCCGCCGACCTTCACCTTCGTCGTCGACGGCCTCTACCCCTTCGGCCTGCGCGGCCGCCTCGTCAGCTTCTACGAGGTCTTCGCGTCCATCGACATCGTCCGCCTCGACGGCTTCGCCAAGATGGCCGACATCCGCGTCGACGACCTCTTCGAGGTCGAGGTCGTGGACGTCAACGTCGTCACGACCTTTATTGCCGTTCAGCCCCTCAAGAGGCTGGGGTCGCTGCTGAAGCCGGCTGCCAAGAGTGCGTGATGGACCTTGCATGACGATGTGTGTAAAAAAAGGGGGTTATCGGGTGACCTCGTGTAGAAAAAAGGATATTGTACAACACTGTAGATTCTCGTGTGTAGCATAGAAGAACCCGGCAGGTGCCTGGGACAATCACTCAAATCATTCATCACTGTATGTGGACAAGTCTCGACGCGTAAAAGTTGGTATCATATTCGATCATTATCGCAACAAAAGCTAACACCCGTGTTTCCCCCACTATGTCTCTCTTCCGCTAATGCAACAACACCCATTACAGCCCAGCAATAACGCTCTGGATACCCACGCTACTGGCATCGTCACGGCGCTGCACGAAGGCCTTGAAGTCGACCTTGGAGAGCTTGGTCCGGGGACCAGACGGCCCCGCGGCGAGGGTGCGCGACTTCTCCCGGAGAGCCTCCGGGCCGACGATGAAGAGCGACCCGATCTCGGTGAGGAGCTCGGCGGAGGCCTCGACGTCGGCGGCGAGGGACCACTCCTTGATGGTGGAGACGTACTTGGAGAGGTCCTGCGCGACCATGAGGCCGCCGGTGGCGTTGACCTGGAACTTCTTGAAGTGGTCGAACAGCAGGGCGACCACGGCGAGGGCGACCTCGGAGCTCCAGACCTCGAGGTTATGCCCGTCCACGGCCTGGGAGGCGTGGCGCGACACGCGGGAGAGGAATTGGCTGATCTGCAGACAGGTGGGTGTCTGCAGGGAGTCGAGGTCGCCGTCGCGGGGGCGGAAGTCGAATTTCTTCTGGTTGGCGAGGGAGCGCGTGACCCAGTTTGTGACGACGTCGATGGAGCTGCGCATGACGGCATTGGTCTTACGCTCGATGCCGTCAATGGCCGACTTCGTCTGCGAGGACATGCTGCGGCGGACAGTGGTGTTGGACTCGGCCAGCTTGATGAGGACGGTGGTGATGAAGCGCTCCATGATGCTTGTGATGGTGACGGCGGGGCGGATGGAGGGGAGGTAGGTGAGGTCCGGCTCGGTCTTGATGTTCTCCTGCGAACTCGCCGCGTCGAGAGCGGCGTCCAAGGCCGTCTCGACGTAGACGCGGCCCATGGTTGTGAGGAGCAGGTTGAGAAGGACGTTGACGTCCTTGGGGGTCTCGACTTGAGAGCCGAGCTCGAGGGTTCGACGGACCGACTCCGCGAGCCACTTCATCATTCTCTTGGTGTTTGCGACGCTGAGAGCGCCGTCTTCTTCCGAAACCTCCACGTCGTTCTTGTTCTCGTTGTTATCTTGAACTCCGGCAACGCGAAGCATCATAGCCTTCTGTGTGGGCGTAAGTTCAGATGAGTCGAGACGCTCAAGGTAAGCGTCCTTGGCGGATGACAGGAGCTGCGAACTCTGTTGTGCCAGAGACGCCATGAAGCCCGTCGGTGCCTTCTTCCTCTTGGAGTGGTATGTTGTAAACTTGAACAGCAGGGAGTTGTACATTTCCTCGAGGCTCTTTCTCTCGCGATCAATGTACGAGTTGCCCACCAAGTACGGGACGAAAAGTTCCTCCATCTGCTGATCGAGGGTCTGCGAAATTTGTGGCGACGCGGGTTCTGGGTGTTCCGTGAGGCCGTGTGATTTGAGGTCCTCGATGAGACTGCTGATGTATGTCCTTGATGAGTGAAGTGATCTCAGGAAGGCAAGTGACGACACCTCATTGGCCTTGTCCAGCACCATCTCGAGGCGTTGTTGGATGGACTGCTGGAAGACTCTCTGGATAAACTTGATCAAGACGGTTTCGTAGTAAGGGAAAGCTCGCTTGATGATGAACGATTCCTCCTGCATGACAAGCTTGACTTCGTCAACCAGAGACTGCAAGCTTGCTTCGACTCCAGGAGGATCGGAATCTGGGTCGGCAATCTGTTCCCACGTGTCTCCGTCCATCATGACTTCGTCCGATAGTAATTGGTCCCTGTCGATAAAGAACTGGTGCTGGTTGACAAAAGTGGCAATAACGCTGGCGCCGCCGTTGAAGTCGTAAAGCACCTTGGAACACTCCATCATGTCGTCGAAGTTTTGACGTCTGTAGCTGTTGTTGAACTGCTTCAAGAGCTCCTGCTCCAGAGACTCGGAGAACTTTTCCAGCAATTCTCGGGTATTATGCGCGCGACTTGTACCAGTTACGCCGTTGGTGACGCCGTTCCCTCTGAATCCGTTGGCACCGTTCGCCTTGCCCCATGACGCCGGATCTAAGCGCTGGCTGATGCGCATGAGTTGGCGAGAAATGACGGCGCATCGAACCTTGTTCTCGGCACCGCCCTGCCGCTGAATCTCCTCCAAGGACGTCAGTTGCCCCGTCTCGCTGACCTCCAACCAGCACTGGATGAGGAAATTGGCGTCTTGTGCACGTCTTCGTTTCCTGTCCAGTTCCTCAAGCTTCTCTCCGATCTGGACGGCAATATTTCCGCCTGCTTCGTGCCTTGCGCTCCGGTCCCCATTCGTAGCGGGGTTATTCAGGGATAGGTCGAGCGCCTCGAAGGATGCCATGGACTGGTCGAGCTTGCGGCCGAGGGTATCGAGGGTTTGGTCATGTTGGGCTTCGGCTCGTCGCACGTTGGATTGAAGTTCCGATTCCTTCTCCTGGAGTTCCTCAGACAGCGATCCAAGCTGCGAACGAGCATCTGCGGAAACGGTTAGCAGCGAGCTGGCCCATCGGATCGAAGCGTCGTACTTTCGAACGTCCTGATGAGGGGCTTTGGGTCGAAGGCAGGCTGTGAGGGGCCCGAGCGGCGGTTGGCGGGAACGGCGTTTTCGGCGAGGTTGTCGACGAATTCGCGAACGACGAAGTCCTGGTTGGAGAAGTCTTCGAGGGTAAAGCTGGGCCCTTGGGGGAACAGCGACTTGGCCCCGGACGCAGCCCGCTCCATGGTTGCGGTTGGGCAGAAAGTGCTGTAATCTCGTGGGTTTCTTCAAACGGCGTCAATCGGCTACATCATTTTCGTGGATAGAACAGTGTTTGTGGATTATACGCTAGCAACCGGAGCGGTTGTTATGTGAGGTCGTGTAGATGCTGTACCTGATCGTGGATGTGTTTCGGGAGCGCGGTATCCGCGTGGCCGCTGAAGCAGAAGCAGTGACGAACGAGCTGTCCCTTGTGTCCGCTTCAGGTTAGCGTATCCGTCGTCCCAAGTCCTTCCCCCGCCATGCTTGGCCCGTGTGTACTTCTGTAAGTTGCACGTGACACGGTAGTACAGATACCTACCATACCTTACTTGCGAATCGATCTAACAAACTCGCCATCGTCACCCTCAGGACTGATATCTGCAATGTCCAAATGTATGAAATGTCTCTGCACTCGCCTATCGTACTTTGAACAAGATGACAGTTCAAGCAGAAGACATGCGCTATATCAAGACCTGCATCTAAATCAGACGACAACAGGCAACAGTCCGGGGCCAAGTCTATGTACTTAATATGAGTCTTCGCTGTAGACTCATACGGCGGTCCCAGTCTACATGCATGCGTGGGTAATCTCGCCTAGCAGAGGTATATAAGCCATCAAACAGACGGCGTCTTCGATGAAGCTTTGCATTTGACGCAACTTCCCACCTCGGCGCGTATGACTTTTCATGTCAGCCCATTAGCCACCATGTCGTCGTCCCCCGGCCCTCAGTCTGTCAAGAACCCTCTCGTCATCACCAGTCTCCCCCCAGAGCTCGTTATGCGCATCATAGACCTCACACACCCGTCCGACCACGTAAACCTAGCCTACACATGCAAGAAAATCGCCCAATGCTCCAGTGCCGTCCTCCGGTGCCACCGCGAAGCCCACGAAAAACGGCATACGGTCTCGGATCTGCTCCCTGATAGTATCCTCAATCTTCTACGGAGTATCGTCTGGGGAGGCAAGGATGCCATCAGTGCATGGCATACTCGCTTCCTAGAGATATGGGGACCGCGTACAAAATGGGAAGAATGGGTGCCGTTTATGCTCGAGCCGCCTGAGCGGTTCGACCAAGCTGCGTTCCCTTGCAAATTTTCTTTTGATGACGGGGAGGTGGAAGATTACATGCGTCTTCTCGAAGACGAGCTGCATCTGACCCCCGAAGTCCGGTCATCCTGCGAAGAAAGCCTGAGGAGCGGCCAAGATGACGTTCTCAAAGTTCTCGTCATTGCTCTCTGCCCTTACCTGGAGAGCCTGAAATACATCTGGACCAAGAATGACGGCGATGGGTGAGTTCGACGACACGAAGAAGGGATGCTGGGTCCTAATCCATATGTAACAGAGACAGCAGCCTTCACCGACTTGCTGCAGCCATCGCAGCTGGCAAAAAGGAAGGATGCTGGCCGCCGGGCCTTTGGTCTCTGCGCGAAGTCGCCGTCGGCGTGAACTCTGGAACCTGGCTCGACGAAACTCCTGACGAGGTCCGATACTTTCCAGAAACCCTAGCAGAACTTCTCAAGCTTCCCCGGATTGAGTCGATTTACTACCACGGCTTATTCCTTGGGTATGATGGATATGAAGATGAGTATGATAGCCGGCAGATCAGGGAGCGGCGCAGAGGCATGCCGCACCCAGACGATCCAATCTGCGACCTCACACCCGGCTGCTCCTCTGTGGAGCATCTCGTCCTTCACCACTTCGGCGGGGTAGACATGGAAAACTACCTTGAAGCTTTACTGGCTGCCCCTCGCGCCCTGAAGTCTCTCGCCCTTCGCGGGAATGATGGATACGATCCGTGGAGCAACATCCAAGACGTCGTAACGATCGTCCGCGAAAGACACAGCAGCTCGCTCGAGAGCCTGATGATGTACAACGCTAATATGCTACACGGCGGCTTTGGCTGCATGCTGTACAGTCCCGATTGTGTCGGTCTGCAAAACTTCACCAACCTGCGTCATGCGTATGTGGACCACAATGAGCTCACTGAAGCGAGTTTGAGCGTACACGCCGAGGCTTTCACAAATCCAGGGGCACATAGTGATGACGAATGTGAGAAATATCTGGAGCATGTCATCTCGCACTTTCCCAAGTCGATGGAAGTACTGCTACTGGCGGGCTGGCGCGTGCACGAGAACGCCATCGCCACGGAGAGATGCATGATCCGCCTCATTGAATCCAGGAGATATCCGAAACTGAAAGCAATTCATATCCAAGACAACAGTACATGGCGGCCGAGCGAGACGCTGCTCTTCCAGCGGCTCATCGAGGTTGGCCAGCGGTATAACATCGACATCGTGACGGCCAGCGCGGGGAACAGGCAAAGGATCCATCAGATTGACTTCCATGCTCCGCCCGACTACTACGATCTTGCTTCGGGGCCTCACGCTCGGGACAGGGATCACGGCGAATGGGTTTTCAGTCCTTTTTCGGGCCGATGGGAACCCAAAGGCTGTGGGAACTGCGGGAACTGCGAGGAATGTTTTTATGTCTACACCCGAGAAGCGTGGGAGACCCGGGGTGCGGTCGTTGATCGGACTCCTCAGGAGGAGTCCGCCACCGCCAAATGACCATGCTTAGCGGTTGAGCCCTTATAAGGTGTGAGAATACGCAAATACTTCTACTCAATATCATTAGCATTTTCTCATCCACAAAGTTCATGCCAGTACCTCAAAAAGGTGGTGACATTCGGGGGCAATGGCCTCCTCACTCATCTTCGCTGTGTTTAAGCAGCCGAACCACACCACCCTAAGTACAACTTCCTCATCCTCTCGGCCCTTGAAGGCACTTCTCATGCTGAACATCCATAAGATGTTTTAGCCCGAACTATCTGTGAAACAGCAGAGATGAAGACAAACGCCCACGCATTCTAGACAGTTCACGAGCCAGAGACGAAGGTAGCACAAGACAGCCACGTCTGGTGAGACTTCAGCTGGAAGCCAGAAGGACACGACGCCTGGATCGTACACAAGATGCCAAATCAAAAGGTTAAAGGTTTCTATTCATTCTAAGTAAGCCTGGGAATGGTTGATTGATAACGAATCACGCTGGCACTCGCTTCATACCGTGCTCTCGGAAAAGTCTTTGTGGTCTGAGCGGGGAAAATGAAGGCTGTTTATTTCCCCATCACTGTTGGCCAGAAAGGAAGTAGGGACAATCTCAAACTTCGTTTCCGAGATTTGCTACATCACAACCATGACACCTCAACTCATGACGGCGTCGGAATATAGTGTGAAGCTGTAATGTTGAGAATAGGACGTTATGACGGAGGGGCGGATTCTAAGTCTCGCTGGGCTTTACCCTCCCACATTGTTCCTTGTTGATTCATCGACGATTAATCCGAAGCCAGAGCGTCATTCTCGCCCACAAGAGACTAGGTAGGGGCTTAACTGTCTTCCATTCACTGGGGATGGTCAAGCTCAAATACACTAAGCACTAAAGCAGCCACTATGTTATCTACGTTTGTCAGATGCCAGTTGAGCAGAAGAAAGGGCAAAATCATATAGTTATATAAGGCAAAAACTGCTGTTTGAGTTAATAGTCCCATGCCTGTCTACTCTGTTCTATCTGTTGCATGTTGCTGGTTCTCTCAAGCATACACATTCTTGTCTTTTACCAGGCAAGGCATTTAACACAAAGGGAAGACTAGCGAGTGAGGGATGGGTAGGACTGTGAAGACGCACTTAGGATACTAGACACTTGGATATTGGTTGAATATATAAGTTGCCGCGCTTGTTGTGAATGAGGGTCTTAGAAAGACGACCAGTCTTCTTCGGGGTCACCGACTTGGATTGATTTGTGAAGAGACGCAGGCCTAAGAAACAACATCAGCTACCAAGCCATATCCATTAAGTATCAAACCCTAAACTAAGTGGGTTTCTCTCACATTACTATTAATAGCATATTCCAACCCCTAATATTCTAGAGACAGCAGTAGCAGATAGAAGAAGAAGCTTCCTATAGATACCTAAGCAGACTAACAGCTAGAGGAAACGGGTGGGGAAAAGAAGGAACCGGACTTTATAAGTACGCTCATCAAAACAAACCCAACAGCTGTTGCTATTCTTAGATAAGGACAAGCAAGCGGGAATTTATATCAATTCAGCTTTAAACGCTATCCGCACATCAACAATCCCACGTATAACTAACATGCGTAAACTGAGAAAATAAGCGTGCACGTCTTTCTGTGTTACTGCTATGATAAGAGTAGAAGTGACATAAGTTATTAATCCTTCTCAATCTAGTACCTTAACTTTAGAGCCCAATGTCTAAGCTATTTGATGCTAGCTGCTCTCCTTCTCTTTCTCTTTCTCTACAATAGGAATGTCATGTTTTGCTAGCCTCTTGCCCAATAAGGGGTTATTTTAGTGTTTATATTAGCATCAGCGTCTACATCTTCCTCTGCGTCTGTCTTGTGAGCTCCCCCAACAAGCATACACACAGAGTAATGCGTATGTTCTATCTAAATAGCCCAGGGACAGCAGTGCCAGACAGCAGAAAAGACGCATCACAGATAAGAGACTCCTTTACGCGCCCATCACAAGCGCCTCACAGCTGGAAAGAACCATAGTAGACTTTTAAGTCGCTATGTCACAACAGCAGTACGGGGAACAGTAGTAGCCTGTGAGGGGCTCACGTTACATAAAGCTGACATACCTTTATAAGAGTACCAGTCTATAAAAGCTGAACACAGCTCAACATCAGCACCAATAGTCGCCGCGCATGAAACGCAAAAGGAAGCACACTAAAGACATCTCAAGCATTCACAAGGTCCTTAAAAGCCATTAAAAGGACAAATAAGGACTCGCAACTCAGGAGCAGAAGGGCGAGGCCAGTATTGGGAGCCTCATTTACAAAGTCATCCACGTGTGAGCAGGGACTCTAGATCCCCAGTAGAACAGCACTCATAGCAGGTTGATAACCTAGGAAGCTAAAGATCACCATTCTCAGTCTCCTCTTCCCTCATCACTGCCATCATTCATCGCGCGGGTCCTATACACACCAAATACGCAGCGGACGGTAGTCACCAACATCTTCCCTACGGCAGCAACAAGACGCAAGAGCATGTTATCTATATCGCTCTATGCACAAGTGAGACCGGAAGCACAGAGCAGAGCAGAGCAGAGCAGAGCAGAGCAGAGCAGAGCACGCCGATTTCCCAAGGACACAAGCTTGTTGCCGCGCTGGTTCCTAGGGACCTACACAAAGACACGCTTGCTTATCCACCAAGGAACCGCTCTCTTTGAGAACATTAAAGGCTTTCGTGGATCGGTAGGTCTCACAAGCAGTTCAATGACATACGCCATTAACTGGGAGAGGAACCCTTTGACCTCACGTGGCCCTATAGATCACAGCGAGGTATCATCATTCTCTCGCGCCCAGGGGTCTACTAGGCTGTTTGGGGGTTTCCAGCTACAGTAAGTCGGACTCGTGTCAGATTCTGTCAATGAGCGTGAGGAACACTTACTTTATTACAAAGGGCAGCCGTGACGGTAACAGCAAGACAAGAGCATCTGGTCAAGAGGGTGGCTGAGTACCATTCACTAATGAGGCATCAACGAGGTGGTCACAGCGAGGGAGCAGCGCAGTGTTTGTAACTTGGCAAGCCATCGATTGAACAGCCTACAAGCATGATGAAATAATACAGTAATCCACACCCCCCCTTTTCATCTTCATCAGGATTCAAACAACAGTCAACAACCGCCCCTCTCCTCCCTCCACTGTTCCCTTTCCTTCCATGGGCTCCTTCCTCCTTCCTCATCTTCCTTTCCTTCATATCAAATGGGGTCATGTGAGCGCAGCTGAAGAACCACAATACCACACAACAACACCCTGCGATAGAAGGCAAAACCCCTCAACCCCCTTTGGATGTAACAAAAAATTGGTAATTACATTTCAACCAAAAACAAATGCTTGGCTTGTGTGTTTGAGAGTTCTCTGCGATATTGGTATCACGGAAACGACTGACTGCGAAGGGAACGACCTGTCCCGGGTCTCGCTCTAACAAGAATGTACAGAAGAGATGCTTAGAAGGGAATCTGAAAAAGTAAATGAGAATGAAACATGGAGGAAAATTCGGGGAAATGGAGAGAGAAAAAGGGAAACTATGTTCACGAGCGGATGAAGAGAATTACGCCGCCCGAGGGAACAAGCCATGCCTGCGGTCGTACGAAGGTGAGAGTGAGAGCGAGAGTGAGTGAGAGATGGATGTGTAATGGAAATAGTGTGCGCGGCGAGTAGTTAGGTAGGCGATAGGATAGTAAGGGCACGCCGAGTAGGTTTTGGTGTCTACAAGAGACGATGTGATAATATTGGGATGTGTAACGAGTGTTGGACTTTTGAGTGCTCTAAGCCGTCTATGCTGGAATGCAAAGGCCCCCGCCGAAAACGATGCTCCGGAAAGACCTGGGTATAAAATGGGAAGGACGGATCATGATTTTTGGATGTCGTGAAGCGCCATGGCTGAGAGCGGAGCTCGGAGTTGCGCAGGGGCGATTAATGTCTCGTCACCGCCATGACTTCAAGAGAATCGCAGGCTGCAATTAGCGCTGGTTTAGCTTGGCCTTGTTGATCTCGCCGAGGTTCAGCCAGCTCATGTCTGACGATGTTGACGCCATGGCGAGCGGGGGCTGCTGGCTCACACCGCTGGGGTGGCCTTGTTGTGGCCTTGACGGGATGCTCGGCGCCAGAGACGTAGGGTAGAGGCTCTCAGCATAGACACTGCTCGGGGCGCGGTCGGCACCCCAAGGTTTTTTCGAGCCGCCGATGGGGTCCCAGGTATCGCGGACACTTTCGGGAATGCCGCTAGAGTATCCGGATGACGCGTCCGACGTGGGCCGTCGGGGAGACTCAATCTTGGCAGACACTCCGTCCCTGAAGGGGATCTGATTTGAGTAGTCCGAGACAGTTGGGCTGCCCGAGACCACGCGGTTGAGTTCCGGCCGGCCATCGTGCCGAATGGGCGGGACAGTGGACAGATCCTGGGTGATGAGATGGAGAGGAGGGACGGTAGCAGAGTCTTGAGTGATCCGGTTCTTGTTGGAGTAGTGGGAGGTTTCCGAGTCGACGGTGGTTCGCTTTGAGTTACCAAATCCGAGGATGTTGAGGGCACTACCGCCGGACCAGTATCGGTTCCAACCCGAGCTTCTGCGGGTTTCACCAGGGCGGCCGGGGTTTCCGCGAGTAGTCGGCCGGGGCTCGACGGTGTCAGCAGCGAAAGACACACCCTTCTCGTCGCGGGAAGGAGGTGCCAGAGAAGGAACTTCGTTGACCTGGGGCATCGGCTTGCTGATGGTGCTCTTGAAGAAGCTGTTCGAAGAGCCACGCTTGTAGTCGCTGCTTGGTCCGCGAGGAACGTTGTTGGCGCTCGACTTGGTGCCGTTGGCCTTGCCCATGAGAATCGCCATGGAGGAGAATGATCCAGCCGAGTCGGATTGCTGATGCCCGCGGAATCCAGGAGCGGGGCCGAAGTCGTTGCCATAGCCCATAGCGGCCTTCTCATCAGGGAAGCCTCTCTGACCTTGTTCAGGGTTGGGCTGGTTCTTGGCACGGCGTCGTCGCATAATGAAGAGAATCAGTCCAAGGAGAATCATGATTCCAGTGATGGTGCCAAGCACAATACCGAGAATGGCATTGGCACTGACGGGTGCGCCAACAGCGGGCGCAGCCGTCTCGGAGGATGCGGATGATGAGGCGGAAGCAGATGCAGAAGCGGGGGCGGTAATGGCAGAGGAAGCTGAGGACAGCGAGCTCGATGACGACCTCGAAGAAGTGCTGCTTGTCGTTGTTGACGAAGCACTGGTGCTGCTAGTGGTCTCGCTAGTGATGAGCACTGACTGCTCACTGAGCTTCTGGTTTGCATCTTGCCAGCTGTTCTCGCGGGCGTTGAACATGCAAAGAACATCGTCCTTGTTGCCTCCGGCGAAAACAACGAGTCCACTCGAGTCCGAGGCAAGGGCGTAGTTCGCACGAGTTCCCGTAGGCGCCAGAGTGCTGTTGTAGCTAGGCCAGTCGGCCAAAGTCAAAGAAGCGCGCTTCACGATCTCTGCTTCGCCTCGCGTCGTCTTCTTCGATACAGCAGCGGAGTTCGCAACCGGCTGACCAGAAGCATCGAGGAGGACCATGCGCTGAACGTCGTTCGGCGAAGTTGACAGGTCGAATGTGTACAAGCTTTTGCTTCCGTCATCTCCTTGCATCATCATTGCTCTAATTGCCGAGGTGTCCTTCAGAATAGGCTGGGCGAGACTCGCGCCGGAGTCAGTCCAGATGGTGTCGGGGTTGAAAAGCATGACCTTCTGGTTTGCGGTGCTACCTCCAACCATGACTGCCTGGGTGTCGGACCAGGTGAGGACGATCGGGTTCACAACGGGTGGTGCTGTGGAGGAGTACGCGCGGGTATGGTAGGGCGCGGAGGCTCCCACCACGAAAGTCTGTGTCGAGGGGCCGGAGTAGCCATCTTGGCTGCCACCGTAGATGACGATCTGGTCGGTGCCGGGAAGATATGTCGCGCCGTGAAGGAGACGTTCTTGCGTGACCGCGTCTTGCGGTTGAATCGATTCCCACTTGCCCGTCGCGTAGGTGTACTTTTGAAGTCCCCGGTAGTCCGCCGATGTTCCCTTGCCTCCTACAATGTAAAGTCCAGCCTGGGAGGCATCCGTAGGATTTGAACCCACGCAGACACCTCCTGTCACCTTCTCACCCTGGGTCAGAGTCTTCCATTCCGCTCCCTCCTCGAGCGCGAGCGACTGAAATGCGTTTGCAGAGTACGTGTAGAGAACATTGTTGTGGATGACGGAGCAGATGTTGTCCAGAGCGACGGGGGGCTCAGGGAGCGTCATCGTGTCCGTCTGTCGAGATGAGGTTGCGTGAGGTGAGATGAGGTCGTGTGGGAGTGTTGATGATGGATCGTGCACTCTACCATAACATGACGTGGATACCTCTTGCAACAGAAATCGTGGGGAATGAGAGTGGTTCTCGAGTCGAAATGCTAACTTCGTCACGAGATGTCGTCCTGATCAAATAAGGCCAGGCGAGTTCGTTGTCCTAAAGTCCTGGTAAGGGATGCACCCGAGTGAGGGCCGTCGAGGCTTCGAGCCGGAGTCCAATCGTTCGCGATATCGAAGTGAGGTCGTCGAGAGCGGTCCCAAACTTCGCAGGACGTGATGCTGATGATGAGAATCGGAGTGGTCCTGAGGGAACAAGAAACCGCGCTTTCAAGTGTCGTAGACGGGATCGGTTGCCCTGGTCTCGGGTTTGATCTGCAGAACAAAGTTTCCGGTGTTCCTCTTGAGGGCCAGTCCCGGGATAGGAAAGTTGAAGAAATGGCCCGTATGGCTAGACGGGTTGGGAAACAAAAAGATTCTTAGGTCTCCTGAATCCTGAAGGCCTTTGTGTCGCAGGATTTGGGGGTGGCCAAGCGGAGACGTGTTCGTCGTTGGTCGGATTCGTATGTTGGAGGTTGTGTCGTGGGTAGGTCGTATCGCCCCTGGGCTATTACTGTTGCTCGTGTCGGTCGGTCGGTTTTTCGGTGGGAAAATGGGTTGGTGAAGCAAGGACGGGGCGCATAGAGATATGCGTCGAGTATCTTGCGGCGTCACGGAATCGAAGAAAGGCTGACAATGAACGACTCTTGTTTTTCCTTTGCGAGATTCAACGTTCCAGACGATGAGTAGCAATTCCACCTCGAGAGAGCGAAAAATGCACACACGGCACCGGGGGAGAAGAGGGAGAGAGAAAGCAGAGGAGATTCGAGTGAGTGAGTGAGAGAAGGAGAGGCGAAAGGAAGAGTGGTACCTCGTCTGAGAGCAGGCCCACGCCCACGTCCACGTCCAGTCCACGCCGCCTGTGCCTGGGTGGTGCTGCTGCGGTCTGCTTCTGCGTGGATGCTCTTACCAGAGAGGACTAGGAGCCGACCAGGGACAGCCCAAAGTTGCAGGCGAGGAAACACGAGGCAGGGATTTGGGGAATCGTGACTGGGGGTCGCGAGGAACGTCCTGGTTGCTCAGCCGGGGTGGCTTGGACTGATGATTGACGAATCAGACGGTCCAAGAGCCATCAAATTGGGCCAAGGCAGGGTCCCCCAGATGAGCGCCAAAGTAGACGACGGGCCAAGAATACTTGGACGGGTGGTGAGACAATGCGGTGCCGCCAGGTACAGGCCCAAGATGCAGCTACCCTGGGGCTGCATCCTAGTCCAGCACGAGATTGAAAAAGGGGGTGCCGGGGTATCTGGCCTATCAGAGAGTCCAATCTCGCCTGTTCCTGGCCCCCGGTGGACATGTCCTTCGTCGTCTTTTGGTGGCTTTGACGCCGGTCGACAGTTGACTCTGGGCTAACGGTTGAACGGCCAGCAGTCAATCACTGCGATGACAACGGGCGGACCTCTTCTGCTCTAGGCCCAGAAGCGTTACCTTTCGATGTTACCATCCCGCTAGTGCTGCTTCGATGGTGATGTGTATTGCAGTGTAAAAGGAAGCAGAGACGCGCGCCGGTAGAAGAGGTAGAAGAAAGCAAGTCAGCCGTTGCGTCTCGTTCTCTTCTTGTTTCTCACGCCGACCACCGCGTGAGGCTTATCGTGGCTGAAGCTCGTGTCCGGCCAGGTCGTCTGACGGTACGGACAGAGTTCCGCTCTGCATCCAGCACCCAACGGAGAAGGGGCCTAACACCAGACGACCAGAGCGAACGGACGCATCACACCAGACGACGGCTGACTGACAGCAGCGATGGCACTCATAGCGCAATTCCACCCGTTGGTTGTCACGTCGATTGGACCGGTCCCAAGCTGGATGACGGATCTGATGGGAGATGTCGATCCCACGCGTGTGCTTTGTTGCTGATCGCGTTGCTTGCCATGCCTCGAAGGATGCCCGTCGCCTTCTGACGTCGGACCACTCAAGTAATGAAGCAATCAATCAAATCCACGATCCCCCTCGCAGCAGACAGTCGATTGACGAGACCGCCAGATCCGAATGGTCTATTGGCCAAGGTGCAGTGGTCCAGTCCACAGGCGGATGCCCGCTCCCCGTTCTCGGCCTCAATAAAACAATATCGGGATGCCTGCAGCGGGCCGGCCAAGAAGGGGGGGATCTCTTCTGCACCGGGTACCATTGTAGGCGAGGCGTGGATAGCAAGAGACTGGCGTCATAGTGCACCACGGCTCATCAAAGTTGGACTTGTGCTAGACGATTCCGTGATGATTATCCGTACCGCAGGGCTTTTCGGTGAACGCAATAGGCCGGGTGCTTGTGGAAAGTGAGAAGCCGTGGCCGGGCAGACGGGAGAGCGGCGGTCATTCAGCAGGTCGTAATTTTGCAAATTGGGGAGAGCAATCAAAGATGATGCCTGTCGGACGAGATGATGCGCGACCAGGCGAGGTCAGATTCAGGAATAGCGCGGGAGACGGCCACGCGGTACGGAGTCGGTTTGCGTGCTTTCACCTTTCGGTCGTGGGGCCAAGCCGGTCTCTTCCTGGCCCGACAGTGAGCCTGCCCGTTCTGGTGCTGATTGCTGAGATTGGAATGGGCAAGAAAAATGCAGTGAAGGCAGGGTTTCCATCGTCAGGAGAGGCGCGGAAGCGGTGTCTGGGTGTCTGAGGTGAGAGATGCCAAGATGGAAGTTGCGAAAAAGCGCAGGTGCGAATGCAAACATGCTGGGCGTTTCTCCCCTGCCCTTGGCGCTGGAATTGGATGCAAGTAGGTAGGTACGTACCTCTCCCCTCCAATGGCATTCTTGCTGAAACGCGCTAGGCAAGTGATCCCCCTGCAGGAACCGTCGATGCCCCTGAGCCACTCGAGAGAGCGTGTGGCCCCACCAGCTGATGCTCCCGTCTTTTTTACAGCTGCCAGATCCTCGTTGACACCTGAAATCTTCTGCCTTACTCAGCAACACAGTCAGCTGCAACCTGCAGGAATCAACACCACCGCCTCATTACCAGCTGCAATCTGCACGCTGCACTTCACCTGAAGCTTGCTTGCAGGTGCCAGGACACCATCACTCAATTCGAGGGGAGAAGGTCCTCAACTCGCAGCATGGCGCCCCGGTTCGAAAACTCCTCTTCTCGGCCCCCAGGAGCCGACGAAGTTCCCTTTTTAAGAAACGTCCCTTGCCTTTCTTGAGCGTCCCACTCGCCGCAGCCCGAGCATCCTGCTTCCCTCACTTCAGCTGGTGCAGGCAGGCGAGAATAGGCCTGCACAAGATGCCGGAGGCGTTAGAGAAAGATTGAGGAAGAAGAAGAGAACCACAGATGGCCACTTCTTCAAAGATTCCTTTCCGGTCGGCTCCGGGACATGGCCCCATGTCGTCCTGGAATCCTACCGAACGGCATGATCGGGAAAGGGAAGCCTCGACCGTCTCGGGCTCCAACGCTTGTTACTGACTACGCTCTATTGAGTTCGAGACTTGTCAAAACATTGAAATTCAACCGACCCAAATCTCAGTTTCATCTGTCTAGTTCAAAACCAGTCGTGCCAGTCAGCCAAAGAGGGATGGAACCTGATCGCGATCCCGGCGGCGCCACAACCCGACGCAGTGACATCGACCGGCTCCGAGAAGCCACCACAACCTGACTCCGACACGGATACCAAGAGGGAAAAAAGCACAGGGCGCGCGCCATCTCCATACCATCTCTGAATGTGACCGATGACATCTCACATTCATTGCTCTTCTGGCGCTGCTTCTCTCGATCTGGGGCCTGCCCCTCCCTCTGCTTTTCATACCCGTCCGCGCTTTTCTCCATTCCACTGTACGCGACACAACGAACGTCTGTCCGTTGTGGAACGGAGAGGGGGTCTTCTGGCCAGGCTCGAGAGCAGTCTCTGGTAGCGACGGAACTGACAGGGCGTCGTCGCAACGGTCAAATCGTTGCTCCTTACCCGCTCAGCTCCTTCGAATCCACCGACCTCGTCCGCCGTTGACGAGGCCTCAAAGGAGAGGCCGCGTACCCTATCGCAGGACGCATGGCTGAGCAAGGGGGTCCATCGCCCTCAAGATAAAAAGAGCCTTTCATCAACTTCCAACGGTACCGAGGAAGGGGAAGGGGGCGAACATTCCGCCCCCGAATTACAAAGACATGCCTGTTGCCGGCCTGTGCCGGCGTGGTCAATGACAGGCCCTTCCAAACTGCTTGTCAGCGACTCGGTGTCAACATCAGGGCAATCCTCGCCTTGAGACGGGCTGTGAGCAAACACAGGCCCAACCCTTCCTCGCGACGTCTGATCGCACAATATCCGACGAACTTCCAGAAACGCCTCACCCCGCAACCATTGCGGTTCTCGGACGAGCCGCGGCTGACGTGCGTGGAGGCATAAACCGTCTCAACTCCTCTCCCCGTCGTCCGTCCGTTTAACCTCAAATCTTCGGGGCGCCGTCAGCCCAGTGTCAGCCGCCGCCGGGGCGGGCTTCTAGACAAGACAAGCCCAGACAAGCAATATCAAAGCCCCGTGCGGAACATCCAACCATCCTTCTCTACCAAGACAAAATAAGGAAGGAAAACCCGAGACACGTGTGTTCCGCATCTTCAACGCTCGCAGATGATGGCCACGTCTCGACATCTTTCACTATCCGTACTCAACCTTCCACACCGCAAGATGCACCTCGTCACCCCAATGCTCGCAGTAGAACATTCCCTTGCATCCGCGGCATCAGCGCGCTTCAAAAACAAATGCAGCTTGCGATTCGATTCTAATAAAAGTTTAAACCAAACCCCAAGTCACATTCATCCCCCACCCCGCCGCCACCGCCACATCCAAGACAATATGGTGTGTGTTCGAGGAGGAGGGGTGGGATCTCCCGGCACTGCGCATGACCAAAAACGCATCACCGAAGTCCAATCGGAAAACCGCCCTCTGCCAAACAGGCTCACCTCAGATATATGACAATTCTAGACATACATACGTGAACCGCGGAATCATTTGACCACTGAGATGCGTCTGAATCGTTTCCCGCTGGAAACGCCCTTGGGTCAAAACTACGGTCGTCACTCACCTTGCTTGCTCAGTCGCTGCAACCCACCACACGCAATGAATCGAAGTGACAAACGGGACATTCACACCCCCCCAAAAAACACATGTGATGGATGATCTTCGCGCCCGAAAACCCCAGAATTCCAAAAATAAGCGCCCATCAAACACGCATACGAAATACACACAAACTCCTCTCAACCTACCAGAAAAAAACATCAGTGAACTAGTCATGTAAAAAGTGTCCACGCCAATCACACGTCCCATTCCCTCCATCACAGTCACAATCCGACATCATCGTCACCATCCACCGTCCACCCCGCGCTCGAGACTCTCGACGCCTTCATTAAACTCCGGAGCACTTCACGACCATCCACTGGTCACGGACAAACCAACCGGCCGGTCGTCACCACCCAAAAAGCGGCAATTGATTAAGGTCGATCACCGAATGCAATCCAAACCGCGCGCGCTTGTGAAAATTACACGTCTACGAAGCTGATCTCTATTCCCATGCCGCCGGTTCCCATTGGCTTGCGAGAACGGCCGTTCACTCCATTCAGCCTTACAATAACACAGCGTCTACTACTCTTCAAGACTTGAACTGGACGTCATCGCATCGTGACGAGGAGCGGAATGACGCCCAGCGACCCGACGTCGCATCTCGACTGCCCGTCCATTCCTCGTTGAGGACTTCGGCAGTTTCAACTTGAGTCGCGTTAAATCACACATCACGCAGCACAGCATTTCTTGGCCCGATGTTTTGCGCATCTCGACGACTGATTCGAATTGTACACCACCTCCCATTCCCATGGCTATGCTATCATCAACTCCTCCATACCAAATACACGTCGCTGCCTCTAAGATGCGTTCATCCCGTTCCGATCAAATTTATACACGGTGTCGCCTCGGGGACTGTCCCCATTTCGTCGCCAAGCCGATCTGTTTTTTTGTCTCCCTTCTTCCACCTGGGGTAAATGAATTTTGTTCCTCCGACTCTCCTATGTTCCGAGTCCCGCGCTGTGGCAGAGACCCCTACCCAATATTCTTCAATTCTTCGCTGTGTGGAGATTTTTTTTCTTTCTCTTCTTTCAATACATAATCACCGGGGTGGGCCGGAGGGCCGATGTCGTACTTGAAGCCCCATCGTGATCTTTCCCAATCCATCCATGTTCTCCGATCGCTTCAATAGCGGAAGAGTGGATGAGACGCGCGCAGCATTCTCTAAACGCTGGCGAAGGCTTCCGCTGGTAGTTGAGCCTAGGCGAACTTAGTAAGGGTTGTCGAATGTTCCAGTTTCGGGGGTAGCTTACCTTCTTTTCGTGGAAAACTGCCAAGGCTCTGGCAAAGTCCCATGCAACATCGGACAGACACATCTCCGAGTATTGAGGAGTCATCGTCGTCTGCTTCGATAGTTCCACAATCATTGCCTGGCGTTGCTGCTGGTCCTGGGCGGACGGGGCTTGGTTCTCGGCGACGAACACGTTGGGTAGAGGGTTGAATGCCCTGAGGCAAAGCATGTCGCTCACGACACGAATGGGGTTCGCGCCAGGGCGACCAGGTCCGAGGGCGAATGTGCGAGAGAAGCTCCTGAGTCCTGTCTTGCCTGCCTTGTCGCATTCTTCATATTGACCGTGCACAGAGATGATCATGCCGTCAACGCCGCCGCCAGTCTGGCCCGTTGGATCGGCAAGGCCGGGCAGCAAGTGACAATCCATGATGTACTTGCTGATATCCGCCTTGATGTCAGGGTGTTTTGTTGATGGGAATTCGTTCCACAGGTTCCAAATAGCCTCCCTTCCAGTGATTAACCTAGCAGCTCGGGCGGCTGGTGTTGTGATCTTCTGAAGGTTGCGTGACTGCTTGATGTACGAGGACCAAGGCAATGGCGCCGGCAGGCCCTCCTCGCGAATGGAGTGAGTGTCCACCGCCATCGAGAACTGGCTGTTGTCGTCGTAGTATTTGGCGAGGAGACCTGTTCTGTCGGAGTCGAAACCAACAAAGAACTCCAAGAGGAATGCTTCTCCGATGCCGTTGGCATCGCGGAAGTCAGGCCCGCGCTGGGGAATCGGTTGAGGTCTTCCAGCAGCCTTGATTTGTTCGATTTGTTCGGGCGTCAGTTGCTCGCCGTTCACATTCTGCAGCTTGGGGAAGAACTGCAGCAGCTCCGCCATGACCTTGGGGTCGGCAAGCGGAAGCGGGTTTCCAGTGAGGTACAGGGTCTCCAGCTTGCGAAGTTTCCCCTTCCATCTCGACAGGCCACCGATGGTTTCGATCTGATTCCCGCTGAGGTCGAGGTTCTTGAGATCCGGGAAGGTTTCGGCCAAGTCTTCAACTCGTATGACACTGTCGATGCCGTTGTTGGCAAGACTGATGCTGTGGATGGCATCGATCTTTGCCTGTGGCGTTTTGAACAGGTTATCGCAGATTACCATCATGACCTTGAACAGCTTCTCGGCTCTGTCCTTTGAGTCCAAGATGCCCATCTGAATGAGCCCTTCGTCTTGATTCAGAGCATCGAGCTTCAACAACTTGTTTTCGATGTCGTAACGAAGTGACATGATGTTGGTGACCTTTGACTTTGTTTCCTCGGCCGCAGCGGATGCCTCGTTCGCCTTGGCAAATGAGCCGTCGCTATCGGTAATTTCCAAAGGGGTTCCAGCGAACACAAAAGTGTTGACCTTGAGAATTTCCTCCGCATCCTCCTTGGTTGCCGCAACATTGACCAAATCTCCCCTTAAACTCGACTATAGAAAGTTAGCTGACTTCACAATGGGATCACCTGGCCACAGGAAGGGCATAAGCAGCCGGTATGGGCTGTTTGTCTCTCGCGTCGCGGTGTATCTGGCGTTTCAACGAGTCTGGACCATTCGGCATCCCTATGTAATTCCCCTCGAGCCTCACGTCATCATAACATACCTTCTTGATGACCACTCCCTTTCTTCGGCCGGACAGGGTTGTCGCTTTTCGTTCCAAGAAGGTGAGAAGGTCCCGCAAACCGCCATCATTGTTGCTCGCGGCTTTGCTATCCTTCAAACCCTTGACACTCAGCCAGACAAGAGGACCGTTCTGGGGTCTCTTCTTGGACACCATGTCTGCTCCGTCTCCGGTGTCTAGGTGCCGAGCGATTGCTTGATGCACTTTCGAGCCGGGCTTCGTTGGCGGACCGTTGGATCGTGTCGACCGTTGGGGTCGCGAGTTGTTGGACTCAGACGCGGCTGGTCTGTTGTTTGAGCGACGTGCGCCGCTTGCTCCAGCGCCAGCTCCCATATCGAGATCGCCATCTCTGTCGGTAGTTGATCTACCCCCTCTTCGCTTCTGGATGCCGCCGCCGCCGCGCGACTTTGCACCCGTGGTGGAGTTGCGGGTTTCGCGCGCAGGCTGAGAAGCCATGGCTCGGGGAGCTCGGGGAGGCGCCATTTTAGGATCGGCACGACAGACGAGGAGGCGTGAGCAACAACTGTAGGTATTGAGGTGATGGTCGCTGGAGAGTTGTTGCTTAAAGAGCGACAAATTCGTTTTCGCTGTGTCGAGAGGATAGTGTAGCGATCGTTTTCGGCCGGAGCAATCGAAACGAGGTGGTAGAACGAAGGGATATTGTCGGTGTCGCAACGCGAAAAGCTTCAGTGCACAAAGGCCTCAGGGACCTGGCGCGGACCTCGTGGGTCACAGATAGTGATATTTGCGGCAGAGCCTTGTGTGAACAACAAAGAAGAGTGTTGGAAGGTTTCAAATGCGTTGCTTAGGAAGGCCGCGCTGGTTTGTGCGGTATTGTAGGGGATATGAGGAGAGGAGGTAAACTGACGAGAAGATGTAGACGAAGTAGATGGGTGGTGAAGAAAATCGTCTGTCGCGAAGAGCAAGTGACGTTTGAGTCAGCCCCACCAAGGCTGGCCAGGCAGGAACGCTCAGGTCGCATGCGACCTCCCTCAAAAGGGTTTAGCGTTTTCACGTCGTAGCTTGATGCTCCGGTAACTAGTCGGTTTTCAGGGACCTTCCAGGCAGCCGCAGTGAATTGCGGACAAACAAGAAGGTAAGGAGCCAATGAGAAAATTGAAAGTGTTTGGTCCGAACGAACAAGGTAGGCGTATCATTGGGCTTCACTTAATCACAGAAACTTCCGACAGGAAGCAAAAGGTGCTACAACTGGCGGGCGTGATCTTTACCGCAGTACCAGCCCAGGTAAGGTAGGTAAAGTTTCGGTGTTTACCAAGGTCCCTGGGCTCCACTTTCCCACAAGGAGCTTGCGTCTGGTGACCCTGTCTGCATAACTTTATCGTGATTAAGTAAGCATAAGATCATATGACAAGCCATGTGACCCAGAGATGTGTTCGCGTCAAATCAACGACGCGTCGATAGGACGCGCATCGAGCCTCTGTCCATTACAAGCCTGGGCCCCGCTTCGACCACTACAGCAGATGACGGGAATCTCACGATGATTAAGCCTACATGAATATCTGGATGAATCACCCATACTGGGAAAACCCGAGTCACTTGTGAACATGGATTCCGACAACTATGACGATGACCTGGCCGACGAGGACCTCTTTGAGGCACTCAGCCAGAGCCATGCCGTCCCGTTGAGCTCCGGCCTTCAGACACAGAGTGCAGCGCCCGGAAGAAGTACAACATACAAGGCTTTGTCAGCCTCTATAAATCGAGTCAACACAGGACGCCAATCCTTTCTTCCAGGTCCAAATGCGGGGCGCAAATCTACGGCATCCAATGCAAGCAGTCTTCATGTGAGAAGAGCAAACAGCCTTGCTATAAGGTTCCCGGAAATATTTGTGCTGACACTCACACCAGGCAATCTGCAAGGCCACCTCGAACCGCACTTCCACCAATGAGCTTGATGATTCACCTTCGGATGCCTTCTCTTCCTCGCCAGAGCCAGGGCCGGCTTCCAGACGCACAGTGGGTGCACCGAGGACAGTGAATGGTCTTACTCGCACATCATCGTCAACTTATCGCCAGACCACCCTGCTTGGCGGCACAGTGGAAAATGACGGACCTGCCCCGACTCAGCCGGGCTTTGGCAGGGTCTATCGAGGGGACAAGCCAGAAGAACCACCAGCTCATCACGCTCTCGATCGTGAAGCCATGAAGACGTGGCTTTATCCCACCAACCTCGGAGCTCCGAGAGACTACCAGTTCAGCATCGTTAAGAACGGACTCTTTAACAACACACTTGTCGCCTTGCCCACTGGCCTTGGCAAGACCTTCATTGCCGCAACTGTCATGCTCAACTATTATCGATGGACGAAGGACGCCAAGATTGTGTTTGTCGCCCCTACCAAACCTCTGGTAGCACAACAGGTCGATGCCTGCTTCAATATCGTGGGTATCTCGCGGTCAGCAACGACTCTCCTTACAGGTGACACGTCGCCGGCCCTGCGAGAGGATGAGTGGAAGACCAAGCGAGTGTTTTTCATGACGCCTCAGACTCTCGTCAACGATCTCTCCCACGGTTATGCGGATCCAAAATCGATCGTTCTCATGGTAATCGACGAGGCCCATCGCGCCACGGGCGAATATGCCTACGCAAAAGCTGTTAAGCTCATGCGTCGCTTCAATCCCTATTTTCGGGTTTTGGCCTTGACCGCCACACCTGGCGCCAAAGTCGAGACTGTCCAGGAGGTCATCGACAATCTCGGCATCTCCCACATCGAGATTCGGACGGAGGATTCCATTGATATCCGGCAATACGTACACCAAAGGAACGTCGAGCAAGTTCTCCTCGATCCTTCTGATGAGATGTGCGAGATCAAAGACCTATTCTCAAAGACTTTGAAGCCACTGGTGGACAAACTCTCGCAGCAGAATATCTACTACGGACGAGATCCCATGGCTATTACAACTTTTGGTCTGATTCAGCAGTCGAGGGAATGGTATGCCAATGCCGGGCGGAGGGCCAACCCGGGACTGCAAAACATGATGCGGGCTGTCTTCACCATTCTCCAGAGCATCGCTCATGCGATCAAACTCCTGAACTTCCACGGCATCAGGCCTTTTTACGAAAACCTAAAGGAGTTCCGAAGCGAAGTTGAAGATCAAGGATCAAAAGGATCCAAATACAAAAAGCAAATCATCAACGACGAAAACTTTCAACAGATGATGTCGCAGATCGAGAAATGGCTGCGGATTGATGGCTTCGCGAGTCATCCAAAGCTGACAGAACTCCAAGACAGAATCCTGAACCACTTCATGGACAGCGGCGAGAATTCAGCGACCCGCGTCATTGTGTTCAGCGAATACAGAGACAGTGCCGAGGATATTGTCCGGGTGCTGAATCGTCACAAACCACTCATCAACGCTACAGTCTTCGTTGGCCAGGCAGACTCGAAGCGGTCGGCCGGCATGCAGCAAGCTGAGCAGATCGAAACGATCCAGAAGTTCAAGGACGGCCGATATAATGTCCTGGTGGCGACATCCATCGGCGAGGAGGGTCTCGACATTGGCCAGGTCGACCTCATCGTCTGCTACGACGCGTCTTCCTCCCCCATTCGCATGCTTCAACGAATGGGTAGAACAGGCAGAAAGCGAGCGGGCAACATCATTCTTTTGTTGATGAAAGGCAAGGAAGAGGAAGCGTTTGCCCGATCAAAGGACAACTACGCAGAAATGCAAAAGTTGATCTGCGAGGGGAGCAAGTTCAATTTCCGCCACGATCTCTCGGCGCGAATCGTACCTCGGGATATTCGGCCGGAGGTACTCATGCAACAGATTGAGATTCCCATCGAGAACACACAGAACCCATCATTACCCGAGCCGAAGAGGGGGAGGGCCGCGGCCAAAAAGAAATCGGCCAAGAAATTCCACCTCCCCGACGGAGTCGAGCTGGGGTTCACGAAGGCGTCAGACATCGGCAAGCTCCTGACGGGGGCCAAGAGAGGCCGGCCGCCCAAGGCGCCAGAGCCTACAGAAGCGGACTCCACCGCCGAAGTCCCGCCGCTCAACTCAGTCATGCTCACCGACAGGGAATTGGCTGATCTCGACAGGATATACCGGTCCCTGCCGGCCACCACGGCCAAGATCGAGGAGACCGAAATGCCGAACTTGACATCTTACCCGCTGCTCCAACGGCGGCTGCGGCCGGTGGCCAAAGTCCAGCACAGCCAGCGGACCAAGAAGTTCGTCAAGCTCTGCAAGAAGCTATCCCAGCAACAGGCCACCGCGGACAGGTACATCAAACCCTACGGAGAAGAAGATACGAGCAGATACAAAGAGCTCCCCTTGCCGCCCTTCGCAAGCGATACGGAGGATGACAGGGCGCCAGCCGCAAGGAATAGGTTGCCGCCGACATTGACACTCTCAGATGACGATGAGCCGGAAGACGAACCCCGCCCGAAGAAACGCAAGTCCACCGGCGCCCCAAAGACCAAGACCAAGGCATTCACCACCGCGGCGGCCCTGATCGACGACGAAATGGACAACACCATGGACGAGGAAGAAACCCCCCCTCGACGCGCCCCCAAAAAGGCACCGGCCAGGGGACGCGGCAAGAAGGGGAAGAAGAAGTCAACCCGCGGCGGCATCAACAGCGACGAACTCGGCGACGACTGCCTCAGGGACAGCGACGCCATGGACACGGACGGCTCGGACAGCGGCGGCGACCTCCTCGACTTCGTCGTCTCGGACGACCACCCCATCTCCAGCATACGGCCGGGGTCCTCCGCCCTGCCGTCCAGCCAGACGGCGTCCCCGGAACCGGCCGCGCGCGCGCGGGCGTCCAAGCCGTTCTACGTGCCGACCGAGTTCCCCGATACGCAGGACTCGGTCGATTCGCTGCTGGATGACGACGATATCCTCAGCAGCACGAGGAAACCGGCGGGCGGGGCGCAGGTTGTCGAGTCGGAGCAGGAGGATACTCCCAGGCAGGCCGGCGGGCGGCAGCAGAGGAGGCGACCGGTGTTTGAAAGCGACAGCGACGAGTAAGCTCCACTGATGAGATCTGATCGGGGTCGAAAATGGGACACGAAACGCAACTGTAGGATACATAGCATCACTAAACCAGAGTGATGATCGATCGACCTGATGAATAAATGAACAAATCTTATTGAAATCTACCTGCTCCATCCCCAAACCGTCAACCCAAGTGCAATCCTCCAACGTATCCCGACCCAAAACGCTCACGCCTAAAAAGTCCAAGTCAGCAAAAACTTCCTCAAACTTCAAATCCCATCCAACAACAATAACCCGAAAAAAAAGGGGGACCAGTATCAGAAACCCAAGTTAAAAGCACTACATCCCCACCCCGCCCCCCGCCGCCGCCCTGATTACCCGACCGGAACCCGGGAGGTAGCACATGACGATGCAAACCCCCTCCCGGCAGCGGAAAACCGAGCAGGGCGGTTCTCACGAGGGGCGAAGCCGAAGGAGCCCAGGTTTTTTCGAGGAGAGAGAAACACACAAAGGGTGAAAAGAAAAAGAAACCCCCTTCGCAGCCTTCCTTGAACCCGCCAACTGCCTGCCACAGAGCTCCCAGTGGAGAATGCGATAGGAAGAAGAGCGGTAAGTAGAAGCATTCCGGAGGCCCGTTTCCTTTGCCCAGTGAGTACCTTCTCCCCCTCCCCCAAAAAAACCCTTGGAGTGGCCCGGGGCGTCTCAGACGGCTCTTCCTATTGAGATGAGGGTGATGCGAATTCATCATTTCGGTCCCCTTTTTTTGGTTGTGGTGATCCCATCCGCTCTCGCGAATGGAAAGAGATGAGAAAGTGAGAAAATGGCTTACCTTTGAAAACAACGGTTTCAATCTAATCCGTCACATCCAGCGCGTCGCGTCCGGGTCGTGACGTTCGTCGGGAGAAAGCTTGGAGAAGCTCACGATGGTTGGATGGAGGTTGAGAGTTTGGCAGAGGAAAAATTTCGGCAATGCTTTGTTTTTTAAGAGCTGGCAGAAAGATTGGGCGGCGTGGGCAAGCGAAGCGGGCACTTACCTACCTACCAGCTGGCAAATGTCGGCCCGTCCTGGGTCTCTCAGCTGGCGAGTCCCCACTACAGCTTCGTCCAATCACACGTACGTAATCACGGGGGAAGCAAATGGAACATCTTAGAGGCTCGGGGGGAGCACCTCACCTCACCTCACACCTCACCGAGCTTGCCCGTCAGGTCAGGTCAGTTCCCCCGACGGCGCGGGACGACGACCACCCCGTCCCGTCTCCATCTCCAACTGCAAACAGCACGGAACACAAACGAATATGTCTCAAAAACCGATGAGATTGTCCTATCTACCTATCTAAAACCCCCTCCATCGCGTATATCATTTTAGGAACTTGTCATGTGCATCGTATCCCCCTTGTCCCAGCCGTGTGTCTCGCGGGGAAAGAAACCGGAACTGAGGAACCACCCCCCAAAAATAAAGAGGAATAGCGCGGCGTGTTTCTCTGACGCTGCGGCTTGCGCTTTCGCCGTGAGACTCACGTTTTTTTCCTCCTTCCGTTGCACCACGTCATACCCCTTCCCCAATTCCCGCGGGGACGTTCGACTCGCTGCCGGAGTCCTGTCCCATGTGTTCCTCCGCCCCTTTTCCATGCGTCTCTGACACCCAGAGCAAACGATCCTTCGGTGGGTACGGGGCATTTGGTAATGGCTCACGGTATCCAACCTCATGACATTGCTCAACGGATGCCAAGTAGACAAGAGATTTTTTTTTCTTGTTTTCAGAACTTGCCATATCAAATTTCAACGAGATATGTCTAGAGATCTGCTCCATCCACCCGTGTGCTGACTAGCCAACGACCCTTGTTCTGCTGACCTTTAAGTCACCACACCTCATGCCATACGAGTATCTCTATCGTCAATCTCATACCAATTAGAAATGAGGAAAGAGATGAAACCTAGAACAAGTTGGGTGATTGTCCCGAACCGATTGTACAAAAACGCAGGGGGGAAGGCGGAGCGCCGACCCCCAAGAAGCCAATTTCAAGGCTGACTCCGTACCCAGTCATCAAATCATAAACCAATCCAACACCGTTGTAGTTTTTGTCACACTTACATATAGCCCTTCACGGGCTGTCATCGTATACATCGCACACTCCCCAGCACCACTACTGGGTGGGAAAGGTCTGGAAGTCGATGCTGTTCCAGTCAACGGACTGAAAGGGGTCCTGCGATGTCTGGGAGTAGCCGAGGCCAGCGCTGGGCACCTCACCAAACAGAGGCTCGAACGTCTTGGTGGCGTTGTTGGCCGGGAAGAGCTGGAAGTCATTCCCGTAGAAGTCGTTTCCGCCATTGCCGAAGTTGTCATCGAAGCCCTCGTCAACATCAGCCATCGAGTTTGGCGTATACAGCATGGCATTACCATGGCCAATCGGGGAGATGTGAGGAGCGGTTTGAGCCGGAAGCATTTGCGGCTGGCAAGAGGGAACAGACTGGTACATTGGGAAAGCCATGTTCATCTGCTTGTCGGCGAAGAGGGCACGGTCAGGAGTGGGGAGCTGGGCGTGAGCGGCGTAAATGTCGTCGTTCACGGTGAACTCGGGGCCCTCCTGGTAAGAGTATGGGCCAGTAGACACATCCGTGTTAGGGGTGTTGTGGTCCGAGGGGGAGAGCGACATCTCCAAGTCAAGCTGGTTGTCGAGCGGCTGCTGCATAACTTGGTCGAACTCCTCGTCAGAGATGTATGAAGGGAACTCAATGCCGTCAATGTGAGAAGCGAAGTCGCCAACAGGGCCGATGGAGTGCATAGGGAGCATCGGGTCGTTGAAGTTGAACTGGTTGTCCATCGGCGGGGGAGGAGTGGCAGCGCTGCTGGTGGAGGGTGTGGGCATGTGGTTGAGCTGAGGCGTAGCGTGGGTGACGCTGCCGGCCATGCTGGCAGGCTTCTTGCCGTTGGTCTTGGTGCGGACGTAGGTCCACTGGTGAGCCTTCTCCATGTGTTGTTTGCAGTTGGACTCGCGCTTGGACCTGTACGGGCAAGGCTTGAACAAGCACTCGTACATGGGGGGAGCGGAGGAGTGCTTGTCGTTGTGGTGACGGTCCATCTCCTTCTCGGTGGGCCAGCCATACTCGTGGTACTTGCAAGTAGCCACAGGGCACTTCCAAGGACGCGAGTGAGTCTTCTCATGCTTGGTCAGGTCGCAAGGACGCTTGAACTCCTTGTTGCAGCCGGGCTCGCGGCACTTCTTGGGAGCAAGCTCCTCAGGGCTGGCGTTCTTCTTGCGACGGGCCATGGAGCGCATGATCTCCTCGTCGTCCTCCAGCTGCTGGCTCAAGGAGCGCTTCATCTTGATAGGGGAGTTGGAGTCTTCGAGGTCAACTTCCAAGCCAGTGGCCATGGAGATGGCCTTGCCGTCCTTGCGAATGCGGACGAGCTCTGCAGGGCGTCCGTTCTCGGTGATACCTCCGTACAGCTTGATTTCGTCGGTGCTTGATGACATGTTAGCGTGGAAGAGCGGCGGGCGGGGGAGGGCAGCATACGAGTCGACGTCAATCTCAACGTCTCCCTTCTTGGCGGCGGCAAGTTGGTCTGCGTACTTGTGAAGCTGTTCGACGAGATCGATGAAATAGCCGTTAGTGTAAGGTCGGTCGTTGGGTCGAGTCTGTTCTCGGTCGCTCAGGTATTCCACGGTGGCTTGAATGCAGTGGATCGACGTCAGGCAGAAATCGAGGTACAAGGCGGCGGTCTTGGCCCTCTCCTTCATCAACAATCGATAAGTATAACCCCAAACGCCAGTTTCAGTCAGAGCTTGACTTACCGGTGCCATAAAAATAAGGGTCTTCTCGAGATCCCTCAAGCAAATGATCTCCTTGTCTCTAATGCGTCTAGGAATGTCGAGAACGATGGGCTCAAAGTCCTTCAACGGCTTGGCCTGGAGAGGACGGAGGATGTGCTCGCGAATGCGGTTGACGGCCTTGGAGCTGAGGCCAGCGACGATCTCCTTGGAGGCAGTGGCGACGGCCGACTTGGTGATGGCGGATGCCTTCTTTGATGCGGTGGTCGCAGGTTCTGTCTCGGCGGAAGGGGCGACAGAGGTGCCGAGTCCGCTGTCTGATTCATGGTGTCTCGAGGAGCGGCGGGTTCTGGGGCGCAGAATGCGACGTTCCGCTTCCTTTGACTTTTCCTTTGCCATGGCTGGGTCGACAACGGGAAGGTTGAGGAAGCCTCTAGGGACAGGAAGGCTCTCGTCGCGGAAGGACTTAGCCTTGGGAGAGGCGATGTTAAAGCTGGAGAGGGAGTTCTCGATGTCGGTGATCATCAAGGCGGCGCGACGGCAGTGGGCATTGACGACGTCGTCCAGGTTGGTCTGGGAGCGACGAAGGCTAGGAGGAGCAGCCAAGGCATCGTCTGTTGAAGAGGTAGGACTGGTAGGAGAGTGGAAGGTAGCGCCCTTGCGAAGGGTCATGTTGGTCTTAAGACTAAGGCCGGCAGGAGCCTCCGGGCGAGTCACCGGAGACCTTCGTCGAGGGTTGACGGAGACGGACATGGTGACGGTAATGACACGGGTGTCCAGAACTCTGTCGACAGGTCGAGTGTTAGATCTCTTAAGGGTTCATTCGAGTTGTAGGGCTGAAGAGGACAGAGGACACGGGGTGTGAGTCACGACCGGGATCGCGGTGGTAATGCGATGCAGCGAAGTCCTAAACTCTTGAAGCCAGTCGTCTCCAAGGTTTGGGATTGGTCAATGTGACGATGGTGGCGGCAAGAGTTTGAGACGGGACGAGACGGGGCAGGTCTGGACGAAGCAGATGAAAGGAGAGGGACCCAGTCTTACGTTGTGAAGTGATTATCGGAAGTGATAGTGTCGAGTAGGTATGTCGAGTGTCGGAAGACGGAAGACGGCGGCGAGGCGATTTAAGTCGAGGCCGAAATCAGTCTGCCTGATTTTGGGGTCCGGTCTACAGAATACCGGATAAGACACGGGGGGGATATGCGGCTGTTCGTCCCAGTCGTAACACGCGTCGGCGGAAAAGACGGGGGTGGAAGAGCGCAGAAGGGTGGATTGTGTGGTTTTGTGATGGTTGGAAAAGAGAAGAGGACGACGAGTACAGATGACGGTGTTGGTGTTGGAGGGGAAGAACGGCTGTTTAGTGTGGCGGCCTCAGTAGGACAGGTGCGGGCGGATGTCGAGTCCTGAAAGTCGAGGACGCGAGAGGCGAGGTGAGGAAGAAAGAAGAGATGGTTGAGGACGAGGAGGAGGATTCGGTCGAGGAAAGGATGGCAAAGACTGGGAAGGAGGCGGGAGATGGATGAGATTTGGGGGCGTGAAGGCGTGGAGGAAAACGGCACCAGCAAACCTGACCGTGGTTTGAAGTGAAGGTCAATCGATTGTCGAGGTTGATTAGAAAAGCAGGAGAGACTTGGACCGAAAGTGGACGTGAGCGGACCTGAGAGCGTCCGGGGGGCGTAGGCTGCTGCCTAGAGCCAGCTAGCCAATGAGAGCGTGTTGTGGGTGACGAGTGGAGGCGGAGTCTGGGCTTTGCGGACAGAGAAGGATCAGACCCCTGGTCGCTCCGCACCGCAGGGAACCTAGGGAAGCCCAGCGACGTACCGTACCGCTGAGCACCGCTGAAGTCGGAAAATGCATCGCTGAGAAATGGCGACACACTGGACCTAGAGAGAGTCTCACCCGTTATGCCCACCTGTCGGGTACTACACGCGATCCAAACAGAAGAGACACCGCCAGAGCAGACCCCGCTGTTATCGTCACCGTACCGCTGCAGCCGAATGTCTAAACTGGGCTGCGGTGGACAGCGACATGAGCACAGCCCCCGGAATTCGAGATGGATTAGCAGCGGCTACATTTCGATACCTTACGCCGAAGAGATGAGCAACAGCAGACCTGTTTGCTGGTCGATGTAACGGCCTCAAGTCAATAATAGCTCTTGCCCATACCCATACCCCAGATGCTGGTCTCTTGATCGCTCTTTTTTCTTGCTACGACTTTGATTCGGGACCGAATACCCTCACCAATGTCCCGTTCCGTCCCGTCAGCATCACTCACTCATCACCCCGACTCCGACACTGTATCGTCCGCCCGTGCCGGTTCATCCTGTAGGTCATCGTTGTTGTTGTTTTCGCTGGCGACGTGGACGGGACGCGCACAACACCTGAGGCAGACGAATTCTCCGACTCCTTACTGCTCAGCGCTTCAGACGGTCGACGCAAGCCCCTCACGAAGCATTCCGGAACGGCGCACCGGTTTAACGGCTGCCTTCTCCCGCCGGTTCATGCTCGAATTTGTTTGATGGGTCCATGACGCTGGAGTGAGAAGTGGAAACTGGTCTGGAACCAGGACCAGGCCGGTAGTGTTGGAGAGCACGGGTAGGCTGAAGTACGAGTTGCCATTCAGAGCATGGTTCCATAGCGTGACCCTTGAAATGAGACGGCGAATGGTGATTGAGGCCAATATGTCGCATTTGACTTTGGTTTGGCAACATCCGACAGTGTTTCAAAATTCAACGTTGGTTCTGTTGTTCGCTAGGTTCTCAGAGTAATTGTTGTCCTGCCACGATGGCCTCAGCAAGCCTATCACGCCGCTTATACAGATCGACATGAATATTGTGCAGGGGGCAGATGCTATGTAGCTGCGGATACACTACGACATCATCATCGTCTCAGCACGATGGACAGCACAATCGTAAAAGCACCGCGCAGCAGAATATACAGCACAGCAAAGCTTAGCTACCATTACAGCTTCACCGTTCGTGGCTGAGGCCGCTACCGGTACGGTACGTATCGTATCGTTAGACCGTACCTAGGACTGTAGGGCGGCACTAACAAGTCTTCCTAGGACATGATGGGAAAACATCAGAGACATCCAGGACCAAAAAATCGACGGCCTCATGCACGGTACTTTTAAGAATTACACCTCAATTTGGCCTCGCTCGCTTACCCCCGTCACAATCAGCCCATCAGAACCAAAGTCCCAAATCTGAACCCCGTTTCCATCTCCACCCGCCTGCTCAACTCAGCCTGGTCCATCACCATCCGTGACATGCCACTGGATCGTTTCACTCATCACTCTCCGCCAACCCGGGTCTGTCTCTGACTGTCACTGCCACTCTCGCCAAAACAAAACCCAATTCCGCTCTTTCGTCCCCCAATCCCTCCCGCCCCCAGCTACAACAAGCGGTGCCTTCAGCCTCCTCAAGCGGCCCTCAGGGTTGCAGTGTCGAGGTGTCGCAGTGACAGAGCTGCAGAACACACCCACTTGGTCTCCAATGCCACCCCCTGCCAGTTACCCAACTCGTTCGACTGGTCACTGGAATCATCACCTGGAGTCCTGGATCGTCTTAAACTGGATCCCAATTTTTTTGAGATTTGAGGCTGGACCCAGAAGCACTGCAACTTTGAGCTGGTCATCGAGGATTGAGCGACCGATGTTCCGCATACTGGCCAATCACATCACACCAAGTACGCTCTTCCCAATTCTGCAATCGCTGATTATGATTACCTTATCCATGTGGTCCGTGGCTCTTTCCATCATCCAGCATCCAGGGTCCGTCCGTCCGCGGAGTTTATTGCAAAATCCACCGCTCTCCGTCGACCGCGGCGGCCGACTCTTCTGATGATTCTCAGCAATCAATTCAAGGAGAACCGACATCCCGACTCTGTCGTTCAATGAAGCCCCGACCCACCGCCGATTACATCCGGTCCATCTCGGCATTCTCGTCCGTCAGTCGGTCAGTCAGGAATCAGTCACCCGACCCCGTGATCAACGACAGACATGGGTCGGAACCGCCAGCGGGCGCATTCTCTTTCGCTTCTCGTCCAACAAGAATATTGCATGCTACCTCACTTGCTCACCTACGCGGTACCTAATACGGATACTGCAACAAGTCTGCGATGGCGACACCAAAAGGACCGCTGAACCCTTGAACCCTCCCCGTCCAGTCTGACCAAGCACCTTGTCAAGGTGCCCGTCGACCGGTCTGCTGGTCTCGGTCGGTCGAATGACGTCCCTGAAAGACACCATCGCGGTCCCGATGGAACCGCTTAATTTGGGGGTTGCATCTTAACAGACCCCTCTGGCGTCCCTGCTGCAGCCCTTTACCATCTTTTTGCCGCCGCGGCCTTTTGTTGGTCATTTCGCATGTCCTCAGACGAGAATCGCAAAGATGCGAAGCAGCTGCGTAAGGACGTGGACATGCAGCACCTTGACTCGTCACTCGGCTTGCGTCCGTCGCATCTTGGCGCCCGAGCCGTGACGGCACTGGATTGCGCGGTCGCGCACATCAACATCCATATACGGGACGAGACACCACACGTATTGCCGTCGAGCCAAGCCCTCGTTTCCTGCACGGTACCTTTCTACGCAGGGAAACGACAAAAAAGGTCGCATGAGTATTCGTGCCTTGCCGCTGCATCCTCGCAGGAACACCAACTCAAACGGGCCGTCGCCAGCCAATTGCTCCTCGCCTGCCACTCTACACGCCTCCGCACGTAGGGCTGGTCGTCTGGGTCCGAACCGGTAGCACCAGAAGCAAGAAACTCCAGCCAAGCAGGCTTTCTGACTCAAAATCCGTTCTTCGGGAGGCTTTGAAACATAACTGCAATCGATGACTACTTCGTTTGCGCCGGCGTCCTGTCGCGGGCGTTGGCTTCGTCACCGTCTGTTCCGTCCCTGAACCAGCCGAAGCCCGTACCCGTCATCCCGTATTGGCGTCCTGGGGAGACTTGTGAGTCCTCAAACGCCCAGGACACCCTTCCATTCCACGCCGTCCTGAAGTCGCCAGCGAGCCCACGGCGCATTCCAATTGGTTTACGAAGTCGGTCTTGGGTGAATACGACACATACCTGCGTCTGGTAGGCGGTCACGAATCAACGGTCCCCCGGCCTCCAAGTCTGCCCGGTCGTCAGCCCTACGGGTCACCCTTCTTCCAACCAATCACCTTTGCAGAAATAGAGCAGCCTATCGCGAGTGCCCGCTCTTGCGGTCCAGCTCTTTCTATTCGTAGCTGCCGGCCGCGTTGTATCGCAACAAGGCATCAACATTTCTTGTCTCGATCAAGGTTTTGGGCGGGAACCGCAGTATATTGGGATACGTATCTTGCGTTTTGATTCCTAAAACCCATGCAGACGCGCGCCCGCAGATGTCGGCCCCATCTGATGCAGGAGACCAAAAAATGGGTGACAACCGACTTGGTAAACGAAACCTGTCCATTGACGCGCGGTGTCCAAACGCAACGTGGAGGCCACGAATCTATATCGTCAGGAACCGCTCTTGGCGTATCAAAGACGGCCGAGTTGTCCACTTCTTTATTCTTCTGCCTTGAGCTTGTTTCCGTTAGGGCCCAACTCTCTTTTGGCTATCCCGCAGTTCCCAAACCTTGCATGACAAGTTTCTCACTCCCCCATGTCGTGGAACCCGAGATCCGGGGCTGCACGGGGATTCCCAAGTTGATGGTATTCGTACAAACGCAACTCTAGCCTACCTTAGTTTGCGGATACATACCGCAGGAATCATGTCCAACCCAGTAGACCTACTCATGATCTGCCACTGCCACTGCCACCGCTACTAGTACTCATCTGCCACAGTAGCTCAACCTCGTCAATCAGCTCTTCCACAGGTAAGTCCGGGGTATACGGGGCCGGGCTCATGGTCGGCGCATGCCGCGACGAGCTCGCCGTGCCCGCCGTCGCCGCCGCTGGAGGGTCCCGGCTCCAAGTCTTCTCCACGTCCTCTACCAGGACGCTCATCGGGGGGTTCTGCAAACCCCCAATCGCGCTCCGTCCCGTTCTTCTCGGGGCGTCTTGGTTGTTGCTCTTGCTTCTGTTCTTCGTGAAGTCCTGGTTCTGCTTGACGTTTGAAACTTGAAGAGGTGCAGGCTGAAAGTGAGATGTCGAATCCTGATTCCTGAGCTGCGTCGTACGCGACGACGGGGCGACCACCGGGGCCGGAGGGTCGACGTACGGCACAAAGTCCCGACCAGGCCGTCGCGGGCTCCGCATAGTATCGCCGTCATGTCTTCCCCGGGGCTCTTCGGCCCGGTACGGACGATACGCCCGTTCCGGCGCCTGAATCCTCTCCACGTCCTCCTGCCTATACCCCCTACGGCTCCTCCTCCCGCTCTCCCCGTACCGCTCCGCGTCCCTCATCCGGACGTCCCCCTCTCTCTCCTGTCCACAACTCGGGTCAGCAAATGCACCAACACCCGCTCTCCGTCTCCGCGCGGGCTCGTGTTCGTCATACCTGTGTCTCCTATCGACGACCGCCCGCTCCTGCGCCCGCCAGAGCCGGCACCGCGGACACACGCCGTCGACCTCGACCGCGACGTCTTCGAGCCAGCAGTTCCTCGCGGTCGGCGGCGGGGTGCGTGTGGGCGACGAGTAGACGGCGGGGAAGCAGCAGAAGAAGAAGAAATGGAGCCAGGAGGCGGCGCTTCGTCTAGACGCCGTCGTCGTGCCGGAGAGGCGGCGCAGGCGCTCGAGGTGGGTTTGGCGTTTTTGGGCTTCGCAGTCTTGGTCTTCGGTCGTGGCGTGGTGGCAGCGGGTGTATATGGTTTTCTTCCTGTAGCACATTTCTTATATGGAAAGGGGGGGAAGGTTGTTTTGAGTGTGAGATGAGTGTATGTGTGACTGTTGTGTTAGTTGCGATTGGGGGTGACTGGTGTTTGTATGTTTGTTGATTATCGCCATCGTTGTTGACTCCTCTGCTAGTAGCGCTGATATATGTGCCACGATGTATTGTTTCTGCGGGCTGTGAACAATACATTGTCTCGGTTGTCTACAATAGTTCGCAATCTGAAGTTAAGTCCTGTTGTGGCATGGAAGATTCTATTGCATATCTTTGTCCTTGGAGTCATCAAGGACATCATTGTCCACAGAATAGAAGCGAAGTACTCTCGTAGTTATACTGAGAAACAATGTGTTTGCTGTGTGTGTCACATCATAACAGTTTGACTTGCTGGTTAATTCCTATCGAAAGACTCCGAAGCCGATATCTGCTTGAGGAAACGTTTATGCCTGAACTCTCCACTCAGCCTGAAGATGGCCCGACTGTCTTGGTCAACACGATCGCCAAGCTTCCCTCGTCATGCCAGTGTGCCTAAGTTTGTAGTGTCGTGAAGTTGTTCCTTCAATACATCTCAGAAAGTCAACCTCAACTTTGGCAAACGTCAAGCAAAACATCGGCAAAACTTTTCTTCAAATGAAGCCTCAGACGTTCAAGTCGGTCCGAAACATCATCGATGAAAGAGGACCAGGTGATAATGCTCTTGTTCTACTTTGGAACAGGCCCACGGGTCTTCAAAACGGTCTACTCTGTTACTCAGTCCACACAATCAACCCAATCAATCGTCAAAGGAAGTGTGGCTCGTGAGCCTCAACACAGTCCATTCACCCTTTCACCGCGCACCTGCCCCTTCTTTGGATAGGCTCCCAAGGGGGAAGAGCACAACCAGAAGCCACAAGAAAGAACCGCCGCTTGTCGAGACAAGGAACTTGCCAGCATCTGCCTGCCGTCTTTGACTCAAAGTGAATCAAAAAGGGGGACTCAACCTCCCACATTCTGCAATCCAGAAAATCATCATCGACCAACAACGGCTAACAAACTTCAGAACCGGGGAAAACACTCACCAAACATCATGTCTTTCCCATTCTCTCTCTTCTCCCGCTGGACGGGAAGACAGCCCACGCCCACCACGCCGATCATCGCCAGACAACAGCACCCCTTCGGCTCAACGTCAAACCTCACCTCGACTTCGACACCGTCGTCCCCAGGAAGCCCGAAGCGCCCGACCAACACCACTCCATCGGGATTCATGAACATCCCGCTCGAGATGCACACCCAGGGTATACGAGAGACGCTGAACTGCGTCGACGGTGGTGAGTCCCCCTCATCCCTCCTCGCCCTCCGCCGCCTCCAGGCCGAAGCTGAAAGCCGCGCGCGCACCAGACGAGGCGAGGCCGACAACATACTCCGCGCCCTGGCAGTCGTCCGCAGCAGCGGCAGCAGCGGCAGCAACACCGGCAACAATAACACGCCCGCCACGCCAAGGGTCTCCCAGGTCGAGAGCGGCCAGGACCGATACCGCGACGACAGTAGCAGCGGCGAAGAAGATGAGGAGAAAGAGGAAGAGGTAACGGGCTCCTCGGTGCAGAAGGACGGAGCGAAGGAAAATGTAGCTGACGCGGGAAGCAGGATGACGAGGACGAATTCGAGGGGGATCTCGCCGGGGGGTGGGGGCTCCCGTCCTTTTCCCCCGGATTCTTCTCGGGAGGCGACGGGAGAGGCGAGTGGACTCTGCTCGAGGACCGGGGCGACGACGCCCGGTGCGGCTCTTCCTGTGCCCACGGACGAGGAAAGACGAGATGGGTGGCGGGAGGCGGGGAGTCCGGCAAGGAGCCCTTCCGACACCTCTGAGGACGGCCGGGAAGAGGATCTCGAGACGCTGGCGAGGCGGGCGCTGGACGCCTACCGCGAGCTTTCTCTGGGATCCCCGACATCAAGCGACGACGCCTCCGGGCACAGTTCCGACGACGAGGTTCATCAGAACACTACGCGCCCGATCACCGCCCTCGGCTGGTACGAGGACGGGGGAGGGAACTCCTCTACCGAAAGCATCGCGGCTCAGTCGTCGTCCACCGAAGAATCCATCGAAGAGCAGAGAAATGCCCAGGCGAGGGTGGCGACCGTTGTCGGGATGGCCTCAGGTAGACCTCGGCTGATCATCCAGACCAACCAGACCACGCGCTTACAACGACTCATAGAAAACACCGACCAAGCCGTCGACATCGACGTTTCGGGAGGCGTCACCCTCGAAGCCGGCACGTACGCCTTCAAGTCGGAAACCGCGTCCTTCCAGATCACGATACGATGCGACGACGGGGTCAGCCTGGACTACTCCAGCCCCCCCAGCGCCGGCGTTGAGCGCCGCTGCGTCGACGAAGACCCCTCCCCGACCACGACCGACGGGGACATCGACGACCTCCTCGATCACTACTCCAACTCGGACGAGGACCAATACGAAGATGAAGAAGACGAAGACCAAGAAGAATACGACGAGACCGAAGACGAGGACTACCTCACCCCCCGCGAAGCCCCCTCTCCCCTCCCGCCGACCCTGGCACAAGGCATCGATCTGCCCCCCTTCTTCCCAAACTCCCCCAACGCCCAACGGCCCCTCGACATCATCAAATCGGGCCTCTCCCTGCCCCCGACAACCTCCCACCGGGACCTCCAGGACCACATCGCCCGCAACTCGTCCATCATCCGCTACCTCGCCCTCCACCTCGTCCCCGGCCCGGACATCAACCCCGTGGAACACACGACCGACCTCGCCGAGCCCTCCCTCCAACCCGAAACCCGCAGGCGCGGATACACCCGCCTCCTGCAGGCCATCCGCTCCGTCTACTGGGACTCGGGCGCCGTCAACGACATGCTGAACATCGTCGACGCCCTCTCCGCCTCGAACCGCGGCCGGCGCCGCCGCGATACCATCCCCGTCTTCCGGAAACTCCGCTCCGGGGACGCACGGCGCAAAGGATGTCTCACAGCCGCGCAGGCCCACCGCCTCGACGAGCTAGGCTTCTCGCTCCTCGAGGTCGTCGCGATGAAGGACCTCCCCAAGGTCGTGAGCCTCGGGTTTGTGGGACGGCTGATCGAGGCCGCGGAGACGGGGGCGCTGGCCATCGCGAGGGAGTGCGATATTCTCGACGAGGACGGCGCGCTGCTGGAGCTCCTGTCGGATGTGGAGGGTAAGGTCTCGTCCAGTAGGAGCGAGGGCGGCGGGAAGAAGAGTGTGGTTGGCATGCCGAGCGGGCTGCGCTGTTGCGTTAACATGGACGAGGTCAGTGATGTCCAGAGCGAGGAGGAGGATGAGGAGGAGGATGGCGGGATGATGTTGAGCGTGAGTTCGTTGTCGAGTCAGCCGGAGAATGAGGAGGATACGGAAGAGAGGGCGGATGTGACGGAGTCCAGCCTGGGCGAGCTGGAGTCTCTCTCCAAAGACCTTCAACAGTCCGCAGGTCCTGACGACGGCCCTCTTGGTGAGGAAACAGTAACAGACATCATCGGCAAACGACCCATGCTCTCGAGATCTGAAGGCAGTTTTCGGGCACTGGATAAGACCGACACGATCCTGGTCGACGAGGAAACCAAGAACAGTCCCGGGTTGACGCGCTTCTTCCAAGAGATCGGAGCGACGCCGGTCGTCGATGCGGATACCACAGTTAGACACAACATCATCCAAGAAACCGACCATACTTCTGACGAAGAGCAGTCTTGGGGCTTTAATCTGGGAGGTATCTTGGTAGGGTAATTAGCAGACATATAGACTGGAGTCCGGGACAAAAGATATTGGACATCAGCTTCACTCCTCAAAAGGGCCATTCTCCCAATTCAAACATTGTACGGGGTATCATTTCTCTATCCAGCACGCTTCTCAAACGTGTGCCCAGCCGTTATACACGAGAACCTGCCCCTCGTTGATCAAACAATCGACCCCCTCCTCCCTCCTCCCCTCCCCGCCCGCCTCCCACTCCCGCACCCTCTTCCTCACAACCCACTCCTTGACCCGGTCCGTCGAGAACAACCGCCTCAGCCTGCCCTCCCACACCCCTCTCATGACCCCCCACACGCCCACCCAGCTCCTCCCGTCGTCCTCGGGGTGCGCCCACGCGTACGCCGGCCCGTTGTACCCGACCCGCACCCTCGGGTTCACGAAGACCCCCAGCGGCCCGCTGAGCGGGTTGTCCACGTGGATCAGGCAGCACTCGCTCGCCTCGAGGTGCTTCTCCTCCGCGAGCGAGTCGGCCACGGCGCGGAACCGGAGCCGCCGGTCCTCGGCCGTCGTCAGGAACGGCGCCGCCGCCATCGCCACGATGCCGTTCCAGCAGCTCCGCACGGGGACCGCGTCCGAGTACCTGTCCACGAGCGCCTCCCGGCTGCGCCGCGAGCGGAAGTACGGCCACGTCTGCATCAGGTGCGCCGACCCCTCCGAGTCCCGCAGCGCGAAGGTGTCGTAGTAGTACGGCGGCTCCGAGAAGTCGAGCGAGCACGCCGCGGCGTACTGTCCGCGGTTCGTGTCCAGTAGCGCGAGGACGTCCTCGGCCTGTGATCGGTTTTCCCCAAGTCAGCCTCTCGTTCTGTGCCCCCTCCATCTCAAAGCAGAGACTCACCCTGAAAACGACATCATTCAAAAACAAAACCTTGTCAAAAACCTCCCCTTCCGCGCTCAACCTCCACAGGTCCCTCAGCGTCCGGTTCCGCAACCCCGCGAGGAACGGGATCCGCCTCATCTCCCTCTTGCCCCTCGGCGTCACGATCCACCCCTCCCTCGCCTCCCCCTCGGCCGGCACGTCCTCGACCTCGTGCTGGTGCGTCCTCTCGTCCAGCACGACGTTGCGCCGGACCCCCCTCCGCCCCAGCTCCTCGTCCAGCTCCCGCAGCCACCTCTTGCTCTCGTCCCAGCTGCCGCTCTCGTACACGCTGACGTAGACGTTCTCGCGCCCCAGCGCCTCGACGAGCCCCAGCACCGCCCCGTTCCAGTGCTCCTTGATCAGCCCCGCGCTGTTGTAGTGCATCCCCGCGACGTACACCCTCTCGGCCCTGCGCGGGCGGGCCGCGGTCTCGCGCGCCGTGGGGGCCGAGGTGATGACCCGCTGCAGGCGGAGGGCGTCGAGGAAGGTGTAGGCGGCGAAGAGGAGGACGAGGTTGCGCAGGGCCCTGGAGCGGAGGGCGCGGCGCGCGGCGAGGCGGACGCCGGTTAGGAGGCCCATTCTCTTTCGATCGGTCTTTGAAAGGTGAGAGAGACGGGGTGTTGGTTGCTTCGTTGGTGTTGGTGTCGGACGAACAGGCCCGACCGGGATGGTTATGCGTGTTCAAACGACGAAGGCACGCGCAAAAGACCCCATCGATGCAGAAGATCAATCCATTGGGAAATTCCAAAGTTCCGTTGCTTCTGCCTTGCCTTAACCCCCCCCAAAACGACGACGCTGGCCAAGAGGGACAAGACCGACCCGGTCGGTTAGCTGTCCTGAGCTTTCCCGCCAAGGGGTCCAAAAGAACCGTCGGCTAGTCACACCGAGTGGTCAGGGGAACTGATGTCATTGGTTGACAGGGCTGACAGGGGACATATTTGGGAGCCTGGAGAAGACGAGACGTGTCTTCCATTGGTCGCTGAAGGACAGCTCATCCCCGCCTCCCGCATTTACAGGGATGCTTGGGGCGCATCAGCCTCGAGGCATAATGTCACTCACTACTAGGTACTATATTTATGCTTATGCTTGGAGACATCACGCGCAGTCCGGTTGTCATGGATGATTCGGAACTTTGTAGAAAAGCCATTCTGGAGCTATTCATCAACGCAAAGAAAACTAGTCGTACACACCCCCAAAGCGTCCCATTTGTTCGTCATCTCGTCTTACATTCACAGCTGAGCCTCCGTCCCTGAAATGGCTTCTGCTTTACTGTATTTCCTCGACCTGTCATTTCGGTCACTGGAGTGAGAGTCGGTCCGAAATTTGGAGCAACTTCGTCTAATATTGTGTCACGCCCGCGAAAGGTTCGACTGCGTCGTGCGCCGCTTATTTGGCGAAGTGCAGGTCGTAGCCGAGCCACTTGCGGCGGACAACTTGCTCGACGGTCAAGCCGGGGTAGCCGTACGTCAGCGGCAGGAAGAAGTACCAGCCGGCGACGGCGACGGCCAGAATGACACCGCAAGCGATCCAGGCAGGGAGAAGGCTCTGGCCGGCGAAACGCTCACGGGCGCTGATGTGCCTCTTAGGTCCATCGCCCTTCTTGTTCTCCTTGATGACTTGGGCGCCCTCCTCGGGAGCCGGCTCTGCGGTGAAGATGAACTCTAGGAGAGCTCCAGCAACCAAACAAGAAGCCAAGTGCGCCGGTAGGTAGTGGTGGAGGAAGAGTTGACGACCCATCAGGTAGAACGGGAAGTAGTGAGTGGCCCACGCGAGGAAGAAGAAACCGGTGGAGTTGTACAAACGCGAACGAGTGCCTGCAAACTGTTAGCTGTGAACATATGAACCGAGTCTAGTGCACTTACGGTGGTCGAGAGCGTCGATACCCCGTCTAAGAGAGACCTGGTCCGCACCAATGATACCGGCAAAGACAGCCAACAAGCTGCTTGCCAGCCACCAACCGACAGGGTTACCGAGGAAGTAAATCTGCTGGCGGGTGTCGTTCTGAGTCCAGAAGCTGACACCGCGGAGCAGGAAGGGCCACTGCCAGGGCTGACTGGCGTAGGGGTGGCTGCTGGTCAACTGGTTGTTGTGCCAGAACATGGAACGCTGCAGCTCGAACCACTTGCGGAAGAAGGGCAGGGTCTTAACCTCCTTCTCCGGCTTGTCGCGTCTCTTGGAATCCGCGGGAATCGACGGGAGGTCCTCGACGAACCAGATGTTGGAGCTCGGGGCCAGCTGCTTGTTTCCGTTGATCTCCTGCTGCTTGTGTCCCCATTCGGGCAGAGGAGTGGTGTGGGTCCACATGGCAACCTTGCTGGGGTTGTGAATCAACTTGAAGTGACTCGAGATACTCTTGAATTCTTGACCAGGCTTGCCGTTCTCGACTCTGATCTCGAAGAGCGTGTCCTGAAGACGGTCGCCGTAGGCCTCGGTCAAGGGAACCGTGGTGAACTCCTGGTTGGTCGGGAAGTAGGGCGAGGCAACGTCGTGGGAGAGCAGGATGGTGTCAGTGCCCAAGTGACGAAGACGGACGACGTCCTGGTTCTTGACGGGCATGCCCATCTTCTGGTTGTCCTCCATGGGAATGATCTGCCAGTAGTTGTTGGTGTCGTTGAAAGGGTAACCGGTGACCTGCTGGCCCTGGCTGGAAACACGGCCGTCGTCGTAACGGAGGGGGTAGCGGTCCTCGTGGCTGTGAAGGTAGGTCTTGGTCTCCTTGTGGCGGAGGGTGATCGTATCGTAGTACTCGACAGTCAAGGAGTTGGCCAACATCACGTTGTCGCTCAGAGTCTCCTGGAACTCAGGAGTCATGAAGTCGTCTCCGGGACCAGAGCGGGTCAAGATGGCGAAGTGAACCTGGAACCAGAAGAGGTAGAAGAGGAAGGGCATGAGAATCAGGCCGAAAGCACGGGCGGCAAAGTGCTTGCCAAAGTCCGGAAGGGACAGCGCGCCGCCGGGCCGCTTGATGTCCAACAGGGCCCAGAGATCGATAATCACGGCCGAGCCGATGGTGACGAAAGCGAAGAGACCGACATACTTGGTCGACATGTCGGCGGACAGGGCGAAACCGGTAAGGATGAGCCACTTCCACCACTTGCGCGAGAAAGGCTCGTGGCGCAGCTTGTAGAACTTGATGTAGCAGAGCAAGCTGCAGGCCATGCAGAAGACCAGAGTGGCGTCCAGGAGGATCAACCGGGTCTGGCCGATGTGGGCGTTGTCGAGGAGGATGAGACCGGCGGCGAGAATGCAGGCGGGCAGACTGTATCCAGACTCCCACATGATGAGGTAGGAGACGGTGACGGTCAATGCGCCGAGGATGGCGGGCAGAGCTCGGAAGGCGACGTATGGGACCTTGTTCGCAATGTACGAGTCGCCAATGTTCTCGAAGTGGAAGTGTCCGTCATATCCAACAAGCCATCCCATAAAGGCAAAGAGGAGCTTTCCGAACGGAGGGTGAACATCGAAGAAGTAGGTTCTCTCGAGGTAGTAGGAGGCGAACTGTTGGGGGAGAGCATCGTCAGCTATTGCCACAGAGATGGGAACCAAAATTTTGGAGCGGCTGACGTACCTTGCCGAAGTGAACCTCGTCGAAGACGACCTCATTGGGATGGCTGATACCCCAGAAACGGGTGACGAAGGCGAGAACGGTGGTAACGACGAGACCGACAATGTGGCCGTTCTCCGCGCCGGCGCGCTTGGTCTTGTCGGCGGCCTTGCCCAGAGAGTCGGCGACGGCGTCAGCAGCGGCGCCGGCCGTGGCCCCCTTCTTGCCCGTGTTGCGCTGGCGAACGCTGCCCTGCGGGGAGGTGGCAGTCGTCTGCGCCATGGTGGGAATGGGAAAAAAAAGAAGACGACGAAAGGAGAGCTGCTCGAGGAGTTTGTCAGTTCAGACCCTCTCGGTTTGAGGTTGTGTTGAGAGCTGAGATCAGAAAAAAGTGTGGCTCCCCGAAAAAGGTCATCCAAATATCAAGAAGGACAGGTAGCTCCAATTGATCGACGAGTGGTACGTATCACAGCTTGGGAGCTTTTTGCTGGCGTGCCTCCAACGTAAGGGAGCAATTCAGGGGCTTGTAGCTAACTTACACGCTATGGGAAAAGTGGAGCGCGTCGTGCTCTCACGTCACGGTGATTGAAGAAGCTGTAGGGAAAACGAAGAATAAGAAAAAGGTTGAGGCTGTAAGGAATGACTGAAGAAGCTGCGAAAAGAAGAGAAAACAAATTCCGTCTCGCGACGCAGAAGATGGTGGTGGTGATGGACGGGGACGAACACGCCTCGGCCGGGGAGCTCACGCGGAAAAATTAATATGGGAAACCCCCTGGGCAATTGCAGAGTGACCGATGAACCTTCCCGAAGACTGGACGGCTTCGGGGGATAACTTGGGCAGGGATCAATTGGTTCGCTATTTGGTGGTCTGGACACTTGGCCAAAGTGAAGCTGCCTGGCCCGTAATTCGACGGAGCCGACAAGCACTAACAATTCTTTTTGGTGATGCTGGTGGCATTTGGGGGAGCTCCAGCCCACCTTCCCACGTCCCGGGAATGGCGTGTTAGTGACGATAAGATAAGGGTCCCTTGATGGATCATGGTGCCCGGGGCGTTTGGTGTCAATCTAACGGATACATTGTACGCGCAGGTTGTGGCTATACCAGCATTGTTTGCCATTTGAGATGTATGTAAGCGAAAGTAGAAGCTAGTTGTTAAATGGCGAATGCTTGATATTGTCAATTGCGCCTATCTGGGCTCAATTGGCCCTTTAAGTGGACAACATGCGAGCTACGACGATGAAATAAGTGAACCTCAGAATCATCCAAACAAGGCGTGTTCGACAGTTTTGTACGTAACCCGCCTCCGTAACCGCCAACCGCGCCGACGGCGAGGGGGAGCGTCACAACCCCGCTGCAACCCGCCCCGGCCCTGAGCGCCGAAGAACGGAGGCAAAGCGACGGCGGGGTTCGCCCGACGCTGCCCAGGAAGTCCCAACTTAATCCTCATCCCGTTCCCAATTGAACCCCTCCCAGTCTGCCATAACTTCCTCCATGTCCTCCTCATTGCTCCTCAGATCCGTCACCAGAATCTCATCTCGAGCCCTCCCCCGCCCGTCTCCCACCCGCGTCGTCATCCCGAGAATCAGAACCCAGGCCTTCAGCGTCCGCACCGCAAACATGTCCGACCAGTCCATCGTCTTCACCAAGAACGCCCCGGCCCGTGAGTCCTCACACACGTGACTTTCGATGTCATGAACCGCCTTGAAAATGAGTCAATTGCGCTGACGAGAAGTCGTGATGTAGCCGTCGGTCCTTACGTATGAGCCACCCACTTCTTCGGGAGCATCTACACATGAAAAAACGCAAAACACTAACCACCAAAAAACAACAGTCCCAGGCCGTCAAGACCCCCACCGCGATCTACTGCTCCGGCCAGATCCCTCTCAACCCCGAGGGCGTCCTGATCGACGGCACCATCACCGACAAGACCAAGCAGTGCATCACCAACCTGCAGGCCGTCCTGACCGAGGCCGGCTCCTCCATCGCCAAGGTCGTCAAGGTCAACATCTTCCTCGCCGACATGGGCGACTTCGCCGTGAGTCTCTCCCCTCTTTTGACGTTTGGTTTGTTGTGTTACGAGAGCCAAAAACTCACCAACCCTTCTTAGGAGATGAACGGCGAGTACGAGAAGTGGTTCACCCACAAGCCCGCCCGCAGCTGCGTCGCCGTCAAGACCCTGCCCAAGAACGTCGAGGTCGAGATCGAGGCCATCGCTCTCCCTTAGGTGCCGTTTATGACCACAGGTCCGAGATGTAGTAGTCTGTAGACCGTAATCAAAACTGTTAAACTTGAACTACCGTGACGTTCCCATCATCTGAACCATGTCTAAACCGTCTACCCCCTCTTAATCACAAGACGCTTCCGTAGCACATGCATGTTGACTACTCCTTCTTAGTCACAAGTCGCTCTCGTAATACGTGCATGGTGATGGCTGCATGATCGCATAGCAGGCACAACGAATCATAGCCGTGTAGCAGTTGATTAGTACTGACATGGAACCGAAAACTCCACAGAGTCCAACAGGCCATGGTTGTTTCCAACGTGCTCACAGATGAACCCACCCTTCACGACAAAAGAACCTCATGTAAGTAATAAGCAGAAAGGTAGTTGGATGTTCTACACGCCTCTCCGTCTATCGGTACAATCCCACCCCTTCTAACCACAAGCCCCTCCCCAAGCCAAAGCCCCGAGTGGCCAGCCCGTCAAGAACACGTCTCAAGAATCCTGTCCTATCGTCCCGTTTACTCGTCATCCTCGTCACCACCGGCCTCGACGTACTTGTGGCGGATGTCCTTCCATTGGCGCTGTTGTACCCAAAATGTCAGCACACGTCCGTCTCCCCCACGCAATTCTCAGAGATATAGGAAGGGTCTTCTTACGCCGCGGTTGAGGTAGTCCCAGTACTTGTTCATCGCACCGTTGAAGCCCCTAGATTGTCGCAAAAAAAGAGTCAGCAAACTGCGCCCCTTCTCACGTGATGTCCAAGAGTCCGTCCGATTCCAAATTCCCACGACGGCAAAGCCTTCCACAACGCCTGCCCTAGTCGTCGTTGTCATATGCTAGGTGGTCTCATTTCGGGGATCCGGGGTTCCTCACATCTCGAAAGCAAAGCCCGTCGCGAAGACGAAGCCAAGCATGGAGAAGTTGTTCTTGAAGAGGGCGCTGTGTCCACAGTCAGTAAGTCGGTCTCGCTCGTATCGTGGCCCATTTGACCGGGGGTTGTATTCGGTCGGGGCCGTCGGAGGGGGGACTTGCGTGTAGAAAGGTCGTGCGGCGGCCTGCGGAGGAGAGATGAGCGATTAGCCAATTGCGGTCGCGCGAGCGCGGGGAGATGCGCATGAGACTTACCATCTTGAATTTCGTCTAGCAAATGGCACTTCGTGTGGGTAAACGAGGGTGCTTCGATGCGGTCGGCGAGGCGGTGATCGTTGGAAGAGGAATCGGGTGGTTTTGCGGAGCGAGGTTCCTGACGAAATTCGCGATGTTCCGGGAGCGCTAGCTTTGCCGGATTACGTACGTTCTGATTGGCTGCAGGTTCCACCTCTGATTGGAAAAGTGATGACTAAGACACAAGCCACACAGACAATATCACAAGCCACGAAAGCCGACGTCTGTTCCATGAACATGAAGTCACCTCAACAACCGAAAGCAATGGGAAAGGTTTGCATTCAAAGGACTGCGTCAATGTTTACTGCAAATTACTGTACGAATTAACCCATCTGAAGCATCGTGTTCCCAAGCGTACTGCTGCTAATGCGCTGCTCTCACCGGTCCAGATGCGCCTTCTTCTTCGCCTTCACCTTGGCATCGTGCATCTTCTGACGGAACGGAATGTGAGTCTGAGCCCTGTTGCCTCGGAGACCAGTGAGTGCACGCAGAGGTGGCTCCTTGCCCTCGGCGAATTCACGATGTTCTTCCAGGCGCTTCTCTGAAATACTCTCTGGCGCCCACTTCTTGCGAATGAACCAGGGCATGCACGCACCCACCCAGTTGTCTGGGAAGAGTCGAATGAGGGCTCCCAGTGGCAGCGAGATTGCACCCAATCCAATAGATGCGCCCCATTCCCTGCCATCCAGCCTGTTGATTACGAACGCATCTCCGCCTACGAAGATGATCAATATCTGCCCACCTATCATGATCAGGTTGATGCCGATAAAGAACCAATTCTTGGTGATGTTCTCAAAGACGTTGAGCTTGTTGTCCAGCCGGCGATTGCTATGACTAGTTAGAGTGTGCAAAATTATCATGTTATGGAGCTTACTTGAGTTCGTTGAAGATTTGTAGCCAGACGAAGGTATTGAACACAAGAGTGTTCAGTTGTCGTTGATTGTTGTCACTCAAGCGATCACCGTCGCGAGGGTACCATAGTCCGCCGGCCTCGCCCACATACTTCAGAACGATTGTGATGACAAGTTGGACGATGGCTTGACCGATAATCATCTTAGCCATTCTCAATGTGATCAAGGGCGCCGACTTGCGTTCGGGCTTGCGGTCAAGTACACTGCGTGTTGGCGGATCTGTGGCGAGCGCGAGCGCAGCGAAAGTGTCCATGATCAAGTTTACCCAAAGCAGTTGAACGGCGTTCAGAACTGACTGTTGATTTGGGTCAATCGCCGCAGTTATGAATGTCAGAACGACGGCGGTCACGTTGACGGTGAGTTGAAACTAGGTAACGTGTTAGTTTACGTCGTGAGTTGAGTTGAATCATTGGATGGCCGCGTACCTGCAAGAACTTCTTCACGGAGTCATTGATGGCTCTGCCCCACATCATTCCCTTGACGATGGATGCGAAGTTGTCGTCCATCAGGATAATCTCAGAAGCCTCCTTTGCAACTTCAGTTCCTGCAATACCCATGGAAAAGCCGATATCTGCCAGTTTGAGTGCCGGTGCATCGTTGGTACCGTCACCAGTTACGGCAACAGTCTCTCCGAGGTCCTTGAGAGTCCGCACAAGGATTCTCTTGTCGTCAGGGCTCGAACGGGCTAGAACCTGTAGTCGTGGAACGATCTCTTTGAGCTCTTCTTCAGATTTCCTGCGAAACTCCGGTCCCTCCATGGCGATGCCGCCATCTTCGGGATGGTATATGCCGCATTCCTTTGCAATCGCCTTTCCTGTCAGAATGTTGTCGCCTGTAACCATGCGGACGACGACGCCTGCGCGAGTACAATCATTGATAGCATCAATAACCGTGGGTCGCAACGGGTCTTTGATGCCATAAATAGCAATCAGTGTCATGTCTTCGTGGATCTTGTTGAAGTCTGCAGCCTTCGGGTCGTCCGAGGAGACGGCTTCTTTCGGGGGCCACGACTCGAAATCCCGGAATGAAGAGCCAATCGTCCGCAGTGTCTGGCCGGCGTATGAGCTAATGGTCTGAGAAAACATTTCGCAGTCTTCAGACGTGAGGTCCACGACGTTAAGATCCGAACCCTTCGCATCATCCAGAACCTTGGTGCACTTGTCCAGAAGAATCTCAGAAGCACCTTTCACGTAGGCTCTGTACTTTCCATCAGGAAGTTTGACCACTGTGGCCATGTACTTGACAGCAGAGTCGAAGGGTACAACCTGGACGACGTTCGAGTTCGTGCGCTCCTCCTCAACAGGACCGGCGCCCAGTTGATCCCGGCAGAAAGTGAGGAGAGCGACTTCTGTCTTGGATCCGATAAAGGTCTTTTCTCCTTCATCGTCGCCCTCAAAGGCCGTAGAGTTGACCGCATTGCCCTGGATCACGAGTTGTTTTGTTTCTTGGCTAAGACTCTTGGTGAAATCTCCGAGAGAAACGTTCGAAACCGCGTTCGTTCGACCAGCGTTGGGATTGGAGTTTCCGCCTGCCGACTTCTCGGTCGTGGGCTCTTCGAGAGGAGCATCTGTACCACCGAAACTGACACTCTTCCCCAAAGTCGTTGCTACTACCGTCATCTTGTTTTGTGTCAGGGTACCGGTCTTGTCGGAGCACACGGTTGTCGCGTTTCCCATGGTTTCGCACGCCTTCAGGACGCGAACTAAGTTGTTGTCCTTCATCATGCGGTTCGTCGCGAACGAGAGGGCGAGAGTAACGGCAAGTGGCAGGCCCTCGGGTACTGCCACCACGACAATCGTAACACACGTAATAAAAATCTTCATGAATGCTTGGCCTTTCGCGTCTGCACTCCCAAGGTTCTTCAGGTTGACGAGAAACTTGATGAAAAGGACCACGAACAAGAGGAGGGCGGCAGCGCCGCCGACCTTGGCAATGAAGTCTGCAAGTATGTTGAGCTTCCTCTGCAGAGGCGTTTCTTCCTGTTCGGTCCTCAGTGACATCGTAATCCGGCCGTACGAAGAGTTGACGCCGACGGCAGTGACGATGCAAGTGCCCGTACCCTCCTGAATTTTGCTGCCAGAGATGATGAAGGGGTCCAGCTTTTCAACTTTTTGTTGGCTGGCGCCATCGTGGGCCACTTTGTCCAGTGCTTCGGAAACCTCATCAGCGGCGGTCTTCTTGAGAAGATCAGACTCTCCGGTGGCGGATGATTCGTCACACTTGACTCCGTGGCCGTCGATAAAGATCGCATCGACAGGGACTATGTCTCCAGTGTTGAGGTGCATCACATCGCCAACGACAAGCTCGTGAACGGAGATCTCGACTGATTTGCCAGATCGGATGACTTTGACCGTTCGATCGTCGTTCTTCTTGTTCAGGTTATTGAACTGACGTTGCATGTTCCAGTCATTGATTGCCCCGACGAAAACAACAAGAATGATTGCCACCATGATAGCCACACCCTCTACCCTGCTTGAAGTTAGAATGAAAGTTCATAACGAGATAACTGACAATAATACTTACCAATCAACTCTCGGCTCATTGGGTTCGTGCTGCGGGCCAAAAGACTGATAGAGGCCGAGGGAGAAGGAAACAATCGCAGCAATCGACAACAGAATGAGGATCTTGTCGTTGTAGGTGATCCACAGCAACTGCAAAAAGCTCTTCTGTTTCTTGTCGGGCAAGGTGTTGTCCCTGAATGTATGCTTGCGATCTGAGAATCCGCCGGTATACTCGCTCGGAGGAGGCGGGATGAAGATGTCCGTCTTCGAGTTTGGGTCTCGCTGGGGCACGCTGTCGCCAGCCGTGCCATATTTGGGTGCCCCTTTGAGGGCAGCTTCCTCGAACGAAACCGTGCCGTCCACCGTGTTCTCGTCGACGCTCAAACCGGTCTTTCTGTTGGTTCGGAGACCCTTTTCCAGACCGGCGAGGCCACCGAGCGCATAGAATGCGTTCAGGCTCTTGGGGTTCAGCAATTTGGAGAGCTGGCCTGGCGAAAAGGCGAACTTGTCACTCTTGGCGTTGAACATATCCTCAGTGCCAGGGTCCGGAGTTAGGGCATCCGCTGTGTCGAGGCGGAAACCTTGCGATTCATGATGATCCTTTGTCTTCTCAGACTCGATATCTTGCGAGTGTTGTTCGCTATTATGATCGCCTTTCTCGGCGATACCGATGCCTTTCTCGGCATCCTGATTATTGGCCGTCGCCATGCTGATGATGACTGGTGATTATTGTATTCGGTAGCAAACTTATCGATTGATTAGACGGGTGCGTAAGCCAAGAGTTATTAGTCCCATGAAAAGGGGGAAAAGATGTGGCAAAGAAAAGACGTGTTCAGCTAATGTTGCTTGACCAAGATGAAGAGGTGTCCCGGACGCACTCAGAGGCAGAGGACAATTACAACAACGAGGTCTCCCAGCGATACCGATGTTGCTGCAAGAGAAGGCACGACGATGGCAGTGAAAGAAGGAAGGAGCACGTCGAAACCCGGTAGATAGCTATGCCCAAGAAGAAAAATGACGAGCAGGCACAACAGAGCGAGACGGAGCAGAGGAGAAGAAACCGACGAGCAGTTTCGACCGAAGAATAAGAGGAAACTGCCTACTCCAGTTGCACCCTACCTTTGGGCTCGAGGCGCTCAGCAGATTGGACAGGATCAAAACAAAGCGAAAGCCAATTTCAGCTGCACCGAGCAGGCACAAAACACTCCGAGACCTAAGGTACTCTAAATCCTGCCTTGCATGATGTAAGGTATACCGAGGCCCTCGGTGGCATAAGCGACCAGTTTACTTGGAGAAGTCGCATCATTCATTAAACAAACAATGACGGAGGGGTGTGTTGTCAGGGTATTATCGCACACAACACAACAGGCCACAGAACCATGGAGGCCGCCATGTCTGTGCCAAGGTCGACGGTGTGCAGGGCTTTGACACTCGTCCAAAGAGGCAGATTGGCTCTCTGCTTTGCGCGACGTCCTACTTTGATGAGAGCGAGACCAGCAGGTCGCCTAAGGCTTGGCAAACGCGGACTGTGCCCGGTAAAGCTTGACTGACGGGACGAAGCTTGTCTTCTTGGCCATGGATGACTGGAAGGGGCGTTGCATATCATTGATGACGATGAAGTCCCTTGATCAATCAGCTCTCCTCTCATCTCGTGAAAAGAAAGCATATTTCCATCGTCTGGAAATCGTGATGCGCGACCAGGATAAGCTGTGTCCAGCATGAAAAGGTGAGCCATGGGAACTTCAAAGAGGCCGCCGACGCACCCTTCTTTTGACAGATCTGATGGGCGCGAAGATACCGCTCTTATGCAGACTCAACCAATTTCCTGCGTCATGCCGCTTGCGAAACGGCCCTCATTCGTCTCGCGGTGTGTCGGTGAGAGGAGCCATGCAATAGCCTGCCAGGGCATGCTACCATAGGTAAACAGACCACAGACGTGTCTTTGCGCACGTAAATAGCGGTGTTCTCCCTCGTTTGGCTCGCCAACGTCGAATGCGCGAATTCGCTTGGATACCCGTGATGAGACAGGGCCGTCGAAAATCCGCCTTGCGAGATGCAGCCGGAACGGCATGCTGCGTTGTTCATGTGCCACCTTGTCGATGTCATACTAGTCGTAGGCGACAAATGTGATGGACAAAATAAAATGGAAAAAACCTGGCACTACAAAGGCAAGGATTCTGTTGCAACCTCTTCAAGTTGGGATGACATGGAGAAGCGCGGTACTTTGTTTTCGACAGGAGACACGCCGGGCAGATGCAGGTCTGACCAGCCGGAAACGCGACACACGTGGCGTCATAACAACCTGGCTTTTCTTGCAGGGCATCAAGTTGAAGTAAATGTGCCTGCTGTCAATGGGAGATCAGTGGCGGAACGTGCCTTACTTTTATGTTGGTTGTTTCGTCTGCCCAAGTACCTAGGTACCTTGATATTCGTAAATGCCATTTCTGTTCCTGGATCCGCCAGATTGGATGGAAGTTGTTGCCCTGGCGAATCACAAGGGCATTGTGAGCAAGAAGGTTTAGACCCCAGAATGAGATGGTCTGTGCACACAAAATCGAGGAGGGGCGTTGTTTCGTTGTTTCGACCGCATCTTGCTCCCACTTTCTTTTTCGCTAAATCGTACCGGATCATTCGCACCGCTACCTACGTAACCTGCCTCTGTTTCCCCCGACATCAGCCGGATCGCATCCGATCATTGGCCCCGTGTGCCACCGTCAAACTGCCCCGAGAGCTGCAGTTGCAGTAGCTGTTCTGGAAAATACGAATGACCCGTGTGCCCGCAGTCTATTGCCTAGGTATTCACCCGGCCTACTTGGGTTGTGATTTGCCGCTGCCAGCCGATTGCCGTCAAATCACGAGCCGAGCCTACCTGAAGTGTAGCAACCGACATCAGGCTGAGTTGATACAGCTCTAGCCGCGAATTGGCTACAGCTCCGGTTTGCGATCTTTTCGATTCACCAATTTGACGTCAAAGCGCCCTCGACGACCCCTCGGTTACCCTGTTATCGCCGATCAACTCGACTTTCTTTCATCGCCGACGAAAGTGCCCAGACGACATGCCCTCCGAACCCACAAAGGCCTCCAACGCGGGCATCGTCACTGACGACGCGGGCGAGCGCCAAATCCCCGAGTCCGTACGCGCAGACGGCAGCACCCGGAAGGCGATCAAGATTCGCCCCGGCTACCGCCCCGCCGAGGATGTAGAAGTCTACAAGAACCGCACGGCCACCGCTTTCCGAGATCGCGCGACGAGAATTGGCATACCCGGTGCGGCTGGATTGAAGGAGGACAAGCCCGAGGCTTCCTCTTCCGCTGCGAGCAATAAGAATGCGAAGCGCAGGGAGGCTAGGAAGAAGGCCAAGGCCGGTAACGACGGCGAGGGTGACCAGGCTGCGAAGCCCGAAGCCGAAGCGTCCAAGCCCGAAGAGGTTGACCCCGAGGTGGAGAGAGAAAAGAAGGCTCGAAACTTGAAAAAGAAGCTGAAGCAGGCCAAGGACCTCAAGAACAAGAAAGAGGACGGCGAGACCCTGTTGCCGGAGCAGATCGCCAAGGTCATCAAGATCAACGAGCTCATTCGCGAGCTGGAAGCTCTTGGCTTCGATGCCGATGGTGAACCGAAGACAAAGACGGAGGATGGAGAGTCGGCGCCCAAGACGGACGGAAAAGACGCCTGATCCCCGAAAGTCGAATTTGTTGCTCAGAAATCTGATTCAATGCAAGATCGTACAAGATCCGTCCGCAATCTAGTATCCTCTCGACGCGCATCGACGTATTTAACACTATCTTCGACCCTGATGGAGCCTCGAAGGTCGAGGCAAACGAAACGCTTTACACCGCAACTTAGCATGCAAGAAAACCAGCAAGCAGAAAAGGCTCTGCGAGTTTCAGTGGGTCGTGGCTTTTGGTGTGCGGGCATGAAACACATCATCATGATGGTCGCAAGGTTACGAAGGAGGCCCGCAAGGCCTGCTACGTCCCGACGCATTCTACCCTTACAGAGGATCACTTCTTGGCCTCAAAACTCAGAATAAGCCTTGGACAGCGCTTGGCACCGTTGAACACTCACTCGCATAGAGCGAGATTGATGTTGTTCATTGGCTTTTTGAAAACCTCGCGCAGCAGGCGACATTTGCCTACCTGCATAGGCAGACTACAGTCCGGAAGGCTAGCATCAGAGGTAGTTTATATAATGGCACTTTAACCGCACCTTCTATTCTTTGGATGCCCGTTCTGTATTTTGGAGGGAGTCGATGCACACTTCCATCATGACAGCCTTCCATCCGAAACCCGACACCCGACTTCATCCATTTTAGAACAAAGGGGTTCAGGGGATTTTTCAGGAGTTCAAGACGTTTCAGCCATCTCGTTTGCGATCTATTTGTTCCCGAGAGGAAACAAGAACAGTTGCAACACGGCGGATGCATGCCATCATATCGTCGTCGCAGTTGAAGGAGTGCGGGGCGGAGCGCCGATCCGGATGACTTTCGCATCCCGGTCGGCTGCCAGGTCGGGGGAATCGCGCAAGATCACCCCGGTTGGATCCGTGGGCTAATGCGGAAAGCCACCCCCGGGAGATGTGGAGCCTCCGAAAAGTGTCAGGGCCCACCCGAACCACTTCGGCCGATTGATTGAAGGCAACTGTGAATGTCATGGACGCTTGCTTTTTGCTGTTCTTCAGCCGGTAATCAGACCCAGTACTCAAGCATGATAATTCATATCGGAGGACGACTACAACGGCAAAGTTTGCTGTGATCAGATGATGAACGAAAGGTTGAGGTAGATTCGAGAGATATGCGGATCTCTGAGTGGATGCTCTAAGTTTCGAGAATTCACCGAGGGTTCGGCGAGGTCATCATGGAGTAAAATACACTTAGACCGAAATCTTGGCATAACAGTCTTGCATGCAGTTTCGCCTACCGTCATGAAATTTGATAATAGTGTTTCACTTGCAATCTGGTCTTCACCAGGCATTTACTGATCGAGATTACATAGCTACCTCAAGTATTATTTGCTATGAGGGGAATAGATAGCCGCAGGATGTCCTTCATGTTCGGATGGTGATCCTTTCATCTCCGCTTACCGGCGGTGTCACCGCTGGCGCGATGGCACAGGTACGAGTGAAACAGCGACAATACTGATTGGATATCGATGAAGGAAGTGAGTAAGCCATGCTAGGAGACGGCAAGTCGGCCACCTGCTTCCACTGCCACCGGAAAGTTGCATTGCAAGAACGGTCACGTCCAGTTTCGTCGAGACGTTGTGAGAAGCGCACGGCGGCTCGCACCGACCTTGATCCGTGGTCACGTTCCGTTCAGCTTATTTCGTATCAAATCTATCCTAAGGTACTGTGTGTCCGTTAATGTTGTGTGTCGTTCAGGTGTGATGGGCTGTTACCCAGTCAAATGCTGGAGAACGCAAGTGGAGGCTGGCTGACGCGTCTGAGTTGGGTGGGTTCACTATGCGAATGCGCATTGAGAAGTTAGAGCTCGAAAGTTGCTAGATCTGAGACTGCAAAGGCACCTGGCTGTCGTTGGAATCTTCAAGGGAAAAGTAAATCCGCCAGTGCCGCTGGTTAGGGAAACGAAGGAAATGCCCTCACCAACGCCAACGGACAGGATGCGATGTGTTCTATATAAAGTCGCCGTACAGGGGGGCGGGGGCCGGGGCGACAGCCATTACGGAATCGGCGGCGCACCGGGGCCTCCCTGACTGGGAACGTGCATCCTCTCTGATGCGTTGGTGTGGCGTCAACGTCAAAGCTAGGGTGGAGCTGAAGCTTAGCCACCCGACTCGCGTGCGAAACATACCTCCTACGCTGACGTTTCCCTTCGGAACTTCTTTGACTTCGACGACTTTCTAACCATCATCGGTCTCGACACCACTCAAGTCAATTACTGCTGGGCTGGCCCGAACGACATCTGCTCCGCGCGACCACCCCCCGTATTGGGCGAACCACCTTTACTTTTGCGACTCCCCCCTCCTATCGAGACACTTTGTTCTTTTGATGAGCACCACGATCCGGACACAGCTCCAAACATGAGGTTTAGGGGCAAGGCTGCAGCCTCCTGGCGCATCCTGCTGTCTGTCCTTACCTGGACAGCAGCGGTCCATGCCAAGGACGAGCCGACCATCAGCGTCGTCACCAACAGGCACCCTCCCGCTGGCCTCAACTACTTCGAAGACTCCGACGTCATTCTCTATCGCGATATCTCCGAACGCAACATCTACCGAACCGACGATGCGGGTGTCACATGGAATAAGGTCAAGGGCGTCCCCGAGGACAAGGCCGCCTTGCTCATCATGCACGAATTTGACAAGAACCGAGCCTTCGTGTTGACGGACACCAACAAACATTACAAGACGACCGACAGAGGCAAGACGTGGGAAGAGTTCGACAGCATCGTTGAGAAGAGTTTCTTCCAGGACTCCGACATCCTCCACTTCCATGCCGGCGATCCCGACCGCATCATCTTTGGTGGCATGCAATGCGCCGGCATCTTTTGTCAAGAGGTCGCCATGTACACGACGGACAACTTCAAAACCAAAGCGAAGCCCCTGCGAGCCAACGTCGTGGGATGCTATTGGGCCAAGTCATCAGCCATGTTCACGACCGGTAAGGACGACCTCGACAAGCAGCGAATCCTTTGTATTGCGCTCGACAAGTACTCTTCTTCCAAGTACGATTACAGACTCTTCGCTTCCGACAACTACTTCGATGAGGTCGACGGCCGCGTCCAGGAATTCGAGCCGAACATGGACACGAACAAGGGTGTGGCGGGTGTGGTCAACTTGGCTGTCGTCAAGAAGTACCTGATGGTTGCGACGTCGTCTCCTAGTACAGATGAAATGGCCTTGTTTGTCACCGACGATACTATCAAGTGGCATCGCGCCATGTTCCCCGCTGCGCATGGCCACAAGATCCACCAAGACGCCTACACCGTTCTGGAGAGCACAAACTACAGCATTCAAGTCGACGTGGTGAACACCGGAACCTCGAATCCCATGGGTGTCATGTTCACTAGCAACTCTAACGGCACCTACTTCATTGAGAACATCGAGCACACGAATCGTAATAGGATGGGACACGTCGACTTCGAGAAGATCACTGGAATTCAAGGCGTTTTTATGGTCAATACTGTAACGAATTGGGAAGAGGTGGAAAAGAACCACAAAGCCGCCAAGGAAGTCGTGAGCAAGATCACGTTCGATGACGGCCGAGAATTCCAAGATTTGAAAGCTGGAGGCGAAAAGATCCACTTACACTCCGTTACGGACCTCGACAATATTGGCAGAGTTTTCTCCAGCCCTGCGCCTGGCCTCGTTCTCGGCATTGGAAACACGGGCAAGTCACTGAAAGCATTTGATGAGGGCGATCTCTACGTCTCGGACGATGCTGGAGTGACTTGGAAGAAGACCTTGGAAGGTCCTTACAAGTACGAATTTGGCGACCAGGGCTCACTTCTGGTGGCCGTCAAGGATTCACAAAAGGAGGATATCGGAGAGGTCAAATACTCCCTCGACCACGGAGAGAGCTGGAAGACTGTATCTCTGCCCAAGGATTTGAAGGTTAAGCCTGAGCTTCTCACTACCACGCAAGATTCCACCAGTCTGAAGTTTTTGCTCGTCGGAAGGACCGGCGGCGGCGATAGCCCCTACTTCCACCTCATCGCCCTCGACTTCGAGGGTTTGCACGAGAGAACGTGTGGAGACGATGATATGGAAGACTGGCACGCTCGCCCTGACGACAACGGCAAGCCTACTTGCTTGATGGGTCACAAGCAGACTTACCGTCGTCGCAAGAAGAAGGCCGACTGTTTCATCAAGAAGGAATTTAAGGATCCCGTCCCGGTCACCGAGGACTGCGAATGCACAGATGCCGATTTCGAGTGTGATTACAACTTTGTTCGAAAGGACGGCAAGTGTGAAAAGGCAGGACCGATTGTTGCCCCTGATGGCGCCTGCAAGAACGCAAAGGCAGATGAGACTTTCAAGGGTTCTTCCGGTTGGCGCCTGATTCCGGGAAACACTTGCAAGCGAAAGAGTGGCGCCCAAAAGGATGACCCTGTTGATCGAAAGTGCGGCGATACGACGACAAGGCCTAGTATTCCCGCTGATGGCAACGTCAAGGCGACCAAGCACACCTTTGACACGAAGAAGATCGAATTCGAGAAGTTCTATCTCGAGCGCGGTGAAACGAACAGGGAAGCTGAGGAGACCATCATTGTTCGACCTGTCGAATACTCGGGTGGCGGCGAGATAATCGACCCCAAGTCGCCGATCTGGCGCACGAAGGACCACGGCAAGACATGGGACAAGATTCTCGAGGACGAGAAGATCCTGGGAATATACCCGCATAGCCACTTCAAAGATACGGTTTTCTTCACAACCGGAACCAAGAAGGTCCTCTACACAATTGATCACGCCGAGCACTTTCACCACTTCGACGCACCCTCCGACCCTGATTCGGCGTTTGGCAACCCGTTGTCATTCCACCCTGACCGGAAGGATTGGCTTATCTGGGTTGGCAAGAAGTGCGAAAAGGATGAGTGCTGGCACGAGGCATCCGTCACGAAAGACCGTGGCGATAACTGGCACACGGCTCTTCGCTATGTTCGCAAATGCGACTTCACAGGAAATAAGGCGTACAAGTTCCGCGATCCCCGCCAGATTGTCTGCTTGGCCAACAAGGAGGAGAACAACGACAAGGGCAACCCCAAGGTCGTTGTTTCCAGCAATGATTTCTTCGAAGAGGACAAACAAGTCCACCAGTCCGACGTCAGCGACTTTGCCACCATGGCCGAGTTCATCGTCGTTGCTGTGGAGGATAAGAAGAATGACGACCTCAAACCGTATGCAAGCTTGGACGGCGTTACCTACGCCGAAGCCCACTTCCCGATCAACTTCAAGGTCGGCCACAAGAACGCGTACACGGTTTTGGACAGTTCCACGCATGCCGTTAACCTCTTCGTGGCCACTTCTTCCGAGGACGGCCGTCGTTACGGAAGCATCATCAAGAGTAACTCCAACGGTACATCGTACGTTCAGAGTGCTGCCAAGGTCAACTGCGACGACAGCTACTACGTCGATTTTGAAAAGATTGGCGGCATTGAGGGTGTTGCTATCATCAACACCGTTGCCAACGCTGACAAGCGCAGCGAACCGAAAAAGATCCAGACGCAGATCACCCATAACGATGGTGCGCAATGGGCGTTCTTGCCGCCGCCTCGGATTGACGCCGAGAAAAAGAATTACAAGTGCAGCAGCAACGAGGGAGATGAGAAATGCGCCCTTCACCTCCATCACTACACAGAGAGACTTGACAAGAAGAAGACATTCTCTGCGGCCACCGCCGTTGGAATCATGTTCGGCAATGGCAACGTCGGCGACAGCCTGGCGTCTATCAAGGATGACTCGATCGAAACCTTCATGTCGAAGGATGCTGGTATCACCTGGAAGAGCGTCAAGAAGGGTGCCTGGACATGGCAATACGGTGATCAAGGCTCCATCGTCGTTCTCGTCCAGCGCTACACGACCGCCAACCCCAAGAAGACGAAGATCATTTCGTACACGTTGGACGAGGGCGAGAATTGGAAGGATTTTACCTTCAGCGAGGAGGAAGTCACCGTGTTGGATATCACATCCCTTCGTTCCGGTGCGTCCCGTAACTTCTTGCTGTGGTGCAAGGGCGACAACGGCGAGATGTTCACCGTCAATATCGACTTTACCGGTCTGACCGACAAACCCTGCAAGAACGAGAAGGACGGCGAAACCGACTACTACACTTGGTCGCCTAAGCACCCGATGCAGGCAGACAACTGTCTCTTCGGACACGTCACACAGTATTTGCGCAAGAAGAATGAGGCGAACTGCTACAACGACGGCAGAATCGACCACCTCTATCAGCTCCAGAACTGCACTTGCACGAGGTCCGATTTCGAATGGTAAGCCGACATCAACCCCCAGAACTCTGTTTCTACTAACACGAATCTCAGTGACTACAACTACGAGCTCGACAACCACAAGCAGTGCAGCCTCGTCGAAGGCAAGTCTCCCTTGTCGGCGGAGCAATGGTGCAAAGAGAACCCCGATGCCGTCGAGTACTACGAGCCCACCGGCTACCGCAGGATCCCCCTCACCACCTGCGTCGGCGGCCAGGAGCTCGACAAGCAGTCCCAGGTCCACCCCTGCGCCGGCAAGGAGGACGAGTTCGAGAGGCGCCGCGGAACCTCGGGCGTCGCCATCTTCTTCGCCGTCGTCATCCCCCTCGGTGCGGCGGCCGCCGTCGGTTGGTGGGTGTACAACAACTGGAACGGCAAGTTCGGCCAGATCCGCCTCGGCGAAACCCCCAGCATGGACGGCGAGGCGCCCTGGGTCAAGTACCCCGTCATCGCCCTCTCGGCCGTCGTCGCCGTCGTCTCGGCGCTCCCGCTCGTCGCCTCCGCCGTGTGGAGGAGCGCGACGTCCGCGTACGAGAGGGTCGGCGGCGGCAGCAGGGGAGGAGGCAGCTGGCTCTCGGGACGCGGCAACCGGCGTTTCACGACGAGGGACAGCTTCGCCCGCGGCAGGGGCGACTACGACATCGTGGACGACGACGAGGGCGAGCTTTTGGGCGACGACAGTGACGAGGAGGTATAGAGGACTTTCGGACCTGAGTAACTAGCCAGGAGAGCGATGACCGAGGGGAAAACCCAGAAACCCCCCTCCCCTCGATGTAGGGCTTGCCGGATCTTCTCTTGTAGCACAGAGAGAGAGACACGGGACGGCGAGCTTCAATACCATGTGACACTACTACTTGTTTTTTTCTTAGGTTGGATCCGGCGTGGGAACGGGCGATAGGGACGGATGGAGGGGTAGATTTTCTCTCTCTCTCTCTCTCTCTTTTTTCTTTCTTCCATTAGAACGAGGGATCATGTATGTTATCAGGCATTGCGATGAAGCCATTGAGCATTTTTCTCGATTGGAGAGTCGCTGGTGTTTCTCGTATTGTGATAATTGCGTTGTGACTACCGACGGGGTTTCAATGTTCCTGTAGTGTGGGAGCCTCCTCCGTCCTCCTCTCGGGATAGAAAGGTTTCGAAGCAGTCGCGCGGTCGGATGCGAATGTTCATCAGCATGTTTGCGAAGGAAATGCAGTTGGGTAAGGTCGCGTCAACGTCAAGCCGCAAAGGACAGTCTGCGATAACACTCAACTAGCCGGTGACAGGGGGAGCAGTTGGGTAAGCAGGCTGGCCACTAGACAAATCCGCCTACCTAAGTTGATGCACCCAACAAGTTCCCAATAAAGGGACTTCTGTCGTCGATATCAATCCGGGCTCAGAGAGCGCGGTGTTTGTTCTGTTCCTCAAAGTCCAACAACGTGGTAAATGCGTTGGTAGAAACTTGAGTGGCTTTCTCTTACACAGCGAAATATAAAAACACGAACAGCGAAAAGAACGGAGATGCCGAGCGTGATCTGCGCAGATTCGTCTCCTCAGTCCAGCCTTGAAGGGCTGCCGGGTTCCTCAGGTAATTCGCAGGCGAAAGGATGCCAACGATGGAGCCCGCGAACATCGTGGAGCGATGCCGAGCAACACTCCCCGGGCCGGGGCCGGTCAAAATGCACCCTGCGTCCATACCCACAGCCCCCGAGTCGGTTGACCGCTTCGTCTTTGCTTTATCGTCTCTGTTCACGTTTGGGAAGATGATTCGACTCAGAAATTACCTGGGTGGTTGATTCCTTTCCCGTTGGGCTGAGGTGGGCACGTGGGCCGTGGTTTGCAGGAAGGGGCGGACGGCGAACCAAGCCGAAGCTTTGGTGAAGCCGTGAGAGTAGTGAGTGCTGATCTTGAAGTCTCGAAGGGGCTGGATTGCGAGATTTGCAGAGTCAAGCATTTCCAGGTCCCTCCTTTCGCCCCAATCATCCCATCTGATCGTCGTCGAAGTCGTCGGATTATCTCCTTGGGCTTGCAAGGTAAGAAGTGGACGTTTCCGAGGACAAGACAGATCCGACCGGGAATAAAAGAGGCCGACAAAGGGGGAGAAGGCTAGCGTAGTGACATTGGTCGCACTCTCTGCGCATTGGGAGATTGGCAGATGAGGGCAAGATTGGATCTTGGGGGTTTTGGGGGAAGTGATCTACAACTTGACGGGCCGGGCTGAGGTGCGCGTGCAAGGTTGTGTGGTGTTGGGAGGGGCCGAGTCTGGAGATGCGGCGGGAGAATACGAGGCAAATAGTGGAGGGACTGCAGCTCTCGGCATTCTTTTGCAGGGAAGCTGAGCTGGGGAGGATAAGGCGGAGATGGCTGCAAAGGCGAGCAGGAGCAGGGATTGGGACTGGTAGGATTGAGGCAAAAAGAAGCAAGGCGTGAAGGAGAAAGAAAAAGGGGGGATTGAGCACACTCCACTATGAAGCTATTCATGAAATCGCATTTGTGAAGGTTCCCGCGGGAGATTTGATGTCCACTTGGCGGGATTAGCATAAATCCTGCTGGTGGATGGTTTTGTGCACGACGAAGGATGTGTCTTTGCGGAGAGTTGCAGTTGGCCAAAAGTGTGGCGGTACGCTGATTCTGCTGGTCTTGGTCATTGTAACGCTCAACATGAGGGTTTATTGGACTTTCAGTATTTGCGTCGTCGTATCCTGTGATTTAAGGTATTCCGGGGACGGCGTATTTACCGGATAACCGAAGGGGAACTGGAGTTGTCAGTCTACCCGGAAAAGTTTAAGCAGACCTCGAGAAACAAGGCTCTGGACCCCCTGGCAGCATTGCCCTCACAATGGTTGCAACCGACATCATCCATAGGCTAGAAAGCGGTGGTAATAATCCGCGGAACCGCGCTGCCAAAATGGCGGGCAGAAAAGAGAGCGCAATGTGCCGTATTCCCAGACAAGACAACCTGCGGCGGCGTTGTTCCATGCAGCGAACACCAGACGTTGGGTTGCGGTACCCACACTGCGGAAAGCACCTGGAATGACGCAGAGCGAGCAAAGAGCAAGCTGGAGGCCGTTCGGGCTTGCTTCTGGTGAGGCGTTTTAGTGTGCGGCCAGGTCTCAAAGGAGGTGATTTCTGGTCTCTCGGGTAATTTTTCTCGTGGTTGGCCCTGCATGAGGTGGCAGGCCGCATTATGCAGGTACAGCTGCAAGCCTGCAGAGCAGTGCGCTGACCTCACTTGGTGACGACCTTGTCAGACAGGTCCGTCAGCTGATGCCTCGCCCCTTTTCCCGATCTTTCGCCCCGGCTTTTCGAAGTTTTGCACGGATATTGGGAGGTTGTGAAGTAACGTCTTGGAAGAAATTCCAGATTCCGCGGTGATCTATCGCGGCAAATGATGCAGATGGCGGACTAGGCGCCGTTGATTTAGCCACGAAAACGAGATTGCGGGGGAATTTCGTCTCTGAGTGCCTAGAAGAAGAAGGTCAGTCCGGTTCGAGATTTGGGTGACACGGTTCCATTTCGTTTCTTTCCCAAAGCGTCAGGATGATCATCATCATAATCAGCGTAGGGCAGGAGGCGAGAATGGAATGTTGCTGCTGGTGTCGTTTCGAAGTCCCGGTCTGGTTGTCGGCCGCTGTTATCCAGCTAGACCTTGACCATGTCCATGCGAGGCGAAGGACGCAGATTGGACGAAGAAGCTAAGGTTGGCGGCCCTTGATACGAAAATAAACTGTCATCAGGGCCAAACGGAACGGCTATTCGTGAGAAGTTAGAACAGGCCGAGAGCCCATGTTAAAAAATGAGCAGACCGAATCATGTGGTCGGACTGGATCAACAGGCACTGACTGGACCAGAACCAGCCGCTGGACATTGCTGAGAACAGAGATGTGATGGCATGGCTTCAGGTCGTTCTTCCTTCAATGTGTGTTAGGTAGTGCCAAGCCAATGGAAGAGGACGATGCCGGAGACCGTTTCGTTAGGAAGACTGAGGGAGGATTTGCAGGGTTCAGAGAAGGAAGACCACCAGCAGAGAAAGAGAGAGAGGTTCATCTAATTTTTTCTGGGTCCTTGGTGCTAATGTCGCTTAGCTAATTTCCCGGGCGCGACCTGTCCCAGGCCGCCAATTCGCTCATTCGCTCCTCCCCTCCTGCTCGTTGCAAGGCACCCCCGCACGTCGCAGATCCCTCCCCAATCAGTGAGCTGCCAGTTCGGGTACCTTGCAGCTCCGCTCTTTCCTTTGGCTGTTCCTCGTGGTGGTGGCTGCTGCTGTTTCTGAGAGGTGTGCTGGGCTCTCACCTCCCCTATTTTCCATGTCTCACTCTGTCTGTCGCGGCTGTTTTCTTCTTTTTTTCGCCTCGTCTGTTGCTGATACGGCGGCCTAGAAGCTCTCATCCTGTCTCTCAATCGTCCGTTCTCTTTCGTCTTTACTCCGTATGTATACGGCTATTCCAGCTGCCGACTCGTCAAATGGACAATCAAACACCATCCATCACCAGTGGATTCGGTTGGTCAAGGACTCGCCCCAGACTCTTGGATTCTTGTCACCTCTGTCTGCTCACCTGTCTGGTCAGTTATTCGCTGCGAGCTGGATCGTCTTGGCTGTCCAGATACGGCGCCCAACTACGCTTAACCGGGATTGCCATCTCGCCTCCCCTTTTCAGTGCGCGCTGTCAATGGCCAAGACCGACAACGGTTGGTTATCCCCGACTCGCCGTCGGTACAATCTTCAGATTACAATGGATTACAATGTTGTTGTTCTTCAGCCTGTCTGACCGAAAGCCCTTGGCTTGGTCTGGCTTGGCCTCCCGTGATCGATCACTCAAGCCCCCCGCCCATGATCTTCTGCTTCGAGTTGAAGCTCTTTGGATGATGGAAGCGATTGTGGCTACTCGTTCTGTTCTAGCTCTTGTTTCTCAACTTCCTGCCGTGGCTTGTTTTGCTGGCAAAGGTCACCTTGCTCTGCTTCTTGTGCACACTAAAACGACGCTTCTCTGGAGATACGTCCACATGGTCACGGCCATGGCCCGACAAGCCATGGATGAACCGGTTCCCCCGTTGGTAAACAACCTGGAAGTGTCACCCACACGGACACGGGCACACCTATGCTTAGTTGCCCACTCGTCCACATCTGGGCAATCCACATCCATCCATCCTGGTGGTGGGCGGGCTACACACCGCACCGCGTCGTGCACACACCCCAGTTCGACCCTCTCAGGACAGGGACCGTCGTGGGACCCCCCCAGCTCAGGGACTCTTCTCAAGTCGTACCCATGAGACGTACGGATACTAGCCTTCTTCCTAATCTAATCACCATACATAATAATAACATCCTAGTCCCGCCAGTTTCTTTCCCTCTCTTCTCTCCTTTCCCTTCCTCACGAAAACACCGTCAAATGAGTTGATGCCGTCAACGTAGTTTCGTCGTCCTTTCGTCCTCTCATCACCGAACCTTCACTACCGCTTCACTCTTTTAGCGGGCATTCGCTTTCTCGTACCGACACTATACGTCGATAATACTCACAAAATCCCTCCAAAAAAGGCAACTTAATATTCAATCATGAAGGGCTCCGTCTTCGCTGCCGCGGCCGCGGCCATCGGCGGTGCCAGCGCTGCTGCTCACCACCGCCACGCTCACGGCGAGCTGTTCAAGAGAAGCGCCGAGGGCTCCGTCTGCTTGCCCAGCTGCACCACCATCTGGACCACCGTCTACGGCGAGCCTACCCGTGAGTAAACCCTCGTTCTGCCCACTGTCCATCTGATCGCGAAGGCGTGAAGATCACGACGGCTGAATCTGAGAGATCGTCATACTGACCTGAAGATCAGTGGTGCCCAACCCCCCCAGCAAGCCGTCCTCCGCCGTCACCACTCAGGCTCCCGTCCCGACGTCCACCTTCAAGCCCCCCGTGGACCTGCCGACCCCCGTCCCCGAGGTCTGCCCTACCCCCGGCACCTACACCTTCCCGGCCACCACCATCACCGTGAGCCAGACCACCACCGTCTGCGGCGCCCAGACTACCGCCGTCCCCTCCGGAACCCACACCTTCGGCGGTGTCACCACCGTTGTTGAGAGTGCCACCACCGTCGTGTGCCCCTACGCCACCGAGAAGACCAAGGACGGCGTCGTCACATCCGTCGTCGAGACCACCACCTACGTCTGCCCCACCCCGGGAACTTACACCATTGCTCCCACCACGATCGTCGTAACCGTCCCGACCACCACCTGCGTCTACCCCGTCGTGACCACCGTCGTCCCCGGTACCTACACTCGCCCCGCCGTCGTCACCACCGTCACCGAGACCAGCGTCGTCGTCGTCTGCCCCTTCACCTCCGAGGAGCCCAAGCCCACCTCCGTCGCCCCTGCTCCTACCACCCAGGCTCCCGCCCCTACCACTGAGGCCAAGCCCACCACCGAGGCCGCCGCCCCTGCGCCCACGACCTCCGTCGTTGAGGCTCCCAAGCCTTCCAGCGTCTCCTCTTCCGCCCCGGCTCCCTCTTCCACCAAGCCCGCCACTGGCGGCGGCCTCGGCGGCAGCAACGGCGACCACTGGGCCATCACTTACACCCCCTTCTCCGAGGACGCCTCCGGCTCTTGCAAGACCGCCGACCAGGTCGACTCTGACATCGCCTCCATCAAGAAGTCCGGCTTCACCACCGTCCGCGTCTACTCCACCGACTGCTCCACCCTCGAGAACGTCGGTTCCGCCTGCGAGAAGTACGGCCTCAAGATGATCATCGGCATCTTCGTCAAGCAGACCTGCGACCCCAACTCCCAGGAGATCAAGGACCAGGTTGATGCCATCACCGCCTGGAAGAAGTGGTCCATGGTCGAGCTCGTCGTTGTCGGTAACGAGTGCATCTTCCAGGGCCGCTGCTCCGCCTCCTCCCTGAAGCAGCTCATCGTCTCCGTCAAGTCCACCATCTCCGGCGCCGGCTACTCCGGTCCCTTCACCACCGCCGAGACCGTCGGTGTCTGGCAGCAGACCGACGTCATCTCCGAGATCTGCGAGGCCGTCGACATCGTCGGTGGACAGATCCACCCCTACTTCAACGCCGAGACTTCCGCTGCTGACGCCGGTACCTTCGTCAAGGGCCAGATCGAGCTCCTCGAGTCCAACCAGATTTGCGGCGGCAAGAAGGCCCTCAACCTCGAGTGCGGCTGGCCCTCCGGCGGCTCCTGCAACGGCAAGGCCTGCCCCGGTAAGTCCGAGCAGGCCCAGGCCATCGCCTCCATCAAGGAGCTCGCCGGTGGCAAGACCGTCTTCTTCTCTTTCCACAACGACGAGTGGAAGGACCCCGGTGCTTGCGGCTGCGAGCGCACCTGGGGTTGCGGTGACCTCTTCTCCCTCTAAGCGCGAGTAGAGAGTCGAAGCAAAGGCGCCCGGTTTGGAAAACAACGGCATGAATCATTTCGAGAACCAAGGACTCATGTCCCCATGACGTTGCTCCAAGATATAAGGATTCGAAAAAGATGTACATGAAATATCCCACCACTTTCTATCCGACGACACGACGTTTTTCTTTCGCACAGTCAATTGGATACCCCCCTACCTCCTTCAGTATCATCAGGAGAAGACAGCAGCAGATGCGACGAGCGAGAACGCCCCCGCCGGGATCTATATGTATCATATTGTTTACCGTCTTTTATATGTACATATATGTGATTTTTTTCTCTGCAAAGCGTTCTTCCCCTATGTAATTGCTTGGAGACGTAACGATAAGGATAAGACGAGCCGGTCACGGAATCTTCAGGAAGCGGAAAAGAAAAGAGAATATTATTTCATGTGTCACTCGACAAACCCTGCCACATCCTTAATGTGATCCTGATCATTTTTTGTGACGGTCACTGCGAACCTGCGTGAAGTGACATGTAACATTCAACAGTCCAGTACTCAATATTCAATATAGCACAGCTTATGCCAACCGCACTTCCTCTTCAGGAGAGACGTCACACTCCTCACACACGACCGTCGAACGCCATCCAACATTCAACCACCACAAAAACCTCCAGACGAACCAGCAACGTTCGTCCGGAGTGGAAAATTGGCGCCGCAAACCCCCCCTTTTCTCCCGGTCAAGCTGATCATCGACGGTCAATAGTCCCCGACACGCACCTCATCAAAACACGGTCTTCGTCACCTCCAACAAACCCCAATCAAACAAAACACAATGACTCTCGCTCCTTTTCCTACTCCGTCGACATTTCGTTTCAGGTGACCGACCGGAATTCCATAAAACACAAATAGTCTATCGTTTGGTGGCTTGCCACTAACTCAAATCGAACCGTGGGCTTCTTCTTCCTCTTCTAATCTCATCAAATACAAAAGGGAGCTAGCTAGCTACTCATAAGCGCCGGTCTAAAAAAAAAAGTCCCCGCAGTTGAGAGAGGAAGGGGAATGGATCATTTCTCAACGATCGATAGTGACCTACCTAGCTTTGCTGGTTGGTCACTTACTTGTCTCGTCAGGTCGGAAAAGGGGGGGGGGGGAAGGAGACTTGCTTCGACTCGACGGTGGAACGGGATGGGATTTTTCTACCGATGCAAATCACCCCCAGACATCTTATTCAGCACACGCAAACCATCAGCCCTGGATTAGACCCAGCTCATCCAACATGCCGTCCCCCGTTCATGGAAACCTGAAAGTAAACATAGAACGTCATCATATTCCTCGTGCGAACGTCGTTCCCCATGAACCGATATAAAATATGTTGCTAACCAAACACAAAAAAAAAACAGAGCTCCCATATGTCCTTGTAAAAGATTCACAAAAGCACACGGTGCTGTGGCCATTCAGAGGATGAAATAAACAAGAACCGCTGACACCGGGTTCCGTATGCCATTTCCGTGACGTCGTTAAGAATCCTATGCAAAAACAAGTCTACCGCGCTGTGCTCCAAAACAAAAAAGAATATGCTCGGTTGCTGATGGCCATCCATTCCCCTTCCTCTCGAGGCCCTTCTAAATGGTAATAATGAAGAACTCGGTCTGTACAGTGAGAAGCAAGGCGACGCGAGTGCTGCAAAATAAACATGCCGCTTCATGCAGCGCCGATATTTAGCCCGCGACAACGGCTGATTCGAACCGAGTAGCCCTCATGTGATAATATATGTCCTGGGGTATCAATGATCTCAAAAGGGCTCCAAGTCGTCAAAGACTGATACCTTCCTTTCCCACTGGATGGGCGACGTCGGTCGCTTAGACGATTCGTCGTCAGTTGCGCCTCGTTTTGTTCTCCACCAGGCATCTCTCGAGGTCTGCTGGTTCGCTGACTCGAATTCCCAGGAGCCCATATCGTGACGTTCCAGCTGAACCAAGCCGCCACGTGTCCGATCCATACAGAGAACGTTGAGGTCCTGGCCGTCATTTGAGAATTCCACCCCTCCTATTTCTCCAAAAATGTCAAATGTCTGCTTGTGACGGAGAGTTTGAACGTTGATGATGTTGACAAAGTCTGCCTCCTCGGCGGCAACAAGCACGGGCGGGCCGCTACCCGTTGGCGAGAACCGCAGACTTCGGACACCAGCCATTTCTGAGCGTATCGTGGCGAGTGGCTTGCTGGAGCCATCCGATTTCGTCCACATTCGAGCGTCCCAAATCTTGACGCTCATATCCTGAAAACCGGTCGCAACAGTCCAGCCGTCGTCCGACCAGTCGCATGCGAACCCAAAGTCACGATGGCCGTCCAGCTCTCGAAGAATCTCCCCAGTATCCGCATTGGCGATCATAACGTCGTAGTTATCGCCGACCATCACCCGCAGGCGACGGTCAGCTGAGAGCGCGGAACAGTTGATGGGGCAGGGGTACTGCGTCTCCATGACGAACTTTTCCGTAGCGACGTCCATGACGCGAAAACCTTGGTCGTTAGATGCAAATGCGGCCATTGCTGATGAATTTCGTGATTCGTGAATCTGCAGATGATTGGTGATGCCGCTAATGTGGTTGGTAATCTGCCCTTCCGTGTACTTCTTGTCTTGACTGTGAATGTTACGCATGCAGTATTCGCCGTTGAAAGTACCGGCGATGAGGACGCCACAGTTGGCATCCAACGTTGAAATTTGAACGCCTCCCAGGTCCGTCAGATCCATGGCCACCTCGCTGTGACCAGACACAGGGTTGAGCTGATGTATAGCTCGCTGTCCTGGGTAGAAAGCACGGCTTCTCCCCGCGCAAGCGAGGATGTTACGCAGCTGGAAGTGGGCTAGATGGACGTTTTGCCGGATATGCATGCGGCGGAACCTGAAGAAATCTTCAACATTCCAAGCGGCTCGATCGGGGAAGTCGTTCTATATAGCTCATGTCAGCCTCGCCGCGGGCCTCACCAGACAAATCTGCAAATCCTTACCTGCCACTTGTCCGAACCTGTCCTATTGGTGTAGTTCTTGTACATCAACCTTCTGCGCTCGCGAGCTTTCGATCGAGTTACACCAAGATCCTCCCAGTTGATGCCTTGTATATCACATTCGTCACCTTCGAGGTCCGAATATTGTACTCGCGGGATCTTCTTTGCAGCTTGCGCTGTGATGGACTGAATTCCGGGACTGGGCCCCCGAAGCTGGTAACGGGCACCACGATTACGCCACGCCCATTCTTTTAAGAATTCTTTCAGGCAGTGGTTCTCCGGTCCAAGAGTGCTAGGGTTGGGGTTGCTGACAGCTGGGGGACCTTCGTCTTGCCATGCGGCGGCCTCTTCTTCGTCGATGGCCATAGCCCCGTGCTGCTGGAATTCCCCAGCAAGACTGGAAATGACGACCGGGTTCGTCGGTTCCAAGAAGTCGTCATCGTCATCGTCTTCCACACCGCCGCCGTTCAGCATAGGATGAAAGGGAATAGTGTTGAGCGGGGTGGGGTGGAAGGGCCCTGTCGGGTCAAAAACCGATACGCTCCAGTAGGACGTCATATGTGCAGGAGGCGCTGTAGGCGACAGGTGATTCTCGTAGGCAGCGTGGGTGAAGTCTTCGGGATGAGGACTTCCAGGATGGTCTTCGGGGTGACTCGAGACAGGCTCGGCGTCTGGCCCGGGAGACAGTACGCTGGTGGCAGGCATGACATTTCCCAAGGGAACACCTCCGTCGCTATCGCTCATATCCATATCTTCATCGTCATCCTCGTCATCGTCGTAATCTTCGTAGTCCTCGTAATCGCCGTACTGATCGTGAAGAAAGGCACTCGAATCGTGGTAGTAGGATGGCGGCGCTACCGGGAAGTTTGGTTGGTAGTGGACGGGACCGGTGTTCATGTACGCGTGTTGGTCGTAGGCAGGACCTTGTGCAGGTGGTTCTTGGGCGTGGTCGTGCTGGCCGGGCTCGCGGTGAGGTTGGTGATCGTGCGGAGGAGCGTCGATTGGCGGCGGAACACCAGCGAAGAGGGGGTGATGGTTCGACGTAGCCGAAGTTGCCTGTGCCTGAGAAGGCTGGGCGGCAGTTTCTGAGGTTCTTGGGCGCATCGTGATTGCTTCAAGTCTGAATCGTGGCCCGAATGGGCATCATTGAGGACCGGGTCGCAGCGGACTGGTGGACGTCGTCAGTCGGACAGGAATGACTTGACATGCGGTCGAGGCAGAAAATGTTAGATTTCCCCCTCAGTCCCAGGTCCCTCTTTGGGACAAGTTGTTGACGGGGGCCAACGACCGGTGTGATTTGCAGATCAAGGATTCCTTCCGTTGCTTCTTTCTCCCTCTCCGCGCAGCCCAAGCACACCAGACACAAATCCAATCTCGCGCAGGCAGTGACCGGTGTGCGACGTCTATACGGGATAGTGACAAAATATGTGTTGTATCGGGAACTTGGAGTAGGAATATGTCGTCAATTCGAACCTAGCAGTACCATCGGCCGGGCAGGATAGTCGTGGGATGTGTGGTAAAGGGTTGTGTGTTCGTCTTCTGGCGAACAGGCAGAAAGGATGACTTCGTCTGGTCCGGGCTGTCGAGAATGCGGTCAGGCGTAAGGTCAGGTCGAGTCCAGTGCTGGTGTTGTAGCAGGGCGGGAGCGGGAATGGGACCCGAGCGGGATGTCTTTCACTGGGATCCAAGGACAATGGAGCACTTCTACTCCGTTCAGTAAGGGAAGGTACCTGAAGGTGATGAGAGTAAGGTATTAGAAGGCGCGCCAACCAAATACCGCACAGCGCTGCGAGGCGGTCCAGCGTAGCATTCCATGGCACAAGGGTGCCAAGCGGACTAAAAGTACATCGTCAGAATAGTGACCTAAATTGATTAACAATTTAAGTGTCTTTTCATGTACCTTCAAACGTCAAGTACACATTACGGCGATGCTGTGACACGGCCCGATCCCCTCAGCTCTCACTAAATTACTCGGTGCTGAGCAGAGGAGCCATTGTTTTTGTGGATTCTATCGGAAGCTGTGGAGGACAAGAGTTTCCCTCCACTATCGGATCCCTACGTACAGCAGGTACTTCCAACAACCGACTGCGGTCACGGTCACAGTCACAATCACAATCTCATTTCTATTCCCCCAGCCGCCGCCGGATCGAAGGTCGAGATAGAGTCAAGATCGCGGCTTCCATCCAGGGAAAACACAGCAAGCAAGACAGCATTGCCTCTGACCAGTACTCGCAATGCGGTGGTGCTGGTGCTGGTGCTGGTGGAGTCCCATCACCAACATTCAGACCGGAGGCATGCATCCCAGCCAACCTCAAGCCGCGGGCACAAGAACCCTGTCGTCTGCTCTGCATCTCTTTCTTTTCTGCGCACAGAGGGAGGACTATTATTGGGAAACGACCCCGGTCACCCAGTTTAGCACCCGACAACTGGCTCCGCCGCCGATTCTATGGACGCCACCTCCAATATCATATGCATGGCTGACTCTGAATAGAAATTGGTGTGCGGTGTTGAGCCCAAGGGAAATCTGGCAGCGAGCCATCACACTCTTACTCTCTCACTCTGGAGGATGAGGGATGGACGGCGCTTGGCTTGGGACACAGCAGTAGCTCACATTCTTAGGCCCGAGCCCGACCACCTCATGTCACACAAAAGGAGCGTCCCTTCCTAAGGATCGATTGCATTGTTCTGGACAAGCAGTAGTCGCCACAATTGGCAGGACTCCCTGGCCTGCTCCTACGGACGGAGAATAATATGGTCAGCTTCAGCTCGCATTCTCCCTGCTTCATCCTGCCCTGTTCCTTCCAGAACGTGGACCACTTCGCTTCTTCAACTCACTCTGACGTCACAGCCCAGTTGACGTTCAGACGTTTGATAATAGCCTTCAACGTCTTTGGCGGACCTGACTCTCGCAGCAGCGCTAGTCGGTCATGAGCAACTCCAACAAAAGCCATGCAACCACATCCGGCGTCCCAAGCATGCTCTAGTGCGCGACACACTCTCGACGCGCTGCTTACCTACACGACTTTGCAGATCCCAGAGGCACCGACGAGAGCAGAAGAAACCAACCACATGTCGAGGTATCCGGCGGTTCCAACGGTGGCTAAACGGTCCTTTTGTTCTTCAGCCTCCCTGTAATCGCTGCCTCTCCCCATTCACTCTCGCTTGTCGCCCGTCGGATTTGAGCTTTGACGAAAACGAGGGCACGTTGGAATGATATTTTCCACAACTCCAACACTCACAATGTGATCTGTCACTCGAGTCTCTCTCTCTGACCTTGGTCGCCCGGGGTGCCAGCCCGCACTTATGTAAGTCGTTGGATTAGGAAAGCCCCTCTTCCAACTTCCTCGCTCACCGACTGACACCTGGCAGCGGAAACGGGCAAGAACGGTCAGCAGAACCCTGTCTCTTCTAGATCCCCGACGGCATCCTTCGAGGCCAATACTCTCATCTTGTGAGCGACTCGCATCTATTCGTACACACCGCCGAAGCCGCCTCATTCGCCAACTAACCCCTATAGAAGCTGACATAACGACCAACAACCCAGCCGAGTCCAAAATCTGACCAACTGCAACATCGACCAGAAGGCACAGTAACGAATCGATGATGGGGTCCCTAGAAGGCCGTTGCCGTTCGCCAGCTGTCATGAGAAACAGAGTCCACCCCCAACCACCCGCCCGCGTGACAGAAAGGCCCGTTGAGGTGATCAATCACATTCGGCAGCGTGCTGATGCCCCCGAGTTTCAACCATCCAAAGCTGACCCATTCTCTCCGAGACTCCGGCTTCCACCTCCGCAACGTCGTTTCTTTTTCCACAACTCGCCTCCGTTGCTTACAATTTGTCTGCCTGTCCGGCCCCTTGCCTATCACGCAGGGACTTGGAAGCACAACAGGGGGGCAGACAAAGGTTGTTATCACCTCTCACAGAGACATGTTTTGTTAAATAGCCTGCCTGCACAACTTCGCTGTGCCATCGAGGGGTTCGGCAAGATCCTTCAGCAGGCACGGCCGACCGACAGGATGAAGGTCGATAAATCAAGCCCAAACACTTCGAATCTCACAGCATGATCCGACCAGCTCGCTCGTGAGAGATACAGTGCTACCCGGAAACAGATTTCGAACTGCCTCGGGCCAATCACCATCAAATCGACAATACAGCCTCGGGGCCATGAAAACTCTTGGTGGGATTTGCACGCGAGCCTTGCCCTCTAGACCAGTTCATTGCCAACGTCGTTACCGGCGCCAACCATCCCGACTTGTTAAAGGGAGGGGCGGGTACTCCCCCCGTCCCAAAATCATTCTAGAAAACAAACAGGAAGCACTGCTACCACCCCCAACTCGCTGCGCCTCGGGTACGAGCATATCGCCCGTCCCACGGCACACCGGTCAAGAATATGACCAAGGGGGGAAACGAAGAAAAAGAAACAATATGCCCTCTATTATCCATCTCTTGCGCGTTCTCCGCTGTGGTACCCGAGAGTCAACAACCGCCCGAACCCTCATCGGGCAAAGACCGTGCGCTTTTCCCTTCGAGGCACGAAGCTGAAGTGATTATGGAAAAAAGGCGAGCTCGCAAGAGAGGTTCGCACGGGAACGAATGCGAAAACCGACCAACGAGAACCAGCAGAAACCAGAAATGAGCATGTCTCGGCTACCCGCAGCCATACCTAATCGCCCAAAACCCCTTTCTCCCCCTTCTTTCACCCGTCGTCTGTGGTTTGTATTATTAATTGCAACATTCCGCCCTGCGCCCAGCACCCGTCTTGTCGATAACATGGCCTCTGCCTGCCGGGGGCAAGAAGCTCGTCGCGGCTCCACATCCTCACCGGGCCGCCGGGATCTCCAATAATAAGATCCGTCCCCCCTCGCATCCCGACCCATCCTCGATGAGTTCGAAGACGAGGCAGCATAGCAAGAGCAGGAGGCCTCGACCGTCGTCTAACTCTCATGCTCAAGCCTTTCATATGACGCTCAAAAACTCAAAGCATTTGAATTCCCGGTGAGGAGAAGCTCTGGTGTCCTCGGCGTCAAAGCCACACACATCCTTCTCTCATCGACGTCTTGCAGATAGGATGACAAAAAGCTCCTACAATCCGCGAAACGCGGGACGGGACGCAAGTAAGAATGCCAAAAAAGAAAGAAAGCAGGAAACCAGACTCCCCAACTTCTCCGAAACAGTGTCGTTCGCCGCCAAAGTCACGCCTCATCCTTCGTTGATCACGCGGCACACTCCCCTCGCTCAAGTCACTAACAGAAGTAAGACCACAGTCTTTTCTGACGGCTTGTTTACATAGAATTCTACCTCTCCGGGCATTTTGGTTCTCAGTAGCTGGGTTATATATGGAAAGAGTCGGCGACAAAGGTGAAATTCTCTAGCCATCTACCTCGTCCACCGCTGGAGGAGATGAGCCAAAAAAAACAAATCCAAGAAATCTTGGACCGGAAACTAGGCGTGGTCGGTTACACAGGAGCCAGCCGCCACAGTCATTTTACTGCATTTTCACCCCTCCCCTCTTTCTCTTCTCTTTTCTTATTCCGATACCCTCCTGTACTTAGCTCTACGTGCCCAGCTGATGTAAAATGATGTGCTATCCCCAAAAGGCCCAAAAAAGCGCGGGCATCTGACTGGGAAAATCTCACAACGATGCGTCTGTGGCGTTCTCTCTCGGCCGGAACGACGAGGCTCAGCGGCAGCAATCACATCAACCTTCCTCAAAGAATGTCAATTATGTGCGTCAGTCACGTCCGTATCTCCTCTCCAAGATGGAGATGGCCGGGTTCACGGTCTCGTGTTCATGTCTTGTCAGAAGGGCGGCAAGTTGAGGATGGGACAGATGGACCAAGGAGCGGAATCAAAAGACGGGGTGAATTGATCGCTACTGCAACAGCTCCAAGATATGTACAAGACCGGAGACATCCCGTGCCGTCGTCCTCCGTGGAGGTCGACTATAAAAGCAACTGCATACAGCCCGCCGTTACCGAGGACCCCGAACGAGAAAAAACACAATGCGAGACGCGGGGTGTGGGACAAAAACAAGCAAAAACAACATCAAAGTTTCCAGTTACGCAACCAACACACTCGGCCGTCCCCCATTATTACAAATGCCGACGTTCTCTCAACTATACTGCTCTGATTCGTGGCTCCCTCCTTTTGGTGTTGGTAACAAGTCATAAAAACAAAAACAAGGCCATGATCACGCCTTTCGTATAATCCCATTGTATCCTCATGCTGCTCAAACAAGAACGCCCGCCATGTGTGATTTTGCTTTTATGCGTCAGAGTGGTAGTACTCATCGTTGTACTGGTGGCCAGGAGGCATCGACCAGGTGTTGCCCCCGCCGACGACGTTCTCCTTGGAGCCCCAGTAGTTGCTGCGCGTGCGGCGGTCGCGCTCGAACTCGGCCCACCTCTTCATGGTGATCTTGCTGCTGTCGAATTCACCCTCGTACTCGAGACCCGCCTTCTTCGTCTTTTCGCCTGCTGTCTTTCTGGTGTCACCCCAGGAGAAGTCGTCGAACTTCCAGAAGGCGTACGTGGGAAGGACAAAGTTCCAGATGGGGAGGGAGACGAGGTAGATCAACATCCATACGACGTAAGACCACGAGTGAGCGGTGATAACGATCAATACTGCGGGCAAACCGAGAATGAGACCCAAAAGGACGAGTGGAATGATTTGCGGCGGTTGGTTGACGATAGAGATGATGACTGACAGTGTTAGCTAGAATCTCTTGAAAGGCAGATAGTGAATACTTACCGACGTAGAAGGTGAAGGCAATAGCAGCAGGCAATACGAGAGTTCCCATTAGCTCGATAAAGACGACAAACTGCATACTGAAGCAGAAAGTACCGCAGAGATCACGGACCAGGACCAGTTCCATCAAGTTGTGAATGGTAGAGTTGATCCAGCGACGACGCTGGGAAAGCAGAACGCCAAAAGAGTCGGGGACAGTGGTCTTGCAAACGGCTTGAGGCACGAAGACCTGCTTTCGCTTGGGGAAGGTGCGGAGCATGAGAGTTGTAAGGTAACGATCCTCACCGAGCAGCAGAAGGTTCTTCTTGTGCAGGGTGTCCACGACGTTCTCGGAGTAGTGCTCGACGATGTCAGGGTTGGCCAGGATGGGAACCCAGTAGTCCTGAGCTCCCTTGGGCGCCTTGATGCGGTACATGCAGAAACAACCGGGCAAACAGGTGACACCACCAAAGACAGACTCGAAGGATTTGGCCAAGTGATGGGAGATGAAGTATTCAAAGACCTGGATGGCGGAAACCCAGCTGTCTCGTTTGTTGGCAATCTTCGTTTCTCCGCAGAGACCCATGATCTCGGGATCCTTGACCATGGCGGAAACCATATGAGTCAAACTGTCGGGGAAGACCTTGGTATCGGCGTCGACCATGAGCACTATCTCATAGAAGTCGGGTGAGATACCCGTAACCTTCCAGAGACCATTGAACATTTCGTACTCGAGCTCAGTCATGCGTTCATCGAACATGACCTTCTGAAGGAAGGACATCAGAATGATTTGACTGTCACGCTTGCCACGGTTGCCAGGCTTGGACTTGGAAGCCTCATCGGGAGTACCGCACTTGACAACAAGCAGCACAGGAACCCTCTGCTGCTTCTCAAGGGGAATAGCGGACTTGGTGCCGTAGTCGTAGAAACCAGAATAGACCTTAGCCATGTTGTGTCTCTTCGAGCCACTGGCAACCGCTACGTAAGAGAAGGGCTCGACCTCCTCGGGGAGAATGGTGTGGTCCTTCATCATTGCCAAGCAGTAGTCTGGGGTCGACATCGTCTCGCCCTTGCCCTTGATGATACCGTCGCAAATAATGACGATGACCTTGTGGCTGTTGGGGTAGTCGGTCATGGCGATAGAGTCCAGAGTAGTTCGGAGACCGAGATCACCCTCAGAATAGGCGGTAACCAAGCACATCGTATGAGCCAGGGGGAAGCCAAAGGGCATCCAGTCAGCAGGCGGTTGAGGGACAACAGCCTCGTGGATGAAGCCCGCCGGTCCAGGACCTTCAGTGGTGGCATTGCCAGTGTAAGGATCCGAGCGAAGGAAACTGGTGCGGCTGTCATTGCCCTGACGATACATGGCATTGCCCGGGGGGTGCAGCATATTGCTGCCTGCACCAGAGCTGGCCATGGTCATTGGCGCGCGCTTTCCACCAGGAGGTACAGCACCCGCGCCGTAGACAGCAGAGAAACGAGAGGTAGTGGGAAGGAATGAGCTGCCACGCTTGCTGGTGCGATCAGAAGAGCCGTTAACACTGCTTCCAACATCACCGGGCAGTCTGGGAGGAGCTCGGTAAATGTCCTCGGACCAATCCTCAATCTGGCGGTTACGCTTGCGCTTGTCGCCGGTCTGAGATGTCTTGGATGCGGCGTAGGTTCTGCTGATGAACCACTGGAAGAAGATGGCCAGGAAGAATCTCGTCAACACGACGGCCAGAATGAGAACGAGAGAGCAGTAGAGAACGACCTTGGACGCAATGCAGCCGACAGTGTCAGTATCGACTGATCCGACCTTGATAATCTCCTCGAAGCACTCCGCCATCTGCTTGTCATTTGAAGATTGGAAGGACCTGGTGACGTCGCGTCCTCGAACGGCCTTGTTGAGGGCTGAGCTCTTGTCCTTGATCTCGTTGAAGCGCGTTGGCACCTTAACCTGGGTGGTGTTGAACCAGTTGAGCAAGTCAAGATCCAGCACGTTGCCGGAATAGACGATCAAGTTACGAGAGCTGTTCTTGATGTCGTTCCAGGTGAAGTAGACATCGGCAGTTCCACTCAAATCGATGTAGAACGTGTCACGCGACTTCCTAGTCGTGTGGCAAGCCCATCCGAGGTAGTAAGGAATCGTCAGGTTTGGCTTCGAGGATCCATCCTGCTTGAACGCCGTGCAAGGGAAATACCAGGCCAGATCGCCAGCGCTATTCGTGGGGACGTCAGACTTGTCGGCGGCGGTGATGAGTCCCTTGCAACGGCCATTGACGTTTTGGAAGAAGAAGCTGCCGTCCATTCCCGTGTAGTTGTTGGGCAAGTCATAGAGAACGTTAGCACCATGAGTACGGTTGACCATGGGGACGCCGTCAGCGGGAGGGTGGCGAGATTTCGTCAGGTCGTAGGCGGTTCCGTGGAAGATCATATATCCTTCAGACACGTCGTTGACGCGCAGACGCGGCGGAGGAGTTCCGCACACGGCCTGGTTGAAACCGAAAGTCAAGAAACCGACGAAGCCCATGATGAGCAGGATGAGACTGATCAGACCAATCTTTTCTCTCCAGGCGCGCTGCTGAGCCTTGGCAGGCATGCCGCAGCATTTCAGCATGAAGGCGGGGCACCAAAAGGTGATGATTGCGCAGTAGACATTCCAGAAACTCGGCGGGCTGACCTGCTCGGCCGGGTGTTTGCGCTTCCCTTCCTTAGTGAGCTTGCCAGACTTGTGTCGGCTCAAGCGCCTCTCCTTCGTCCGAGTCGGACCGTTCTTCTTCTCCTCCAAGCTAGCCTGTCTGCTGTTTGGTCCTCTCGGCGGAGAAGCATCGGAGTAGTTATCGTTCGTCTGCGAGCGGCCTGAAATGTCAGTTGTCCCTTCCATGTCCTCGGTAATCGGGTCGTTTCCGGTCGCGGACGGCAAGACGTTCATGTTGGCGGCATGCTGGCGGTAGTAGTAATTCGGGTGATCCTTGTCGATTCTGTGTCTCTCGGGTCGAATCAAGCTTCTCTTTCGTTGGAAGGGTTCGGGGGAAGAGGGTCCTGCAGCCGCCGTATCGTATGTCGGGGAAAGAGGTTGGTTCTCTGTGTTGGTATTAGGAGACGAGATCGTCTCGGGGAAAGAAGTCGCTGAATGCCCACCCGCAGAATGACCACCCGCGGATAATCCACGTGCGTGAGAGGGCCCTCCTACGGGATAGTAGCCACCAGTCTCGACATCGCCAGGGCGGTTGCGCCGTGACGGTGAGTTCCTGTATGATCTACTATTCTCGTAGGGAGAGCTCGCTCCAGGTCTTTCGGGGAGAGACATGGTCCTACAAGAAATGAAATGTTAGCAAAGGCTCTTGGAGAAGTCAAAAGTACAGCGATCAGTGTCGATCAGAGGTAAGTGGAGGGAGAGACTTCACCCTTTCGAAAGAGGAGCGATGTTCTGTCGCGCGTAGGAGCGGGCGACAGAAGAAATCGAGCTCGATTCTTCTCGTCGAAGGGGTGTAGGGATTCAGAGGCGATGCAGAAAGATGCAGAGAAGGACAAATTGCCAAGGAAGATTCAGGACAAAACAACAGCAGCGGAAAGACGACAGTCTGTTGCGATGCAGATGCGGGTCGGTCGCTGGCAACAGCAGCAGAAGGAGGTCATACTCACAAGAGTTGTTATTGGGAGGAAAGCAACCTCCAGCAGGATTTGTGGATTGTCCAGGCCTCGCACCCCTGCTGTTGGCGGGGGGGTTGTTCCTTGGGAGACGGCGAATCAATGGGGAAGCGTCCCTTTTTTCGACCCGGCTTTTCCTGCGTTTCTGCGCCAGCAAATCGGGGACAGCAGGAAAGCAAGCAGGGAAGGTGCCAGCAAATGACCTCCTTCTCCAAGCAAGCAACAGAGTCGCAACCTGCTTACTCCCTGTTCTGCTGCGCTGAAATGATGCTACGACTTCTCTGGGAAAAAAGAGGGCGAGAAGCAGCTGGCGGTCGTGGACGTGGACGTGGGCAATCCTGGTGAAGCTTTCACAACATCAGGCGACGGGGAAACCAAAGACCAGCCAAAGCAAAGCGATGAACTGTCGTCCCAAGCGGGGAGCTGTGTGCCTTTTTCCTTTCCGTCTTTTCTTATTTCTTCCTTGCAGCGTCTGTTGATCGCGCGTCTGCGTCTGTGTCCGCGTACCTAAGCAAACGCACGGCCGATGCGCCTCTCGTCCAATTTGGCTCCTTGCAAGACTTGGGACCAGGGGCGGAAGGGGGTCGTGAGTCGTGTCAAAAGTAGCGACGACGAGGGATGCAAATATGGGATTGAGAAATTGATAGGACGGAAAGCAGTGAGAGTTGTTTCGAGCGGTAGCGGAACCGCAGGTCGAGTGAGTGAATCAAGGTAGCAGATGCGGCGGCGGTGGTCTTCGGCAGCCTGCGAAGCGCCCGGTTGTTTCGATAGTTTGAACAGACTCGTTGGGCTTGATGGCTCGGCCGGAAAATTGGGTGGTTTCGAGGGGCGGCTGAAGACGTGCACCACCAGCGAGCGAGCGATGGATTGATGAGAGGGAGCGAGCGAGCAAGAATAGCAGACGCGATCGGTGCGCACTGCCTCGATGTGATGACTTTTCTTCTGGAAGGAGTGGGCGATTGTCGTCGTCGTCGTGATGTCCAATTATGGGCGTTTGCCGTTTCGTTGGGGATCAGGCTGGCCGGGGAAATGCTCAACTTGCGGCCGAGATCGAGTTCACAGAGTACGGCGAGCAAGACGGAAACGAGAGTGAGTCCCCTTCGTGAGGCCAAGAGGTCAGAAGGGATGGCGAGACTCGAACGAGAGGAAGTCTTGGAGAGGACGTTGCAGTTTCGCTCTCGTTCGCTGCTGGAAGAAAGGGATGATGAGCAGCGAAATGGGAAGCGGATCTTCACACACGCGAGTTGCTTAGTACGGACGGTCCAGTCCAGCTCAGGTCAAGCCTCAACTGGGGATGGGGAGAGCACAGCAGACGGAGACGGGTCACGCAGGAAATGGGAGGGAAAGGGGAAGTGACCGGCGATGGCTTACGGATACTGCCTTCAACGTTTACGGATAGTCTACTGGTTAGGTACCGTACCACGTCCCAAGAGAGAAGAGAGCAACCATTTCGGTATCTGTGCCGTGAAAACCCCATTCCATCCAAACCGCCACAGCCCGGCACCCTCGCCTCAATCCATCTCGTATTGCAGAGTATTGGTTTCGACGTTGGCTCTCACTGCTACCCCGTTGACTGGCTTTGCTGCGACCATGCCATCGTATCTCATAACAACGTAGAATGTTCGCAAACCGTTCTTGTGGCCTTCCCCAGGCTGAATATGTATTCACATCAACCAGTCGAGCAAAACCCACTCTGCGGTCATAACCACTGTTCGAATGGTGCGACGGAAGTTTGCTTCCAATGTCAATTCTGCTTACACCCACCGCAGCCTGAGGTAAACGGGATTACACTACAAAGTGCACTAGGTTGGCGACGTGGGCACATAGTCCAGCTCGGGAACAGGGGCAGATTTGGGTGGCAGACTCAATGCGCCCGGCAAATGCAAGAAACGAGATGTATCGCACGACCTGAAGATCTTCTTGGTGACCGCCGCCCGCCAGGTGTGGCCTAAAGGAAGAGAAGGAGGCGTGCTTCCCTCGCTCTGGCACGCGAATGACCGAATTCAATCACCCGTATCGCCGCCCGTTTCATATCCATCTCTCCCAACGGTCAAAGCCGAACGGCAGCCGGCCATCTCATGAATGAGCCCATGATGGCATTCCGCGCCCCGCCGTGCCCATCACACGTTGTTGCCCGGCGTGGAGCAACGAGCAAGGACTCCAAAGACGGTCGCTGTCCCGTATTGTCCCCACGAGCATAAATCCACCCGCCGTCCAAAGTCGGTACGGACGCCGGGATACGCGCTAGTCCAAGAATCCCAGATCAGCATGCAGGACCAGGGTTGCTATTTTCAAGCTCCAACCCCTGTTGCCCAGTCGACCAGCCGCCCAGCCGCCCCCAAATGCTCCAAAATTGTCTTCCCAGGAATTCCAGACCAAGAAAAGAGAGTTTGCCTCTGCTTTGCTGACATTCGTCACCTTCCACCTTCCTTCCATGGTTTCGAAGCCAGCCTGCGTCTGAGCTCGGATTCTCGACTGAACCTCTGCGAGCTCTGCGCAGACCTGTTCCTACACCTTTGCAAATCCGCAAGAAACTGTGACCGGGGTAAAACAAATGGGACTTGGCCGAGTTGCGGAGGAGACAATACTCAGAAGAAAGCATTCTGATTCGTCCTCTGCACTCTTGGTCAGCCCGCCCAGCCAGTAGATGGCCATGGCTGGAACATGGCCTCACCTCGTGCTTCAAATACCCATTACCGTTCGCTGTCCCTTTTCCGGTTAATGTCGGGGCCTTGTTACTTAACCTCCGATTTCGAGACAAAATCTCCCTGTCAGCCAAATAGCTGGCCCTAGCATCTCAGGTACGGTGTCGTGAAGGTAGAAGTTGACACCCCCAGGTTTAATCTTGTGTAAGATCTCCGGCCAAACTTCGCTGTGTTTCGTAGTGCAATTTTCGATCGACACCATCATGATGCCGATACTCAAATGTAGCCAAGGAAATGAATCAGACAGTTGTAGCCGGCCGAGACATGATGAAGAATGTTCCATATTCAAATGCCAGGGAACCACCCGCAAACCTCCGTTCATGCTCGTTCGGGTATGCAGCGCCTCCCAGCAGCCACAAGAAACGAAACAGGCTCAATCTCACTGGGGTCATTCTGTCGGTATCTTGCCCTTACCCAGCACCCGGTACACATGCAGCTGTCACTGTAGCTGTCAAAGCAGAGAAGCAGCAAGGCTCTAAACCTCGGCCATGGGCTCGGCCTTTTCGGCCTATGGCATCCCATCCCCTTGCCGCCTCCGCTTGGAACGGAATCGACATTTTGGCCTTGAGCCTCCCTTCAGAAGATTCACTGGGAGCCATGCGTTATCGACTTGTCGTGCAATCCACAACGGCTGGCCGCACGTTCTTGTGCTCTCTGCAATTCCTCGTCCCACCCGTCCAAGCTCCTGGCAAGGGACTGGCGGATACAGATAAGCGGCTATCGCAAAATCGCGGGGACAAACTTTCGCCATGTGGACGTTGGGGTTCTCATCAGAGCACTAGTCGGGGCCCAGATGCATGAACTTCTTTCATGATCACCGAGCCGGCTGGAGTCATAGTCCAATCTCGAGCTGGAGTATTGGATGAACTGTTGTATCATCTGGTTTGCAAGCTCGAGGTTCAAGATGGCAGTTCCCTCTCCTTGTTGTTTCTTCTCAAAACCTCGAAACCCTATCCGGCGACTTGTATCAGACAAATCTGCGGAGTCTGATGATTGGAATGCTGATATCCTCGTGAAACAAGTGAAGTCGATTGTTGATATCACTTGCCATGTTGGTCCCACATAACTTCAACGTTGGGATTGTGCCATGTAGCTCATCGACGTCTCGCTGATACCACAAAGATGTGCGTGGGACCAGCTTCCTCGATCCCAATATACTCAGAGCGGTGCGCAGTACTTCTAGGATGGTAACCAGTCGTAGTCTGCCTGCCTGGTTGAACAAAGCAGACCATGATCGCAGTTGCCCTTGCGGACCCAGAGATCGCCAATTAACCCTGCATGTGATTAGCTTTCGAACCCGTGTGATGGCATGCGCCGAGCTGTTGATTTGCGCCTGACCAAATGGCATCGGATCCAGAGCTGGGAGCTTGGGTGAAGTTCTCCTGAGGGGATGCTGCTTCACCCACCCTGCCCAGAGAAGCAGCAACAGATCGACGCATTCGTGAAATTACCATGTCGAAATGCCAAAGAGTGTGGTTGGTCACAGCTCGCGGTTAGCTATCACCTTGATATATCCGCAAGGCTGACATGCCGGCCAACTTCCTGGCCATCAGACTAACTGAAGTAGGTAGAAAAGATTGAACGGAGCAATGTCGAGCGCCAACAATTGGGGTTCCAGGCGTCTTAGCGAAGCGGCGTCTCCAGCCTGACTTGCGGTGAAGAAAAACAGGACGATATGTGCGTGAAATTTCTCTCATCATATCTAATACGAAGCAATGAGACGGAAAGAGGACGACTGCTGTGGAAGGCCATCTTGGGTGGGCATTGGTTTCTGCAGGGCAAATTCGCACAAGGCCCCAAGAGGACCCTCTGGCGTGTTTCGTGCATCAAACAGCAAGCCCGCTATTCATTCCTGAGATCTTCAGTTGGGCGCCCCGTCGCGCCACTCGGGGGTCGACCTGATTGCAGGGTCTCCAATCGTCCTTGCGGAATTGTGGCGGCCGATGGTGAGAGGCTTCGCATCATCATTTCGACAAGGCGCACTCCGAACTTCAGAGCAGCGCTGGCGATGGGAGTTGAATATTCGCCGATCGAGGTCCAGCTAGCAGAACCAGTTCCAAGGTTCCGGGGTCCTTAAATTTCCAAGCTCAAGGTGCCGCGTCTGGCTATGCGGGGAACCAGGCAGCTCCCAATGATTGGTGCCTGTAGCCGTGATGTTGCAGTCGCACGCTGTGGCTGTAGATCCGCGATGGCCGCCGTGGCCGCCGTTATTCAACGTTGGACCCACGGACGGACAACTGAGGTTCCCTTTTGGAAAGACTCCGAAGCCAAGTGCAGCCGCAGATACTTGTTAATAAAGGACAGAAAAGATGACCATCTAACGAAGAGATACTTAGACTGCATGTTCTCGGGGATGAGCCTAAGTAGGATTTCGAATGATTGCGAGTAACCACGCAACTTGCGGTAAGACGCTGTGCGGGAGGCGCAGGCAAACAGTTGCACGTTGTGAGGTGGTCTGGGTTGGGTCGACTTGGCAGTGCGCAACAGTGGGTTGGTAGCGTTGATCGAAGGCAACCTGTGCGAGGGGAGTCTGGTCAGTCAGTCAGTAATCCATGCACGCATACGGCTTCGCGATAGCGACAGTCTGGTGTGGGATGATGCCTCACATGACGAACAAAATCCGCACCACCCGCTTTTCCTCGTAGAATCCCGCGGTTCCGTCCTGAACTCGTACGAAGAGAACGGGATAGAGACATGTCCGGCGGCGGCGGGCCCAGCGGCGCTACCTAACAGCCAACGAGCAGCATTCGCCCGGCCACTTGCGTGCTCGATGGGGTTTCGATTTTTCTCTTCCCATCCCTTTCTGGGTTCCTCTTTTCAATAGCGGCTGCAGGGTCGTCCACCGCGGATATCAATTGGACCCCAGAACCTCGCCAATTCGACCACCAGACGAGACCCATACTGGGGCGCACCTGAATATCGTAGCAACGGCGGAGGCGATGAGGCTGGGTAGACCCAAAATTGGAAATCAATGCGGTCTGCGTCCATTGCGACATTACTGACTGCGCTTGTGTTACTGTTTGAGAGGCTGTCATAGTTGAGTGATTGCAGGTGCTGAAAGGTGTTTTCGTTGTAGTAGATTTGCACTCGGTGGGAAAAAAACGATTCGCGGGGGGAAAGTTCGAAACGAAAACGAGGGCTACGGGATCCTCGACAAGCCCGTCGTATCGTGACTTCCTTAGAAGAAGATCTCGCAGTAGAATCGAGTTCTTAGCGCGAGTTGCTGACGGTGGATTCGAACTTCACACCACTTCTCCATGTCGGGTCCGTCTTTCGGCAGGCCGCTGGTGGTGGAGGACTACCCTGAAGTCCCTTCTTTTGTTTTTTCGCACAGGGCTGCGGCGGGGAAGGTGACAGTATCCCAGGCGCCGACCAGGTAGGTGAGGACAGGGGTCTCGGAGACAAGAATCTTTTTTTTTTGCAAGTGATATTGGCGTGTCGTACATGCTTCGGGCGTCGCAAACTCCAAGATCCCAGATGGTGGCTAAGAAGGGCGGCATGAGCTCAGAGCTGGGCGATGATTGACAAAGAGGATAGGAATGAGGCGAATGGAGGGCCGAGGGCTGGGCACCCCTCCGTTCTAGGTGAAACGGTCGATATTATTGCTTCATTAGCAAAGCCGCGGTGAGTCGAAGCCTGAAAGCGAGGGCGAGGAGGCGAGGAGGCGAGGAGGATTGGCGAAGGGAAAAAAGGGATGGAATGAGATGGATCCCAAATTGCTTGTTGCGTCTTGGAGGGGCCAACGCCGTCAATCTCTCTTGCAGGCCGCGCCAGACTTCCGCACTGCTCGCCAGGATTGAATAAGTGAAGCTGGTCAAACAGATTCAGAGGCTTTTCCCCGCCTCTTCGGTGAACGGAACTGACGTGCATTCTTTGTGGTTCAATTTCGAATATGGAGGTCTCTGATTTCCACCCGTTTTTTTTGGCTGCCGGAGAGGCGGTGACCCGAGGTGACATGACAGCGTCGCGGCGTTGCAACGGGGGTTTGACAGAGGGAGGTGACTGCCGTCGGCCAAGTCCACGTCCACGTTTCTGGGGCCGGATGCGATGTCGGGGGAAGGAAGAGTTTCCGTCCGGGTCTGTGGGCAAGCGATGGTGTAATAGTAAGGTAGAGCTGAGTATTAGAAGAGGTCCTTGCAGAGACGAAGCGGTGATGTGATGCTAACCAGAAAATTCTTTCGTGTAAGTGAAGTCAGGTAGATAATTATTCAGTTGGATCAATAGACTGGTACCAGAGGAAAGTAGGCCGTCCGTGCTGCCTTCCTCTTTCATTGTGAATTCGCCGACGGGTAAAAGCCGGCAGGGCAGCACCTGGACCTCAGCTCAGCACCTTCCAGTTCGTTCTGGGCCTGAGGCCTGAGAGAGAGATTTTCTCCGTCCAAACCCGATCCCAGATTCCCAACTTATCTTATTCAAGAAGGATCGTCTTTCATCCAGACCAGACCTTACTATGCGTATGCGTATGCAGTAGGTGCATCACTGCACGTAGGACACGGGGCAGGTCGCAGACTGCAGGTTGCATCAGTGGATGGATGGACTGAAGGACGAATGACATGTTGCAGTGCCTGAATACGTACGTGCCTGCTTTAGCTCATCACCAACCTCCTCCTCCTCCTCCTCCTCCTCCTCGCCGTTACGAAGACCAAGACCACCACCACCACGAGGCATGACAAGTCGAGGCGCCCTCCTCAAGACGAGTGCAGATTAAGTCCTATTGGATATACTCATTAGGGGCTCTCTGTCCCTCTGGCGCTAGGCCGGGCCGGAGCCTCGTGTGAAGACCAGAGCCAGACGGGAGCAGACCTGACTCTGACCCTGACCTACCGTCCAGTCCGAGACGCTCCCTCGCAACCAGTTGGCGCCATTGAAATCCGCTTTGCGCCGCTTCGAACATTGGACGCCACCTCAATTACCAATTGCACCACGAGCGTCAAAGTACATACACCGACAATTTTGCGTCGGACGTAAGGCTGCCTTACGAGTTGAGACGTACCTTGACATGACTCCGAGGTTGTCTGTAGTCTGTAATTAGAGAGTGGCCTATCCATCTGTCCAGAGCAACCGTAGGATGACGAGGATTGGGATGAGGATGACATGAGACCGAATGGCCGGAGCAAGGCGCAAGGCGCAAGGCAGAAGAGACGAGAGTCAATTGCGCCCGAGGCCATGGATTCGCGTTCAACTGGCGACGTAACCCGTCTTTCCCAGCGTCCCGGTGCGACGGCTTCTCGCTTGTTAGACCCCCAGCTTCGACTTCGGCTTCAGCTCCAAGGCAACTCCAGCTCCAGTTCCAGCTGCGGCTGCGGCTCTCCCAAGTATCTGATCTGTATCCCAGCTACCTTACCTTACGTCCGTCCCATCATCTTGGCACGTCCTTGCTGATGCTGACTGCATGTGTATGTAGCCTTACTTTTTTGTACTTGCTTTCTGTGCTCATCCCTCAGGTTATGAGTGTGAGTGCTAGTGTAAGGTGGCCTTCCATCCCATCTCATGTCGTAAGGTTGTTCTTCCTCTCCCGGGCCTCGGAGACTGGATGGTAAAGTGCAGCCAAAGCAGTCCATGCTCGGCTCTCTGTTCTTCTTTCCTCTTTTTTGCGGTTTGCCTCAACATCATCCATCCTTCCACTTGCATCACCAAACATCAGTCACTCGGACTACTACATCCCTCCTGCCGGCACTCCCGGTTCGCTCTAGACCGTCCCGTCCCAGGTTGCCCCTCGACTCAGGACCGTTCGGTTGCGTGGAAGAAGTGCCCTGTGCTGTCTACCCGTCCGAGTTGTTGCAGCTCAGAAATCCGAACTATTGCATACATTATTCGTGCCTCCTTGCGCCATTCACATTCAGTCTTGGTCTTGTTATATTACTCTCTGAGTTCCGGTCTCCGCGAAACAGTTCTTATTGTTCTCGACCACCTACCGACCGACCGACCGACCGATCGATCAACTGCAGAAGTCGAATTCACCCTTTTCCCGTCTCGTCAACTTCGTCCGCTTGACAGGTTCAAGCTCAAGCTCAAGCTCAAGCTTTCTCAAAGCTCAGGGTCAGGCTCGAAGCCAACAACGTCTTTCTTTGTGGTCCACGTCCACGACGTCACTTTGGCTGACAGGATTTCTGGGGTGTCCGTTGTACGTGTCGCCTCCCTCGTCTCTGGTACCGTATTCCCGTTCCCTTCGTGTTCCCTCCCTCCAAGATTGGAGCTACCTTGCACCATCCGGACCGTACCTGCCTTGTCAATGGTCAGGCCGGTTTGTCAATCAGCCATCCCTCTTTCAAGGCAAGCCCGGGCTAGCCACCTTGGGGTCAAGTGTCCCTCTGGTTCCCTCTGGTTCCTCGTCTTCTGCTGCGCTACAGAAGCAGGCGTCTCCCCCCCTAGCAAGGCACCTTCACCATGCCACCCAATCCAGCCCAGATCCAAACCCGAACAGGGCCCTGGCTTGTTGTGTGTGCTGTGTGAAATTGTCCGGACGCCCTGTGCGATCCAGCGCTGTGCTAATTCTGGTCGCCCTGTGCTCTTGGGTGTGTGGGTGGACAGGCAGAGTGGGTTGAGTGGGTGAGAGTGGGTGCGCTGTGCATTTTGGTGCTTGGGATCCGCGCCGGGCTGCAGTCGGGTGTCTCTGTGTCTCTGACTGAGGTGCTGATGCTCTGCACTTCGCTGCCTTCGCCGTTTTCCAGGTTAGGTTGTCCATTGCATTGCGCTGCTTCTACTCCATACCGTCTACGAGGTGGACGCTACCTTGCGCTACTCCAACTCTGCACTCCATCCGCCCCTTCCTCGTCTCCCAGGTTTCCCCCCGTCCATGACTTACATAACAAGTCGAGCATGCCACGCACCACGCATTGCGCTGCCAAGGGCTCATCCTCAAAACCTCACCTTAATATCTACCAACATTTCTCAGACACGTCGGTGGTTTTAACAAACATCCCGCTAATTCGTTTTTCCACTTCTTCAGTCTGCTAGTTCCCAGCCTTGACATCGCAACTGTCTTGTCTTCTACCCGGCTTCTTACACACTACGTTTTGTCACTCGTTCCGCCGTCTGTCTCCCAGCTTAGAGAGCCCGAGCCAGCCTACCCCCTAACGACTGTTCTCCTCCTTGCGACGTCCGAGCCCGACAGTTTCCCTCGATAGTTGACGGACAAGGAAAAAGCAGACGTCTCACAACCTCCATGCTGACGATACGATCCGAAATTCAATAGAGTTGGGCGTTTTCGGTCTACTTATAACGTCAACGACGCAACCTCGGCACCTTCTTGACCGTTATTGCGGGACGGAGGCGTTGAACCCCCCAGAACTGTATTCTTCCGAGCAATCCAATGGCGGCGGCGACGGCATCCACGCCCGTCGTTTCTCCGACTGCAAGCCCGAACCATCTGAGGACACACATGTCACCGGAACGGCTGACTATGGGCGACGACGGCCGTAAGGGCTCGGCGAGAATTCGGGACGCTCCCGCCTCCCCGGTCAGGGTGAACTTTCAAGCCGAGAACTGGGCCCAACCATCCAACGCGAACATTGAGATGGCGCAACCGTACCATGGAGAATTTTCCACTGTCGACTCTCACAGCCAAAATGCCCCTCTTCCTCCGAAACACAGTCACCAGCCGGGACGGCAATTGCATAGTCGTGACGGGAAGCAGCTCCCACCTCTCGCGACGTCCAACTCCTACACGGCCGAACCCGAGCGATTGAGTCCCGCAAACTCTCGCCCACCCACGCAGGGAAACAACGATTCGATTTACCGCGCAAAACGGGGGACGCAAGAGTCGGACAGCTTCAGCATACCGCGGTCCCAAGATACCAACCGTCAAAGTCGAGAGTCGGACACGACTGCCTCGACCACGCAGCACCAGGCGTCCACCGAATCTTCCGCGACCACGAGTGCAAGCTCCGTATCCGGTAACAATGAGTCGTCCGATTACAAGGAGGACGACTCTCCTACAAGCTCGGTCGTGGAAGGCAACATGTCTGGGAACCAGTCCGTCCCCATGTTCCAATACTACCACCACCAAGAATACCCTCCTCAACGCGTGGCCAGCGTTCCCCAGGAGCTGGACCGTCGGTCGTCTTCGAACCCGAGCCTCAATGCTGATGGGACACCCGTCAACCGCCACTTGACGCCGACCGGCTTTACCAGGAGAAGTTCGATGCCGCGGCCTTCTTCGGCCTACTCCGCCATCTCGGACTATGCGCCTAGAGGGCGGTCTCCTAATTTGATGCCCGGTGGCGCCCAGATGCGCACCCCATCTGGCACTCGCAAATCCCCAGAGACGAGACCAGCTTCAGCTTCGTACGCAGAGCTGCTGAATGTTCCCTACCCACAACCGGCCCCCGCCCCCATCAATTTCGACAATAATCAGCTCAGGAATGCTGTGGGTAACAATGCGTCGCTCCTTAGCACTCAGAAGACCCTAGAAATGTACCGCCAGAATGTCAAGAAGACCAACGACTTCTCCATTCAGTATTCTTTTGCCGTCTTCCTGATTTCCACTGCCCAGGACCAGGGCCTCGATCCCAGCGCGCCCGCCCCTCGCAAGGGAAACACCAGCCCTCAGCACGGCCCCTCTTCTCCCCATGAACTCCTCAAGGAAGCCAAGGGCATTCTCACGAAGCTTGCCAACAATGGCTACCCGTTCGCGCAATACTACGTCGCGGACGGCTACGCTTCGGGCTTGTTCAGCAAGGGAAAGGAGGACTACAACCAGGCTTTCCCTCTGTTCGTCCAAGCCGCCAAGCACGGTCATGCCGAATCCGCCTACCGTGCCGCGCTCTGTTACGAGTTCGGATGGGGGTGCCGAAAAGACCCTGCCAAGGCCGTCCAGTACTTGCGCATGTCGGCTTCGAAGCGACACCCCGGTGCCATGTCCCGCTTGGGCAAGGCCTGTCTCTCGGGTGACTTGGGCGAGAAGCGTTACCGTGAGGGTATCAAGTGGATGAAGTTGGCAGCTGAGGCAGCCGACTCCGTCTACAGCGCAGCTCCGTACCAGTTGGGATGTCTGTATGAGACAGGCTACGGTGACGACATCTTCCGCGATGAGAGCTATGCTGCCGAGTTATTCACGGCCGCGGCAGAGCTTGGCCACCCGGAGGCTAACTTCCGCATGGGTGAAGCATACGAACATGGCAAGCTGAATTGTCCTCGGGACCCGGCTTTGAGTGTTCACTTCTACACTGGTGCCGCGGAACGCGGCCATGCCGGAGCCATGATGGGTCTTTGCGCTTGGTACATGGTCGGAGCCGAGCCCATTCTGGAGAAGGACGAGGAGGAGGCTTATGAATGGGCGCGTCGTTCTGCAGAACTAGGTATGTTGCGATAATTTGCAAGTATAACACTGGTACTAACTTGGGATACACAGGCTACGTCAAGGCTCAATATGCCGTCGGTTACTTCACAGAAATGGGCATTGGATGTCGACGGGATATCCTGGAAGCCAACGTCTGGTACGTGAAGGCTGCTGACGCCGGCGATGAACGCGCGAAACAGCGTCTGGCCATTATCCAAGCTGCCGTCAGCGGCGGTACACCGATGGAGGTTGCGCCGCCGCGCAACGGTAAGATTAAGAAGAACGCCGACGACAAGGACTGCATTGTGATGTGAGGGAACTTCAAAAGAGGGGGAGGCATAAAACGAATTACACTTCTCACTATCGGCGTTGGAGGGGACACCAGAAAACCGAACTACACTAATGATTTTGTTGGATAACGGACGGAGCCCATGCCTACTGGGATACTTCCGACTTTCCTTTTTTCTCACACCATGCATTTACGAAAAGAAGGCGGTTTTGATGGCACGCAGTGCGGGGGCCTCTGCGCATTGAATGAAGGATTCGACTTGTCTGTTTCTTTGCATGTCTGTCTCTAGGGACGATAAGACTCATCTCCCCCAACCCCACCGCATACTCGATCTTTTCTGCGTTTTTCTGTCTCGGGGGTTGGTTTTTCACGATTGCATTTGCATGGAATGGGCCGGTATGCTGATGCTTCGAGATACGTCCGTCTCGTGGCACCATTTGACCGGGTTCATAGCGAAAAAGGGCGTTCATGAGAAGGGGGGCTTATTTGCCGAAGCTGTGTGTCACGGTTTGCGTTGTACGCCTGGCTGGGAACGAGGAGGCCTGTACATATCGAGATACCATAATCCCCTGTCTCGGACAGGCGTTCTTTTGGAGACACTCAACGTCTTGCTGTGATGTCCACTACATTCTCCGAGAAGACAAATTTCTAACTGACAAAATCCAGGCTTGTTGTGGCTGACGACGATCATCGGTCTCGCAGCTTTTGCATCGGGCCGTTGCCGTGTTTCGTCCGGAGATGTCTGACGTGGATCATCCATCCAGCCCGGGGCGCTGCATATGAACAAGTCCGCCCCGTTCAAGCCCCCTTTTTTGGGCCGGATGGCTGAGCAGGAATGTCCGAAGAGTTTTCCGGACGTTCACATAAGCATGCTTGCGTGTTGAACCCACCGCGAGACACATCAGGTTGATTGCTTGTGGGTTCTTGTCCGGCGTGGGCGTCGCGGGTCGGAGGATGGCGAATCGACACAGGGACGGACGCAGGGATGGGCGCGTAGGAGTATGAGATGGGCGTTCGGACGTTGAGTAGTTTGGATCGTCTGAACAGATGGATGTGCCGCATGGTGTTCAGGGAATGTCGTTGTTGGGAGTTGGGATGGTGAGACGGGATGGATGGGTTGTGTGGGTTGGGTTTTTTTTTGAGTTGGGATGGGATTTTGGGCTTTCTCCTTTTTCAGCCTCTGTCTATTGGCTTTATAGGTCTTCGTCTTCGTCTGCGTCTTATTGTGTTTGTATTGGGACTTCATTGTGTTCGTTTGTGGTGTCGTCAACCCGTGACATATCGTCAACTTACTCAGTCGGGCTTGGTGTGTGATACAATACGGTCCGGAAACTTGGGGTTGGCTTTGCCACTGCCTGCCGGCGACTCTCACAGGCGCGATGGGAAAATCAATCCCACCATAAGGCAGAAGAGAGGTCTTTAAATAAGAGAGGGTGCTTAGGCACTCAGAGGAGAGGGGAAAAGTTAGCGTACGCCATGACCTGTTCTTAGATGCCTAAAGATGCCATAAGAAACAGAACATCAGCGAGACGAAAATTGAGGAAGAGGGTACAAAACATGTTTCGAAAGGAGAGGGGTTACACTCCGTCGCGAGCCGAATGGTAGGATTCCGTGTGCCGATGTCATACATAAGGAAAGCAGCATCGCCAGGGACCAACTCAAAACCGACGGATGCACTGACGATGTTTAAAGCATGGCAGGGTATGGGAAAGGCGACTTGTTACCGATACTGCTGATGATTTTGGCAGTTACGTCTTCGCTCGCCACACTCATCCTGGCCTTTGAGAAGTAACCATAGGTGCGGGCAAAGTAAGTTAAACATGGCAGAACTATTTTCTCTGGCAATTTTAAATTTTCAGTCTTTGGTTTTCTGTCTTATCTTGAGTTGTGATATTTCTCGCTGCTTCATCCTTGGTCAGTATAGACCAATCTCATAGAATCTATCTGGCTAGAAGCCCAGTCCAAGTGCTGTAGGTCATATTGGACGCAGGACAGCCATTCCTCCCCCCCCATTTGATCAAAGCGCATCAATATCAACTCCAACATCCTCCCGCCTCCTACACAATACCTTCACACCATCCCCGGAAGACAGACCCAGCCCAAACTCAACAGCCTCATGCTCATACACACCATCAAACTGCCAGTCATACTTGTACAACAAGTGACACAGCAGAAGCTTGACCTCGTTCGAAGCAAAGAACCTGCCCGGACACGCGTGCCGGCCGTGGCCGAAGCCCAGGTGGATCGACGACGTGCTGACCAGATGCGCCTTGCTCTCGAGCCCCGCGTCCTCCCGCATCCGCAGGAACCGGTACCCGTCGAAGACGTCCGGGTCCTCGTAGATCCGCGGGTCGACCATGGAGCCGAGGTCCGCCATGCAGCGGTCGCCCTTTTCGAGGACGAGGCCCCCGGGGAGCGTCACGCGCCGCGTGGCTGTCCTGTTCATGGTGGCTGTGCGAGGGAAGTCAGCAGTGGAGGGACGTGATTTCCGACGAGGAGGTAACACGCACCAGAGGTCAGCGGCTTCAGTCTCTGCGCTTCCTTGATGACGCTGTCGAGCAGCTTCATCTGGAACAGCGCCATCTTCGTCCAGCCGTGGCCGAGCAGCACCTTCTCGATCTCGTCGCGCACATCCTTTAGCAGCTGCGGCCGTTTTATCAGCCGGAGCATCGTCTCCGTCGCCAGGTCCGTCGTGGTGTTGATCGCGACGACGGCGAACCCCAGCTGGGCGCCGACGGGGTCGTACGGGCTCCCCTGGCTCTCGTCTTCGATCCATTGGATCGTGTCGTTGTACGACGGTCGAGCTTCGCCGTTGACCTCGGCCGCGCGGCGGTCCTCGCGCCGTTTTTGTAGCACGGGGCCCATGACCTGCCGCGCGTCCGCGACTTGCTTCCTGAGGAGTTTGCACTCGGGGACGAAGCGGCATGCGACGGGGCGAAGCCAGCTTGGGTACTGACGGAGGAGGTCTCCCGCGAGAAAGGTGTTGACGCTGTATGATTTGGAGATGGCGAGCCAGTCGGGGTTCCGGCAGAGTTCTTCGCCGAGGAAGACGCGCGAGGATAGGCGGGCGACGAGGTCTAGAATTGTGTCTTTTAGGGACACTTCGCGCCATGCTTTTGGAGATTAGAGAGGATGAAGATTGGTTATCATTTCCAGGCCGAACTCACCGCTTGATTTCCCCAGAATGAGATTCGTTGCAAAGTTCGCCTCCGCCGCCAGGGGCGCAGTGATCTGGTCTTGCGTGATGTGTCAGAAACTGATGGATAGAAGCAGAGAACTATTCCTACTGAGAAGTTTTGTGAGTCTCTTATGGATGGTTCTCTGGAGGAGCTCGTCCGGGCGACCGTCGAACGCGAAGCCCTCGAACCCGGGTATCTGGGGATGGAAGTTGGCGACGAAGAACTCCAGGAAGCTCAGCCCCGGCTCGTTCCGGATGTCGTCGATGTACTTGGACGGGAGGACGACGAGGTCGCCGACGTCGGTGAACATCCTGTACGGCTTGCCCTCGAAGAGCTCGCGGCCTCTTTTCATGATCTTCCGGGCGTTGAAGATGAATTGCTTCTTGGTCTTCTGGCCGAAGAGGTCGAACAAGGGAGGGCGGTTGATGTAGGGGAGATCATCGTGTCGACGAGGCAGTAGGAATTGGGATAGTAAAATGACAGATAGCAGTGCAGCGACGACGTATGAAACCAGCCGCAGTGGTTCTGGGAGGGGATAGGTGGTTGAAGGCAGTGACATCCTATGATGATTGCTAAAGCATGGGTGATTGACGACTCAGACGGGTGGCCAACATGCGCGATTTGAAACGATAAATACGTTCAAGCAATAAAGCTACAGTATAACCAAAGTATCATCAGACTCAGTTTGTCTTCCATCGTGATATTGGATATGCTCGTCCTAGAGCCTCCGCATATTGCGTTGTGTTTATTCCCAAAAGGGTAATTTTCCCATCCCGCACTAAGAAACCCGTCATGCAAGAACGATGCGGGATGAAGATGTGGGGGATGAGAGTCATGTTCCACTCGCCGCCGGCTCGGCCGGGTTGTGACTCTACAAACTTACATGCATCTAGGATTTCTGCTAAATTCAGACGCCTATGATGCCCGTCTCATACATGTTAGCGAGTTCCCGGAGAACCCAGCCGATCCGTGGAGCAACTAAGAAGTCTTCAGTAAGATATCCAGAGACGAATGGTTGCGTTCATACCTCCCCAAACCCACGTGTCATCATATACACTAGCCCACATGCGAGCCAGCTCCGCGGCGAGCGACAATCGTTGACATCCACGGGTATCGACCTCGTCTAAAAGCCGGGTGACGCTATCCAACACCTGCCTCTCTTCCGGCGTGATGGGCTTGTTCGCGCGGCGCAAGCATTCAACAGCGTACACCCATTTCGTGACAAGGAGGCCTGAATACATTTAGCTCATGAGATGAGATTCGGATTAAGAAGTTGAAAATACCAGCGTCCCAGCTCGCCAGCGCGTGTTCCACGCTCCACTTGAAAGCAGCTGTCTTGCGCATCAGCAGAATCCCAGCTCGTATCGGAATGGCAAACCCCTCCAGAGCACAGCCGACCGCCATTGTCATGAAGGGATCCCGGTCCTGAACGGCCTCAAAGTACCGCCTCAAGATGGGCAGGATGACCTGGCTGCTCTCCTTGAACAGGAGCGAGCGGTCCAGGGAGTGAAACTTGATGAACGCCCTCCCGTAGGACACGCGCAGGATCGCGAACGCGTTGAACAGCAGCGGGCTCTCGGCCTCGTTCCAGGTCCCGTCGGCGCCGGCCTGGGCCTCGGCGAGCAGGTCTCTGCATCTGGAGAGGGCCGCGGCGATCTGGTCCGCATCTTGGCTTTCCCAGGAGTCGCGGACCGTTGAGCCGCCACGGCATGCTTGCTGGCCTTGTGTGAGATACCACACCGCGATAGCGACGCTGTGCAGCACTACGGATGCAGCGAACGGGGACCATTGCCAGCATACGTCTGGTTTGCGGTCGAGCGGTTGCGCGCCGAACATGGCTGAGGTGGCCTCACGGAGATCTAAGGAGGAAGAGCGCGGTCTGTCCGCCGCGAGGAGTTCCCATTGTGAAGCGGTCTTTGCTTCCCACAGGGCGTCTTCGACGGGCATTTCAATATTTGTCTCTTCGAGGATCGAGAAGCCTGGGGCTATTCCGTAGGTGATTACCAGTAAATTGCCGAGCATCATGCTGCTGCACATCAAGCTATGAAACATCAGCTCATGAGTATCAGGGGTTTCCAAAAGTGGCAGTGTTCTTACCGCTTTGTCGACTCATGTTCAGCCCAGGTTTCCCATTTATACAGGTCGATGGTTGTCGACCCGGGTCTCATGAGTGACATTCTCGCCCGAAAATCCTATCAAAATCAGCGCCATAGGTCCCAGAACACCCCATCAGCAACATACAGCGGAGAGGAAGCCGCAATCAATGAGGGCCTGTCGTATCAACTGCGGCTCGCCGGAGAAAGCGGCAAAGAAGACAAGTATAAGGCGAGCTTGAGCCACGGTGAGCGGCGCTGATCCCGACGGCGGCATGTCTCGGGGTCTAGACCAGTCCTGCAGCAATGCCGGGCAGTTTTGCAGGCCGTCGAGCTCCATGATGCCTAAGACCCGCTCCGCGATTAGGTATAGCGACGCCGCGAGCTTCCTGTCGAGCCTGTGGAGCGCGCCCACGGCGCAGATGCTCAGCGTCAGGGGGCTCGGGGCCGTTTCGAGGTCGAGGGTCGCAAGGTGTAAGAACGGGAAGTGGACGTGGAAGGACTCGATGTAGGAGTTTAGGCATTTCTGCAGACAGCTTGTGTCGGGCATTTTGAAGTCTCCGAGTCGCTCGGGTGTGAGATGCAACGTCATATCTTTGATGCAATGGGCCCTCATTTTCTCCGTGAAGATGATGCTTTGCTTTTCCATCATTCGCGATCTCGTTATTCGTGGCCGACAGTATTGTTCTTTCTCTGGCGTATCTGATAGCATGCAGTCTTCTGCCGCCGAGGTCAAAGGCTGGAGGCACGCAACCTCCTCATCATTTACCGTGGTTTGGCCTAAACCAGCACAGTCTTGCGGGCTTACTGTGGTATCGGGCGCACACTCCAGAGTAGGCAGGGCAAAATGATCAAACACATCGCCCAGAAACGGGTCGAAGAAACTAGGAGAGAGGTCATTAAATGAATCAATATTGACATCGGATGTGTCAAAAACGCTTTGATCGAGTGGTGCTTCCGTAGCATCTGTGGTAGTCGTCTTGAATTCCAATAGTGGCGCTGAGTTGCCGGGGATAATGTCTGCGGGAGCTGTTGATAGACCAAGCAGCGCGTCTTTGTGAGAGCCGACGGATTCGATGGTATCGGGTAGCAAACTATCCATCAACTCGTGTCCATCTCTTTCTCCAAACGCCGGGATGGCCGGGGTGTCATGATTCAGTGACTGCCACTGGTCTGCGTGGAGGGTTCTCTCATGCCGTGTCACGAGGTCACTAGTGGACATGAGTATCGGCTGAAGTTGATAATCGTCCCGTTGCATTTACCTGCGAGAGTATCGGCGGCCACAGAATCGACACGTGTACGGCTTTTCTTGAGTATCTGCGGCGGTCGTCAGTCTACGAGCCCGAGCGCAAGTACTTCAACTATCGAAATGAGAAACTAACGGCTTCGCTCATGGCGTGTCCGGTGCTCCCTCCTTTTAAACGGCTTGAAGCAGACACGACACTTGTGTGCCGCCCTGGGCTCTTTGGCGAAGGAGATCACGGACGTTCCTGGTGCGGTTTTGAGTGGCATTGCTTCGAATCTGAGCAAGTCTGAACAGGGCGTTGATTCTGATGGGAAGAGGTCGTCAAACAATCTGAGACTTGCAAGTAGTCACGAAACATACAATCAACACCCCACAGTTAGGTATTTATATCCCACAGACGGAGATCACTAAGTTTCCGAGAGCGACGTCGTCGGACTTTTATATATGGGGCCGTTGGGATGTAGATCGATCATGCGGGGTAGCTTCGAGCTATGTGACCAACCCTGCACAAGCCAATGACTCTATTTGGACAAGGACTCTATAGCAACAAAACTCCCGACATACTCTTGTGCATCTTCTCAAAGGTTTTCAGCCGAGCCAGGTTGTCCAAATGCCAAATTTCATCAGGAAAGCCTTGAAGAGTAGACAGCTGTCGAAGCTTGAATCGTTGTCTTCAGAGGATGCTGTAGCGTCTCTTGTCTTCCTTATACGGGGCCGGCTGTACGATCTGTATGTGAAGTGTCAGAAAATAACACGGGAAAGCGGACTGTGGAATGTTCTTACAGCCTTGATGATTTTCTGCTTCGAACCCTGACTACCCCATGTCACTTCAACCACCGTTCCCGGCGAAGCATGCTCTTGGAGGACGATGCCCAAGGAAATCATCTCCTTGAACCAGTAGCTGTAGCATCTCGAAACAGCAACTCCAACAGTCTTCCCCCCTACCGAGACGGCGCTCCCGTTGACGTTACCAAGAAGGTCCCGCGGCATCTCCATGTACTCGTACGGCTCTGGACGGAACAACGACGCGAACACGTCTGCGACGTCATCCTTGTCCCAGACGAGCGTCACCAGCTTTCGCGGCGGGTTATCTTTCAGCTTGAAGAGTGCCTCGCGCCCAATAAACTCGTGGTCGAGGTTCACGAGCCAGCCCCAGTTCAGGTCGAAGGGCGTGTTGTGGTACAATACAGGGTCGGTCCCGTAGCTGCCGCTAGCTTTGGAGGCATATAGGTCGAAGTCGTACCCGATCGACTTCGCGAACTTTCGGAAGTCGACGAGCTCTGCGTTGTCCGCCGGCGCGTGGACGGCTGGGATGAAATCCGCAGTGGGTGTCGCGAAAGCCGCTTCGACCTGTGAACAACGGGACATTGGTAAGAATATTGGCAGCTTTAAGATGAGGAAATTTGAAGGAACGCCTACATGATTGACCATCTTCGTCCGGGCGCCGAGTTGACGAATGTTATGCGCCTTGCCGGCTTCCACAACGGACGTATAAATCTTCCTCGCGTCCTTCGCAGGGCCCCAGAGCTCGAACCCCAGCTCGCCCGACACGCCCTGTCTCAAGCACAAGAACTTGATGCCGCGTATGGTGAGCTCCTTGTAGTGCATGAACTTGATGTCCCTGACGCCCTCGTCCGTGATCTCGTCGAGCAGCTTCGCGCTGCGCGGACCCTGAACCTGCAGGAGAAACCAGTCATTGGTGACGAGTTCCAGCGTGGCGTCAAACTTCCTCCTGCCGAACCGGTGCTGGTACGCCAGCCAGACCGTGCCCGGTCCGCTGGTAAAGATGAAGTCATCCTTGTCGAGCATCAGGACGAGGCCTTCGCCGACCACGCAGCCGTTGTCCTGGCAGAAGATGGCGTGCTTGGCCTGGCCGGGCTTGAAGTTGGGCCAGCGGTTGGTGGAGAGGAACTCGAAGAAGGCCTGGGCCTCCGGGCCCTTGACGCGGGCTTTGAGAAGCGGCGACCAATCTCCTATGTAGCAATCCGTTTTCCAAGACACGCTCTCGTCTATCCAGCCGGAGTATTCGTATGCTTCAAAGGTCGGACCGAAGCGTGACCAGGTGTTAACTGTAGGGTCTATGGGCACGGCTGGTGCCAAGGGGACGAAGTGTTTTTCGTGTCCATCGTCCCACCAGGGCTGGGTCGTGCTTTCGCTTTGGACGTTGGAGTTGGAAGAAGACATTTTGCAGTGCGAGTAAGTGTAAGAGGGTAAGATAGGTCAATTGGATTTAGTGCTGATAACCGGAGAGGCATTAGTTAACCATCTACATCTATATTTCTTCTACTGGTTCACAACCCACCCCGTCTGTATTTGATATCTCAAATGACTGCATGAATTCATTCACACTTGATCGGACTACGGTCTTGTTTCTCTCCGCAACACCGTGTAAGTGGGTTGGTCGTCATGTCCCAATTAGGCAATGTGGGATGGCGGAAGAGCTGCCGTGTGGGGTATGGGGTATGGGGTATGTGGGATGTCTCGGCGACGTCTGTAGACATCATCCAGTAGCCCAGGTTTCCTAAACAGTCAACCACATAATGGATTCGTCGATCTCGTGTTTGTCTATATTTCGAAACTCGAGAAGGCTTGGAATGATCAATAGATGTGACCATGTAAAATAGACGTTAACAAGAGCGTAGATGATTTAAAGAAGCATCAGATCCACCTCAGCCAGTCCATAGTGTAAACCCAGCTTGGTGTACGAGACTGCATCTGCGATTGCCTTGTAAACTACCTCGAAATGTCCAAGCCATTTGCTATCATCGTAGGCGCAGGCCCATGCGGCCTCCTCCTAGCCCTCCTCCTCGCCAAGGCCGGACATCACGTCCAACTCCTCGACGCCGCCCACAAGCTCGACGAGCAACCCAGAGCAACCCACTACGGCCCCGAAGCCGTAGAAGTCCTCGACAGTGCTGGCGTTCTCCAAGACGTCCTCGCAGAGGGCGGCTTCGTGCCGCACGGCGTCGCCTGGAGAAAGCCCGACGGCACCCCCATCGCCGAGCTCCTCACGACCACGCTGACGAGCACCTCCAAGCACACCATGGTCTGCCTCCCTCTCAACCACCTGGGCCGGATCTTGTACAGGCATCTGCTGGCGCAGCCGCGGGCCAGCGTGCTCTGGGGCCATAGGGTTACGAGCGTGAGACAGACCGACGGGGAGGCGATCGTCGAGGCGGAGGCGCTGGGTGAGACGAAGACGCTGGCGGCGAGGTATGTCGTCGGCTGCGACGGTGCCAATAGCCAGGTTCGACGATCGCTGTTCGGAGACGCCGAGTTTCCGGGGTGGACTTGGGATGAGCAGATTGTTGCGACGAATGTTAGTGTGAAGAGCACCGTGATGTTCTCACCGCTTGCTAATCGTATGGCTTCTCCAGACGTACTACCCGTTCGATAAATACGGCTTCACAGATAGCAACTTCATCATCAGCCGCGAGAACTGGTACATGGCGGCCCGAATCTCCAACGACGGCCTCTGGAGAGTAACCTACGGAGAAGTCCCGGACCTCACGAAGGACGAGTACCTCTCCCGACAAGCCCGGAAGTTCGAGCACATGCTCCCTGGAAACCCCAAGGTCGACGGGTGGAAATGCGTCAACTTCAGCCCCTACAAAATCCACCAGCGTCTCGCCCCGTCTCTTCGACAAGGCAAGATCCTACTCGCAGGCGACGCCGCACATCGTGAGTACCCAATCCCACCCTCCGTCCCTCTCTCTCTTTCTCGATGCGACGACTAGATGTGCCCACTAACGTCAAAAGTATGCAACCCCTTCGGCGGCCTAGGCCTAACAGGCGGCATCCTCGACGTCGGCGGCCTATACGACTGCCTGCACGGGATAGCCACCGGCGCAGCTGACGAGTCGATCCTGGATCGGTACAGCGAGGTGCGCAGTCGGCTCTATCGCGAGTTTACGGACCCCGTATCGACGGCAAACATGCGGAGGCTGTGTAAGACGGATCCCGAACGGGCGTTGGAGGAGGACGCGTTTTTGCGGATGATCAGGGAGAGCAATCACGACCCCGCGGTCGCGAATCAGTTAGCAGAGGGCGCGAAAGGGTTGAGTCACGACTTTACGCAATACTACCATTAGAGACGAACGTCTGTCGATTTGAGGGGTGACACGGATATGTTGCGGAACATGGGGTTTGATGGCGTAGTGGAAAGGTTACTAGCGAAGGTTGTGAGTACATTGTCGACGAATATCAATGGTCTTCTAGGCCGACGGCAAAGTCACATCATCCTATCGCTGCCGTGATAGGCCTCATCGCCCATTCAAGTAAGCATGTCAGGAGAAGGATCATTCATATGCCACTTGAGCGATTAAACCTAGACAGCGCTGCGTAGATACTCGTAACAGTGTATTATGCTCCCACGACGCCGTTGCTATGTCCGCAAAGACCTCAAACTCCAAAGATGCCCAACCCAAAAGCCATTCCGACTCGGTGACCATGGCGTGATCTCGTGAGCACCAGTCGGCGAGGGCCGAACTGGCTGAAATATGATTATCCATAAAATCCATAACAATGCAGTGTCTTTTTTTTCTTCTTGCACCTGGCTTGCTTTCAACACCGGACGGCTGTAATTTCGTTTTCAGTGGCGTCTTTTCTTGGACTCGTCGATCTCTTCTCCCATTTCCATGGGGTTGGTTGGATCAATGTAAGCCGACAGTCTGGTATCACCCCAACGAGCACCAACGGTCACCCAGACGCCCTTGATAGGGGTGTTGCCCATGACTGTCTCACGGTGGCCTCCCCAGCGCAGACGGTTCTCGCGATCCATCGCGCTGTTGCCCAGGCCGCCGTTGATATTCCATTCCTTCACGGCGTTCTTGATGAATTCGATCTTACGACGGAAGTCGTTGGCAACCGGGATGCCCTGAAGCTCGGCAGGAATCTCAGGGCGTCGGCGCGAGGTGGTAGTCGGACGTGTAGACCGGCTAGCCGAAGGCTTGGTCTGGAAGTTCAGCAATGTTTGCAGGGGATAAGACAGCATGGCTCGCTCGTCGAGGGCCGCAGCTCCTAAACTGCCAGTAGTCGCGAGGTTGTGAGCCGCATCCATGGGGAGGTGCCAGAAGTGGCACCACGTTCCAGCAGCGTTCAGCACAATCTTGGTGTGATCGGGGAAGTTGAACTTTGAAAATGTTAGTCAACCCCGTGAAGAATTTATGTTAGTAACTCACCTGAAGATGGCCGTCGCCAAAGACCCAGCAACCAACATCGCCAAAACGTTGGTAGAACGTCACCAAGTCTGAGGGCTGAGAGTTGTTGACAGAAAACTCGGGGGATCGAGTAGTAGTCTCCTCCGCAGGCACCGCATCGTCTCTGCCATAAGCAATCATGTAGTTTGCGAACTTCTTCCAGAGAATGACCCTTTCTCTCTTGCGGTGCTCGTACACATCCTTCCCAGGGTTCAGCTTGCCAGCTGTGCCGTCTTCATGAACCTGGACTCGGAATTGTTTCGATGAAACCGAAACTCGAGACAAGCCTGATTCGCCATTGTTCTCATAGAAGTGAATCTCCTGCCCGGGAGGCAGCGGCTGGTGTCTTTCAGGGTATGTTTCATCGTGTCTTCGCTCAATGTGTCTCTCAGCGTCCCGCACAAGCATACACGCTGAGGGGAGCATGAGGGTGTTGCCGCTCTCGGTAGTAGGGATGTCGCGCAAGATGCAGCCAACACCGCCATCGTTGAGAATATAGCCGAGACCAAACTTGTTCGTGTAGTCCACCCACTTCACGACCACGTTGGGGTGGGGAGGGGTCACATCCTTGGAGGAGATAATGGCCATTGTGCGTGCATTCAAAGCACGCTCCAATTCAGCCTGGAGGCGACGAAGACGCTCCAACACCACATCCGGCTTCGAGCTTGCTACCGGCTCGGGACGCTCGGACGGGCTAAACAGCGAAGCCATATCGGTCTTATCTGATGAAATCTTCAGATTCTCCATCAAGCCCGTCATTGTAACCGTAGGCTGGCTTGATGCCGGTGGAACCATGGCCTGACTAGGGAGAGCTCCAGTAGACTGGCTCGTCGGGAGCGGCGTCCGGCGGGTCGCAGTTGATTTTCTCAGCGGCGCCTCGGCAAGTGTGTTGGTCCGCTGAGGCTCCGGCGCGGACTGCTGCCTAACCGATCTCGGGCGCACAGCCTCGGCCGACTGCGACGGTGCTTCCGGTTGAGGTCGTGACCTGACGCTGCTGGCCATCGGCGGAGGCCTGTTTTGAGCTCTTTGTTGAGCAGCAAAGCTCTGAGGGGGCTGGCGTAGCAAGCCAGTGGGTGCGGTCTGCGACGAGCTAAACTGCTGCTCCCTCGTGGAGTCGGAGCGAGAAGACGACGAAGCAGCGAGCGCGCGAGCCTGTCGCCTCTCGTTGGCTTGTCTCTTCTCAGCAAGCCAGTCGTCGAAGGGCCGGTAGACAACATCCTCTCCCAGGGGAATCATGGGTGTCAAGCCAGACTTTTCCTCGGCAGCCATCTCCTTCCACGTTTGAGTGTGGACAACCTGTACCGCGGCGTATGGACCAACTCCACACTCTCTGCACATATCTCGGTGGTTTCGGTGGGTGGTTTCTTGCAATTGTGAACTCATGCGAGTCGTGTAGAATTCCGAGCCGTCGGGCGGCAGGGTCAGAAGCCTAGTGGTCATGTCGGCCTCTACCGGCATGTAGCCGCAGGTGAAGAAGTCGTGCTGGACAATAACATCGGGGTCGGGTCTCATATCAGCGTCCTCGAGCATCGTAGCAACGCAGTCCTTGGCCTCTTGGCTGATGAACTTTGCAGACGTTTCCGGGTTCGGCCATTCGTAGTCGCGTTCTCTCGCTCGGCGGTAGATCTCCTCGGTGCTCGTGGATTGGAAAGGTGGCTTCGACGTCAACATAGCGAACCTGCTTCAGTCAGTAATATTCCACATGATTGCCTCAAGATTGACTGACATGATGATACCCAGACTCCAGATGTCAACCATGTGGTCATGGCCCTTCTTTCCCTTCTGGAGAATTTCAGGAGCAATGTAGTTAGGTGTGCCGCACAAGGTGGTTCTTCTTATGGTTTGCATGTCCCTGCCAGTAACCAGCAATGCAGCCAGTCCAAAATCTCCAACCTTGGCGTTCATCCTGTGATCCAAGAAGATATTGCCCATCTTCAGATCTCGGTGAATGATGCCCTTTCCATGCATGTACTTGATAGCGCCGGCAACCTGGACAGAGTAGAAGCGAACCTCGGGCTCGGTAAGACCCTTGCGCTTCTTGACCATGTCCATCAGGGATCCGTTCGTGCAGAGCTCAAGGACCAGGTACATGCAGTCGTGGAAGGAGAAGGCCCTGAAGAACTGGACTATGTTCTTCTGGTTCATCTTGGAGTGGATCTGAAGCTCGGTTTGGAACTGCGCGACGCGTTAGACCAGCAACACTCCATCCGCGATACGGCACGCGACTGACCTTTTGCTGCATCTTGGAGGGCATCTGACTCCGAACAATCTTCAAAGCATACTTTTTGCGTTCCGGCAACAGGTATCCCTGGTAGCAGACGGCGAAACCGCCCTTGCCAAGCATCCTGCCCACCTGGTAGACCGCTCCATTAGGGCGGTCGGAGCTGGGAGGCTCGTCGACGGCGGCGGGAGGCTGCGGCGGGGGTTCCTTATCCTTCGCCGCCTTGAGCGTGGCGACCGGCTTCGCGGTCTTCATTTCGATTGCCTTGGGCATGCGCTGAGCGTTGGCGTCCCTAGGCGACAAGGCCTCCAGATCGACTCCCCCTTTAGCCACCAGTCTATGGGCCATGGCTGTCGGCCTCTCGCTCGTGTTGGTACGTCGGTGCTATCTCGAGAGATATGAGGCCTCTCGGAAAGCAAGCAAAGCAATTAGGCGAGAATCAAGATCGTCCCTGGGCGGTGGAGTGGAGGGACCTGGGGGGCGATCGTCAGCACATTGAAGGCAAGCGAAAAGAATTGAGTTGTAAATATCGCGAGGGTGAGAGTGTTTTGAAGTTGTGTAATAAGGTGCGAGCGAGTTTGTTTCTGGTGGGCTTTGCCGAACACCTCACATAGCGAAAGGTGCAAGACCAGAGAGACAGCGGTGGGAAGGAAGCAACGACACACGAAGGGGGGAACGGGAAAGCAAAACACTTACAATCTTCGCAGCGAGAACATGTGCGAAGGAAAATAAAATACCAAACAAGCAAATCCGAGGTCGTCAAGTCCAGACGAACTGAAAGCAAAAGCCAAATCGAGGCAGACCGACGTGAGGACTCACACGGATCAGAGTTGTCGGGATGATGCGCCGTTGAGACGAACGGTAAACTTTTGGTGATGGGGGTGGAGTGAAGGACCGGGTTCAGTTGGCGTGTGTTACCGTCGCTGTTGACCTTTGTCTCGTGTGCCGTTGCCCCGGAGACGTCGAGGCCGGAGCGCCAAAGTCAGCAATGAGGACCACTAAAACTGCGTGATTCTGCTCCACAAAGACTTGGTCTCACTGTTAGGTAAGCAGCATGGGTCTCTTTCCTCATTCAGCAATGAATGCTCCCCCAGCTTTCAATGCCCATGAGAAGGATGCAAAGTTGGTTGTACATTTTGTGAAGTGAGAAGATAGTTGTTCCCCCAAAGCTGGGTTTCTTCTGATAATATCATCAGCGATAATTATAGGTTGGCACCTCTTAGACTGGGCCTTTCCAATTTCCAAAGTCTCACCTCCGTCTGGCCGGGGTGCCCGTGCCTCGATCGGCCCCGAAGCTTAGAGAAAGCGGAACATCAAATGAGCGGGTTCCGAATATTTCCACCGAAGGCTCCAGCTTCAGCGCCGACGTCAGCTGCCTGACGGTAGCCCCGGGGGACCCCGACTCGAATATTACTCTGCATTGTACATATCTACGATCCCTCAAATCCAAAGCGTTTGACTTGCGCGATTGATCTGCTCCCGCGACCCAATTGACGAGTAAAAACACCGGCCGAGACCCGGGCCGAGACCCGGGCCAAGACAAAGCCGTAGCACGGAGCTCTCGGAGCTCACTCCCCCTCCAACCAACAAACAATACAACAACCTGGCGCGGGAGAACAACCCCACCATGGTGCCGCTGCCTCTCTTCAAGATCGCCGCCCTCTTTGTGAGGCATGTGTCGAAATACGGCGCTGTACGACAATCCCTTCTCTCTCCCACCTCATTCTGATTGCCATCCGAAAAGCTCTGTGACTAACACCCCGATCCCCTCGCGCAGAACCGCATAAAGGCACAAGCCCACGACCACCCCAAATTCCGCGCCTTCGCCGCCCGCTATGGCCAGTCGATCCACCAGCTCAACATGCGCCTCTCCGTGGCCCTCCTCCGCAACGTGGAAGCAGAAATGAGAGCAAAAGAAAAAGCCGAGGCCCCGACGGTCAAGACGAAAGAACAAGTACAGAAGGAGGAGGAAGCGAAAGCGAAACAGGCCAGGCTCGAAGCCGAACACCCCGAGGCGAAGCAGAAATCTTCTTCCTCCTCCTCGTCAACGGAGACCAAAGAAAAGCGCCGCACCATCACCAGCGTATGGAGCCGCAAGTTCCGGCCCCTCCCCGAGGCCAAGGCCGTCGACCTCTTCGCCGACGTCATCGGCGACGCCTTCATCCTCGGCGTCGCGACCGCCATCATCGTCTACGAGTACTGGAAGGCGTCCCAGAAACCCGACGCCAACGCCGAGAGGATCAAGGTCCTCGACGCGAGGCTGGAGGAGCTCACCCGCCGCGAGGAGGAGCTGGCGAGGTCCGAGGAGGACCGCAGGCGGCGGTACGAGGCGCTCGAGAACGCGCTGCGGGAGCTGAGAGACCCCAAGACGAAACAACCTTTGCTGCCCAGTTTGCAAACGCCGCCGCCGCCGCCTGCGCCGACGCAGACGGCTGCGTAGATGCCTCCGGGGGCGAATGTTGAGTTTGGCGGCGGTGGGAGAGCAGGAAGACGAGGGATGCTTTGTACGATTTATTACGATACCACTTGGCTGGCGTTTTTTCTTGTACTTTGTAGTAGAAGGAAGGTACAGTGCGTTACACTTCTCCAGCGATATCATAGACACCTCACTCTCAGGGTAGGAACCAAAAGGCAGGAACAGGCTGGTAGTTCCTGCCATTTTCTCACCTCTTATAGAAAGATACCAATCAAAACAGCAAAGTTCAATCACCTTTGGCATGGCTCAAGAGAAAAGTGACATCCTGGAAATTCACAACGGTCAACCATACCGGCATCGCTTCGTATCAGCGAGACACATCGCGAACCTTCGACACCGAACGCAACCGCCATCTGGACGATGTGGTGTACCAAACTCCGAAGCCGCCCTGAATGGGCTGCAGCCGTCCGCACCCTTCCCAAGATCGCACCTCGGGTGAAAGGTAAGAGGATCCGTCGCAATAACCACTCTCACTGGTCACTTACATCATTCACACAGAGGGCAGGCTGGACTCTCACGATATCGCCCTTCCTACCTCGAGACCACCGCGTATGCTCCGCATCGTCTTGCTCTCTCCGGGAGACCTAGACAGCCCCGCCACAGAGCAGCGTCTGCATCGCCTCGCCCATCTCCAAGGCCAAGACGCCGCGGTAATCTTCCTCGTCGACCCTGCCGGACAGCAGAGGGACCCAATGGAGGCATTCATGAGGCTGCAAATCGAGTCAGTAGACACAGCGCGGGAGCAAGACGCAAGAGGCATGATCGGCCTTAACTAACAACAACCAAGCAGGATGCTTGTAAAGTTTGGTGTGCCTCTCATACCCCTCCTCTCAGCCTCCGACCTCCCGTCTACCCTCTCAACGCTGCTACCCAGCCAGTCCACACCGCAGGACCTCACTCACTCCGAGTCCCTACTGAGACACATGGCCGACGGTCCTCCTCTCTCAGAGCACCTCGCCAACCTCTTAAGCGAGATCGGAGACTCCCCCAGCGCTATAGCCGCCGCAGCCAACACGGAACAAGGCAGAGCCCGGATCCTAGATCTCCTGGGCGAGACCAAAGGCAGCCGGGTCCTCCGGTTTCTAGAGCTGGAGCATTTTGTATAGCAAGCATATAGCCTGGAGAGTCAATTGAAGGGGACGAAGGTGGAAAGGGGGAGGCTTTGCTCATCGATCGAGACGGGGGCCACAGGGTGGAGGAGGATCGTGATGCGACGCTGGTTATTCGGATGGCATCTGCCTGACAGGAGGACTCTTCAGATCCTGGGGTCTTCGCACCAGACTCACCGCATGACGATGAAGGGGTTGGGCGACGAACGGGGAGGCTGTGTTCCGTGTGCCTCGCCAGGGGAGACTTGAGACGAGGAACGGGGCGGAGGATGCCATCGTCGAGGCGGTGGGGTTCGAAGACCTCGACGGACTCGATAAGCCACTTCTCCTAGCATTAGCCAAAAAAAAAGAGGCTTCAAGCCGTGGGCAGAAAGAAACCACCAAAGATGCCGGCTGCAACAACTAATCGTTTATGCGTCAGACGACGGGTTGACACCACGGAAAAGGCGTTTGGAACTCCTGCCAAATTTCACCTGTCGCGTCTCAAAAACTCGGGATGAAAGGCCGGGATCCGTGCTTAGACGGTCTGGCTGGATGGGCGTCCTCTGACGTCCGGTCCTAAATGACCGTGGGTTGCAGACGTTCCCTACTACCCAGAAAAAGGTGAAGCAGTTGCCGTCGGGGCTTGGCCATCACCCTCATCCCAAGCCCAGATTTCTCCTCACTCGTTCTCGGCTGCGTGCAAGAGCCGTGCTGATCAGTACCACCTTAGTCCCCCGTTATATTTCCACCAAACTGTTTAAGGTGAACGTAGATCAGAAGATAGCAGAGGGAAGAGAGATAGACGTGCAGCAGTGCGCGTTTGATCAGAGGGGACGATCTGCTCCAAACGTTCACAGGGCTTGGAGTCAAGGCATTTGAAGCTAGCCAAGCCAAACGTCTTGTCAAGTCTCGGCTCCCGACTGAATCGCGAATCTGCTTTTGAAGTTTCTCGGCTCGTGATCGACGTCAGATTTTCTTCATGGTTGTCGCCTTCTCGGTCGACCTTGCACTCTGTGTCGAAAAGCTCTAGAAGATTTCCTTGGCTTCGGGTTTGCTGCAGATAGACGCTCTTGAGTGGGGATGACCTTGGTTTCCACGTAACTGGGTTGACCTGTGGACAAGGATTGGATAACCGCAAAGTGACTGACACGAGCAACACCGCAGACGACTGTGTATGTTGGTGACTTCAACGCGGCAATTGTGAGCCGTGACCCGAGTCGTGCCGCAGAGGTGACGTTCGACCAGCAGAGTTTCTCGGTGAGGGACTATGGACGCTTACAAGCGTGACCCCGGAGTCGTTCAGCCCATCCCATATTGTTGCCGTATTGTAGCCGGCTTACACCCATATTACGTGATAACAGTCGTTGTATTGTCGAAAAGCTTGTAGACGAGACGCTTGGTCCAAGTCGGATTCCGGATGGTATGCTTATCTGACGATTGAACTCTAGACGTGCGATGGCCCCCAAAGTTTGGTGATATGAGCCGAATTATTGTAATAGAAACTTTCTTGCGTTCCGAGTCCCGTTTGATGAGGGGAAATGTTGCAACGGGCGAGGAGGCCGAGCATCTGCAGTTCACGTGCGACTCGTCGTCGAACTCGCAACGTCGGTGAGTCTTTCGGTCCATTGGATCCGGCGCGCGGGGATTGAGCGTTGCATGGCATGAGAAGATCTTGCAGCGACTTGCAGTTCGGGCCACTCGGGCAAGAGACCACACAGTGGTGGATCTATTTCTGGAGTCGAGTTCAAGTGCCGAGGCGAATGGGATTGTGTGATTCCAGAAGACAGACCGCTTCTCGAGAGACCGAACGGGCCATTCTCCAGCCTTCACGGAAATCCCGCGTGAATAGATTGATGTGATATCTGCCCGGCGGTTGCAGTAGCACAAGTGATGTGTTGCCCGCGATGGTTGGCTGGACTTGTAAACCCTGGGAAGTGTGGACGGAGGCCATGTGGGTTGCTGTGGAGAGGAGGGCCAATGACGAAGAGCCGTGAGCCGCCCAAGAAAATAAAGTTGACCACCTCTCCTCCGCAGCGGTCTTCCCTCTCGCTTTCTTGCTTTATTTTTAGCCGCATCGTGCATCGAGCCAATGCAGAGAACGGATGCGATGCAGTCTTTCGAAATCCGGAAGGCGAGTATATTGCCAATCGTCAAGAGTCAAATACACCCCAGGAACCCGCCACTTGTCCGGTGAGATGATCCATTTCTGAGCAATTTTTTTGGCTTGTCAGCCGATTGAGGAATCTTAGCCCAGAGACTATCGATTCGGTGCCGCCATTCATACCGCCGTACCATTACTGAATCAGTCAATATCGATCCATGTTGCTGGTCGATGTGGTTCCTGGTACTGCAGTGCATATTGCGTGCAGCATACCGTCACCGTGCTCGACTCGAGTGCTCTCACATACGGTGGTGCGCAAGTACGCATCCCCGGAGACGTGAGTTGACACAGGGATGCATGTCCACGCTAAGCTGGTTGACGCCGAGGCGTCTCTGGTGCGGCGAGTGATTGATACTGTCGAGTTGACAAGCTCGACGACGGCACCACAGACAACTCTCCCGTCGTCCGCTAGTCTTAGTGGTGAATGCTTGATCGGACCTGTCAGCAGTAGCGCTCGAGCGGTTGCCGCAGAAAGCTGACGATAGCCGACGCCAAACAGTCGGTGCTTTGAGAAGAACGGCTTTACATCCTAATTGAACCGTCTGAAGAGTCATGGGTGCTCGGTTCAGTCAGGTCGTCAACGGGGTACGTCGGTGAGACCGCCATTAGAGACCCGACTTCAAGGTATTCGTAGTTGGTAACGGGAGCAAAGCCGCCCCCTTTCCTCTCTTCCGTCAACTCTTGTGAATAAGGTTTTGTCGACATGGGTTGCTTGACAGGACGTCGCTGTTCGTTTGGTGGTCTGTTCGCGGTCTGAAGTGCAGCGTTCATCCCCCATCGTCTGTTCGTCGGTCTGAGACGAGACTGGTGAAGCAGGGCAGGGACCTCGTTGCTTACGTCCAGAGACGTTGAGGATGCAGGCGTTCATGCATCTGAGAGGTTTGCTGAATAACTGAGAGAAGAGACGCTCGACACCCTCATTTGGCTCGGTTGCTAGCCGCGCAGCCAGCTGGCAGTGGTGAGGCTTCATTAGGTTCCCGGCGAGGGTACCGAGGATGGCATTGTGACAGGCAGGACTTTGGCACCTCGACCTAGCATGATGCGATTGAGACTGGATTTCTCGTATGTCGGCTCATGTTTCTCCACCATCTTCCTTTGTCGTTGACGGTATTTGTCGTCAGTCGTCACTCTGGCCAAAGGTGACTGACAAGATCGAACTGTGGGGGCCAAGATACAGAGCATTCCGCTCAAGAACAGCGGAACAGGGGGACAAGAAAGAAAAATCCGATCCATGTCCTAAGTGCCCAGCCTCCAGCGCAAACGGGTCTGAATGAGACTCTCTTAGGGCAACGGGGCCAGGCCAGGGGTAGTCGATTCGACCCCCAAGAGGTCCAATCCAAGGTGGTAGTGGTCAACTGGACGACGACGACGGACAGGGTTGGGCTCGGACGAGACAGCGCCTGCGACCGGGCGAGGGACAGCCCGTCCCATCTTCTCAAACGACATGTGCCTCAGCACAGCCATTCTGGAACTTGCCTCTGTCTGAGGCGGTTTTGATCAGCCGTCTCAGGGCTTGGGCGAGGTTCAGATGGCATGAACCAACACAGTTCTTGTGGTGAGGTATTGGCGAAGAAGTTCGGGATGCCAGGCTTTTGCGTGGCCTGTCCGTGGGCTGTGTCGTCTTTTTCTTTTTCGCTGTGGTGTGTGTGGGTGCACGATCTCTGTTACGCTTTCGACGCCATCTGGAAGATCAGTTGAGTTCGTGCGACAGGCAAAGTGTATGGGCGAGAGAGGGAGGGAAAGAGTGAGGAAGCAGGGACGGGTGTGGGAGCCATCACTGCTCAGGGCATTTGGCGACGTTTTCCCGGGGAGGTTGGGCCAATCTGGCAGGCGTAACTCTGCTGGACTTTGCTGAGATGACGCTGAGGTGAACTCCAACGTCAACCATCCACCCCCGGGACGGGCAACGGCGGGTATTGTTTCTTTCGTTATTTTTGTTTTCCGTTCTCAATTGCCTATCGTAGATTTCTCTCAACGTTCATTTGTCGAAATGGCCGGACTAGATTAATTAAATCGACCGTTGGCCAATTTAGATTATCGATTTCTCCTCCAAAAGTGGGTTGGGAAACATCACACCTCAGCGACCCTAAGAGGCTTCCAGGGCACTCAAGACCGCTGAAAGAGTGCCGCTCTTCTGTGCGTGGTCAACCAGGAGCAGGCATTGGACCGTGGTGTGGTAGAAGCGAGGGGAAACCTGGGATGACACGAGAGATACTTTGTCTGTCACCAAGTCTCGCAGAAGACGGAAGTACACCGCTGTGATGCGATGATCTGACGGCAGACCAGACGGCCCCAGTGTCACCCCTGATCCCTTGGCTGCAGGGGCACTCCACCCTCGCCTGTCAAAAGGTGAAGCGGCAAGGGGTCTCATTGGTCCGAGCTGTCTTCTCTAACCGCCCACGACTTGCCAATCACCTCGATGCGTTAACCTCTCTATTCTCGCCCTTTTTCCCTCTTCCCATCCTGCCAGTGCCATTTTCTTCGCCTCCACGCTCCAAATTGCTTGCAGGAAACAATATGGCAGAATATCCCTCTTGAACTCACTCACAGCTCTCGTTCATGCCCCCCCGCCATCCCGGCTAACCTTGCATCCGTACCCGCTCACTTACATGCCTCACCCACGTCCACTCCCAGTCCCTCGATGAGGTACGCCGTCTCTACCGCCATGTATCCCCATCGTGCAAGTCAAGTGACGGCTGCAACCCCATCAAGCCCTCCAGACCCTGACCGTCTAGTGCGCTGTATACGTGTGTGTGACCACCTTCAACTGGCTCTCGACTGAGATGATGGTCGGTCTCGGCCGTGGCTGGGTCGGGCGGGTAATGCAACTGCTGCCGCTGCTACGGATACTGCTGCTGCTGCTGCTGCTGCTCTGCTAGACGGACGTATGATGCCGCTTTCTGCACTCTGCACTTATTTCTTGCATCCATCCCGCCCCAGATCAAGAACCCAACCCCGGTCTACTTGCCAAAGCTGGCGTCTCTTAAAACTCGTCTGCCTCCATCTTTCGCATGTGCCACTATCCGTCGTTTCTGTCTACCTTTTTCTTCCCTCCTCATCCACCTCCTTGCCTCACGACTTCTCCCTGACAGTCGTCTTGTCTGATCTTCAAACAAACTTCATGCGACGGGGGCAATAGAGCACAGATCCCTGACGAACATCTACCTTACCCTTAGTACGGGACTCCACCACAACGCCTCATCACCCTGCCTCATACACCACCTTACCTTACACTACCCCGTGTCTTCACAACGGCTTCCCGGCACTAGCAAAATATTCCTACAGAGCCTCAACCCTTCAACCCTTCAGCCATCGAGCCCATAGGCGCATCATACACGGCTGTCATCATCGACCTCACCATTGCTCCACCACATCCACGACCACCACCGCCTTGGGCTTGAACCACCCCCTGGCTCGCCCCTTCTTATCGTCCACCTGCCTGGGCTATAGCAGACACTCCCAAGACCATCGCGCAACCAGAAACGTCTCAATGCCGCTCGGATGCCCGCTGTCATCATAGATCAGATTGCCCGAACCTGGATCTCAAGAGAACTCACCCCAGCATCGAGCCAGAAACACTCGATAGTAGTCAAACCCTGCCTAGCCAGCTAGCCCGGGGCCCATCCTGATACAAGCCTCAACCAGCCTTCACTCTGTGCGGCTCGGTGCCTTGCCCTTTGGGCAAGCCCACTTGCTCACCACATCCACATTCGACCTCGACCCCCCTGGTCTGGACTTCCAACCCAGGAACGTCTCATCCCATCCCGACTCTTCTCGTCTCAATATAGATCTGTCTTCCCTCCCCGCCTTGGGTTCGGTTGATACTTCTCGTCCTCCTCCCCTCTCGACCTTCTCTTCTTTGCCTCGCCAGCGCTGTGCACTAGCCTGTCGATAGCCTTCTTTTAATATCGACATACTTCTGTTCGACGCCTTCACTTCTTCCTTTCCGCAGGTCCGGTACCTATTCCTTTCCTTTCGCCGTTGCACGGTTCTCTTCGACTGAGTCGCCTTTTGCTCAACCCGTTTTATTCGCAAGAGAGGACTCCGATCTCGACGACCGTTTCCCTCGTTCCCTTCATTCGCTGGTTTTCGGGTTTTTGGGTATCAAGAGGTTACGACAAATCTTCACGACGTCACCGAAGGGTTCAGCGCAACAGGCCAAAAAAGGATCATCACCAAGAACGTTCTACACGACAACTGAGCAATCAGAAAGAGAGAGGAAAAGAAGGTTTCGAGACCAAGAGAAGAAGAGTTTATTCCGTAATCGAGAAAGATGGGTCGTCTTATCAAGAACCACTGGGCTCGCCTCATCGTTATGAGCGCCGCAGCTTGTAAGTCAAATCACCAACGGTCTAAGCCAAATACGCTCGGCGCTAATCAACTCTATCAACAGACCAGTTCGGAGCCGCTCTCGAGGGCTTCTTCTGGCCCAAGATCTTTTGGGACTTCCTGACTAAGACTCTGGACCCGGCCGTCAAGCCCATACCGGTGTTGCAGATCATCAACCTGCTCATGGCCCTTTTCATGGTTGCTCTCGAGTGGCCTTTGGGCTTCATCGCCGGCAGCGCGATCCACCGCAGTCTCGAGTTCCGCCTCATCATCCTCCCTCTCACGTCTCTCGCCGCCGCCCTCATCTACCAGGGCACCAACGCCGCTCTGTACTATCTTATTTCTCTGGTCGTCTACTTCTGGGCCTACAGCGAAGGAGAGGTATGTTGCACTTTTACTCCTGACTATTTCCACTAGTTGACTAACACCACGCCAGATCATCTGCGCTAAGCCATGGACACTTCCCCAAAGAGGACGCGGCGGCAAAGTCTAAAAAACTCAATCTCACCACATCGCTCATCACCCAACGTGCTACAATCCGCCTCAACCTCGCAGGACCATAGAGTTCTGACAGAGAGACAACCCGTACACGGCAAGACCTCCGACGAGCCGAACGACATCCTACGAAAACTCGGACGAACCTACGAATTCCCTAATCGTTCTTTCTCTGAGCAATGATTTGAAACTACAACAATTTCTTATACATGTTTTTAACGATCTACTATCGAATATCACGGCATCCAGCATCGGCGTTTGTTCCCTTCAACGAAAGTGGGAACATTGGTTGTTTCTCGTCCTCTTTTCCAACTATCTCGGCTACACAAAAAAAATTTGGATACCAACAAAAAACAAGATTCCCTTTTCGTTTTTGGGGCTATTCTCTCTTGCAAAGTCATCTCGAAGCGTTGGGCGAAATTCCCTAACTTGGCTGGTGGTGTGGGTGGTTCGGAATCGAGGGAAGGGGTCAACCATGTTTCTCGTTCGTCCTGTTTCGCAAGAGCGGGGACCCTTACAACAGCATCCATCATGGGCTGACGTCCGACGGAGACATGGATGGAGGGCATTCCCCTTGGCGCGTGTATCATCCCGAAGCTCGGCTCAAGACCATCTTGGGTTTGTGGGGCCTTGCCTTCTTCAGCGGACGGATGGAAGAGAGAGAGAGAGAGTAGGAGCAGCAGGAGGGAAGTCAAGGCGTGAGGAGGCAAAGTGCACCAGACCGAGGAAGAAAAGCTCCATCGCTGTCAAGAAAGAAAGTGGCCTTGGGATTACCATAGCGAATTAGCGTACCAATGCTACAACCTAATGTCAACAAAGTCAAGACTACCTACCACTTCGCATCGTGAACTCCTCGGCTTCCAATCCGACACTCGCATCGAAGAAACTTTCTCACAAGCCTCCCCAAAAGAAGAATTCCACGGCATAGACGGCAAACAAGCTTAACTGACGGGCACATGTCCAACCCCCAAGATAGGAAATAAAAGCACCCCACGACGAACCTTCCTCCCTTCTCTGGCCCCCTTCCAGAAGGACGAGAAAGTTCAAACTCTGAACGACTGACAGCAAACCCACCCATCCACACACACACACTCTCTCTCTCTCTCTCTCCCTCCTCTCTTCCCTCTCTCCCCGGCCAAGGGTGTACTCACTACTCAGCTCTCGCGTGCGGCTCCCTCCTCATCCGCCCTACGCAAATTGCATCGTAGTGGATCCCCCCTGCCCCTCCCGGGGTCGGGGTGGCTTCGCTCAGGTACGGCCAGGAAATGACGATAACACCCGCGTGATATCGACAATACCAATACTATCGACAAGGTGCATACGAGGAAACCCGCACGAGAAAATTTCATTCGCGAGATTTCCTCTAGACGACATTCTGCAAGGGCACAGACAAGACAAGATACTACGAAGAGGGAGAGAAAAAAAATGCAGGGCAGGGCAGGGCAGGAGCGAGGCAGGGGCCGTCTCGAGGTCTCCACGCCTGCAAGACTTTCCCGAAACACTGTCGAAACGGGCGCACATCACGAGAGAGAGACCTACTGGGGGTGGGAGAAATCCCCACCCTTTGACAGAACTTACGTCGTCTTGTCTTCACACTTGTTATAGTCGCCTTGGCTTAAATATTGCTATGAATTTCATCTACGTAGGTAGACAGATCGTTACCTCTATATTTCATGAAGCGGCCGATAAGAAATCGGTCCTATCGCCGGTTGGCCAGAACTGCACACACAGCGTACGGCCTGAGCGGGACGTTTGACTAAACGTTGCGAAGTTAACGGGATGAAAATCACACTGAAGGAGATGTCAATCAAGGACGTCGGCGAAACAGTTGGGAATTCATATCCTCATATTGTGCTATCTTATCGCTATGGAAATCCCATGCAATCGACCCATCACTGATTCAGATGGTGTCGATGTTGAACCCTTGACGGGCTCGGGGGGATGCAGTTAAGGTTAATTAGAAAGGTGACGTCCCACTCTCGTGGTGTTCACCAACCCTAACCTTCCCCGCCATTGCAAGGTCATTCCACCGATGTTGAGCATCCATTGTCAAGCGCAATTCCTCCGCTGACCATTTCCGTAGAATATCATCGCTTTCGAAACCATCAACGCCCACGTCCACTTCTCATACCTCTGTCGCCATTGGTGCGGTTGCGACGTCTGCGACAAGCCAGGTTGCGTACCTATCGCGGGTTGCTGCGAGGGACAGGCAGCGGCTCAATGTACCTCGCCCTGTTGGCAAGAGTTCTCTAGTGGGCGACCATGCCACCCTTAGAGTCGTTCTTGGGACCTTGGCGATCCGGAAACTGTTGCGAGTTTTGTCAGTTTGGTATAATATGGTGACGGTGCCAAAGCATACCTCAGCGGTCTGGCTGTCGCCCTTCTCCAAAATTTGCTTGATGACTTCGTCATCGACGTGGGTACCGAACTCGTTCTCCAACGACGCCTTGGATGCAGCGTCGTAAGTGCCCTGCGCGCCTTGCCTGTTTGCATTGTCAGCTACCGTGTGCAGATGGACATGATGAAATACTGAAATAGTAACGAGATCTGGATCGACAGAGGATGTTTCGCCGCTCACGAACCAATCCATACGCGATGGCGTATCTGCCAGGCGCCGATAACCCAAGGTGACCGAAACGGATCCGGGGATGGCAGGTCCATCTGATTGATGATGTGCAGGGAGAAAGAGGGGTAACTTGGGCGACTTACTTGTGCGTGACGAAGATCTTGAACGACGAGATGAAGTGCGCCATGGGGACAGACTTATCGGTCTTCCAGTCCTGGTAGAGCTTTTCGTCCTCAACGAAGACGAGAAAATCCTCCTCGGACTTCTGGCCCTTGTAGTGAACCTTGACCTGCTTAGCCTCGCCGCGGACCATTTTGATTGACTGGGGTGGTGATGGAAGTAGGTAGGTGGTGGTTGTAGTGATTGTGGTGAACTCAGATACAAGTTCGTCGCTGTTGCTTAGGTGTTGTTGGGTGCGAAGACGCGGGTATCTCGATGGTAAATAAGGTAATGTGTGATGATGGTATGTGTTCTGATGAGAGAATGAAGAGGAAGCTTTCCGAATGGCTTTTTAAATCGAGGGAGCCCAGAGAGTGAGGGGAGCTTCCTCAGCTTAAGCAGGAGGCAGGAGCTGTACAGCTTGCCCGTGATTAGGAAGCTACGTCATAGGTGCGGGAACACGCGACTACCTTTCATCACTGCCCCGCCATTGGAGCTTGCCCAGGCGGGGAGCGGGGCAGTACCTCATTGTAGCGCCTCCGTGCTCTTTCCAGGTACGTCGGATTAGGTACCGGGAACTCTGAGCGTTCCTGCATCGCACCAGCGCAGTACGTCACTACTAACTCCCAAACCAAGGTTTAGGCCAAAGGGGTATTCACACGTTGCGGCTGGAAAGATCTGGACGGGAAAAGAACCTGTGGCCACGCCAAAAGCCCTTGGAATTCCCTCGCCTTCTCGTGTCCCGAGGTACCTCGACGCATGTCATCCAATAGCTCACTGACCACAGTCACCGCAGCAGCATGCCATTGTGGGGCCAGAGCTGGAGCTGAACCTGAATAGAACCTCCAAACATGCGGTGGATGGACCTCCGTTTGCTCGAAACGCCGAGGCAATCAAGCCAAACCACCTTGCAAACGCTCACGATGGCCTCACTGACATCACAAGGTACGCGCGTACGTCAAAGGCCCCGGCCTTTTATGCAATGGTGGGGGGTATCATTATGCTCTCGTCTGCTTGACAACAACCAAAACCAAAACAGCCTAATGCTGGGTTAAACTAAGAATAGCTGAGGACAAGTCGCCCTAAAGAAGCGCCTCGGGATGTCGTAGATTACCCAAGGAGGGACAAATAACGAATGTGGTCTCTTCATGCTGCCATCCAAACCTTGTTCAAACCAGTACTGTCGAACGCTCATCAACCGTACTATCTGGCCTTCATCGAAAGAAACTTCGGATGCCCTGCACCAGATCATCTCTGTTCAATGTGCCAACCTTTCCCCACCGCATCGATGACTTGTGGGCCAACCTGGGAACCTTCTGTGCCCGGGTTTGGTTGTCCATCTCCGGCGGACAAGGTGATCTTTTGGACGACCCCGGGCTTGGGCGGACTCGCGGTATATTGTTCCCCGACGCGGTACGCAATACGATCGGCCTAGATGGTAGAACATTCCCCGCAGTCGGATAGTTGTGATCCAACCGGAGTCTTTCGACGGGGTCGGCAAGCACGTCGAGTCTGGCGGGACCAAGCATCGGGGTTGTCGGAGCGCTGACCGTGCTCTTAAGCTCGACGTCGTCGTGGATTTGTGCAAGTCTGGTGCTTGGTGCTTTGTCTCCTTCGCCATTAGAACCGTGCTCAACATCCAAGTCTGTCGTATCAGTCGTGTTGAGCCTCATAGAAGGCCCATGGTGGGCGTCCTCTTGCTTATCGCCCGACTCGTCCTCGACCATGACCTTGCCAATGCTGGCAACGCTGTTTGATCTCTTGGCAAATGAGCTTGCGATGCTTGCAACACTCAACTTTCGCATCATAGTGCTGGCTGAACTTCGCACGAGGTGCTCGCTGCGAGACCTGCCAGTCATGCTAGGGAACGGCAGCACTTCTCGACTCCAAATATCGGCCATCAGGGCCTCTAGCCGAGCCCTCTCGCCTCGCGGAGGGGCGATGACGGGTACGCGGGGGTTGGTCGTCGTCAGCAACGATTGCGAGCGGTTAATAGAAGAACTCGTCGCTGCCTCTGAGTTATCTCGCATAACGCTGGTGTTCTTCAAAATGACTTGACATAGAGGTGACTTCGGGCCAACTGTCGTAGCGCGATGTATTGATATCCGACGAGCGACGGTGCCTGAGCGTTGGTCAGCAACTTCTAGATCGTCAAGAAGATCATGGACACCCACCCGGTTTTCTAAACACTGTACCAAGACTCCTGATGGGGAGTGACAACGAACTGTACAGGTTGAGGTCGAGCTGCTCTTCTTCTCTCTTGGCAAGGGCCGATAGCCTGCTTCGCCATTCCCCTTGCTCGCGCGGCGTGCAGGCGGTCATGAGTATTTCGTACATTTGGGAGTCGCATTCAAAAACGAGTTTCCACGAAAAGGGGGCCGTATGGCACTGGAGGCCTGTAAAACGGTTAGTGATGGCAAATGGCGAGTCACGAAAGACTCCATACCTCTTCCGTTGTCCGTCTCCTCAATCTTGATGCCGTTCAAGTTGATGCATGCTTGGATGGTATAAATTTGGTCGACCTTGCTGGCCGAAGCAAGACATAAAACATTGTGATAAAGTAGGCAGATCATGTACTGCCCCTTGGCACCTTCCTTGGTTTGCCAGCAGCTGTGCAGCACACCACAAAGTTCGACGTGGCCGAACGACCGAATGCGATTTTTTGACGCAGCATCCAATTGCTGATCCGGGAACACCAGTCGGTCTTGGAGAATCCACGTCTTTTCCAGGGTGGATTTCATTCGACTGTCGTTGGTTGCACGGTTGATCTCAGCCGTCGCCTCTCGTAGTCGTAAAAGGGCGCTCTCCACCTCCATGTGGGAGTTGGGGCAGTCTGCCACCGGTGTGTATTTCAGGAGCTCGGCGAACAGCAGGGGATACTTGCAGATGCGTTGTATGGGCTGAAGCTGTGTTAGCGCGATTCTCGGCCCCCAGGTTCATATGCTTGCCTTGACAAGAAGGTCTCCAATAGTCAAAGACTTCTTCGACTGGCCAGCATGGGCGTTTACGGAACCCAGAGAAGAAGCTAATGCCTCAATGCCTCTCTGATACGTGTCCCATTGAGGCATCGTGCGGTGGGCTGAAGCAACATCCTTGATCATAAGCTCGTACTTGGCGCCGTACTCCTCGTAAATGAAGAAACGGTTCATCTAGAAAGTCATCAGCCGTGGATTTCCTCCGAAGAGTACACGGTGAGTCTGAAGACTTACCTTTCTGCTGAACACTTTCGCAACGGCGCCGGCAATCTGAGCATCGGTCATCATGCCCGGGATTTCAAGCCAGCTTATGGCCTTATCGTCTTCCGGCACAGAGTCAAGACTCCTCATTCGCTGGTGACCACGGCCCGTGGGCTTGCTGGCTGTTGCCGGAATATCCATCTGCGAGTACTCGGAATCGGGTACAACTCGATGCAGCTCACCCAGGAGCTCCTCGTGTAATTCGACAATGTCAGTGAGATTTCGATTGATAGATGACCTTAGCCCCATGGGCAACGTGGGAAGAGACGCAAGGATCGTAATATAAACCTGCAAGAATTAGCTTTCCTCTACGTTCTCAAGCTTGACCCGGAAACATACATTCATGAGGAAGCGAATGTCCCCAATGTAGCCTTCTTCAGTTCTGATCAGCTCCTCCAAGATGCGCCGACGCTGCAGGGCACGCTCTGTTGCCATGGGATCGACGCTGGCCGGCCATTCCACATGACAACTATCTTCGGAGACTCTTGCCGTAGTGAAGGAAGCTCTCCTGCTGCGATCGGTCCTGGAGTGTGCGAGGGAGCGGCGGCTGTGGCCCCGGGGGCGGGACATCACACTGCCACTAGCAAGACTGATACTAGCACTTTTCACCGTCGCAACGAAACCGAAAGATGAGCCCGATGACGACCTCCTGTGTCGGGTTCTCCGCGAGAGTGCTGACCTATCAGCCGGGTCGAGGAGTTTCCACGGAAGAGTGCCGTCTGCGTTCATAGGTTGAGGGCGTTGCTTGGCTCGTCGATGTAGGGTTCTCATCCACTTATGAAACGGTCCGTCAGGTTTGGCTGCCGTATCCGGCTCCGACAGCTCTTGAGCATCGTCGCTGTAATCCATTGAGATCCGGGGAAAAGGAATAGAATCACCGGGGAAATCGTAGTCGTTATGCTCGAACCCAAACGCAGCCATGCCACTCAAAGTATCCCAGGTCTCAACACCGTCAATGTGCAGGCCGTCAAGTTCAGATGAAAGGTCGATATCTTCGAAGTGGCCGCCCGACCTAGATGAGTTCTGCTGGGGCTCCGGCGATGGGGAGTTGGACGTGGCGGGACATGTCTTACGGGTGATTCGGACAGAACTGGAGCGGGAACTGGTTCCAATAGATGCAGAGTCTGGTGGCGATGCCATTGTGCAGTCCAAGAAAGAAGAGGTAAAACTGGGTTCCAAGACACCAAAAAAGAAGAAGCAAAAAGCAAGACCAAGAGGATTCAAAACATGATGTACTCGAGCAACATCAGGAGATGAATGATGCAAAATTGGTAGGACTGCGAGCCGCGGGGGGGATTTGGAGGGTTGAAGCCAACGAGGATGGTGTCGCCGGCGTGAAGTTCCTGACTCAAGGAGACGGGACGAAGTCTAGAGGGGGGTCACTAGAGCGAAGGAGGGAAGGAGGGAGTTGGAGAAGGAACAAGTACAGCGGGAAAGCTCTTTCATCAGGAGGGCGGAAGCAAGATGGCTAAAACAGACAATGGAATTGAGCGGTGGAAAGTCCTGGCCGAAACCACAGAATTTGGGATTGCATTTCGCGCGCACCTGCTTCGCCGGCTTCGCATGTTGACGACGATCAAGTTGCGTCGTCCTCTTGGGTTGGCTCCCACGAGAAGCTGCGGTGTCGTACGGACCTGCAGTGGAAAGTCGCACCCGGCGAATCTACCAACGAACCGGACGGGAGGAATGCAGCTGCGACATAGACTCTGCGCGCCGGACTTGAAAATGCAGAACTAGTGCGAGTCGTTGTCGGGTCAAGATCCGTGGATCTTGCGTCCACGACGGGAATTGGATGCCTTGGTCGCACCTAAGTCCAACCCGGACATCATGTTGTCCCTCGGGTCGGAGTTCATGCTGGAGCTGATGCAGGTCTCTGAAGATGGCGTATCCAAACACAACAAACTCGACATGGCGGTGACGGGCCAACTTCAATCAGCGCCATATCTTGACGAGCGGCGTAGCGAGCGGGAGACAAAGAAAGGCTCCGTCTACCGGTCTGTTTGGCGTGTACCGGTCATTTGCTCTCGCCTTGGCCGTTCAACCAACCAAGGACTGAGGTGGCTTGCCCAGTCTCTCGAGACCGAATACCGCCGGTGAGATGAAAATCTTGAGACCTCATCGTCTTCGGTTGGACGTCAATCGCCTACAGCTTCACGTCTTCGTCCTACCATACCGTACGCAAGACATGAACACACGATGATATGCATGCGTTGGTGTTCGCCGTAAGTTCGGCTTCGTTCAAGACCTGACTCGGTCTCGGCGATGGGGCAGAGGTGGTGGTTCCGGACCGGCCTAGTCCTAGTCCAGGAAAGACGGTGCCCGCGGGTCTTGGTTCGGATCGGAAGTCGTGCCAGTCAGGAACAGGAACAGGAACACACACACGTTTTGTTTCCTTACATAAGCATCATCGATTTTTGGTGGCTTTACGTTGGCCAAAAAGGTTGGAAACTTGAGGTGCCGTGTCATTACTATGTAAGCAACTTGCCAAGTAAGCTTAGTAATTAAGAACATCCACTCCCAAGCCGTCACAGCCGTCAGCTGGACCCCAGGACCCCCCATGTCCCCGTACCTAAGGTAGGTACCTACGAGGCTACCACTTGCATTCTCGTCTGTTCTCAGGGCTTCAGGTCCTCTCTTCAACCTGGAAAATGTCCTGCGTTTCTTCCAATCTGATGCTGCCGAGTCTGCCCTATGCGCTCCACGCCCCGGCTGGAGTGCCGTCTGCAGCCTGCGCAGTAAAAACGAGACCTTCATTGGCTCCTGCCCCACGTTTTCTAGCCTCATCGTCGCAGTGGCTAGCCCCCGATCCGGACAGGGAAACACAGGGGGAACGCTGGGACCTTGAGTCCTTGGAACCTCTGTAGCAGGGGCGCACCCACCGAAGCTAACCGAGAAGGGAAAAGCTCGGGATTCTTCCACGACGGCAAAAAAAGAGTTACAGAAGGGGAAGCCAGGCAAGGCAACCTGGGCTACTGAACGAACACGTAGAGCGTATTGGAAACTCGCGGTTCGGCGACGATTCCAGCTTCCTGCCCCACCACCAGTGCAATAAGACATGCCGACTGTCTGATCTCCAACTTTTCCAGCACCTTCCCTCTCTTCTTCATATCTTGTTCCTCCAAAACCTTTCGTTCGGTCTAGGTTTGGAGCTTCTTTCTCTCATCTTCCTGGAGAGTGGCCGTTCCTATATCGTCATTACCGTCCGGTCAATTCGATACAGCCGCAGTTGAAGCTCGGCCAGCTACTGTCGGTTCTTGATAAGCCACGTTCCGCGCTCGGCGCATCTTTCGCGATGGAGAGCGCTTTCGCCTCGCCCACCGACAAGGTCCTCTCTACCCTGGGAGTGAACCCCAACACCGGTCTTAGTGACGAGCAAGTCATTGCTTCGAGAACGAAGCACGGCAAGAATGGTTAGTTGCTTTGCAACACCAGGCCCGCCATAGCTCTGTGCTAACTGTCTGTCCGCAGTCATCCCCGAAGAACCCCCCACGCCCATCTGGGAGCTTATCCTCGAGCAGTTCAAGGACCAGCTCGTGATAATTCTTCTCGGCTCAGCCGCCGTGTCCTTTGTGCTCGCTCTGTTCGACCAGGAGGAAGGCTGGAGCGCCTTCGTCGACCCAGCAGTGGTACGTAATCCCAGATGCAGATACCCACAATACCAAGACTTTCGCGGGCTAACAGTGCCGGTATTCCAGATCCTGACCATTCTGATCCTCAACGCCGTCGTTGGCGTCTCACAAGAGAGCAGCGCCGAGAAAGCCATCGCCGCCCTTCAGGAGTACTCCGCCAACGAGGCCAACGTCATTCGCAATGGCCAAGTCTCACGCGTCAAGGCCGAGGATCTCGTCCCCGGCGACATCGTTTCCGTCCACATTGGTGACCGCATTCCTGCCGACTGCAGACTCGTCGCTATCGAAAGCAACAGCTTCGCCGTCGATCAGGCTATTCTGACTGGAGAGAGTGAGAGTGTTGGCAAGGACCACACCTTCGTCGTCAAGGATGAGAAGGCTGTCTTGCAGGACCAGGTCAACATGCTGTTCTCCGGAACAACTGTTGTCACTGGTCGTGCTAAGGCTGTCGTCGTCTTGACCGGATCTCAGACTGCCATTGGTGACATTCACGAGAGCATCACTGCTCAGATCTCCGAGCCCACTCCTCTCAAGCAGAAGCTGAACGACTTCGGCGACAGCCTCGCCAAGGTCATCACGGTCATTTGCATCCTGGTCTGGCTTATCAACATCCCGCACTTCAGCGACCCCAGCCACGGAAGCTTCACCAAGGGCGCTATCTACTACCTCAAGATCGCTGTTTCTCTTGGTGTTGCTGCTATTCCCGAAGGTCTTGCTGTCGTCATCACCACCTGCTTGGCTCTTGGTACTCGCAAGATGGCTGCAAAGAACGCCGTTGTCAGAAGTCTGCCGTCAGTTGAGACATTGGGAAGCTGCAGTGTTATCTGCTCCGACAAGACCGGCACCCTTACTACCAACCAGATGAGTGTGAGCAAGGTTGTCTACCTCAACGAGGCTGGCAACGACCTGGTCGAGCTTGATGTTGAGGGTACGACTTTTGCGCCCAAGGGTGCCATTAGTTTCAACGGCGAGCAGGTCAACGATCTCACTCGTTCGTCTGCTACTATTCGCCAGATGACCGAGGTCGCGGCCGTCTGCAACGACTCCAAGCTCGCATATGACGCCAGAAGCGGTTCCTACTCCAACATCGGCGAGCCTACCGAAGGCGCTCTTCGGGTTCTGGTTGAGAAGATCGGACCCTGTGCGCCCTCGAACAGCAACCCCGAAGAATGTGTCCACTACGCCAGCTCCAAGTACGAGAAGGATCTCCCGCGCCTGGCCACCTACGAGTTCTCGAGAGATCGCAAGAGCATGTCCGTCCTGGTCCAAAACGGTTCTGATAAGAAGCTTCTTGTCAAGGGCGCCCCTGAGTCCATCATTGAGAGGTGCACGCATGCTCTGGTTGGCGCGAACGGAAAGCGTCAGCCCCTGGACCGCAAGCTTTCAGATCTGATCTCTAAGGAGGTTGTGGATTATGGTAACCGCGGCCTCCGCGTCATTGCCCTCGCCAGCGTCGAAAACGTCGGCAACAACCCTCTGTTGAAGTCCGCCAAGTCCACTGCGCAATACGCCCAACTCGAGCAAAACTTGACTTTCCTTGGTCTTGTCGGCATGCTGGATCCCCCTCGTCCCGAAGTCGCTGCTTCTATCCGCCAATGCAAAGACGCCGGTATCCGTGTCATCGTCATCACTGGAGACAACCGCAACACTGCTGAAAGTATCTGCCGCCAGATCGGCGTTTTTGGCGAGTACGAGGATCTCAAGGGCAAGAGCTACACTGGCAGAGAATTCGAGAACCTCAGCGAGAGCGAGGCTATCGAGGCTGCCCGCACCGCTTCCCTGTTCTCCCGTGTCGAGCCTAGCCACAAGTTCAAGTTGGTCGACCTGCTTCAGCAGCAGGGAGAGGTTGTTGCTATGACTGGCGATGGTGTCAACGACGCGCCTGCCCTGAAGAAGGCTGATATTGGTGTTGCCATGGGTTCCGGTACCGATGTTTCCAAGCTCGCCGCCGACATGGTGCTCGCTGATGATAACTTCGCCACTATTGAGGCCGCCATTGAGGAGGGCCGCTCCATTTACAACAACACTCAACAGTTCATTCGCTACCTCATCTCCTCCAACATCGGCGAGGTCGTCTCTATCTTCTTGACTGCCGCACTGGGCATGCCCGAGGCTCTGATCCCCGTTCAGCTTCTCTGGGTGAACTTGGTCACTGACGGCCTTCCCGCCACTGCCTTGTCATTCAACCCCCCTGACCACGACATCATGAGACGCCAGCCCAGGAAGCGTGACGAGCCCCTCATCGGCGGCTGGCTCTTCTTCCGCTACCTTGTCATTGGCACCTACGTCGGCGTGGCTACTGTTGCCGGTTACGCTTGGTGGTTCATGTACAACCCTGAGGGCCCTCAGATCAACTTCTCGCACCTCTCAAACTTCCACCGCTGCTCCAGCGACTTCCCTGAGATCGGATGCGAGATGTTTGCGAACGACGCAGCCAAGTCCGCCTCTACTGTCTCGTTGTCGATCCTCGTCGTTATCGAGATGTTCAACGCCATGAATGCTCTCTCTTCCAGCGAGTCTCTCCTGACTCTGCCTTTGTGGGCTAACATGAAGCTGGTCTACGCCATCACTCTGTCTATGGCTCTTCACTTCGCCCTGCTCTACACCCCTTTCCTGCAGAGCCTCTTCTCCATTCTGCCCCTGAACTGGAACGAATGGAAGGCGGTGTTGTACATCAGCGCTCCCGTCATGTAAGTCGATTGATTTCCCTGCTACTCGTTAATCAAGTACTAACACTTCTATAGCCTCATTGACGAGGGCCTCAAGGCTGTTGAGAGATCGTTCTTCAGTCAGAAGAAGACGATTGCGGCTTCCAAGGCCAAAAAGGAGGCTTAAAGGATAGAGATCATCCAAAGTTAGATCATAGACCACATGTAACATAGTAGCGCTCGCATGCTGTATAGCAAGTGTACATAACGCGCCTTAGCACCATAACGGGCCTCCGGCCATTGCATCGTTGCCATGACTGTGTATTGACACCGTGATCGCCTCCCATCCCCAGCTTCGCGTGTCCAGCCTACCATGGTTCATACTTCTGCTGTTGTTGTATAGCCTTGTTCTGTTGAGTGCTGACATGGGGTAAGATGCCACCATCGTGAAGAAGAACCGTGAGAGAAGGACTGGGTAAAACCTTCAAAAGCTCTTTGAAAACGGGCACCAGTGAAACGCATAGCACCGCAATAAGCTTGAACGCCATGAGTCCGTGTCTGATCAAGGTCATTCGTCTAGTTCATGTAGGCCGCGTGAGCCCTCATAGTGGATCATGCCCATCTATTGGTACAAGCTAGAAACCGTCTATATGCGGTCCTATCGAGCTCTCCCTTCCCACGTCCACGTCTCCGTCGTTCCAATTAATCTTGTCTGCCCTTCAGCAGTCTCTTTGTGACCTTGTCCTTCTCAATAATGTACACGTGTGCGCCCCATCCCGACAGGGCATCTCGGTCGACGGCGTTCAGGAGTGACTGAGAGATGGTTTCGAAGAGCTCCTCGGGGCCCTGTATTACATGCTGTTAGAATCTGCCATCGCAAGAGACAAGGCGTAAGCGAAGGGGTTTCCACGTACCAGATCCGGCTCCCATAAGCTCTCGCACATGCCGAAGAGCTGTTCAGAAGCAGTGCCGGAGACGATGAAGTCCTTGGCGAAGTCGATGCAGCCAATGCTGTCGAAACCGCAGATGAAGGGCTTGCCCGTCTTCGGGTCGAGACCGGCGACGACGGGCGAGACGAAGTAGGGGCCGAAACGGCGCTCGTAGAGGGAGCTGCTGACGAGGTTGGCGAAGGTGGTGGGTGCGATGTTGCGCTCCTCGCGGAGGCGGTACATGTTGACCTTGTAGCGGAAGAGGTCGCCGACGGTCGAGACGTCGGTGGCGAGGCCGGTGAGGCCGAGGAAGACGTCGCCGTACTGGAAGATCTTGGGGAAGTTGTTGGAGACGGTCAGGGCCTGGAGACCGAGACGCAGGTCACAGGCTATTGCGACGCAGTCCTTGCCGACCATTGCGACGCAGGCGCCGCCATCTGTTGGGGATTACGTGTTAGGACAGTGTCTCGGATGCATCTTCGGGGTCTGGCGGGGGGAGAGGGACGAACTGATGGAGAAGGGGGAGCTCTGGAGGGTCGAAGGTTAGCTTGGGTGGTCTGCATCTCGAGGCTGAGGAGGGGGAATGACGAAGCGTACCATCTTGGCTCCTGGAGCGAGGGACCGCTGGGGATTTGAAAGCTTCTGGGTAGATTCGAGATGGGGTCGTCGTCGAAGGTCACGTCGTGATGAGTCGCGGGAAGGACTGGCTGTGGATATAGCCTTGGTGTTGCTTCGACGTGGTCGTGATGGATGTGGTAGCTGCAATTGAGGTTGACGGGATCGGAATGGAGGTGCACCTGCTGGCTGCTGGCTGGCCCGGCTGCTACTGCAGGGCAAGGCAAACAAGCATGGCGCGGCCGAAGCGGTCGGAAAATCCACGTACAGCGGGCTGGAGCTCGCTGATTGGCCCAAGCTTGCTGGCCGGGACAAGCAGCTTTCAGTGGGTGTTCAGTGATGATGCACCTCCCGGTTGCCTTCGCTGACTTAATGCCTGCCTGCCTACCTTAGTCAACTGGCTTACCGTATCTACGATTTGGCACTGTGCCGTAACGCTGCCACTGCAATCTTTTCAAATGGTTTAATTGATGCGATGTGATATAATCCGTAGCTATAAGACTGTAACTTGAGTAATTAAGCTCCTGAGCTCAAGTATGAGGAAAATGTGCTTTTGCATGTATGTCTTCTGCTGTTAGTGTGTTCTGACCGTTGATTTCTTGATGCATACCACCCCGCGGTCATAGTGGTTGAGGCTATCTATTCTTGATCATAACTTGGGGAAAGCACATATCTAATTATCTAACTTCTATGGACTCGTTGCAGTCGAACAGATAAAGGAAATTTCCGATACTTTGTACTGAACTTGTTATTTTTCTGGTTTACCTGCCTTTTGGTGCTTGGTCAGATTGGTTCGCCTCTACACTTACCTCAATTTGATTTTTTTGGTCAAACTAAAGGATTAGAAACCGCGAATAATAAGTTGAGTAAAAGAAGTAGCAGAGAGCCGCAAGGGCAATACTCGAATAGCGAGGAGGCGTAGTAGAGTAACAATAACTGCGGACTCAGAGTCTAAGGTGGCACCGTTACGACACGGTTGGCACAGTTCAGGCAGGCACCCCATGACATGGCACACGGTTCCGGAACCATGCGAACGGTGCCCCCAGCTCAGAAGTTGACACCGTCAGGTACCTAAAAGTTACCACCACCTTCCACTAAGGTCTATCTTCCTCCGTCATCAACCTGGAAGTAAGGAGGTAGATATTATACCTAGGTGTTCTTCCCTCTTCCTTCCAGGCCATTACCTCTATCGGCTGCCGTAACCTTGATCTTCAGGAATAGGTACCCCGCCAAGCACTCTCAGGTACCCCGCAACCAACCTCGAAATCGTCCTCCATCTCGGTCTTTCAAGACGTTCTTTCACCTCGCATCCACGGCCAAACGGTAGACGGCACACACCACACTTCCTTCCGCAATGTCGCACGTGGTGGTGATCGGCACAGATCTGAGGAGGGCCACTGTGAAAGTCAGTCCCGGCACCTACATGACAGACGTTCTTCAGGAGGCCTGCAAGAAGCTCAACTTGTCGAGCGACAAATATCTCCTCAAGTACGTCATAAGCCCGGAGGGTGCTGGACAGTCTGCTGACGGGTGAAAAGGCACAAACAGAAACAGGTCGACTTGTCCGTCGTCTGGCGCGTGAGCGGCCTCAGCCCCGGCGCCAAACTCGAGCTCGTCCAGAAATCGAACACTCCCTCCGTCGTCTCAGTCGCCCTCCAGCTTCCAGTACCTGAAGCAAACGCCGCACCCAACGGTCGATTAATAGAAAAGCTCCCGAGCGACTTCACAATATGGAAGGTTCTTCGCCAGTTCGAGAGCGGCGTGGCCGGCCAGGGCAAGAACCTTAACATCACGGCGCGTGGCGTCGCGCAGACGACAAGTGGCGGGGCGACAGGCAGCGGCCAGATGTACTACGAGACTCCAGTTCTTAACATCATGGGTCGGGAGCTGGCGACTTTCCAGGACTTCCAGAAGACATTATCACAGTTGGGATACAACTCGGGTAGCGTCTTGATTCGTCTATCCTTCAGGAAGACAGAGCAGACCCTGTTCGAGGCTATGGGGCAGATCAGCCAGTTCTTCGCCGAGGTCGAGGCTGACGCGAAGGAAAGGAGCCAGGCAGCGGTGGAGGTCTCTGAGGCTGCCGCCCAGCCTGCACCAGCAGAGCAAGATGCCAAAGCGTCTGGCGCGACGGACGAGCCTCCGGCGCCGCAAGAGGCGGAAGCCTCTGAGAGCTTGCAGACAAGTCAAGCGCCAGCTCAAGGAGCGGCAGACCAGCCGGTCTCGGCAGGTGATGCGATGGATGTCGACCCAGCTGAGCCAGCAGATCCGTTCCAGCCAGTCAGCGTCTTCCGTGCACCAACTGGCACAACGCCTGCGGCAGCTTTGGCAGAGGTATCGGAGAACGACTACACACCGACGATCGCGCATGCCCAGTTACATCAAGCTCGGCTGCAACAGAGCTCACAGAACAAGAGACTTCTATCAGATCGAGAGCTGGAGTCGCAAGCTCAAGCCGAGGAGGAACGCCTGGCCGCTGTCTCAAAGATCGCGGTGAAGGTTCGGTTTCCTGACAACACATCTGCCCAGTGGACGTTTGGTCACGAAGCCACCGGTGCTACTCTGTATCAGGGAGTCAGATCTGTCATGGCACACAATACCCAGTCTTTCAGGCTGATTATTCCCGGGAGCAAGGTTGTCATCAAGGACGAGGATACTCCGAAGAACCGCCTGATTCACGACTACAAGCTCACACGAAATGTTCTTTTGAGCTTGGTGTGGGATGACAGCGTGCCAGGAGACATCCGCAAAAAGCCGTTTCTCAAGGGAAGCGTTGCATCAAAGGCCACAGACATTACATTACCAGACCTACCCAAGTATGTCGACGAGAAGGACGAGGAACAGCCAGCCGCTAAAGCATCAAAACCGGAGAAGAGTGAGGGAGGAGAGGGCGGCGTTGCGAAGAAGCTACCCAAGTGGCTCAAACTGCCGGGAAAGAAGTGAAGACTTCCATTCGACATTACACAACATGACTACACGTATGTGTCTGAGGCGACAGTCACGTACTTTACGGTTGGGAGTAGAGCGCATAGAAGACATAAGTTCTCATGCATGTTTGATACAGAGTCCCATACAATCAAGACACATCAAAGAGGTTCATGCAGCATTTAAACGAGGTAGCAACGGGCTTTGCTTGAATTCTTGGTATTTGTCGTGAGCAGCAACGCTATTCCATGCGAAGCGGCAGCCTTCATCAGAAAACCGTGGAGGAAGCTTTCCCGGTTAAAAGAGACCACTTTTTTTTGTGACCACACGCCTGATATGATACCCATTTTGCCCGAAAACCGACCCCGAAAAACTTTGCCATGCAGCACAGTAAACCCGACTAATTTTTGTTGTTCGTTTAGTGACCGACACGGCGGGACTCGGCGATGACGCGGGTCATCTCCTCGACCTTTCTCTTGGCACGGCCGAAGGTACCGAGCTGGAGCTGAAGTCAGTGTGGCTGTTGAGGCAAGGCATGAGAATGATCGACTAACCCTCTTCTTGGCGAGCTTACGGGCGCGCTTGTCCTTGGAGTTGCGGAGGAGTTCGATAACGCGGCGCTCGTAGGGGGCAAGGCTGGAGAGAAGTGGAATGATTAGCCTCCGTCTCGTGAAAATTCATAGACCTCGCATCAGAAACGTGGATGGATAGGAGCAATCATCCACTCGTGCAGACGTCCTCCAAGTCCGCCATTTTTTGTATTCGACTGCGACGCAAAAAGAGACGAAGTGTTTGACTTACCCGGCAACTTCCTTGACGACGTCACGGACGAAGGAGGTGCGCTTGCTGAGGTGACCCTTGGTGCGGGAGACGCGGGGCTTGACGACGCGAGCGGTGGTCTTCTATATTCGGGGCGAACAGTCACGACCGGTCAGCGTCCATCTTCTGCAGTAAAAGCGAAACGGTGCTCGCTCCCCTCGTGGAAGAGAGGGTAGGTATTGTGCAGAGATCCTCCACGAGGTGAGACGAAGCGGGGTGGTTTTTGGAGTCCTTCAAGAAAAAAAACAACCGAAGTCGAGGTCCGATGATGTCCTTTGCCCCCTTTCCTTCCTCATGATATTGCGCGCCCTTTCGGGATCACGGTTCTCGATTCGGAGTGGGATCAGGACGAAAATCGTTCGACGACTGTGGTTTGTTTTTTTCCCTTCAGGTCGGGGATGATGCGAGGCGACGTACGTGACCCTTGTTGAGGCCAGTGGCCAGGCCGGTGCGGGCGGGAGCTTCCTTGGCCATCTTGATGCTGCTGGATGGACGGGTTGGGTTGTCGGGTTAGTATTGTCGGATGGTCGAAGGAGATCTCGACTTGAGGCGGGTGGAAAAAAAAGTTCGTGGTGGATTGGGAATTTCGGAGTGGATTTGTGTGGTCACGTGCTTGGGGGTTAGCGAAGGGATCTGACTGGCTTCTCGGCGGAGGGGCGTCCTCCCCTGTTGGGTCTCGAGGCTACTGCGCGTTGATTGGCTCATTTTCTAAATTCGATGCTGAGCTTCAGCCTTAACAGAAACATTCGAATAATGTGGCTGGAACTGTTACTGCAATTGGTTCTTGATCCTGACCATCGTCAATATCGTCGTCGTTATTTCTGCCGCCATGGAAATCGCTGCTGTCGTCGGCGTAGTACAAGCACGATAGACGCTGATTCTTGCCCAGCGAAACTTCAAGCAATACTCGTTCCTCTTTGTGAGACTAAATCTGTATGTGCCAGTCGCTTTGCTCGGATGAGGACCGTATCCAATTCGGTATCGACTTTTTTCCTCTCAACATCACACCCAACACTGATGTTCTTTCACTTCACCGACTTTCGACTGCGGCAAGAAATCATCGTGTACCAGAATAGCCCGCAGGCCTATTGAATGCTGTGTCTCGGTTCTCAGCCACGAATCCAGCGCATGCAGCTCGTATCTGCTCCCGGAGCGCCAACACTCATCGAGAAAACCCCACTGCCAGTTCATCATGTTTGCTTCTTCCTGCTGTTGGTTGGTCCCAAAATGGCATGGGTAAATCTGGTCTTGGAACTTTGGAAGAGCCGCGACTTGGCATCATTGCACTTGTTACCGTTTCTGATGCTCTCTACTATCAAAGGCCCTCACCAGCCTCCCCGACACCAACCATTCCCCTGAGCACCGCCTCATACGTAAAGTGCCGTCCGAACAACGACAGGCGGAGAATATGTCTATCCACTTGAGCTAGGAGTTGGCGTTTACTCAAAAGGGGCCGCATGGGATGAGATCACCATTCGAACCAAGGACGTTGGTAAGTTGGAAGGGTCCAGCGTGTAAGGATGCCACGCTGGGAAACATGAAACAGCCAGCGGCCAATCATGGCTGAGCGGCTCCCCTGAAATAAGTCGACGCAACGCTGTGGTTGCGGCGTGTAATGCGAGCGAGCATCAACCTCCCTCTCCTCCCTCGCCTAGCTCCATCGTTAATAACGGGCTGGTCAACAATTCGTTTGGTTTCCCCTAAACTGGAGTACTGAAGTCCTTCCTCAACTCAGCCATTTCCCACTGGCACGGGCGGACCGCATCATTGCATCAGGATCTGCAAAAGGCTTGCGCATCTCTGGACAAGCTTAGCCACTGCCATCCCTCCGGCCCCTGAAGAAACTCTGCAAGTGCAAGGCACCGGCGGCGGGAAGGAGATCTCTGGGTCTGATCCTGCGCGTAAACGGTCCGTATTAAAGGTGACCTTGGCCTAGTATCTTGGAAGCAGTAGACCATTCAAGATCGGCCTTGCTTGTTTATAGATCATCCTGTGGCCTTCCCGATCTTTGCTGTTCATCCCAACTCCCGTCTCTCTCCAACGTCTTTCGTTTCCAACTCCGTCTGTATCAAACGATTAACCATACCCTTACCTTACTGTACATCCATCCACCTCGGTCACTATGAAGCTGTCTCTTCTCTTCATCGCCGCCCCCGCGGCTCAGGCCATGGTCTCTTACATGGCATCCGTCCCCGACAACGTAATGGCCATGGCAGACGCGGGTAACTGCGCGCTGCCGGACGACTTCCAGATCCAAAACTTTGCCGCCCAATCCACGGACGGCAAGACGGCCGACTCGCTCGACTTCACCTTCAATGACGACAGCACCTCCCTCAACACAGAATGTCACCTCAACGCCTCTTCCGTGCCGGTGCCGAGTAACGGCGCGACCGACAGGTTCAGCTGCGACAACGCCCTGGTGCAGTTCATCTGGCAGAACGAGACCATCACCATCATCGAGAAGGTGTGTCCCGGTGACGACGGGTAAGTGACCGATTCCGGGAATTCGTACTCGCCGATGTGTTCGCAAACTGATGTTCTCGGAATCACAGTGTTGCCGATTACGAGGCTTCCGGGACCGCCGAGGTCCCCCTCGAATGTGACGGAGCCGCCGGCAACGGAACGCAGGCACGTCGCCGGATGAGGAGGGCCGGTGCGTGCAAGTCCACCTCGGACGACATCCGAGCGAGATTCTTCAGCATCCAGCCCGTACGGAGTTAAAGGGCAACCTTCAGATGAACATGGAAAAAAAGCAAACTCTCCTACACACACACACACACATACACATTAGATCCATGAAACAAGACGCTGAGGCCCGGCGATCGAGCCTTGGCGGACGACGACATTAACGTATCGATTCCCCCAGAGTCTCAACCAACCTGTACATCTATGAAGGCGGGGGGAAAGGCCCTCAACGATAGAGTTACCCTTCACGAAAATAGAATAATCGATAGACTTCCTCTTTGATCATCCACCTACGTATCCATTCGCATGACATCGCTGAAATGAACTTGGATCTCAAACAAAGTCATGTTGCGCCTCCACTGGCTCTGCACGCTCTCATGTTGGGGGATTGCCGGCTAGCTGCCGTCTGACAGCACTTTTTCGCGGGGCGTGACAGCCCAATCCCAGGCTTTCCCCAGCGGCCTTCCAGCTCTCGACCAACCGTATTGTCGGCAATCGTCGCTTGGCCGCGCCTCCTCCGCATTTTCCTCAACGGCTCTTTTTTGGCCGTATGACCTCACCACGCCTCACCTCACGAGATCATCCTGAGACGTCGGTATCCTGTCCTGTCTCGTCGCAAAATATCACCCACACCCTCCCTCCCAACAAATTGCCCTCCCGTTTGTAGGAGCAGCACAGGGTGCAATCGTCATCATGTGTGCTTGGGGGGTCAGGCACTGAGGAGTATGTTTTGCTTGACCATCGTCCATCGTGGTCATCGTCGCTTCAATTGCCCACCTGCTCATTAAGCTCCGTTCATGCGCCTATTGCCGCTTTGCGCTTTATAACCTACCTCGCGGTATCATTCCTCTCCCTCGGACCGTTACATTGGATCTGCCTGCCCCTGCGCAATGTCTCTCGGACCTGACACCCCAACAACGGCTCGCGCACCTCACGAACACACTTGAACACCACCAACCGACAACCACGATTCGATCGCGATGCGACGTCTCCTCCTGCCGCTGCTCGGCGTCCTAGCCAGCGCCACGTCGACCAACGATCCGCAGCAACCTCTCCTCGACAATGTCCACGATGCGGCCGAACCCCCGCAGGTATCCGTCGACCTCTTCCGCTCCCTCGAACGAACCTCCCGCATCGTCGACATAACCTACTGCGTCGGCACCTCGGGCATCTCCCAGCCCTTCTCCTGCGTCTCACGCTGCAACGAGTTCCCCTCCTTCAACCTCGTCAAGACCTGGAACACGGGCGTCCTGCTGAGCGACAGCTGCGGCTACATCGCCGTCGACCACGGTAAGCGCCGCCCGGGCGACGAGGACCGTCTCGGCGGCGAGGTCGGGGAGAAGGCCATCGTCGTCGCGTTCCGCGGGACCTACAGCATCACCAACACCGTCGTGGACCTGAGCACCATCCCGCAGGAGTACGTGCCGTACCCGGCGCCCGACGACGGCGACGGCGAGCCGGGCGGGGAGCCGGACAAGCGGCGCCGATGCGAGGACTGTACCGTGCACATGGGATTCCTGGCCTCCTGGCGCCAGGCGAGGAAGCTCGTCCTCCCCGAGCTGAAGAAGCTGAGGGCGGACTACCCGGACTACCCCGTCCACCTGGTCGGACACAGTCTCGGCGGGGCGGTCGCGATGTTGGCGGCGCTCGAGGTGAAGATGTCTCTCGGCTGGGACAACGTCATCGCCACCACTTTCGGAGAGCCCAAGGTCGGCAACCAGGGCCTGTGCGACTACGTCGACACCGTCTTCGAGCTGGACAAGGAGGGAATGAACCCGATGAACAGGACCTACCGCCGCGTCACGCACGCCGGCGACCCGGTGCCGTTGCTGCCGCTGACCGAGTGGGGATACAAGCCGCACGCCGGGGAGCTGTACATCACCAAGTCGGAGCTCTCGCCGTCGATCGAGGACGTCGTCGTCTGTGAGGGCGACAGCGACTCGAGGTGCATCACGAAGGGCGACGGCGGGCTGTTCGAGTCCAGAATGCAGGGTCTGGTCGACGCGGCCGAGATGCGAGGGGACGAGGACGGCGAGGACGAAGTCGACTCGGAGAGGTGGTTGAGGCGGAGGCTCCCGGGCTTTCCGTCGCGGCTCAAGCTCTGGCAGCTCTTCTTCGCCCACAGGGATTACTTCTGGCGGCTCGGCCTATGCGTTCCGGGCGGCGACCCGGCCAACTGGGGCCGGGACAAGTACGGCGGCGGACACATTGGCCTGACGGCGGAGGAGCTCTGAGGAAAGGGGCGGTCGGTCTCCGCTGGAAGGGGTTTTTTCTCACGCGGTTTTCTTTTGGTCCTTTCTGGAACGGCTGCAACGGTCACCTGTGTTTGGATACTGTACGGTTAACTGTATGATTGGGTTGGTCTACGAAAAGCAAGCAGGCAGGCAGGCGTTTGATTCGGACCGGCGGGCGGGCGTTTTTTTCTTTCTCGTTTCTCAGATACCTGGCATCCACAGCACGAGACTGTAGGAAAAAGAAAAGGACGCAAATGTCCCTCAGCATTCGTTCCATCAACATTTGAGCTCGACTCGCGGTTGGTCCGGCGGCAGGTGTGTGAATCAGCAACGGGCGGAACAGGAGCCTCGGCTCTGCCGTATCCGTACCGGTCAGAGAGAGATGTGTGGGCTCATTACTCAGTCGAGGGTTTTGCCAGAGGATGCATTTCGCCACATGAGACAGGCACGCGAGGTCATCGTCAACGAAAAAAGAAGTTGGGCGCGGCCGGTCTGGACCCCCGGGGAGGCTAAATGCTACGGAGGCATGCACCTCAGGGTCGGAAAACGAGGCTGTTCGGACAAGGGTGCCGTGCAGACACCAGAGAAACATTTGCCTTCTTCTGCGAGGGCTTCGAAAATGCTCCACTGGTTCTAAAATAACGCTGATGGCCCCCATCGGCCCGGAGACGTACACTACGGCACACGAGTGATGACCTTACCGGGCTGACCTATCGAACGGCGGAAGAGCTGCAAGAACCTCGTGTACAATATGGGGGCGCCGGGAACAGCGCGGGCGGGTAGGCACGACGTCCGCGTTGAATTCCTCGCGGACTCTTCGGGAACCCCTCGTTTTCCTCCACTGTCAAGCGATTCTACGCCGGTAGCTAATAAGCTGGATCTTGGGCTTGTTCGCATGAATTTTGGCCGCACCTCCGGATCATGGCCCAGGTCAAGGGCTCATGCCACTTGAAGATGGGATGCCGGGGTAGCAAGAAAAGAGGGAGGGGTAAAGTCAAAAATGCCCGCCCCGTGTAATAGAGCGGCAAGGTAGGTCTCGTACTCTAGCACTGCCAACACATGTGCTGGGCTCAGCAAAGGGCGCGTGTGCTGGTGGTATTAGTTCTCGGGATCGCGGAAGATTTTCTTTCTGGCGTTGCAACTCCAAGGCCTGCAACCGCCCAGAGGATGCCACGCGATAAGGGACCCTTGAGCCCGCTGGCAAGCGAGTCGCTTGTTCGACCCGAATGCATGGAGGGGGATCCCACCATGGGCTGTGCTGGATGGATGTGAGTCACTGGTCCGTTGTGATGGCATCGACTTGACTTGGAGGGTGGGTGACCGTCGAAGTTGGGATGAAAAGGGGTGAGTGGCCAAGAGATCAGAGATCTGAAGGTTTGAGCTGTGCCAGATCAACTTGACTCCTGGTCTAGGCCGGCCGGAGGGATGTCTTGTCGGCTGCTGCTGTCTGCGTCTCGTCCCTTGTAGTTCGGTTCGGGCTGGGGTTTTTGACGCGTGAAGACGATGGTATCTAACCCGGAAGCCGTTGAGGTTTCACTCGCTGGTGCGCAGTGAGGGGAATGATGACGGGGATGGCGGGTGATTCGAATGGTGGGATGCCCCTTTGGGTTGAAACCGGTTTCTTTGGGATAAAGTCGAAGGAACGACAACAGATTGATGAACGATCGGATATTTTGCAGACTGGACGCGGGCAGCGAGTGAGCAGCGAGGTTTCGTGCATGACACGGCACCACCGCTCTCTCGACAAGCATGCGGACTGGCAGAGAGATGCAGAAAGGCCCGCCGCGTGAGCAGGGTTGAAGGTCAAGATAGGCCGTGATGGTTGGACGGCGAGCCGGCTGGGATCGTGGCTGAGTCGGCCGAGTGGCTGGCCCCGGCACTGAGGCGCCGACCTCCGCGCGGGCATCAAAAGGTGCCGATGTTGGAAGCCATTGGCCAGAAGAGATACAACACTCTGTACTCTGTACGAACTGGGCGAGGGCAGCTGACTCTGAAGTTGACTGTGAGAGATCTCGTCAGACTCGTCTGCCTTGTTCGGGCTTTCCGTCCAGTGGATTGGGTTCCAGGGTCTTTTGAAGCTCGTAATGTTCGTCTAGTGGGCAATTTCCCAAGGTCCGCATCCATGATATTTGAGCATAGCTCCATCGCAGCATGACCGCCGAACGCAAAACAGACGGCGAAGAAGAATGATTGACGGTGTCTCGTAGGCATTTCTATGCCTGTTTAGCGCAAGGTTCGAGACAACCTGGACGCGGCGCTGATCCGAGACAAGATTGGATGGCATTGATGATAGGCATGTCCGTCATCCCCGGATTTCCAGATGTGATGAGAGATAAGCTGCGCCAGAGAACCCCCGGACCAGGAATGCCCAAGGCGCTCGTGGATAGATGACGGTAATCTGAGGAGACATTTTTGGCGTAATTAGCTGGCAGATGTCCTCGGGCCCGTTGGGATTCAATGGGTTAGTTGTACGTCAGCAAGTCCATCGAGTGCCCAATGTGTCTGGGCGTCGCGCAATGTCGACTTGTGTTGCTGAAGGTTACGCCATTGATGTGCTGGGTTGGGCAGAAGAGGTGAAGTGAATGTGACGCGATAGGAGGTGGTGAGGTGAGGGGCGGGGCACTTTGGCTGATGAGTCGACTCTGAGGGGTGTCATCAGAAGGAATGCAGCAGACGGTCGCGCGTAGATGTGCTTGGAAGAGGAGAGAATCACCAGAGGGGGGGAATCACGAGACAGAAAAAAAGTGCAGTTTTTTTTGCAAGACAAGAGGAAGGAAGATAGGTACAAGGGGAGGGTGTGTGTGGTGATGCAAGAGCGGGGAAGTGCAGGGAGAGGTGGACCTAGCAACCACAGGACCCTTTGGCCAGTCAAGTGTCAGCAGCCAATGTTTGCATGTTCATGCTTGCTGCTGGTGTTGCTGCTGGTGCCTCCTATCCATGGCAGTGTGTATTATGCTGTGCAGTGCTGCGCTGGCTTCACTTTTTCAGTTGGAACACGGGCACATCAAGACTCGGGCAAATCAATCGCTTATACCTGGGTTATCTGAGTGACCCCTCACTGGATAGACCTAATTTTGACATCCCATTTCTTTTTCTCTAATTGCATGTTGGAGATGGCTCTGACAATTTTAGGTCCAGGCGGCCTTACGGGAAGCAGCTCCAATGAGCAGAGCAGTCATTCCCCACTGGTGATATGAGCTCGTAGAAGCATCCGGCAGGAACGGACTCTCTGACTTTCCACGACCCGTCAATATGGAACTCATCTGGATGACGAGGAAAGTCATTGGCAGAATGATGGGGCTTTTCCAGCGCTTGCAGGTGGCTTCTTGTGCCGGCTGACGGGCACTTTGCCTTCAACTTCTAATTCCATGACCAGGCTAGCCTCGAGGCTACCTCACGATCCGCCAAAGAGACCTCTGCGTCCTAATTAGAAGTAATTTTTGGCCCTGACTTACCTATCTGTCTAATTTACCTACGAGCGGCGACCTGGAGTCTGCTGGCCCTGCTCGACAATCTTGCTGCGAATCCACCTGAGAAGCTGCTCAAGACGGTGAAGGTGAATAGCACAGCAAAATGTATCGAAGCCGGACGGATAGGACCAAAACCCCCGCTTTCTGGCCCCTGTTGCTCTCATTCACCACCAGTTTCCGTACGGATACCTGCTCTCTGAGGGAACTCATTAGGCCTAAGGTACTTTACAGGCGAGCCTAGCCCAGCCCAGCGCCCCATTTCTCTTCTACTCCCGCCAAATTGGAACCTGCCCATGGCCCCCATGCCCTTGACCACGTCTGAATCCCCGAGCCCCGAAAAAGAGCCTGACCAGCCAGCCCAGGCAGGGCAGCGGGCAACGGGCAGCCCACCACCAGCACAGTGGACGGGAAGAAGAAGGGTAGTGGGGTCTTGCACTTTGCAGTGGCAGGTGAGGTGAGGCCAACAAGCACGGGTAAGCTGAGGTCGGGTGAGGTGGACATTTTCTTCTGGATAATTAGCACTCAGAAAAAAAAGAGGCAAGGAGGGAATGGATATGGATGTATCCAGGGGCAGAAAAACAGCAGTGGAGGTACTTTTAGCTGGGTCGCTAAGGTAGAGAGAACCTCCACTGGAAGCATGGGACGGGACGGCACCCCAACCTACCTAAGAAAATCAGTAAAGGTACCTTAGGGAAGGAGCGACCTTTCACTTGGGGAGGACTTGGGATTTGGGACCGACTGGATTAAATCTTCACTGGCCTCGCACCTCGCAACTTCCCTTAGAGAGATTCCCCCCTCCCAAAATAATTCGTCACACGTAAACACACCCGCCTTCTTCCTCTCTCTCCCACCACACATCTTTTTCTCTCTACAACACCAAAACAAAGCCGCGTCTCCATCTCCCCCCAACACAACGACGCACGCCTACCGATTATTTCTTCTCGACCTCAGTTACTCCCTTTTTTCTATTTCCTCCACCTAATCTCATCATCCCCGATTCACAAACCTCAACATGTCTGGCGATGTAAGTACCATTTTCCCCACGCTGCCCAACACCTCCAAAATCCCCCTCTCAGCCCCTCGTTGCCTGCCTCCGCCTGTGCCACGCCAGCAACGACGACGATGCGATGCTCGATCCGCCGCCCATTTCGCGCCTCGAAATTGGTTTCCATATGGCGGATTTGGCGGTCGAAATGGATTCGACCTGGTCCCCTCGAGCACCTACCCGAATCCCCTTTCTCCAAAACACCTCATCGCTACCGCTCCTGAGAAGAAACTATGCTGACCTCTGCCCCTCATCCAGCGTGAAAGGTTTGTGCCGAACCGCCTCCTCGTTTTTGATGGACCACCACCATCAAGACACACCACCTCGCAGCCGAGGCTCTTGCGCGCAGCTTTTACTGACCCTGCCCCTATAGCAAGACTTTCCTCGCTCGCCTCTGCGAGCAGGCCGAGCGCTACGATGAGATGGTTGGCTACATGAAGGAGGTCGCCAAGCTGGGCGGTGAGCTGAGCGTCGACGAGCGCAACCTTCTCAGCGTTGCCTACAAGAACGTCGTCGGCACTCGCCGTGCCTCGTGGCGCATCATCTCCTCCATCGAGCAGAAGGAGGAGAGCAAGGGCTCCGACAAGCACGTTGGCACTATCCGCGAGTACCGCACCAAGATTGAGCTCGAGCTCGAGCAGGTCTGCCAGGATGTCCTCGATGTCCTCGACGACAGCCTCATCCCCAACGCCCAGACCGGCGAGTCCAAGGTCTTCTACCACAAGATGTACGTTTTCGATGCTTCCGCCTCTCTTGCCCCCGTATCCGCTGTCGCTCCGGAACTAACCGTTGCGTCCCACTATCTAGGAAGGGTGACTACCACCGTTACCTTGCCGAGTTCGCTTCCGGCGAGAAGCGCAAGGGTGCCGCTACCGCTGCCCACGAGGCCTACAAGGTGAGTTTGAATCCACGACTGATCTTGATTTTGATGAAATCAGTCAATTGACGCCACGGCTTCTGCAGAGCGCTACCGACGTCGCTCAGACTGAGCTGACCCCCACTCACCCCATCCGCCTCGGTCTGGCCCTTAACTTCTCCGTCTTCTACTACGAGATCCTGAACTCGCCCGACCGTGCTTGCCACCTCGCCAAGCAGGCCTTCGACGATGCCATCGCCGAGCTCGACTCCCTCTCTGAGGAGTCTTACCGCGACAGCACTCTGATCATGCAGCTCCTCCGCGACAACCTCACCCTCTGGACCTCTTCCGACAGTGGTGACGCCGAGGGTGCTGCCGCCGGCACCACCGATGCCCCCGCCGAGGAGAAGAAGGAGGAGGTCAAGGCCGAGGAGCCCAAGCCCGCCGAGGAGACCCCTGCCGCCTCCTAAGTTCTGTCTTACCCTGATACCACTCCATCTCGGTCCTCGACACGACTGGGATGGTCCGCCTACACGGTTGGTAGGCCGCGCTTCGTGCGAGCCTGCTTATGACTGGAATCGGCCCAGCATGTCGCTGCTGGCCCATGATATCTGCGACTCGCGTTGGGAAACTTGGCAAATGGGGAGGATTTTGGGGATCCGGACGCGGAGAAAGGAATAATGCGTGGCATGGTCCCTCTTTTGGCTCCTTGGATTCAACCCAGGTCTGGAACGGTCTCGTTCTTCGGACTCGGGCATTTCTTGAGGACTCTCTACTCGGCAGCTAACTACCAACCAACCTTTCCCCCTTCTTCATCTTCATGCCCAGGGTCATTCTCCTTTTGTTCGGCCCCACACGAATCCTGCTTTTTACCCCTGTGCTGGATGGTTTACGGCTGTCTCGTGTTCTCTTTTCGGTTTTCCTCATAGTGGTCCTTACGTCGTGCGTTTTCTCGCGGAGAGAGAAAGTGTTTACCCCCCAAATGCCCCTGTTTATTCAGTCTACAAGACAAAAAAGAAAATAACAATGTTCATCAACAACGCGTGCTGGATGTGAGCGGTGATGTATGTGGCTTGACATGTGATAGGATGAGCTCTAGGGCAACCGTGCGGAAGAGACATCACAAACGCGTAAACGCCAGGCAGTGATTTGAACGTGTTACTCTTGGAGTGATAAACAAAGTGGTATTTCCCAAACTTTCCAGTATCGAATATGTACTAATTACCAGATTCAAAACGCCTGGCACCCGGCGCCATTCCCGTGTTTCCGACTCTTGATAGAAAGCAATGTTCACCAACAACGAAACCGATTACGCATGCTTGAATGTGTATATATGTGTGCGTGTGTGTGTGCGTGCGTCAACCTCACCGATGTGACCTCAACAGCAGCTTCTCGGCCCTCTTCAACCTCGCCTGCTTCTCGGCGATGAGCTTGGGCACGTGGCCCCTGCCATCCGACTCGAGGTCCTCGGCCGCGTCCGCTTCGGCCTCGGCCTCGGCCAAGGCGGCTGTGTTGGCGGCAACGGCGCCCAGCCCGTGGACGGTCGCTCTGCGGTACATCATGGTGGCCTCCTCGGCCCCGCGCGGCGGGAGCGGACCGTTCTTGCCGCTGCTGCTTCCGCTGATGCGGCGGACGAAATTCCGCATGCCGCGGAAGATGGCATGGTTACCGTGCTTGGTACGGAACATCATCAGGCTGCCGCGGCGGTCAAAGGGCCCGGTGGGGAGAATGTGGCCCTGCTGGGGATCGTCGAGGTAGGCCGACGAGGGTTCGAGACCCATTGCCGAGGGGGCGCCGAGGCGGGAGCATGTTGGGCAGTAGGTCGGTTGTGAGGGGAGCATGTCGCCCCGCGGGAAGGAGAAGCCATCACCTTGAGAGATGGAGGATGAGGTGGTTGAGGCTGAGAGTGAGATGTTTGTCGACGAGGACGAAGCTGCGGGCGAGGTTGGCGGACAAGTGCAGAGGGATGCTGAGGCTGCCACCTCCTCGCGCCAGACCTGGATGCGCTGTTGTTTTGTGAGAGACGGGTCGGAGAGAGTCATCTTTGCTGTGATATGTATGCCGTATGTTGTATGTTGCAACAGTCGCGGGTGTTATCCAACGGAAATGGAAGAGTTTTATGACGTGGTGTCGGTGGAGGCGGGTTGGTCCGTCTGCCCTTCAGCCTTCAGCTTCCAGAAGACGGTACGACGATGTGCTCTTGGACGTCGGCGTGGGAGTCCTCTCGGTGTTTGTATATTGGACGATGAACTTGGACGATTAAAGCACGAGGACCACCTCGTGTTCCAGGACCGAAGAGAGGTTGGTGCTTTTTTTGTGTCCCCTCCGACGAAGGTTTGGCTCGAATTAGGTGTAGTCGTCTGAACGGTGAGTCTCGTCAACGTTCGTCCGTCCGTTGCGTTTTTCGGCGTTGTCCCAAGATGTTTGCCCAACGTCAAGAAGTAGAAAGAAGAAAGGAGAGAGGGAAGGGAAACAAGACGTCGAAATGTGTTGGTTATTAGAGGTCATAAATGACTTGTGAGGCGCTGGGGTTTGGGAGGGGCACGGGGCCAAGATGGGGTGTTATGAGCTTTGTCTTCGGCTCAGTAGTCGGCCTCTAGTTGGCTACCGCCCTTTCTCATGTGCTTGATGTTTTTCCAAGGGGTTTTGTATGTGAGTCGGTATTTAGTCGGCGCCAACCCCGGATTCTGAGTGACCCCCGAACGTAGGATGAGCAGCAGTGCAGTAGTGATAGTGACGGTAAGCGGTAGCTAAGAGTGCAAGGGGGGCAAGGCCGCTACTTGAGTGTGTTGGATGTTGGTTTAGAAGGAAAAAGGTGATAGGTTTTAGGGCCAGAAAGAAAAAAAAATCCGAAGAGAAGTGTGGTTGGTAAACGGTCTTGTCAGACAATTGGACTGTGTGTTGGACGAGTCAAGGCTTGAGTCTTGTCATCCGGTCTTTTTTTCTCAGGTAGCGCGAGTGCAGATTCTCTTGCGATGGATGAAGTGGGAGAACGGATCCTAGCGAGACGCCTACGGGCGTATGAAACAAATGATACAACAGCAAAAGCAGGATTGATGTGTGCGTATGTGTGTATCTGTCCGCAGGTGAGGATATTGGAAACGCCCGCTAAGGAAGAAAAAGAAGCAAGCGTAGTAGCAACGGAGACTTGTGACTGGTGGCAGGCGCGGTAGTTGGAAAGTAGGGGTAGCTAAGTTCGCGATGCTACATAGTAGTCTGGCGGTGATCGCTCAAACTCTTTTGGGCGTCGAAATTTGGTTGGCTGCTTGTGCTTCGCTTAGTGCAGGTCTTGCAGGGAACAAAAGGAACAAGACTGAGTGGCGTCGAGAAATATTGAACGATGAAAGGCGGAGATGTGGGTTCGTGGCTGCGGTAGAAGGTGTAATCGTCGCAAGTGGCCGTCGTTTCGTTTCGACTCGACTCGTTCGTCTGTCGTTCGGCCTTCGTGACTATCCAGGTCTGCAGAACCTCGCCAAGGCGTGGATGAAAGGGCGGGAGAGAGGAGTTCTGGGTGGAGGAAAAGATCGGCAGGTCGGCAGGTGATTAAGAGCAATGGATGGTACCTTGGGTCAGGCAGGCAAGGATAGGAAAGGTGCAGTTCTCGTTCAGAATTAGGGTGTTCAGGTAAGAAGACGCTTTTTTAGGTTGATAGGCAAGGCGCAGAGTAGTTGGGACGGATGGAAGGCGAGCCGGTGAGTTTTGTGAAGCAGACCGGTTCTCGCGCCGCTTGCGAGCGAAGACGGATAGACAGATGATGGGACAATTTGAATTCTGAGGGAAAATTAGAAGAAAAAAAGGTATGTGAACGTTTGGTTTGGGTCAGTTCCTTTGCTTGGACGTTGCTGGCTTTGGCATCGCGCGGCCCCGCGATCGGCAGCTTCCCAATCCCAGTTTGAGCTGTGGACCTGGATCTCCTCCTGCCGCAACCGGGCGGGAACACAAGAGGGCAGCGGCGGCGGTGGATGGTGCGGCGGCGCGGCGCCTGCAACGACTCGTCTGCCTTTGTGGTGTCTCGACCGTGGTCACTTTCCACCCCTTGTTCGCTGTGGCGGGTTTTTGGGGGGCGCCTGCTTGAGGGGGTGTACGTGACCTGGACCTCGCGCCTACCTTACCTTACTGTACAGCTTGGGACTAATGCCGCTGTCAGATGTCAGTACAAGACTTGCGTGCTGGGAAAAGGGGTGGGCAGACGTTATCGTTGGGATGGCAGGAAGCGGTGAGTAGCTCAAGAGGTTGGGGTAATCGTGAGATTTGGGCGACGGGCGGGAGAAAAAGGCGGAACGGTGCAGATAATGGGATATGAATGTCGTTGTCGACGCGAATAATCAAGGGTCCATCCATCCAAAAGCTCGGTGAGGCCGGGTGAGGTAAAGGCTTCTGGGAATGACGTCGTGTGCCGTACCTCAGAAGTAACAGGGAACCCGATTGGCGCTGGTTCCCGGCCCATCCATATTCGGGGGCCGGCACTGCTTCCAGAGATCCCCTTCCGAATGGATGGCGGAGGCACTTTGTGAGACTCGTCGAGGACTTGAGAACAATGGCACAAAGGACGCCAGGCAATTACCGGAGGACGGCAGGTAAAGAATCGGACCACAATATGTCTGTCTGACGTGTGTTCCTTTTGTATTCTTTCTGCCGCGTACAACATTTCTGCGGTGCTACAATAATACCAATCCGCCTAGTATCCTTTTTTCCCACCAGTCGACTTGACCCGAATAGTCTGTCTATCTTGAGAAGAACGCCCAACCGCCCATGCCTGATGTTTATCCCGAGAATCCGAAACCTCATCTAACTATTTCTGCGTGCTAGGTACCAGCGTCTCCCAGCTTCCCATATCACTGTGATTATCTTCACCCAACGAGTCTAGTAAGTCTACTGGTGCTGGCTTCCTCTGGATCTTGGCTGGGATTTGCGGCTTTGGTCGTGCCTCGCTGGGTCTCATCCCAGGAAGCGCGACCGCCCCGGCCATCGGCGACTGTCTTGCAGAATCGACATTAAATGTGCCCGCTCTCTTAGGCGGCGGGTTCGCTGGTGTGCCCACTGGCTTTCTGCTGACACCGGCGCTGCCTGTAGAACTCGTGGTGGATAGCCCCGTGGCGGCTCGAACTGGCAGTGGCGGGCGGTCTGACGGGTCATCGTCATGGTAGCCGTTGCCATTGCTCGCTGCGGGCGCTTTGGCTAAATGAGCCGGCTTCTTCGCGACGGGTGGCGCAGGTTTACCCTTGGATTGCTGTGATGATTGAGACACCGCAGAGGATGGTCGAGGAACCGACGGGGGGGCTGTCTGCGACTTGTTCGAAGGAATCAGAGGAGCCTGGTTCATTGTCAAAGGGGCCTGCTGGCCAACAGCATTGACGCCTGTCTGCCTTCGCGGCGGCGGCGGCGGCGGGGGCGTTTCTCCTCGTTGGGATGACTTTTCGTCTTTGATGTTCAGCCTGCCTATCTTAGCTGGCATAGCCGACGGATCATACGGCGGTGGTAATCTCCTGGCTGTTGCGCTCGTCGCAGACGAGGAGAGATCGCTCGAGGCATACACGTGCTCGTACGGAGACGTAGAGACACTAGAAAACGACGATAGCCTTGAACGTGGAACATTCACCCAGTCCGGTTCTGCTGTGGGCGTAAACGGATTCGGTGGCCTGTTGGGGTTCAGAACTGTCGCGTGTCCCTCAGGAGCCTTGGGCTGCTTGATGTCAACTCGGGCTGCTTGCTTGTTTTCCAGCCACCATTTTTGGCGATCGGAACTGGCTGGAGGCAGGCCTGGTTCGATGGCTTCGTAGCCTATCAAATCCTCGTCGTCGGTTTCTTCCGAGTCCAAGTTTGCGATGGAGTCGCCAACTTCCGCCTTGCGTTGTTGATAAAGCTCTTGGCTGATTCGGTCCCGAAGTCCCTCATCAACAATGCTGACGTTGCATTGGAAAACAGCATAGACTGGCCGGTGATCCGAAAACTTCAATGGAGCCGAATTGTAAGCAAGCTGGCGTAAGTTGGAGCCCTTTCGTAGGATACGATCAGTCCAGGCTGGGATTCGCGCCTTTTCACTGCAGAATGTGAGCAACAAGTCATTTCTGTACCAAGGCGGACTTACGATGTATCGTATTCATCAGTCCCAAGATCAAACTTGTAGGTCGGAAGGAAGTTGATTCGGGCTTCGGAGTAGAACGGAAAGGCCAGGCCCGCAATCATTTGCAGGTTCAACTAGAGTTCGTAGTCAGCAACAGCGAAAGGAGGTTGAGTGATCCGTCCTTACTTGATCATTCTCGTAAAGCGTATCCAGGTCCCTTTTCTTAACCAGCCCGCGGACAGCTTCAGAAGTAAGGCCGATGCGGTAGTTGAAGTCGCCCAACCAAACGACAGTATCTGTCTAGCAGTTAGAATATCCTGTCACATAGTGTATACGCAGAGCTCCCGAAACTTACCATGATCGTCTATACCACGGTTTCTCTGAAATCGCAGACCGTGGTGAATCGTTGCATAGTCCCTATTCCTCTCGTCGTAATTCGAAAAGCCCGCGGCCAAATGGGCCGTCACAAAACAGATGTGGGTATTCGCAAAGTCAAACCGTATGGCAACTGCTCCCTTGTTGCCTGCCATACCCGACAAGCCAGTCTTCTTGACACTGCCCTCGACATTCTTGATTTTGGCCAGGGAAGACGCCTTGACAAAGATACACAAAGCGGCACCAACGAGTTGTCCACTTCGGAGGAGGACATATCTCTCCCCACCAAGCGATTGGGCACGCTGGTTGAGGCATCTTCTAACTGCGCTTTCCCAAAGCTGTTTCCTCGAGGGATCGCTATTCATGATCTGCTGAGGGCTCAATTCGACGATTTCTTGGAATCCCACAGCTACAATCTCGGGCTGAACATCACCAAGCTCTTCTGGGCAGAGCCACAAAGAAAGATCATTGTCCACACCCTCGGTGCGCCCATTGAGGTTGAAAGTACCAACCAACCTGAGACGGTTAGTACATTTAGAATGATTCGCGTGAGGAAAACTTACATCGTAATGTCCTGAGAAGACGAGAACTCGGCAGTCCGCTTCATAAGTTCACCAGAGACGTAGTCGCTAATCGGGTCAAACAGGAGAACAGGGGTTTGGTTGACGAGACGTCCCAGGAGGCGGTCAATTGTGGTCTGCCTGGCCGAGTCCGTGAAATTGTTGTGGTAAAGTCGCTGTACCGATTTGCGCATATCGGCCACAGCGCCAGCCAAGGACATTTTCCCGGTGCGTGTAAAGGATGATTTGAGGGCACCAGTTCCAGCGTATATCTTAGACAGCGCATCTCCATTGTCTGCCCACAACGTCGAATGTCTCATCCAGAAGTCCTGCGTCGCATACTCTCCGCGATGACCGAGAAATGCTTCCGTTGCCATCTGAGATATCAGGGTTTGAATAAGATTCGTTCTGTCCAGACAGTCGAGACAATTTGTTCGGAAGACGCCTTCTTGTTGCAAAACCACCACCATCCGAGGGGAGCCCTGTGAATCGGTATCAGGTCCTGCGTCATCTGCCTCTTCAGCCAAGTAGTACGCAAACCCATCCGTCGAGGTCTCGATATATCTGCGGATCTGGCGCGCAGCCTCGTATCCACCTGGTCCCTTCGTCTCGGCGTGGAAATCATAATGGGTTTCTCTCAGCAGCGCATGATCTTGAGATTCGTCCTCTCCGACCTGGCTTAAAGGGCAGTGTTGCACGGCAAGATGATACAGCTGGCTAAGTTGTGCTTCGCCTGGTTTGCCTTCGCTGAGGAGATTGACAACATGAACAGCACCGTAAGCGCGCTCCAGATCATCAAAGTGTTTGTTGAAAGCCGGCTGCGCACCCTCAGGAGATCTGATGACAGTAATGTTTTGTTTGCCCGGGATAAGTTCAGCAGTCTGCTCCCAAAATAGGGGAACAGAGCCCCTGACTTGGGCATACGAGAACAACGTGCCCCCTGGACTCCAATAGATGGTCTCCGTCTCGACGAAATTGGCTACATTGCCATCATCGTCGATGCCTCGCGAGTTGAATCGAGTGCCGGCCCTTCTACTCGACAAACGTGAGATTACCGTCAAGTAAGAGGGCAGACCTGTTGAGCGCGTCCTGAGAGGGGCGCTTGTCTGCGGGATTGCCATCGTACGGCAAAACCCGCGGATTGCCGAAGTCAAGAATCTTGAATGATCAAGGGCGTCGCGTTCTTGTGGCAGTAAGCGAGATCTGAACTGAACCAGCGGGCTGATCATGAAAGAATTCCACAAGAATGAATCGTCAAAATTATCAATGTCGAAAACGGACGTGTTAACCGTTCTATGCCCATTAGCTGGCTGTAAGCGCACGATGGAGATAGATCCTTACCTATCTTGCAGTCTGTTGGTCAGGTCAAAATCGGTGCTGTAGTAGAAAGTGCCGTTCCCAAGAAGCTTTCGAAGATCTGTACATGGGTGCTCTATTGTGACTTCTCTTCCTCTGAGATTTTGACCGTAGACCGAGTTGACATCCGACTCGGATTCCAGAGGATCGAGAGACACAACATCGTCCCACTCGCTGTTGTTCAGACAGAAGAATGCAACACTCGCGATCCGCTCTACGGTCTCTCCGGGTCGTAGAGTGGCCACTCTTGTAGCATGTGTAACGACAGAAAGGAACACATCTCCATCCACAGATATCAGACCCAATGTTCCGAAAATCGGCCGAGGGGTCAAGGGTCGGTAATCGGCCAACGTCTTCTTCGTAATCTGGGTGAATTCCACCATGCACTTGGCGGCAGCGCCATCTCCTCCATTGGGTCGTGAGCGGGTGGACGCGAGGGACGTAAGGGAGCCGTTCGCGGCTGCGCCGGTACTGGAGAAGTTGTAACGGAAGATGAGGGCATGTGAAGAAGAGACAATCGCAACGGCGCGATGAGGATAGTCGCGAATGTAGAGTTTACTGGACTTCTCGGGTGCCGGCACCTGAGAGAATGCGCTGGCGTAATCCATTGTTGCGAGGCGTAGCTCAGGTGTTCGAAGAAGCGTTCGTGTCGCAGATCATGCTTGGGCGGTCTCGCTGGCCTGCGTTCGTCGAGGGATGCCGTCGTCGGTGGCTAAGCAGAGAAGGTTTCGGGAACGACTGGGAGGGGGGAAAGATCGCGGCAAGATGTCGTCGGAGAAAGGCGCGCGGTGGCACAAATGAATTGAGGTTGCAAATGGTTAACCTACGATTGAGGATGCCGTGGCTGACTGTAGCGGGATTTGGGTTGCCCATGCTGAGCCCAAAGATGACGTCCGTCCCGCCGGAGGTGCAAAGAGGTTACAGCCTGGACCGCTGTACCTTTAGCGCCTCAGCTCCGCTTCAGTAGACAGCTCCATCGTTTCAGCCTCACAGACCACCTAGGTATGAGCTGCGGGAGGAAGCTGCCTCACGCCGAATGGGAAGGCCCGGAAGTGGTTACGGGAAGGTACGTATTGATGCTCTACCCTGCAGATCCTCTCAGGGCAGGATGTTCCCGAGTAAACGAGTCGACTACAGCCGTCAATTTATCCTGGCCATCTTTCTATTGCATCTCACCTGTAAATATATTTTCCGACTTGTTGAAACGTTCGAGGGAAGCTGTATCCGCTCTACGAAAATTACTTTGGAAGACAAGGCGGTCAAAGCCACAGATGCGATGAACACCCCCGAAGATAGTTCGAAAGAGATGCGTGTGCAAACCACTTTTTGTATGGCGGAAGATTGGGAACGATACGCTGGTCGAGATGGAGGCTCTTCATGGAGACACTCTCGTGGACTAAGGGCAACAATCAGGACTTACCCGTGGACTCGGTCATTCACATATAAAATACTTCTGATGAAGCCTCAACAGTGCTGCTGGCTCACTACCAGTCTTCCTACATCCGTCTATGACATAAAACCGGGACAGCCTTCATGAATTTCCCACATTCCGTAAATCATAGACGTCCTCAAGACATGTCCTTCGGAAGCAATGATTCGGATTCCAGGATCCTGCAATACTCTTGCTGATCTTCTTCTGTGAGTAACACAATTTCGAACCTCTCGCTACTGCTCGCGTACGCCAGATTCGCGCAGATTGTGGTAAAGAAGAGGGTTTTTGGCTGATGGTCTGCTATGCAACGTAGTACCCATCATGGAACTTAGCTTCTTCTCATCCAAGGCGTTATCGTTTCGAGTTCAGCGGTCTGCTTGGTTTTCATCATATAATACTTCAACCCAATAGAAACCGGCTATTTCGGACTGGTAGGCCACGATCTACAGGGACCATTCGGAAGCATAGCTGTCAAGGCCTGTAGAAAAGACAATATCGCGTTCTTTACAGGCTGTTGTTAGCCGACGCCTTCTGGAGAAAAGACATGGAGTATATTGCCCGCCAATGGGCTCGATGGCTTCAAATCAGGATGAAGGTTGTGAACAGCCAAACCAACCAGGGCACTTCGCTCAGCAAGGACGATGCGAATTACTTGGTTTCAGTTTCCACATATCAAGGCGACCCGGAAGTAGCCATCGATATTTCTGGACGGTTGCATCAGGGAAAAGTCAGCATGCCAGCCAGATTCGAGGATCTGCCCGAAGCAGGGCTGATGCCATGTCGAGTAAAAGCTCAGCTTCACGACCAGAATTCGGGTTTCTCTTTTCTCTCCCGTGGAGTGGACATCCGAGTTCTGAGCTCGTTCTGAGCTCTCCTACACAGCCGCGATTTGCACATTGAGACGTATTACTTCGCCGGCGAAGGCGGCTAACCGGAGCCTTTCCATCGTGTCCTCAGGTACATGCTGCGGAAGTGCTACGTTCATGAAGCAGTCGAGACATACATTGGTAAACGTTGTGGAGTGGAAGATGGTATCGAAATGGCCATATCATAGCCACCAGAACGTCTCCGACCACAACTATTGTGACACCATAGACCGGAGTTTCGGTGTCGTTGCTTGAAAACGTGGGTATCAGGTTGCCAAGCCGTTCATCCGATACGAGTGTGACTTCCCACGACACTGGTTTGTGAGAAATCGGACAAGTAACAGTTCCATCCAACTATTCTACTGAGCCTGCGGAGGATTCCGACGTTTCCAGGTTAGGAACGATGCGAAACATGGATCCCAAGCGGCCCCTGTGACAGATCGTGTCTGTCGGTGACAGACAACAGGAAACCGGATGTGACCCAGCGAATAGGGGTATTTCCGAAGATGGCGGTTTAGGGGTGCTTCAGACTCGATCATAGGCATTGACGAAGACTCGGAGGAAATAAAGTGTGTGGGGGAAGTACGGGAAAAAGGGGAAAACATGGAAAGATGAGACGCGGAGAGATAACCAGGCTTGGGGAATCCCATGCAACGGGAAGAGGCGAAATGTCAATGCTTCAAGCAGACCAGGCTTCAGATTAAGTGAATTGAGATCACGCTGCCACCTTGGGTGAGCAGTCATTCTCTTCCTATCATGTATTTTGGGAGATCATCATAAGCCTTTTTGATATGTAGAAGAGAGAAAAAGGAAGAGAATTTTTGGTCGAGTATCGGACGTCAAATAAGGGTCCATGCTTGGCCCATGTGCTTACCTAAGACTCGACAACCACAAAAAAAAAACCAATTCAATCCAGTGGTTTGTGGTGGGCGACGGGGGGCCCTTCCATTGGACCAGACGACAGCAACAGGCGGAACTTAAGGAAGCTCCGCAGTGGGCAATGTCCGTAAGTCGGGCTGTCTGCCAGAATCCGATGAAGTTATGCAGGGAATCACAGGGACGCAGGCCAAGGCACGATGGGATGGTTGGTTGATCCACTCGGGACCTCCAAGGGCACCTCAACTGATGCGCATAAGCAATCATTGAACCACTGCTGGTGCATGGACGACACGTCGGTGGTGTTGCAGAGTGTCGTACTCTGGTGCAGAGCATGTCGAGATACCTTACGGATAGCTTGCTCTCTATTCGTAATTGTCTGTAAAATGTCAATGTGGACGGGAACCTCAGGTTGGAAAGAGGTACATGCGGACGCTGTATCGGCTGCCTTACGCAAGTGGAGTGCCGCCGACCAGCTGATGTCTCCAAGCTTGGACTGTTCTTATTTGGTTGCGCGCGTCACTGATAAAGCGCTTCTGGCAAGGGTTCGCCTGCCAAGGTACAAGGCCTGCATGTATCTTTTCCTGCTTCAGCCCCATTTTGTATGCAGCCCGTATTGAGGCGCGCGCCCGTTCATAAAAAAATCCCAACCCCCCTTCCTCTTCGCGACCTCGAAGCTTGACCCGGCCAACCACGCTTCCTATCGCCCACAGCCTTGATACCCGCGGTGCCCTCATTTCGCCATCTGCAAACCGCCTCTCTCACCTGCTGCAGTCTATTGTGGCATCGCGCATCACCACCGATTCACCTTTTACCCGAACCCTACCCCGCCATAAGTTATCCCAACGAAGCCCGCCATGTCGGAGTTTGATAACTACGGTAGTTCCGATGAGGAGAACGCCGAGATCAAGAAGCTCCAAGCTGAGGTGGTACGTGACTGCGACATCGCCAGCGTCGCACCTGCCCGTATCCAAATAACCCTGACTAATTCCATTCGCGCGCACAGGATGCCGATCCGGATAACTTCGAGAACTGGGAGAAGCTCGTTCGCGCCTGTGAGGGTCTGGAGGGCGGCTTGAACCGCAACTCCAGCCCCCAGGCCCTTGCGACCCTCCGCGATGCCTATGACCGATTCCTCCTGAAGTTTCCTCTGCTCTTTGGCTACTGGAAGAAGTATGCCGATCTCGAGTTCAACATTGCCGGCCCCGAATCTGCTGAGATGGTAAGTGATTGTCGCATTGCGCCGCATCGCACCGCGCCATGCCTCCCTTGCTTCCCGAGCTATCGCTGACCGGCGTGCGACTCCAGGTCTACGAGCGAGGATGTGCCAGCATCACCAATTCTGTCGACTTGTGGACCGACTATTGCTCCTTCAAAATGGAGACCACTCATGTCCCACACCTCGTCAGAGAGTAAGTATTGATGGTCGGCTTTCCTTCCCCTTAACATCACCATCACCACAGCACGCCGTAACGGCCGCACTCAAGACCTCGACCGAGCGATGCATGGGCTCAATCCACTGCCTACAAGTATCCGACGGTGAGAAATGCCAACAGCAGCCCCATTGTCGGGATGCTCTCTCACGCTACTTTACCAGGCTCTGTTCATTTCCACTTGACGATGACCTGACCCGTTCTCCGCTCCACGCTTCACGCTTCACGTCGCATCTCCACCATACCGCTCTCCTTGGAATGCTTTGGACTTGGACTCGCTAGTTGATTTCACCTGATACCCCTTCCTGTATATTCCGCCTTCCCGTTATCTTGCGCACTCCCTCCCCCCGCCTGCGCCCATTTGCTGACCTCACCTTCCAGGTTATTTGAACGCGGCGCTACATGTGTCGGCCTGGACTTCCTGGCTCACCCTTTTTGGGACAAGTACCTTGAGTACGAGGAGCGACAAGAGGCGCAAGACAAGATTTTTGCTATTCTTTCTCGCGTCATTCACATCCCGATGCACCAGTATGCCCGCTACTTCGAACGCTTCCGCCAACTGTCCCACAGCCGACCTATCACCGAGCTGGTCCCAGCGGAAACGTTGGACAAGTTCAAGGCCGAGGTCGAGGCGGAGAGTGCCCAGTACGCTGGCGTGCAACGAACCGAGCTTGAGGTTGAGCGCGACATTCGCACCAAGATCGACGCCATGTATTACGAGTTTTTCACCCAGACTCAAAACGAGACCAACAAGCGATGGACGTACGAATCCGAAGTCAAGCGACCTTACTTCCACGTCACGGAGCTCGAAAACCCGCAGCTTGTTAATTGGCGCAAGTACCTCGACTTTGAGGAGTCGGAAGGCAACTTCACGCGCATCGTCTTCCTGTACGAGCGATGTCTGGTCACTTGCGCGTTCTATGACGAATTTTGGTTTCGCTATGCTCGTTGGATGTCAGCACAAGAGGACAAGGAAGAAGAAGTCCGCATCATCTACCAACGTGCCGCTACCCTATACGTACCCATTAGCCGTCCAGGAATCAGGCTTCAGTGGGCGTACTTTGAGGAGAGTTGCGGCCGCATTGAGATTGCGCGGGAAATTCACGCTGTGATCCTCATGGGGCTTCCTGACTGCATCGAGGCCATCACCTCGTGGGCCCACCTTCAACGCCGCCAGAGTGGACTGGACGCCGCCATCGAAGTGTTCAAGGCGCAGATCGACTCTCCACAGGTGGACATCTTCACCAAGGCAGCACTGGTGTCGGAGTGGGCATCTCTCCTCTGGAAGGTCAAAGGTTCAACCGAAGAGGCGCGCAACGTCTTCCTCAAGAACGTCCAGTGGTATGCGGACAGCCGTATCTTTTGGGACAAGTGGCTGGAGTTCGAGTTGCAGCAGCCGACCAGCGCCGAGCTTGAGGATCAGCACGGCGAGCGCATGAAGCAAATCTTTGACGAACTGCGGAGCAAGAGCCGGTTGTCAGCGTCGACAAAGAAAGAACTATACCACATCTACCTGTCGTATCTGCAACAGAGGGGCGGCAAGGACGCTATGAAACAATTCCTGGCTGTCGACCGGGAGATCTATGGGTAAGTTAAAACAGCGTTGTTTCGCCCGGAATCGTCCAAACTAACGTAATAACAGACCTGGTTCGATTTCTGTCCTCGCCAAAGCCAACGCTGCCGTCAAGGAGAACGGTGTTGCCACCGGCGAGCTCGACGAGGCGACGAGACATCGTGCCGAGGCTCGATACCTCAAGTACTACGAACTGCCCAACGAACCCGACGCCGAAGGTCAGGGAACTGCACAGTTCAACTAGGCCGGGTCCGTTGATGTATCGGCCAGAAATCTTTTCTTTTCTTTTCGTTTCCAGGAGTTACTGGCTTGGGCGCATTACACCCTGGAGACTCGACTTTCTTGTATTATATGGCCAGATTTGACGACAGATTTTTCACGGGTGGGGTGGCCTCGGGTAGTTGTACTGTATGCGGCGTGTACGAGGTGCTCCAGACAGAGAGACCGTGACGAGACGGGGAGACCACATTAACGGCGGTTATTTGCTTAGGCCCAAGAGGTTCGCATGATACCGGTTCTCATGATTTGCGAAGCAAGTTGCGACGCAAGTAGTAATAGCTCAATAAATGTTACAACAAAATGGAATTGTGCTCCTGTTCGAGTGAGAGATGGTTGCCGGTCCGGAGTCATTCGCCGACATAGCTTGGTGCCCGAGTTAGGAACAGCGATATCGCCAGCGAAGGGTGGTTCAATGTTGGACTCGGGAGGCACCGAGCTTCGCATAAACCCCGCGACACCGAATATGCTGATCTCTAGGCTCCCGATGTGCTCTAGACACCGCAGGAGTTGAGCGTGCAAATTGAGTCATAAGCACTCCAATTTGACTTTTGGGACCTCTACTGAGAAGGGCGATCCGCTGCATGTGAAGCTACCAGTCTTCTGTCTTATACGGGTGAACTCAAGGTTGATTAGTAAAGTCAAACAAGGGTTCTGCTGTAGCGTATCCAGCTTCCAGGAACTTTTTGCCCTTTCTAGTGGTCGTCAAACGGCGCCCTGCGAGCAGAACTGACATTTTTCCCGAGACTAGATCAGATTCTCTCTCTCGGCTCGGAATTGGAACCTCGGAATGACAAAGCGTCTGGTCTGGGGGCTGACGGAACTGGCGCCGAACCATGACACCCGGCATGGCGTGAGCTGGATAGGGAGCATCCGAACCCGTGGGCATGCGTAGTGTGGAGGGGCGCGGCGTGCAGTTGGGTTGGAGGGGTCTAGCTCGATTCCGATGTGCGCGACACCGAAAACCGAGTGCCGCGGAGACGCGTGTGATGGGAACTCCAGGTCGGAGCCACGCGCTTTTTTTTTTTTTTAGGACTGGGACAAGAAGACGAATTGGCTTGAGCCGTGTCACAGAAGGGCGTGGAGGATGACGAGAAAGCTTGTGAATGGCGACTAGAGGACACTACGTTGTGAGGCGAACAGACGGCGACTAGGCCGAGTCAGCGAAGGGCCGAGTTCTCGGTTTCGCGGCGAGCACGTTTTCCAGAAGTAGGTATGAAGTCAAGAGAGCAGAGCCCGCCCCAGCCTACCTACCTATCCTACATCGGCGTCCCGCCCCATATGGGGACGAAACGCGGGCGCGGCGGGCGGGCTTGAGTCAACGATGGGAAACTGGGTCCCCCGGGAGATTTATTACAAATACTACAAGATGAAAGGGCAGAGCAGCAAAACCCGGAGCTGCGGTCGACCCGTCAACAGCGGGGTTCTGGGAGAGCCGGCTGGTTTAGCCGAGCTCCATCGTGGAGACAGCAGCATCATCATCATGAACGACGACGGTGACACACAACGGAGGTCGACGGAGAACGACGGCCCATGGCCCCTCGAGTGAGAGATTGAGAGTCGAAGATTGGACGTCGAGATTTGAGTTTCTTGCCATGTGCTAAAGTTAGAGATGTTGCTTATGAAAGCAGCGCAACTCTGGACTTTAGGCGATTCGGGGTCCTCCATTATCGGAGCGCAAGGGGGGAAAAAAAGTTGAGTTGGAAGGAAGCCATGTGTCAGCGGTGCGTTTTGCGGCACATGGAGTCAATTGGGGATTGTGCAAAAGATACCTCTTCTCGCGCGTTATCTTCCACTGACATGGCGGTAGCCCGGACCGGCTCGTTTCGAATTCTGGCTCGATATCAGTATCTCCCTAGCGAAACCTTTTTCCTATTTTTCCCTGAGCATATGACTAAAGTGTCTAGCTCCGATTCGGCTCACAGCATACACTTTCTGCTGACAGGCACCGCGCACGCTTTCCCGCGCTTGTCCGTCACAAGGCGAACATACCCGCGGCGCGAGAAAACGCAGAGACGCCATCCACGAAAAAAAAAAAACCGTTGAATGTGCAACAGCAGAGCCGAAAAACGTAAATGGGAACCCACATGGCACCGTTTGGCAAGGGCCCCGGGAGGAAGAAGTGGCTCTCACGCCGGCCCCGGTCCCTTGTTTCCAGACTGGAGCTCTCGAATCTGGCCACTCAGAGACTTTCAATTTCTCATTTCACACGTCGCCGTCCTTCCCTCGGTCCCCTCTCCAGAGGTCCAGCAAGAGGCCCCATCGGGCTTCCTCGTGCTCTCACCCCCCCTTCCCGAAAGATGTCAGAGAGGGCGGGATCCATAGCCGGGTCAGAGGCAGGCAGTGGCCCGGTGAAAGGTCGATAGGGTAAGCTGCGAAGGTTATGTTGGGTGTAGTCTCAAACGCCCCCGGGCAACGGACGTTCAGAGAGTCTTTTTAAGTGCCAATTGCTCCCTTTCCCGCCCCTCTCTCCCCGAAGCTTCTCTTCTCCCTTTTCCCGTATACGTCCCGTTGTGATTGTGATCCCTTTCTTGATATCCCATATACATCACGAAAGCTCTATCAAGGTTAGTAGCCAGCTATCCCTACTCCAGCACCGTCCATACACCACAACTACTTCTCGAGGAGCCGGTCTTACACCGGCATCATCCGATACATGCCACTTCTCCCATCACGATATACCACCAAAACTCGATTCTAACACATCCCCCAAACAGATGGCCGCCTCCACCAGACAGTTCGCCCGCGCGGCGATGAGAACGACCGCCAGAAACACCTTCGCCGTCGCCCCCCGCCAGGCCTTCCGCCAGCAGGGCCGTCGCTTCTACTCCTCCGAGCCCGCCTCCAAGTCCGGCAACTCGACCTGGCTCTGGCTCACCGGCGCGGCCGTCGCCGGCGCCGGAGGCTACTTCTACACCCGCGAGGGCGGCGTTTCCGCCGGCTCGACCACCAAGGTCGTCAACCCCACAAAGGCCGATTACGAGAAGGTTTACAAGGCCATTGCCGACCGTCTCGAGGAGAACGACGAGTACGACGACGGCAGTTACGGCCCCGTCCTCGTCCGCCTGGCCTGGCACGCCAGCGGCACCTTCGATAAGGAGACTGGCACCGGCGGCAGCAACGGCGCCACCATGCGCTTCGCTCCTGAGGCCGACCACGGCGCCAACGCCGGCCTGAAGGCTGCTCGTGACTTCCTTGAGCCCGTTAAGAGTGAGTGAAGTTCCCAATTGGAGGTGACCGAGACAGCTTCTGACACTTGTACAGAGCAATTCCCCTGGATCTCTTACTCCGACCTCTGGATCCTCGGCGGCGTCTGCGCCATCCAGGAGATGCAGGGCCCCGTGATCCCCTACCGCCCCGGCCGCAAGGACGGTGAGGCCGCCGCCTGCACCCCCGACGGCCGTCTCCCCGACGCCTCCAAGCGCGAGAAGCACCTCCGCGACATCTTCTACCGCATGGGCTTCAACGACCAGGAGATCGTCGCCCTGGCCGGCGCCCACGCCCTCGGCCGCTGCCACACCGACCGCTCCGGCTTCGACGGCCCCTGGACCTTTTCTCCCACGGTCATGACCAACGACTACTTCAAGCTCCTCCTGAACGAGAAGTGGCAGTGGAAGAAGTGGGACGGCCCCGCGCAGTACGAGGACAAGAGCACCAAGACCCTGATGATGCTGCCGGCCGACTACGCCCTCATCCAGGACAAGACGTTCAAGAAGTACGTCGAGCAGTACGCCAAGGACAACGAGGCCTTCTTCAAGGACTTCTCGAATGTCATCGTCAAGCTCTTCGAGCTTGGCGTTCCTTTCGCCCAGGGCTCCGAGGAGCGCTGGACCTTCAAGCCCACTTGGGCTTGAGTTGAGTACGGAGACAGGGAAGAGTGATTAGAGAGTAGATTTTTCCGAAGACTGGAGAAGATCTTAGACTAAGACGAGTGATAGATATCCGCGCGGGAAGAGGAAACCGAGAGGCGGGAACGTGCCCTCGAATGTGCTTTTTGAGCGTCAGTCCGATCCAGGACATGTTTTCATAGTGTCGTTTGTGTCCATAGTTCGTGTACAACATTCAACAAGAACATTGAAAGACAAGTTTTCTTCCCTTGCAATTGGTGACGTGAAGTCGAGATAAAGATGAGATGAGGGGGAGGGAAGTCGAGGTCGGATCGGATCGACCGTGCTAATTATACCACTGCCCCCGAGCACTCCCACGTTTCCCCTCATCGTTCTCCCGCTGCCAGGCGTCACACACCTTTTCCAGATTCCAGACGGGGGGCAGAATGGGATGGCGCGGCCCAGTCCCGACCGGTTGGCACCTCACCACCACCACCGCCAACCTGCCTTAGCGCGAGTTCCCCGGACGTTTGGGGACATGGGCTTCCCCCGCATTTTCCGGTCGTCATGGAAGATGTACAGCGTCTCCTTCATTCCTGGGGGTGAACCTGATGACGCATCACTTTATGTCGATTCCCGGTGTTGCTGAGTTGACGTTGAGACACGCCAGGGACGCGGTGAAGGACTAGCTAGGGTGGTTTGGGGCGAGTTTTCTGATTTGTGCGTGCTCGCTTTTGCTTGACCCAGGGTATGTAATTCCATCTCAGCCGTTGAGGTTGGAGTTGGGACGGTCGACGGGGGTCTTGATGCAGGTGTGCCATCCCATCGCCTCCTCGCCTCCCTGTCCGACGGACGGCTCGGCAGCGTCTGTACCCGGCAGTCACCTCCGTCTCTGATCGATGCGAGGGGAAGCCGAGGTGCGCTCTATCTGTGGACACGTATCCATAGAGTATCCTCGTTTGGGGATTCTGAGTGGAATTATCAATTCGAGCAGTTCTTTGGGTGAGAAGAAGATGAAGCAATGTGATTGCTCAATGACCTCTGACGGATTGCACTGCTTGATCAACGAAGATTACAGCGTTTTGACCATGATGACGTTGCGTATGCTTTCGAATACTGTCACGATCACAGAGGCAAACTTGAGCTTTTTTGACGACTTCCACGGCAGCTGGGGAGTTCACAGACGAGCGTTCTCCCGGCGCGGGTTACGAGACGAGGTCGTCTTCCCCAGAGGGAACTTACCCCAGACTTGCTCCAAACGGGATGTAACCACGCACATCGTGGGGCTTCGGACCCTAGTCATGGCGTCCTGAAGAGGGTGAAGCAGCGCAGGTCTACTTCGGCCATCGTCCTTCACGATAACACTAGGGAACCGTCTATAATGCATCGTCGAGCATGCGAAGCGACGTGCTGAATACATGTTCTGTAGACAAACCGACTTCGGCCCCACAACGGGAGTTGTGATGCCCCACGCCGTGATCCGGGGAAATGACCCCGTTGGCACAGCTTGGTGACTGGGAAATCACAAAAGACAGATGAAATGTAGGCTGCAAGTTGCATCTGTAGGTAGGTGGTAAGCCGAAGTTTCGGAGCCGGTGACTTGATTTGGCCAACCGTACCAAGCAACTTCTCGCCGGTCGGTGAACGACACGAGGAATGTGAAGATGGCCCGGCTATTTAAGGTGGGACATGGTGCTATTGTAGACACGCCGCGCAATCGCCTCTGTCTCCCCATTGTTCAAAGATGAGGGGGTTTCCTGAGGTGCCGAATAAGGTGAAAAGTTTTCGGCGTAACTTGGGTTCGACTTCTTGGGCCCTGAACGTGTGATTATTTGACGTTTCTGCTCCCTGTTTCTCGCCATTGTCGTCTTGGGAGTATTCCGGTACAGTACTACATGCTACCCGTCTCGCCCAAAGCGCGGCCCCGGTTGGCGGCTCTGATGTACAACGTGTGAGGGTTGGCATCATTCAGAGCATGGACATCAACGTGGAGCCATGTGAAGCAGGTTGCTCGCTACTGCATGACCTGAAGGAACCGTATTACATCGTCACTGGACAATACCTGGTATTTAAAGTGGCTGAAAGACGGGCTCTCCAAGTCACGCATGAGTTGAGGCGCCGAAAATAACGTTAGGATGCATAGATGAAGTTTCGAATGGGCTAAGTTGAAGCGTTCAGGCGCTTGAGAGGCATGGTGTTCGCCGTCGACATAAAGCAGTGCTGTCCTGCTTGGCGGAAGAGGAGAACGAATGCATAAATCATCGACTCTTGTCGCTGCAAGTGAAGGAGTGAGTGGGAAACGTTATTTTCCATCCGATCGGTCGCCGGCCCGTACTGCACTAGTAAATCACGGCGGAATTCTGCGTCGTCGGCATTTGCCCGCGCCGAAAACCGGCCCCACCGCCGGACCCCACATGAGCTTTTCAACTAAAGACGCTTGAGTGACATTTCAAGATCGCAATTTTCCCGTCCCTACCTCCATTCCCCGCGAACACCACCACCCATCTTCCCCTCCGATTCTTCCTCCACGAAACCGACCGGGGAGGACCGCACACATCGCCCACAATGGCATCCTGCCGTATCCCCGCCCTGCGGCACATCATCGCCTCTTCGGCGCGCACGTTCCGCGCCCAGAACCAGCGCCGCTGGGCCCAGGTCCACGACGTGCGCTTCCTCGCCACGACCCAACAACCCCGCGCCGTCGTCGAGAAGTACCGCGCCAAGCTCGAGCAGAAGGCCAAGGAGTCGGGCGTATCGAACATCGACGAGCTCAAGGCCGCATACGCCGACAAGATCCAAGAACAGAAGCAGAAGGACGCCATCTCCGTCCCCGGGCTGGACGAGATCCTCAACGACGAGCCCGCGTCGGCGAAGACGGGCTCCGCTACGACGACATCACCGAACGGCGCGCAAAAGAACCCTCCCGTCCCCGGGTCCTCCTCCGGCAACGGCGTCAAGTCCCTCGACGAGATCCTCGACCTCCCCAAGGCCCGCGAGCTGCCCGACAAGGAGCTGACGGCCATCTGGCGCCTGCGCCACGCCTCCGACCCGACCTCGCTCTGCGCCGTGATCCCGGCCTCGACGTTCCGCCCGATGGAGGCCCTCGCGAGGGAGAACCCGCAGTTCGTGCTGCCCGTCCCGCACGAGTCTCAGGGCGCCGAGATCCACTTCCTGCAGTGGGTGTTCGACCCGGCGTCCAAGACGGCGACGGTCATGTTCACGCAGCTCGCCGAGTTCAAGGCGCGCGGCGAGTACGCGCAGCCGCACACGACGGTGACGCACCATATGGATTTGGCGGACGAGAGGGGGCTTGTCCTGATGCACGGCAAGCTGTCGGAGGACAGGGGCGTCAAGACGGAGCACGCGCAGTGGCTCGTCATGTGCCTGCAGAGGTTCTACGGCGAGGCTGAGGGCAAGGAGAGGGCGGAGGAGAGGAAGAAGCTGCTGGAGTGGTTCCGGATGGGCGATCCGCGGTTTAGTGTTGAGAAGTTGATGGAGGAGGCGGAGCGCATTGGTTGAACGGTGCGCGTTTGCCGCGAGATGTTATGATAAGAAGAGCTTCTTGATGAAGCTGCTCTCGAACCTCCGAGATCTGTTTCAGGTTTCCCGTCTCGGGGATGGCCCCAATGAAAGGCACCTGCGGAGGCTCGAACGAGGTCACGTATAAATGGCTGGATAGACCATGTAAAATAGAACATATACCAATTCACCACTGACATATAAACTAGTTCGGGTCTCCGAGAGATGCCGTGATTATGTGGGACTCTTACATGGAACGAGTAAAGTTGACAGTACATAAACAATACAATTGCCCTTCGCTTGTGTGTGTTCAGGCGTATGAGTGTGATGCGATGTTTTCAATGATGTCTTTGTCTCCTTTTGCCATAGGCGACAGTTGAGCGCCGTCTTATACGAGTCGATTTGATATTCGAGCAGCCCCACGAAATCTACATATCCAAATATCCCTAGGCCAATACTTTGGAGAAGACGCTGGTAATGACGAACGAACACCTCAAGTCATGTATCGCAACGGATGCTTCAAGTTATGTGTGATATTGAACGACAGATTTGCTATTATCCAAGGTGCCGAGTCTCAGGGTCGGGTTACCATTATCGTCGTGTTGAAAAATCCTTCGACTTGGCCATCACTATGTGTTTATATAATATGGTATTCCGTGAGCTTGGAAAAGCTGGTATTGAACATTCTGTATTCCTTGAAGCGCTGTGGCCCCACAATCCCCAGTGGAACCAGACGTACGGCAGTTCTTGAGCTTGTTATATGAAACCTATGATATTAATGTGTAAGGTGAAAGTCCTGCATCTGAGAACAGAGTACATAAGACTCACAACACAGACTTAGTTGTGTATAGAGAGAACCAAAATCGAAATGGGCGATTGGTATTGTTTTCTAATCAGGAAACATACCCACCTCACATTGCGAACAATGTTGAAGTCATGACAAGCCACAACACAACATACACATCTCTTGGTACTGCCGACTTTTCTCGAGTTATACCATCGCACAATACGCGAAGAACTATACTGACAACGGACGACACCAACACATCATCAACAGTACCGGGCTGCTCTGTGTTCTACCACTTCTGGGAAGAGACGGCTGAAGCTGTCTGCTGATTCGAGGAGAGTTCATGTTTCTGTCATCTGCCTATGTATCAGGTAGTAAAAGCCTAGTATTAATATAGTAATGAGGGAGGATACAGTAATCATGGCGCCATGCGCTGAGTTGACCAAGCCCAGGGTCGACGGTGAAATCCTTTCCATCCCCATCGTGATTCATTTAGTCTTTCCAAATGCCGAGACATATTACAATACAATTCTTTACTAGTCAATGATTCGCGTGTCGTCGTCTACTCTATGCTTACATGTATACTCGTCTTTCGTCCATCCGACTCGTCTTCGTGGCGGAACGATTACCATTACGTGTGTGATACACCATTAACAACGCAGTCGATAAACACATTCCGGCGCCTTTACTCCATCGCGATGCTGGGGGAAATCCAACTTATGTCCGCCACAAGAGGTATGTACGAGTCCTACTTCTTCAGGTCTATCCAGAATGGTCTTCGACAGCCAACGCCAAAAGACAGCAGCCAGGCTCTACTCGGTGTCATCACTGCTTGACTGACTCTCCTCCACATCCCCATTTGCAATCTTGCCGACAGGCGGCACCCACTGCGCGATATTATCGCATCCCTTGGGAACGCGGCATTGGTCCCGCGCGTTGCAAGTCTTCCAAAGCACTTCGCGGACCTCCTTGAAGACTTGGGTCGGAGCATCCATCGCCCAGATGACATCCAGATGCTCGTATTCGGGGATGACCTTACTATGAACAACCTGGACATGCGGCTCGCGGCCTCGCTCGAATCTGCGGAGAAGCTTCTTGCCGTCGACGAGATCATCGTTGCCGGCAACCCAAAGGGCGAAGGGAGGGACCTGCTCGTTGTACCATGCCGTCGATCCCTTGGGCCGGCGGATGTGCTCGTCCACGGTTCTCGGGGAGAGGGCGCCGTCAGCGTCGTCGGCCCGGAGCGTGTGGGCGTCGTTGCCGTTGATACGATCTTCCTTCTCTTCGGCGCGCACATCTTCTTTCGTGGACAGTATGCACTTGTGTCGAGCGAAGCACTCCCTTCCGAGCCACCAGCGCATGGATTCCGAGCTGACGTAGACAGGTGCGAACTGGAACATGCGGTCTCGCAAACCACGATCCCATCTGGTGTCCGTCCAATCGAAGAGGAAGGAAAACACCTTGTAGCCGAGCCAGCCGTAGACCTTGGGATGAAGCACCTGATGCATCTGCATCATGAAAGGGATGAAGGCGTGGATGCCGAACATCAGGCGGAACATGCCGGGTGTGATGATCCTCATGAACTTGAAATACATCTTTCCGATCAAGGGGCCGGCATAGGCAGCTGGTGCCAAAGCGCAGAAGACTGTGAGTTTCTCTCCCAGGTCTGGCCGCTGCTCCTTCGCCAGTGCGACGAGAGTCTGCGTTGTGCCCTGGGAATGGCAGATCAACCCAATTTTCTCGAACCCGGTCTCGTAGAGAACTCGCAACGTCAGCGCGGGGAGGTCGAAGACGCCCATTTGGCGAATGTTCCAACACCACATTCTTGGGTCAGAGTACTCCAGGACAGCATGCTTGGGCTTGAAGCCGCATCGGTTGTTGCCAAGCCAGACATCGTAGCCTGACTTGCAGAGGTAGAAGGCGAGGGAGTTCTCGTCGTTGGTGCAGTATGCGCCGGAACTTTGCAGGAGACCATGCATGAGCAGGACAGGAAACTTGCGCTTCTGGTCGGGGTTCTTGAGTTTCTTCTTCGAAGTGAAAACGTCCGGTCCCCTGTCGGATCTGTCGTCCTCGCTCATTCTGGTGTACTCCTTTGGATCGTAGACGTGCCACAACTCAATTAAGAACCCATCTTCGGTTTGAACCTCGAATTCTTCAACGTCCAATCCCACACGTCGCGCATAGTATCCAACATCGCAGACAATGGGATCGTGTCCACCTTCAGTTGGGATGAACTCATCGGCCATATGTTCCTTGTCTTTGCCGAGTTTCGCGCTGGATTTGCTGCGCTTCCAATTCTTGTCCTGATCCTGACGGAACTTGTTCCTGCGCATCTCTTCCTCGTAGAAAGGCCTCTTCTTGTCGGGATTTCGAAGAGTTAAGCGGTAGAATATTCTCGTGCATAAAGGCGGGATGCTGGTGAAGAGAGCGCCAAGCACGATAACTCCAAGAAATGCGAGGCTGAGAAAGAATGCTGACACTCTAAAGACCATGCATTGCATGTCGCGGAATACTGATGGAGGTCCATATAGCGGTAGAGGTGGAAACAGGGGATTGGTATGTGACGGCGGCATCTGGCGGCGGAGAGAGCCCTCCTGTGATTTTTGGATCGATTTGCCGTCCTGGTCTGTTGGTAGTGAGATCACCTTCTCCTGTCTGTCTGCACTCTCCTCAGCGTTGGCGACTTCATCCTGCACCGCATCCCCATCCTTGATTTTGACTACCGCAGGGCCGTCTTTGAGTTCGTCTTTCAGTATATTCAATTTGTGTGCTTCTTGTAGTGGTACACCGGGAAGCCTGTTGCCGTTTTCCGTGACGATGACAGGATCTTGTGGAGTAACGAAGCGCGCCTCGACGGCGACCGCGGAATCGTCGGTGTCTTGCTGCTTCTGGTGCGACAGCTTCTCGGCCTGCTGGGCAAATTCGACCGCGGTGTGTGCGACGGCATTGTCGCGTATTCGGTCTCGGTCAGCAGCCGAGGAATCGGAGAAGTTTCCCATGTCTCTCTCGCGGGCGGTGTTAACGGTGGTGAAAAACTTGTTCGGCGTCGCAAGCTTTGTACGGCGATGATGTTGGGATGGATTAAGGTGGCGAGAAGGAGGCAGGAATTACGTCTCTTTGCGCAGCAGGAAGAGTATGAGAGAGGAAGTTGGCAGAAAAGCGATCAGGGTGAAAAACTGATAGTCAAATGTCGAGTCCGAAGCCGCTGATGGCATGAACAGGCATCCTGTAAGTATGCAGGTGGTCCAAAGTCAGGGAATCAGAGCGTAGATCTGGGACGAAGGGGTGGGAGGGGCGTGGCAGCCGCAAATTGGGGATAATGTAAGGATAAGAACCGGTGCCGCACTAATACCTTGGACTGGTCGTTGGCGGGTGAAATTCAAGGGAGAGGAGGGTCTGAGGTGCCGTTGAAAAAGCCGGACGCGATCGATCAGGCTTGTGTCAAGACAAATATAAAGATGGCTACGAATCGGTCTCACCGCAAGAATCGTAAAATGATGTCGTCTAGATTCCAACGATGCAGCCTGGGCGGTGTCGATGTCAAATGTCACCTCATAGCATGATCGAATCTTAGGTACTTGCGGCAGGACCATTGCTGCTGCAACAGCAGCATGGAAAGCACGCTATCCGTACATCTATCTACCTTAGGTAGCCAACTTACACACGAAAAGTTCCACGCGGTCCAGCCGGCACGATTGGAAACTTTGCTAAGAGCCCCCCGGATTCCCCTGTCATTTGGGGCGCATTGAGGCGCTGAAGACCCGGGCCAGTCGCAGCCGGGTGAGGTATCGCTGCCATTTCTGCATCGCAATTGTCGAGCCAGTGAGCGGCTTGTTCCAACAGGGAGGAGCCCCGCTTGCGTCATAGCCTCTGTGTTGTTTGGAGCCACCCGTTAAATGACTTGCATTGATTGGACCTTGACCAGCCGGAGAAAAAAGCATGTGACGATCCCGAGATTCGTTTAGCAGAACCAAGCATCATTGATATTGATAGCAGCGTCCAGACCTTGGAACGGTGTCGCCGTCGATTCGGGTATGTCAAATGTCTCTGTTGACTGCAAGAATAAAGACTTGTCAAAGACAGAGGACAAAGCAACGCCGCGTCAACTCTGCCAATCACCAATCGTTCGGGTACAATCTGTCATCGCAAGGTTACGGACCGTACGCGGCTATCATGAACTCTGCCCAGCGCAGTGTGCCACAAGGATTTCCTGTATTGTACACCATTGTACGGATACGGAAACCGAGTACGGGCACTGTTAGAGGTAATTCTTAAACAGTCCAGGGCAACCCAGCCAGCTCCGGACCTTGTCTACATTCACAGTTTCTGAAGTTTCCGCGTCTGTGCCACAGCTGATAACAAAGATGAACCGGATCTGCAGAGCCAGTAGCCAGTTGGCTCTGTTGCCACACACACATTACGCAACCTGCGTTTTCTTAGGATGAGGCTGTGTGCTGCCAATTATGGGAACAATTCGTAGCCAGCAGCCTTCGGGATACCGCACACCCGCGAAACCACGGATTCGAGGAGGCGTCATCCGTGGCTGCTGGGAATGACTTGTGAGAACGCTACTAATGCGCTGCTTACTGATGCCGAAACTCAATCGTAACGTGGCCGGCTTTGGGACCCGGAGTGCTAATTCTGATGTCGCTGGAGAATATCAGGGAGCTCTGACAAGAGCTGAACTCTTGTGGATCTCAGGACAATCAACTGCACGTGGATGCGTCAAGATGACATTGGGTTCCATCTAATATCGTCATTCTGGGAGTGGAGCAACAACATCATCTGCTGCAAATCTGTAGTGTAGGTGACTTGATGTCAATGAACTGGTTTTCAGAACTTGAATATTCACACTGAATGATTGTCAAAGTTCGAGTTGAGTTGTCTCTCTGCATAGGCTCCTGCCTCTACCTGGTGATTGCTTGGTGATTAACTGCAATGCTATGAGGCAGTCAGGTTGACGGGTTTAAGTAGTCGAGCCTCAGTTGGGGGCCGAAAGGCGAGGGAAGATTGATGGAGATCGCCGATTATGACAACGGGAATATTGGAGTACGTCGGACCAAAAATCGGAGGTGATTCGGGGTCGACGGTCTTCTGGATGCTTAGTCATTTGGCCGTCCTCCGCACAGACCAAGTTTTACTGAGCTTCAGTGCTCGGCTCCAGCTGGCTTGAGCGGAGCCCCCTATGATTGGGGTCGCGGCTGCAACTGGCGCTGCGGATGCCAATGCCGAGGCCTAACGCATCCCCAGCCGAAGCTGGAGACGGCACCGACTCCAGCCCGAACGAACCAGGGACCACCAGAGCTTAGCTTCGCAACGCGGAGATCGCGAACAACAACTCGCGACCGTTGATACCCCACGATTTCAATCGACATCTCCATTCCGCGCCGACTAGATTTCGTTTCACATCTGATTCACGAATCACTCCCATCACCCTGTCTGCGATGTACATCTGAGGCGTGGTGCATTGCTCCATCGCTTTCCTTTAGCTCATCTGCCGAACGACAGAATGACAACCTCAGAACTCGTGCCGCCGTCGCAGGCCAGAAAGAGCCGAAGAACGCGAAGGCGTCGCCCGGATAAGCCGTCCTTGTCTGCGAGACTGATACTAGACGACCATGACGTGAAAGGCGATGTCGGTATCCTGTCGGAGGACCTATTCGTGGACCTCTTCCCCCACCTCCGTGATGGTAAGATGCGCCGGCGCAGATGGCACCACAAGCTCATAGTTGCTGACTCTATCCTGGAACAGCAGCCTCCCGAGGAGATGGCTCCGAAGACGTCCACCATGTCGCTATCGCCCCTTGGGAGCCGAATCCCTCCCCAACCGAGACCGCCTGGACCGTGGTTCCTGTGATCAAGTCCTCTTCGCTGAAGCCTTCGACTGTCCAATTCTCGCCGTCATCGTTGTCACTACAGAACTTTGCGACCATTCTCCAGCAAGTGGCACCGTCGAAACTATCGAGTCACAGCCGGAGCGGCATCGAAATTCAGATACTCGATGTGGTTGCCCTGTCGTTAGATACGGTGTTTGTGAGCCTCGAGAGCGAGTTGACAAAGCGCTTGGAGCAGGGCGAAGGGACTTTCTACCGCGATCATCCGAGCCATTCAAAGGACAAGGGGCCAGAAACTCCTGAAGGACGCCTGGTTTCGGCTTTGCGCGTAGCATTGAGCAGCCTCAGAGTGCTTCACTCTGGCGACCTGTTTCCATTGCCTTTGCCTCCGCACCCAGTCACCCACGTTCCGCCAAACCCTGGGAAGATCATGCTGTGCGAGCCCGTAAGCCAGGGAGTCTTGTCCGAGAGCACAAAGATCATCCTGATGAGAGGACGAGTGCACGCAAAACGTGGCCATGCTGCCCCCTCAATTTCGTCAAATCGAAGTCTGAATGGTGTGCCAGAGGACGATGAGGAAGATACCGCGAATGATCAGTTTTATTCGGCTGCGGAGGACCGATACAAGACCGATGCCGCAACCACCGAGATCGACTCCGTTACTGAAACCGAAGAATCAGAATTCTCTGGTGTGGACCACGATGATGATTTGTCGGATGACTCTATGGACGACATGATATCTCTACAGGCCCCCACACTTCCAACGACCGCAAGCGGCGTATCTACCTTGCAGCCGGGGACACCAATGACGTTAGGAAGAGGAAGAAAAACTAATGGAATTGCAACACCCGCGTCTGTGTTCTCCAATTTCACCGCTACAACTGCACGGCCTGATAGACCCCGAGGTCGTCTTTTCAAGGCCCAGGGGATGATTCGTCCAATCCCGGTGGACTTACTTCACCCGAAACCAGCCCCTGAGGACGACGACGAAGCTAGAATATTTGTGGATATTTCTTCCTTGTCCAAGATTGGTTGCTTCTCAGGAGACTGGGTTCGCGTAGAGGCCGCTGAAGAACCCCCTACCAATGGGTTCGGCGCATTCGGGCTCGGGAGCTTCACATCACTCGAGCCAACGGAGTCGAACTGGCGCCCTGTTCGGGTTTATGGACTCCCGGAGGGATACTCGCAACGCCCGGTAACACGGATCCCGAGCGCAAAGCATGGCGAACGCAAACTGTCTTTCTTCGAATCTCAGTTGCAAAAGCCAACGAGTCCGGCAGCTTATATCTCTCCAATCTTACTGGCGAACTTAGACAGTCCTCTATACTTGAGACTGTCACCTATCAAGCGTGGCTCATACCAAGGCAAAGGAACTCTTCCCAAGTTTACGACCGCTTCGCGTCCTCCCTATGCTCGCGATATCACAATCCAACATGTTCGATCACCCGTCACTGCCGAGCGGGCTTACCAATCGGCCGTCCTCGGCGGTCTGAAGCGGTACTTTGCTCAAAAGATTCGGCTTGTGAGGACGGGAGATCTCCTGGCCGTGCCCATCGACACACAGCTAGGAAAGGCCTTGCAAGAACAACCAAGCAGTAGCAATGGCTCAGAAGTAGACGACGTTATGGCACTTACAAAGGATGGATCATCTAGATTTGATCAAGTGGCATGGTTCAAGGTCGGCCATATTCAAATATCGAAGACGGATACCGAGGACGAATCGGACGATCTGTGGGGAGGAGTTGCGTGCATCGATAGCTCCTCAGTCGCGATGCATGGGTCAGGCTTTGCTACCAATCGCATACCTGCGACTAAGAACAGCACATGGCCGTACTATTTGGGCGTGAAGAAGATGCCCACGAAGGCGCCAAGCGCTTCAGCTCTCACATTACCTGACCAGGACCAGCGCTTCATCTCTCCTCTGAGACGAAGACTCAGAGAGCTACTTGCTGCAGCCACAAGCCCTAGGGCCATGCACCTCAAGATGCCACCCGTTGCCATTCTACTCACATCCTCTCATCGAAATATCGGCAAAACCACAGTCGCTTCGGAAGCCTGTTCGGACATTGGCCTACATACCTACACAATCGATGCGTACGATATACTCAGCGAAGCTGGGACTAGTGGCAGCGATGTGAAGACGGAGGGACTCCTGAGGACAAGGTCTGAGAGAGCAATGAGTTGCGGGCCGGAGACCACGGCGTTGCTGATCCAGCACGTCGAGGCGTTGACGGCGGATCGCATGGTATCGACCATGAAAGAGATTTTGCAAGACACGAGGGTTCTGGTCGCGACGACAAGTGATGTTGACAAGGTACCAGACGGAGTGCGTGGTCTTTTCAGTCACGAACTTGAAATGGGCGCTCCTGACGAGGCTGAGCGCGAGGGCATTCTGAGGACGATTGTCGAAGACCGTGGTATAAATCTTGACCCTGAAGTCGACCTCAATGGTATTGCCCTCAAGACTGCTGCGCTGGTGGCTGGAGACCTGGTAGATGTTGTCGACCGGGCGCTCATCGCACAACGGTTACGCCTGGAGCAAATATCATCCAAGACAGAGACCACAGGGCAAGCCGTGACGGTCCGCGATCTCCAAGTAGCGGGCGGCCCAATGGCCCGGTGCGTCACAAAGAGCGACTTCGATGTCGCCGTCGAGGCAGCGAGAAAGAACTTCGCCGGCGCCATCGGTGCACCCAAGATTCCCAACGTCACATGGGACGACGTCGGAGGTCTCAACAACGTCAAGGATGCCGTTACGGAAACAATTCAACTGCCCCTTGAACGGCCTGAGCTCTTCGCCAAGGGTATGAAGAAGCGTTCCGGCATCCTCTTCTATGGACCCCCCGGAACCGGAAAGACGCTGCTAGCGAAGGCCATCGCGACAGAGTACAGTCTCAATTTCTTTAGTGTCAAGGGTCCCGAGCTGCTCAATATGTACATCGGTGAGTCGGAAGCCAACGTCAGACGCGTATTCCAGCGTGCAAGGGATGCCCGGCCGTGCGTCGTGTTCTTTGACGAGCTGGATTCGGTCGCACCTAAGCGTGGAAACCAGGGTGACAGCGGTGGTGTCATGGACCGCATTGTTTCTCAGCTTCTGGCCGAGTTGGATGGTATGTCAGGAGGCGATGATACCAGCGGCGGCGTCTTCGTCATTGGCGCCACCAACAGACCCGATCTCCTGGATCCTGCCCTTCTCCGTCCCGGACGCTTCGACAAGATGCTCTACCTTGGAGTCTCGGACACTCACGACAAGCAACTCAAGATTCTCGAGGCCCTCACTAGAAAGTAAGTCCATCCCCCTCGATGCTACCTCTGACGATCTCAAAGCTGACCCAACCCCCAGATTCACCCTTCACCCCTCAGTCTCCCTCCAGTCCGTCGCCCAACAGCTGCCCTTCACCTACACTGGAGCAGACTTCTACGCCCTTTGCTCCGACGCAATGCTCAAGGCCGTCACCCGCACCGCCGCCTCCGTCGATGCAAAGATCCGCGAGATCAATGCGGATCCGGCCCTCGCCCGTCGTCAGGGCCCCATCTCTACGGCTTACTTCTTCGATCACCACGCCACTCCGGAGGACATCGCCGTCATGGTCACCGAGGAGGATTTCCTCGCCGCAAACAGAGAGCTCGTGCCCAGTGTTTCTGCGGGCGAGCTGGCGCACTACGAGCAGGTCAGGGCTATGTTCGAGGGCTCGCCCGACAAGGACAAGGAAAAGCAGCAGCAGCAGCAGAGGCCCGGCGCCGCAGCGGCCGCGGGGTTGAGGGTTGTCTCTGGTTCTTCGGCGGTGTCGAGGGCCAGCTCCAAGGGAAAGGGGAAAGCCGTCGCGGGAGGTGGCAAGGGCAAGGGCAAAGCCGTTGCGACGGGGAGTGAGGACGAGTTTGAATCCGAGGGGGAGGTGGTGGTTAATGGCAAGGGAAAGGGCAAGGGTAAAGCTGTTGCCGGGTTCCAGGATGGCACGGCTAGCGACGACGAGGGGTTATATTGAGATGGGTGACGGCGGATTACCTACCCGGCTCGTCGGCGAGTTAGGCTTTGCAGAAAATGGTGCAACATATTTGAACGTCGGCCGCACCGTAAAGTTCCAATATTTCGAGGGCGTGGAGATACGATATTTGACTACAGCTATCCAGCTGCTCATAACATAATCTGGCCTTGCGGATGGCAAAAGATGCATGTTGGGCTTCATCAAGATCAGATACAAAAAATGCATGGCAACCTCATCAACACGCTGCATGGGAGACCCATATCAAGACGAAGTGTTCCGACTGCTACATCATACGGTACTCTGAAGACAACTCACGTAGCCTGTACTCCTCCAAAGAGTGACACATCCCTCTCGTTCTCGGCGACTTTCTCTTCGCTAGCTGACCTGCGTGAGACTGGGCTGGCAGGGCCTTCTTGGCCGCGCTGGGGTTGCTATCGTGCGCATCTTATGGTTTTCGTTCTGCACTAGATACCAGAAGCGGGAGTAGTGTGAGATATTAAGGTAATAAGCAGCAGACTGCGACAACACTCGTGAGCACGCTCGAGTGTAACGTCTCCGAGCTCTTCGTGGCACACCCGGCGCCCAGACTGATGGTCTTCGGAATTACGGCGACACCGCGGTTTAAGACCAGGTGTGTTCGCTAGTTGACTATTTAGAGGCTGACGTTACTTTAGTCCTATCTTCTACCACTCTACCACTCTTAGTTTAAGTACCTAGAGAGATTATTCTTATCACTGATATTAAGGTACGTAATTGACGTGGTCGTTGCCTCTGTCGTCGTCGTCGTCGTCGTCCGCTGATCCATGCCGCTAGCGGTAGGCAATACCAACTACCTTGGCCTGAGGATGCCTCCACCAGAAGCCGGATCACTAACGACGCTGCCAGTGTTGACAAGGCGGACATCTCCCGAGAGCAAGCCGACCCCAGCCAAGTTTCAGACACCCCTCTTGCAGGACCTCGCGGCAGAGCTCAAAGCCATTGAAAACTGAGCTCGGGAAGATGATGAGTTCCCGTACCCTTAATTATAGTCTTCCACTCCTCTTCTCCGCAGTCATCGCGGTCTTAAAAACAACGTCGATTGCTGATATCTCCCTCTCTAAGATGTATTGGGATCTGGATCTGAGAAATCCCGGAAGATTTTCAAACTGGTCGATTTCGGCGCCGTTGGCATCCCTGACGGACATCTTCAGCCATGGCCAAGTGTATGGATTGCTATTAACAGAAGCGCCCACCAACACCGTCACTGGCGATCACTTGCATCCTCGTCCAGTCATTATCCCAATTGAAATAAACCCTGAAAATTAGTCTCGGAAGCTGAAAACTAGTATATTGCAGCCTGGGTATCAGCATGGCGTAAAGGGATAAACCGCCTTCGCGCATTGACTCAGACACACGCTTGACTAGTTGCCTCTGTTGTTAGGGACGACTGGTATCTGTACCTGGCAGACGGCATTGATGATTGAATTGTATGTCGAGGCCTGGGTCAAATACCCCGAGCTGTGAGTATTCATCTGCTGATGCGTGATAGAAGAGATCATCCACGGATATTGATGGGTCGGAAGCACGAGGGACGGCATCAATATCCATGTTCTGATCACATATCTTCGAAAACGCGAATGGTCGACTGGTTTGAGGCACCGGGTTTCTAACTTGATCGACCTTTGTAAACATTAAGCGTCGTCATCTTTGACATTGTATGCGGGGAATGATACGATTGAACCGCCTCGACGTTCTGCAGCCGGTTGTCGATGGAAAATGCTCGCTAGGTATGAAGATGAATCACCGACTCTGAAAAGTGATGGCATGAGATAGCAACCATGCTGTCCCCCGTGACATCAACGACGCAGGAGTATGGAATGGAATGAGGGGTTAGTCGTCCACGTAGGTAGCGAAATCAATTATCAAACATAGGCCTTGTTTGAGGGGTTCGCGAACATCTCCTACTCTTACAACATATCCCCCAAATGGCGATTCAACATGTCCTACAATCCCTGCCTGCAAGGTGATGCTCACTTCTTCTCTTCCGCCTTGGCTTCCGCTTTATCCTCCGACTTGGCCTCAGCCTTTTCAGTAGTAGCATCGCCCTTGGTCTCGGCCTTGGGCGCCTCGGTCTTCTTTGTCTCCGGCTTATCATCACTCTCATCACTCTCATCGCTGTCGTCCTCATCATCGTCGTCCTCCTCCTCCTCAGCTTCTTCTTCTTCCTTCTTTGGGTCCTCTGGGATGGCCTGCGCTTTCTCCACCTCGGCAATCTTCTCTTTGGGAACTTCCTTCACAACGGGTGCCGTAGGAGCCTCCTTCTTATCTTCGGGAACTTCTTTCGCGACCGGGGCCTTTGCTGCCTCCTCTTCCTTCTCATCGTCCTCAGAAGATTCCTCGGATGTCGATTCCTTCCCGGGCTCTTCCTTAATGGCCTCGGCCTTCTCGACTGCCGCGATCTCCTCCTGAGACGCGGACGCCACCTGGGCGCCCATGTGCGAAGTGACGGGCTTGTCGACGTCCGAAGGCTTCCAACGGGCCGACGTCGGGGACTGCAGGGTCTCGCGGAGGGCGTCGGGGTTGGTGATCGAAGCGCCCCAGGAGCCCGAGGTCGGAGATTGCAGACCGGCGGGCTTGGACGCTGCCGAAGCGTCGCTAGTTGCGCTGGCTACTGAGGGCTTTCGGGGCGTCTCTTCCGTGGCGGCAGCGGTGGGTGTCTCTGCCTTCTTTTCCGGCTCGGCGGGCGTCTCTGCAGACGCGGTCGCGGCGTCCTCGGGCTTCTTATCATCCTTCTTGCCGTGGACCTTGTCGCGCAGCGACTGCAGGCGGAGTTGCTTAGCCTTCGCTGCTGCCTCGTCGGCGATGGAGCGCACGGGGAGAGCGGTCGAGCTGCCGGCGGCTGCGGGCTTCGGCTGGGCGGCGGGCTTTGCGGCAGCGTCATAGGTTTCGTTCTTGGGCAGCGGTGGTGCGGCCGGGGGTGCGGGGGGCGCAGGGGCAGAGGTGGATGCTTCGCCTTCGGCGCCTGCTGCAGGGACCTTCTTCTTGTAGACCTTCTTGATAATCTTCGGCTTGTTGTGAATGTTAGGGATGGTGAACTCGTCGTAGTAAATCTTGACGTGCTGCTTGAGCTCGCCGTACTCGTTCCATTCTTCGATTTCGAATAGGTCCTGGATGATGGGGGTGGATAATGAGCTCGGTTCTTCCCGTGTGGTGAAAAGGGGTTAACTCACGCCGAGCACCAGACCCTCTTGCACGAGGCCTGGAAGCCTCCTCACACGACCGGTGGCGTCCTTGCCGGCGCGGCGGCCCCATAGCATGCGAGCCTTCTCATCGGTCGCGATGTCGATGGCCTTGAAGGGCACGCGATTGGCGCGGAGGATGGTCTCGAGTCGCGAGGTGGCGGTGACGATGTGGGAGTTACCGGCGGTCAGGGAGGTGAAGATCCAGAGGGCGGGATCGGTCGAGAAAGTCGTCGTGGTTGCCATGATTCGGTGATGTGATATTTCGATGCGGGTCGAGGTGGGAGTTGGGTAGATGGTTGCAGGGAAGAGCTTCTGGGAGGATCGGCCAGCTGCTAGGTAAGCTTAGGAGGGTTTGATCAGTCAGCAAAGGAATGTCATCGGGGTATCGAGATGCGGATGGGGGCCGAAGGGATGGCTGCTGAATGTAGGGATCTGCAACGGTGTGGTAGATCTTCGTACCTTGGATTCGGGATTCTCTTTGGGGTTTCTTGGGTTATGACATGTAGTTGCGTTCCAGACGTGGTGGTGAGGCGTACGTGGGCAAGTCGGCGGCAGGCGGTGGAGTTTCCACGCAGATGAAACTCAAAGGGTCGTGAGGTGGTAGGCGGATAGGATGCGGGGGCGGGGTAATTCCAGTGCTCTTTCAGCGAGGAAGTGCTGCCCGAGGCTGAGGTAGCCACGCAGCAGCAGCCCAATGACACCAGCACTGAGTGGCTCTTGGATGCAGAGCATCTGCATGATGATGTGGTTCGAGGTCGACCTTGCGACTGAATGGCGGTGATGCCTCATTCTCGACACGCGACACCGCTTCTTCGACAAAAATATCAACAGCACTGTATCTCAAGGCACCAATCATGCAAAATGGCGCTGGCAGTCGGCTCCTCTCTCGTATCGTTTCGAAGCATTGAGAAACTGACAAACTTCGCCAATCAGAGACGCTTGATCAGTCCATCGGCATCTGGTCCCGTCACCTGCACTCGATCTCCAGTAGTCAATACGAGACAACAAACAAGATCAGTTTATACGACTGCATTCATCATCTGAATACTCTCAGGCGATCGCAGGCTGGAGACGATCTTCTCGCCAAGCAACTGATCGCTCGTCAGGAATCGCACTACTTCTCTGAACCGATCCGTGGGGGCGACTTGATCACAGATGCGATCAACCGTTCGATGGTCCACCACGCCGGAGCGGGCAGTTGCTTCACGGCCAGGGAGATCTGACACTAACCAAAGGATCGTCAAGAGATCTCTTGCCAACAAGTGTACGAATATCGAGTGGCCATAACAGACCTTGGAACCTCCTCTTGATGCGATCTTGAGGTTCGGTACTCTCCACAAGCAGTTGCAAAACATCGCCGCCGTCCTGGACTGAATTGTGTTGTCACGCGTCAGCAACAGTTTGCCGGACAAGGACCGAATACTGAGCACAAAGTCGAGCACTATGGCGAGCAAGCGCTGCGCGGCAACCGGCAATCGGCCAACACATCGTCAGCTGTGCCTCGACATCCGAGCGTCTGTTATCTCCTGTTTCGTCTGTCTGAAAGAGGTTTGCGTTAGAGGAAACCCGTTGGCGAGCAACTCCATCGCGACCACGCCAACATGACTTTCAAACAACCTCAGCAAGGACTTCCTTGTACCATGGCAGTCTGGTCAATTTCGGGGCTCACAAGAGGCATCTGCCGGTCGCAATCAACGTGGAGGAGAGGGAGGAAAGGGGCGATGTGACGATAAAGCGACGAGCAATCGTTTCATGTTTCAATGAGCGAGAGTTTGGAGGGGTTCTTTGCGCTCTGGCAGGGTGCACAGAAGCTGTACCCAAGCGGACTTCTCGAACAACCGCGATTTACGATTGTCGTATAACAGCAGCGAAAACAACAAACACAACGTTGTTCCGAGTTGCTCGCGTGAGGCGTGTTATTGCGGAAACCACGATTTCTCAATGACGATCGCATTCAAAGGCCCTCTTCGGAGGGCAACCGACATGGTCGTCATTTTCGTGGTCCTTGCAAAAGCTAATCGCTGCCCCCATCGTGGCAGCTTGGCCTCATCTCGGAAGAGAGAGAAATCCAAGGTCAGCAACCCGCTTCCAACCAGAGAGGGACTCGTCGTCCTGGGGCCCTGGACAGATATACCGGCGTCTCTGAGAGCGTTGCGCATCCCCTCTTCAAAAAGAAATGGCAGTGGAGTCCCCCATGATTGAGATCATTTGGTCGCGCCGATTTACAGTTGCTCCGACAAGGAAACCCTCTCAGGGCAGCCCTTTGGACTTTGGTTGACCGGGACATGGTGCTGAGATTTGGCAGCGCGAGGAGCGCGCTGAATGGGCGTTTCAGTGCCAGGGCCCGGGAAGTCTGGGGCTACACCGTGGAACCATGAAATGACCGAGCAAAAGGAGTCAGGGACCTGAATCGGCCGAACGATAAGGACGGGAAGCACGGCGTCATCGCGTGTATGTGGGATGTGTTCGGCACCGTTGTCGTTGTTGGCGTTGGATCAAGAGGCCAGGCACGTTTCTTTTCCAGCCCAGCCCAGCCTGTTCTGCGTTGATCCGACAGGAAGCACGGGCAGGATTCCAATATTAGACCAGACGAAGATACGTACAAGCGTTGGGCTAGAAGATTTTGCATCGTTTCTGGGCTGGATTGGTTTGCTCTAGTCGACGGAAAGCAAGCCGCATCGGCGCCATGGCGGGAGGACAGAGCAATGGCTCAATAGGTATTGAGTGGACGCGAAAGATTGAAGACAGGCCAGCCGAATGACAGAATGAGAAAGACGTCGAACACAATGTCAAATCCTTGGGCTGTGTGGGCAATGATTGGCAGGCGCATTTCCCAGGTCGCCCACGTCCCGGAGGCATCCCAACAATGAAAGGTAAAGGCCCCTACAATGTCATCTTGGCAGTAGCAACACGGCAGGATTGCGTGGTTCTTCTCCTTTGGCATCTCGGGCTGCTCACAAAGCTCGGATGAGTTGTTTTCAGGCGACACGGGCACGTTGTTCCTGCAGGGTGCTAGCAAGGATAACGGGGGCGATCCTCAGGGGCGGTTCAGGAACGAACCAGTGGGAGGTGCAGCTTAGGGGGGCTTGTACCGTGCAGTGTCGGTCCACCGAAATGTTTGCGCGGCCAATCATCGACTCACAGTATCGGTCGAGACTCCACTAGACCCAATTTTGGACACGATCCTGTGGTGCCGTCGGCCGGGCTTCACGACTTTTTCTGGGCCTGGACACCGGGAACCAGACAGGCACCCTTCTCTCTCCCGACAAGCATACCGCTCCATTTCATTGGCAGAAAAAGCCAGAATCAGAGCCGAAGAGAGCGCGGTAACCAGCCAAGACCCCCCGAATTGGCCCCCATCATTCTTTCATCCTCGTCTCTGTCCAGTGTCCAAGTTTCCACTGTCCGCGTAGGCGACCAACGGGAACCCTACGGTCAGGCACAGACAGCCGGGAGGGACGTGGACAGTGGGCGTCGCAAACGCTCCAGCTGTGTCGCCCAACCCGACGCTGGCGAAAATTTCCGCCAGCCCATGCTTGTCCATGTCCATGTCCGCGCTTATGTGTTGGTGCTTATGGTCGTGGGTGTGTGTGGGAAGTGCTGGCTACCTTACCTTGAGTCGCTGATGGGATGGTGCAAGCTTAAAGGGTCATCTCGATAAAAGAGAGAAATACCTCGCCTGCCCCCTCCCACACGCCTTCCCTCCCGTTGCTTCCTTACCACTGCGTCCAGTGCCCACACTCTCTTGCTACTGCTCTTCGTCATCGTGCCTTTTTTGCACATTCCTCTCTTTTACGGATTCCAGAATCTATATCGACAAGACAGTCTCGTCAGCCCATTGACACCGCATTCTTTTTTCGGCACACGCCTGCACGCACATACCTCAACCCGGTAGAGAATCAGCCTTGGTCATACCTCGACTTACACCACCTCGAAGCATACCTATCATCAAGTTCAGCACCTCGTGTCGATTTAAAAATCATTCAAAATGCGTTTCACCAGCATCTTCGCCCTCCTGGCCGCCTCCGTCGCCGTCGCTCAGTCCTCCGCCGACGAGACCACCACCACCCTGACTGCCACCACCACCAAGACGGTCACCATCACCAAGTGCAACCCGACCAACACTGCCTGCCCCCTGTACACCCCGACCACGACCATGCTGCCTACCATCAACTCGACCACCAGCACCTCGACTTCGACTTCCTCGTCTGCCTCTTCGTCGTCGTTCCACTTCTTCGCCGCCTCCAACTCTACCACCGCCGGCCCGACGGCCTCGGCTCCCTGGACCAAGTCCACCGTCAGCCCCGTCAAGACCTCGGCCGACTCTGCCCCTACCGCCGGCTCTCCTGCTTCCTCCGCCTCGAGCGCTCCCAACGCCGGCTCTGGCCTGTTCGTCCAGAGCGGTCTGCTGGCCGCCGTCGTCGGTCTGGCTGTCGCTCTCAACTAAGCGGCTCATCGCTCTCGTCTAAAGCGGAAATGGTTACTGGCACTTGACCGCGTGGTCATATTTATCACTTAATTCGATTCGACCGATACCATCATTGTTCTCCGGGGATAGGCTGATTGGGGATATTCATAAATCTTAACAACTATTATGGTGTTAACGGAGAGCGGTTTGGAGCTTTGGCTACCGGATGGCCTTCACTTCTGGCCGTAGACTTATTGTTTGGGCAGCAGCACGGATTGGAGGAGTACCTATTTGGAGTCGCCCGCATACATACCCGCCATATGTTGCACATACTTCTTTTGTATTTGAATGATACGATCATGAGATGACCTCACTTTGGATGCCTTACTGCCACTGGTATGCGATACGTTTCGTGTGAATGACGCATATACGCCGCTTCCGCACATGATCCTCGTCAAGGGACTGAGACGACTCGGCTCTAATGGAGGACAAATATGCATGTCTCCCTCTGTATGCCTTGCCCAGCTCGTACCTCACCTTGCGCACATCCTCAGTCAGCATCAGCTTGTGCGGTGTAAGTGCTCCTGCATCCTTCGAAATGAAGTACCTGCCTTATATAAGGTGATTCATCTTGACGGAAATGACAAGTAAGGAGGTATCATGTCTAGCTGCCAGCAGCCAAGACAGCATTAGCCCAATGTAACACAGGTCCTGCCCACCGTTCGTCTCGAAAACGACAGTTTCGACCAATGGCGCATCTGTGAAGCACTTTTTTTTTTGGGTTCGATGGCAGCTTCGACGCACTGATTCGCCCACGTGGTTTCCTTACTAGAGGAACGGGCCGCTGGTTAGGTCTCGTCTCGTCAACAAAGACATCCAACGTCCTCTCGTCGTTTTTCTACAAACTTTAAAACTTCTCCCTTTCACACCAAACTCCTACAGGATTCTTGTTCTCTCGTTCAACGTGGCTGGTGCGTCCTGCCGTCCAACCCTCGTTGCTGCATGGAACAAGAATCAAAAAACCTCAGCTCGCATCTCGACGGTTATACGCCAATCGACGCAGCAGCAAGACGCACGATCCCGGCAATCTGCATCCCTGCAGAGATCGCATCGATTGGTGGCGGTCGCATACGTCGCGTTGCGCACACTTTGCGCCCATCGACTTCTCACACAGTTCGCCTTGGATATAGAGGTATGTGAGCACAGGAATGAATTAATCTAGGTGGTGTACACTTCGCCAAAGTCCCAAATGCTTTTCCCCTCCTTCCGTTCCGATTTTACGCTGAACCTCGCAGTATGAGACCAACCACTCCAAACCGAAAAATAAAACTCCAGACCAAATCCACCACGCTTATCACAGATCATGCTCGTGGCCGTCTCGATATGAGGTACAGGAGCAGGTGCCGGTTTCCTTCCGGACTGCAGCTCTGTCGCATACCGAGCTGTCGATCAATTTGAAACCAAGTTTTTTGTTACCGCAGTCGTATGTCGAAGGATCGTGTTCGAGACCGATGGTGTGGCGATCCGGTCGGTCAATATGCGGCGTGGCGATTGCTCGTAACCGTGGCCGCGAAGGAGACACCGAATGTCTTCACTCGAGCATCGTCCTATTCGTTGCTTCGTGCCGTCCTCTTTTCAGGTCCAAGCCAGGTCTCTCAGCAGTTTCCTTGCGCACAGCGATCGCATAGTGTCTTGTCCGCCGGCACTCGCTCTTCGCACCCGCAAACCGATTTGTGGTCACAGAACTTCATCGACATGCTGTCTTTGGGGGGCTCGACATGGGATCGGGCGCATTTCGCGGGTGCGTTGATCATGATTTCGCCAGTTCGTCGGATCTCTTCTCTTGACATGAAGCTTGGACAGGGTTGGGAGCCGTTTGAATAGTGTTCACGGCTCGGCCCGCTGAAACTGCTCTGACGGAGAAACCGGGGCTGCCAAGTTTCGAGAGGCACGGCGGAGGACGACAGACGACTGAGTCGGACGGCGGGCTTGCTTGTAACACGACACAGGGCTCCTTGAGGCTGAGCACGTCTAATTTGAGGGGTCTTTCGCACGAGGTGTCGGTAACGTTCTCTTTGTCGTTTGCCAGCTCCATCATTTTGGAGGGGACGGACTCGAACGCTTATATACGTTTTGCCTGCTACCGCGGGCACCACTCACACACACACTTGCGCACAAACGCACACAAGCTCACTTACATCTAACAATCGACCCGCGTCTACATGCGGGCTACGAGACGCGGAGGAGCCTTGCAGGGTGTCACCGAACCTACATAACCTGCTTCGTCGATTTCCGCTCTCCCCCAGGTTGTCTTTCCTGCTAGGTCCCTAGAAGTACGGCTATCTCATCAGCCAGTTTCCTGTGCCTATCATGCGGTTCATCGTTACGTCTACCCGACGTTACGAGGCGGCACCTTGGATGGTAAACCAATGATCAGCCTGCGTCCCGTTTTCTGCCTCCAGCCTGAGCCCTTCGTCTGCTTTAACCATTGAGCTTCGGACTCGGGCCTGGCCCCCGATGGAGGACTCTAGCGACCCTGTTGGCTAGGATGAGGCGAAGCCTGACTTGGCAAAACGGTAACCCTTCGGGTCTAGGACCTGACTCTCGATGTCAACAGAGAGTGTGGCCATCTTGCCCTTCTGCTTTTCTCCAGGTTCAGCCCTTGCGCCTCGAGCATTACGTCTAGAATGGCTGCGGATCTTTCAATCAAAATCAAGGTCAACCGTCTTTGTGCTTCGGGACACATTACGACCTACACCCTCAGCCCACGTCGAGCATCTGACCGTCGACGGCCCTCGAGACAGCGACAGACCAGACCAGACTATGGCCTGTTCTGGCGCAATATCGTCTCGAAATTTTCTGATGAGGTGCATTAGTGGATCAGGAAACGGGTACCTGACCGAGCCATTTCCACTCTGGTGCGCAGCATGTGGAAACCCTGCCATATTCGACGTGATATGGCCGGGGGACGGTTTGCAGATTTCAACGCAAGGCCGTTTGTGTCGACTAGGGCCGGTCAAAGTTCGACTCCTTTTCACCTGCAGTACACGGTCGATCCGCCCTCAGTCTTCCGCTAGCATCGGATGCATCGCGGAAAACCAAGAGACGGTCTGGGCCATGGTTATCGCGCCGGACTACGGTCAATCGCTGTTGAGTGCGGCGCACTACCGACTGAGACATGCCGTTGAGCTTCGCGTATGCCGGCGAATGGTTCAAGACGGAATAAGCAACACAAGGAAATCTGACAGAAAACAGATCCGGGGACGCGCGATTAGGCTGAGGATGTTGTGCAGATGGAGGCCCTCTGTACGGCCGAAAAGGATAGCATGGGATGACATGCTGAAGTGCCTTGCGCAGCACCCCGGCTTTCCGGGGCAAGCAAATCCACTCTCCCAGAGAGACTTTCCCGGTTGAGGAATTCCCACGGCCGATGCCCAGACCTAGCGTTCTTTCGTTCCTGCCGGGGGTCAGGGGTCAGCTATCACTTTTCAACTTCTTGCGCCGAACACACTGCATCAGCGTAATGGAACTCTGCATTGGGGATGTTTGCCGACAGTCTTCTCTGCACATTCCACACCACGCTGCCACGCTTCCATGAACTTTAACAAATCAAGGCCGCGCAGTCGGCGTCTTGCGCCGCGGAAGGCGTGCCGTTCACGCCTCGAGGTTTTTGTCGCTGCCGTCGGCACCCCACCAGAACCATGTCGCCGGGATCCTTCTCGAGCCAGAGGACGGCCCGGGGAGCTCGGTGGGATGTGCCGCGGTCCAAGGCCATTGGCCGGACGTAATCTCGCAGGCCATTCACCTGCCATGTGCGGATAATCCTCTGCTGTGCCTTCTGCTCCCTTGCAGGCGGGCATCGGATTATCGCTGGGGCCAAGGTCTACGCGAAGATGGGGATCTTCGACCTCGCCCTTCGCTTTGACGTGTCAAATTTCAACTCTACTCATCAAGGTTCCTCGGAGCAGAGTCCGGCAGTCGTGGCTTCTATTTAACACATTTGCCGCGACACGCGAGAACTTTCTTCAAGCGGCCGCTTGCACGAAGACATCGTTTCTTGGGGACCCTTTCGGGAGTCTGGGACGAAGAAAATGCGATGAGATGCGCCGACGTCAAGTATCAGATACGACAACTCTTCGGGCATTTCGGCTGCGATTTGTGCCATGTGGCTCCAGGGCTGTCTTGTGTCTGCTGTCGTTCCGCATTTGTTAAACCGCGGTGGTCTGAAACGGGTGCCAAAAGCGGATTATGCGTCCCGGACGGGGGGACTTAGGTAAGATAACCGGAGGAGACTACCGTACACGATATGCGCGTGCATACGGGGTTTGTCTCCGTCCCGGGTTTCGGTGGACCTCGATAGATGAGATTTTTTCGTCCGTGATCGTGAGTTGTTTGGTTCGGCTTGCAGGTTTTCGCGTTGCAGGTTTGTGGGCTTTTTTATTTTTCTTCGTCACGAGAGAGGGTTTTTGTCGGCTTTTCAGGGGCTGCAAAAGGAGAACGCGGATCTGAAGAGGTATTACTTGATTTTGGCGAATTAGATGGATCGGGGATGGATTAAGGTATGAGATTGACTTGGACTTCGTGACGACTGTCCCGTCGTGATCGTTCCTTATGCCAAGGCTCAGCCTTTCGAGGCTGTGACTCTTCGCGTGACACACCACGAGACTGAGGCTTGCTATGCCGGGTTCTCTCCGAAGCCGATGCTCTGTTGCAGAGGGTCGACATGACCAAAGCTATGTTCTATAGTGAAGACACGCGGGCATAAAAAGATTAGCTAGTGTAGAGTAGACTATGCAACAGACGCGACTGTTGCTCTCGCCTGTCGCTGGATAGCTTAAGTACTCATATGCTACTGCTACTGACGAAGAGCGGCCTTGAAACTGTGAACTGCCTAGCTGGGGATTGGTTCATATCTTGGGACAGAATATCTGAGGAATATGTTCTGGGCACTGGAGATGACGAGAACCGGGATTCGGGAGAATTCCTCGGGGTACTCGGGTTCCTTTCCTGTAGCTGGGAAGGGTGGTTTGTCGAAGGACACGCAGGAATTGACACCCTCTGCGCATTGTACAATTTGTTCAATGTCCTCTCGCATCGGCTTGGTGTCCTTGGTGATGGATGAATGTATGTGTGATGTATATCTTATATCCGAGCTTTGCATGTTGGCTCATCGTATTATGCTCTCCTCTCGGGCTGACACTCTCCATCTAAGCCTGATGAAAGCTGTCCATAGTTGCTCACGTATCCTTGGAAACCCCGTGGAGCTGTGTCATCCTGGAAGGCACCTGGAGTCGGAGGTTTTATCCCATGTTTCGACGTCAGCCATGAATCCATCTGTATATAAGTGGAGGGGGAGGGCTTCTTCCATTCTCAGGACAAGCGGAATCAGGCGAGTCGTGAGACTTGACAATATGTTGGTGACCTCTTCTGTTTTCGAGACACCGTCATGAACAATGTCGGTGCGAGTTTTAATCACGTCTAATCACTGTGGCGTGATGTTCTCAACGCTGAACGTATTTCTTTTGGTGTCTATACTGAGTGGATACACCTCAAAGGGAGGAGATAACTAGTAGAGGCATTGGGACGCACGACTTTGGAGATTCGGTGGGGAGTTGCTAGATACTCTGAACTTACAGCTGGAGTCGGGAAGATGTCGAAGAAGATGAGGATTAGAACAAGCTATACTCTCCCGACACTGCCAGAGATCCAGCTGAGCTCGTCACTGGAGGATGGGAGATATCGCGTGAAGACGTGAGCTTTTATAACCACCCTGCGCTGCGTTCTGCGAGAGGTTGTGGGCTGTGTTCAGTAAAGCGGAGTGACGTGTCGCAGCACCAGGGGAGAGGACGTATGCACGGTTGGTGTTGGTATAAATTGAATGTGTATGAGCGAATCTCACGGAAAAACAGACGAGCGAACATAGTCCTCGCTCTGGATCGCCATTTATCTCATCCACGGTAGTAGCCCAACATGTCTTGAGGATCCCGTCAAAGTTGACGTCTCTCCTCAGGGCGATGAGGGAGAACACCCGAATTTTCTCATTTTTCATGTGCTTCTGTCTCTCAATGTCGCCTGTGTATTCGTACAGAATACATGAAAGATGACACTGATAGGATTGGCGATATGATACGTAGTACTGCTTGTGCCTATCGCGAAGATGTCGGCTGGGACTTGCTTGATTGAAATTGACTCGGCGCCGCGGCTCATGACATGTGCGGATGGATTCGATGCGCACAATAATGCCTCTCTCTATTCCTTTGAAGAGCTGTGTGTAGGTATTTATGTCTTGATCCTGTCCACTGCTTGTCACTGTTTCGTTCAATGGAAGACGAGAGATTGCCATGGAACACAGCCTAAAGTGCAGTGACTAGTTCGACAGGAAGCGTGTCTTTGCTGCTACCTTTAAAAGACTTCACCTCTGTCCTTCTCTCCATTTCCCAAACCGAAACCACTGTCTGGTACGATCGCCAGGGATACGCTTCTGCAAGCTCCGGATTAATGTGGTATCCAACCTGCCATCAAGTAGAGTACCGTAACATGGACTCGCGTGTGAGTCTACTTTCTATTGGACTTTCCTGCTTGAGTATCGCGATTCGTATATATTCTAGACGACGGTGCTGGCGGAAGGATGTGATGGGAATCGAATGAAGTGAGGATTCCGCGCATCGTCTGGTGCCAAGTTCGGGTTGAAGCCGATGATGCAGCCAAACTCTCTCAAAGATTCGGTCAGGCAATCGCCCGAACATCAACAGATACTGCGTCCATTGCTCCTGTTAACTTTGGTGTTGATGCTGCAGGAAGACCTCATTTCTGGACTTCATTATTCGTGTGACAATGAGATCAACGGCGATAGAACAAACATCGAAGGACTAACTCGGACGGCCCTAAATTAAAAGTAGGCACCTAAAGCGTGCTCAATCTGTACCTAAATTAAACCGCATGCTACAGTCATTAAGCAAGCCATTCCATGTCAGTCTTGTTTGAAAAATGCTTCTGCTCTATTCGACTTTTGCTGTAGCTTTTGTTTTCGAGAAGGTCGGTGGCGCGGCCAGAATTCCGGAGGAGGGCCCGCCGCTACTCCGTAGTTGCACCCGCTCCGTTCGGGAATGCGGTTCCGGGGTTACAAGGATACGGGAATCGGCACGCTTGCCGGGCGTTCCCGGTACACTAACCACACGGAGTATTCCGCAAGTTTACCTTTGCTTGCCAACCAGCCCTGCAACTATAAACCAGAACTCGGCCTCCGAAGGCTGTCGGACAATAGACAAAAGTCCCTCAGCACTGCTCCTGTCAGTGCTGCTTACTGTGGGGCCCGGGGCGCGGGACGCGGGACGCGGTGCGCGCCGCGGATCCCAATTCACTCCACACATGTGGAGGGGTAATCCACGATTTCACTGGTGAAGAAAGATTCCGGGAACGAATTCAATGAACGGGGGCTAAGCGTGTAGTAGTATTACTGCCCTACGGCGTGTATAGAACGGATGTTGAACTCTTGGATGTGGTAGTTAGTGAGCTCCTGGAGCAACTCCTCGGCAGCCTGATGAACAAACTGGTCGAGAGAACCAGCCTCAGCGGCATGCTCAAGCCAGACTTGGCCCTCGGGATCCCAAACCAACTCCAATTCCTCAGCCTTCTTGACAATCTCATACCGCTTTTGTACGCTTACACTGCCGGAGGATGACAGCGACGCGTCGGCTGCGGGGTCGGGTTGCGGGTCGTGGACAAGGTATACTTCCTTCACTAGCGGGCAAGGCTGGAAGAGCTCGGGCAGCGACCTCCACGCGGCATCCCGCTCTCGAAACAAAGTCTCCGGCACGGCGACTTTGTAGACTTCGCATTGCGTGCCGAACTGCCGATCCATTTGGTCCCAACCCAGTGTGAAGGGCAGCTCGAGCACCTCGTTCATGAATCCATCCCAGTCGTCAAGCGAGACGTACAAGGCGTCTTGTTCTGGATGGAAAGGACGCATGGGAACGGGGCCCCGTATGCGTTTGTCTTCGCCTTCGGACTCTCGCATCTCGAGGCCCTGCTTGGCCGCCCAGGCAACGACGACGTCGCGCGCCTCACTGTTGACCCATAGCAGGGGAATATTCAGCGGCGCGTCGCCGAGCATGCGATGGTTGAACTCGATTAACCAGTTGTTGTCTGCGTTGCTGGGGTCGTAGTTGTACTCGGATTCCGTCATTTGTCGAGGTTTCCAGCAGCCTGGCTTGTACGAGTAGAGTGCCGGCTTGATCTCGTCGGGCAGTGCATCTTCCCATATGTGGATACGCAACTCAGTCGGGAGGTCTTGAAAGAGAGTGAACCTAGCAGGGACTTTTGCGCGTGACTCTGTCGCCATGATTTTTGGGGGCTGTCAAGATGGTTCTTTTGTTGGAGGTGGATATGGAGAAGATGATGATGTGAACTTTAGCTGTACGGGAGGCAGGGACGTGAGGATTGCACTTATGTACCTCTGCCGAAGCCGAACAATCACCTAAAATGATGTCATGGGGATTAGACTGTGTACTTGTCTTACGACTGCCGCTCTGCCATTGTGGCCCCCAGCTGATTCTCGCTAAGCCTCTCGAGGAGGCTTAGCAAAGAGCTCTCCCACGCGTCGAATATTCCGATTGATAATGGATTGCAACTGCTCGCTCGCTGCTTCTCGCTGAGTATACCATTGAGCCAGGCTGGCAATCTCGGTGCCTGAGCATAGGATGCAGGCTGCAACAGTAAGGAGTCCACCTCGAATGGCAAGTCAGAAACAAAATGCGCAATGATCCACGATATACGACACGATGAATGCTTACACGTGTAAGCAATGGAGCCCGGCAGTCTCATACCGTCAGCAGTAAACAATGAGAAAAGACGATCTCGAGGCGCAGACGGCATTTCACGCCGTCAACTATGGACCGTAGGATGAGATATCACGACATTGTCATATTCTCAATAGTGATCTACAGACAAGACGGCGACATTGACTCGGCGTAAGCTGCAAATCAAGGGATGAGATGATCTCAGCTACTCGGAGGAGGACGACGAAGTCCCACCAAGGCTTCTTGCGCAGGTCATGTCCAGAGAACCGTGAGCTTCACCAAGTGAAGGCACGCATCAGAATAGGATAGTCTCCACAAGAGGAGGGAGAACAGGTATAAAGCAACGATTTCCAGACTCGAATTCAGACTTCTGATTCCAAGCTCAACAACACAATCTTCACAATCACAATCACAACAACATCTTCATTATCTCTCACAACAACACAAACTTCACTGTTCGTCCTATACAACCCAACTCCTTCTCTATGATCACAAGTCTGAACTAACTATCCGTTACAGCAGCCATCCCCCAAACAAACACAACATCCAAAATGCAGTTCAACCTCTTCGCCGTTGCCGCCCTCCTTGCCTGCGAGGCCTTCGCCTCCAAGATCACCTATGCCTGCCGCTACAATGGCAAGGACCTTCAGGGCAAGGACAAGGTGGTGACCGAGCAGAAGGCCGGCGGCACCATCCCCGACGACAAGGACGACGATGTCGTCAACGACATTGGAAAGTGGTCCAACAACGACTTCTCTGCTAAGAAGAACGCCCGCACCGGCATCGTCATCGTCACCAACACAAAGGTGGCCAAGAACAAGGCCGAAGCCACGGACCAGAACAACGAGGCTCAGCAGATCGTCAAGAAGCACACCTAAAGCAATGGCAAGGCGAGTTCAACGCATGTCACTATGTGAGTATCCCACTGTATCGATCGCGAACCAGAACCAGGTTGAGGTTCTCTGGTCGTGGCTGGCGGCATAAGGCTAATGATGCGAATTAGTGACAACCTTGCATTGAAAGAGCATCCCAGGGAGGATGGAATTAGTGTGTTTTGGTTATTGTTAGACTACTTCAGCACTTTCATTACTTTGATTCTTTCAACTCAAGCGACCTGGGTTATACCTAAGCAGAGGTGTACACCAAGTTAGCAATGGGGACTTTTTGTGGAAAGGGGGGTGTTGTACTTCTATTATGAAGACCTAGAATTTCTTACCATAGTCTGTCGTTCATAGTACTCATCAATAAAGGGGCAGATGACTGCCTCCCTGTTGTTGAAACCCTACTTATGGTTATGTTCTCCGCGATTATGGCTACAACCTCAACGTCTTCCTTGAGAATCGGCCCCATCGGAGCAACAAGTTGTGGATGAAGGGCTTTGAAGAACGAATAAGTCACGGCCGGACATTGACATCTGATTTCAGCAGACTAAAGTCTCAAGTTCCGTCAATCAACTAAAACATCGAGGGTTGCGCCTTACGTACCTGCACATATTCTCCTTGATGGCTGTATATATCAAGAGCTATTCGTTATTGAGACTCAGATTAACACAGACACTGATGATAGCTGATCCAGGTTGTACCATTACTGACGTAGAAGCAAGAAGTCCCCAATTTGCGACTCTGAACTGTGAGTTGGGTATAATGACACAACTATTCAAGCCGTAATCGGCCGCTTAAGACCCGTCAGCCCTTTCCCTCCTTGCTGTCTGGGTAGTATTTACTGGAGAGTATTATCCAAAAGTCATCCCGTGAGACACAGCTGTTATCAACCAACGCAAATGCATTTGCTGCACACACCGGCTGTCTAGTCCCTGGAAAGACACCCGCCAAGATCGTAACAAAAGGCCAGCTCATAAAGCAGCATTTTGCCGGTGCAACCACAACATAACTTTTCCGATGCAGAACATAACCTAAGTAGCAATGTATCAAGCACCGCTTGATAGGCCGTCGAAGAAGAATGCACGAAGTATCGAGACTCGTTGGATGAACCTGGATTGATCTTCAGATGTGCGCAATCACCACCCTTCATGAAACAGCGAGGATGTGCTGAATGACTGTGACTCTCGCCATATAAGAGAAACCACTCGAATCTTTGTGGCGAATCAGACAAGATCAGTGGTCTCCCCATACTCTTTGGAAGTGCCTTCCCAGCATTTCATACGCAAGTGCTACGTCAAAGATCGTCCCTGCGCCACGATTCGCTACGCCAGGAAACTGGCGTTTCGCCAAACCTACAGACAGCCCAAGAATACCCTTTCCCAGCTCCTGTACTTCTCATTGTCATATTTGGTTTATTTTGGACGTTATTACACCAACGTCCTGGGTATGTGTTGTCCTGCGAGCCAGTAAGGAAGTACACGTACAGGCGGTAGTGCTCCGAGCCCTTTTTCCCTGTACCAAGCAACTCAGGATAGATCGGGTGCGTCGGATACAATCCGCGTGAGTTCGACTGAGCTCCTGAAGAAGTCCAATGAGGACGCTTTATAGTCATGAATTCAGTACGGCAGTGCTTGTCCAAGACGCACAGAAAGACACTCATTTCAGGGAATAGCCGTAGGGAACGAAGCACCGCTAGTCCCTCTCATATCCCGCCCGCACACTCCCACCACCACGATGCGATGCCGTCCGCGATGCTATTTAAACCGCAAGTTGATCCATGATGAAAATCTGCACGAACATAGCTATCCAGGTCCAGTCTTCTAGCTCAACGCTGAAATCGAGCTGTACGCCTGGCACGAGGATTAACGCCGTCAAGTTACCTGCGCCCCAAATTGTTGATGTCTCAAGCTCTCCAACTTCCATGTTCTTCATCACCATCTCTGAAGTATCATAACTCTTATACCTTCACCATTGTGAAAGTTGAAAGTTTGTCTCAGAAAGCTGGACTGGCGTATAGCTCGGACAAGAACCCTCATGATAGCGGCTCCCACATCATTATCCCGTAGTGACAAAATAACCGAGCTCGAGAAACGCATCGCTGGCGGATTCCCGAGAACTGCCCTCAATGAAACCAATGGCGCTTCTAATTATACCCTGTTCGCTGGCTTACATAGACGAGGAAATCCCCGTCTAGATCCTTCCTGTTGGGACCCGTTCTGGCTAGTTGATGAATTTGACCCATGTTTAAGGCTCTCAAGAAGCCGTAAAGAGACATCGAAGCCAAATCGAAGGATACATGAGTGACTAGGCGGTCTCCAGATCTCTGAGGCTGCCGTGGGCGTTTCCCTGAATAGTCTCTGGCATCATCGCTGAAGCCTATTTGGTAGTAGCGCACAAGCAACGGAGCTGACTCTTTAGCACGCGCTAATGTCCTGGCCAGATCGAATTGACGATGAGTCTCGTGGTGTGGCATTGACATGTCAAATACGGACGCAGAGGAGACGCAGAGCTAGTGCCGAGCATAAAGTCTCTCCGTTCACGATTTGAACACATCTCCGTAGGAATCTTCTCAATCCTATTGAAGTCTTACTCTTTCTCAGAGAGGGGAGAACAGAAATTCGGACTAGGATATTAGAAAACCAAGTACAACCGCCAACTCCCGCTAACCACACACGAAGAATCACAAGGCCGCCCATCCCCGCCGCGTCCCATCATACGCTCCCCCCCTCGTCCGTCGAAACCCTTCTCTGTACACTACTCCTCAACTCCCCGCCCTTCCCATACACCTCCGCCAGCTCGAGGTCCTCCTGATACCTGCTCCTCGCCGGCGAGGATCCCCACCTGGACGACTCCCCGCACCCGCCGGCCTCGGACGACGACATGGCCGCGAACTTGTGCTTGACCACCACGCCGCTGCCCCCCGCGGACGTGCCCGACTGCGCCGTCGCCGTCGTCACGTTCGTGCTGTTCTTGTTGCTGCCGCTGCTGGAGGGGAAGACGAAGAGCCACCAGGTGCGCAGGATGGGCATGCAGAGGGCGAGGTTGCCGACGAGCATGGCGGTGCTGACTTCGCGCACGCACCAGAGGAACCAGACCGGGGCGGTGTTGTTCATGAAGACGGTTACTTTTGTGAGGATCGCTGCGAGCATCTGGAGGAATGCATGGTTAGGACCGTGTATTCTCGCGGTGGGAAAGGAGAACGTCGGTGGAGGAGCTAGACGGGGGACGAGGACTCACTGCGAAGATGCCCAAGCTGAAGAGGCAGACTAGCAAGATTTTCCTGAAGTGCGGTTAGAATCTTCGGAATGAGGAACGTCTTCGACCGCCGGAAACCCCGGCACTTACTTTCCAATTCTCATCTGCAACCTACTGATAAGAGCGACGGGTATTATCAGCAGAATGAGGTCGGTCGAGAGGTTCAACGTCAGTTGGATGACGTTGTAATGCGACCAAGTCAAGCATTCCACTGTGATACGGGAGAACTCGTTAGATCACTTCCAAACCACACCAGGTATCGTTCGCAAGTACTCACTGTTCTGCGGGATGAGAACGAGGTAATCCGAGAACGGCCGACACCACCCCCCGTATAAGACCACTAGGACCACAATGTATGCCAAGCCGATGTACGTGGAGACAATAATCCATATCCTGCGATGATGACCGAAGAGACTGTTGTATGCACGTTAGTCTTTTTGCCTCATATTCGTTTCGCGGGACCGGCCGACAGGACGGCGACGTACGTCAGTCGGATATACAGCAGTAGGAGGCAGCATTTATTGCCCCAGAGCGTCGTTTGCATCGACGTCTCGCCCAAGATGTTGAGAATTCCCAGCTTGCGGCCCACAACGAAATTGTCTTCGGGAGTGACGTTGTTGAGGTCGATGTCCGACATAAGTTCGAAGTATGTGAACAGGCATACGATGGCCGACGTATATGTTATCTGAAAAGTAACAATGAGGGTGTTGGTTAGCGGGACGGGCTTCGTTGCGATCGTCGGTTTCTCAGCCTGGCGGGCGAGAATAGACTGACTTACAGTTATGATTAACATCAAGAAATCGTCAAGCGGGATTTCCTTGACAAAGTTGCGCTTGCGAACGAGGTACTGTGATGTGCTTCAAGATAGGTCAGCGCTCTATCATCTGGATTCACGTCGGCGGGCTTCGCAAATACAATCTTAATACGACCGTCGTCATGGCCAGAAAGTACCACACCCAACACTCCGCGGTCATCTCGACTGGGTTTCCCATCGCGACTGTGAGACCTTTCCCGCCAAGTCAAAACCGAACATTCGTCGTATTCTCGATTCGATGATGCCGACGTCGATTGGAGACCTAGGGGATGTTGACGATTGTTGTTTATGCAAGGGCGTAATCGAATTCCATGCGGAGCTGATACTCGCGAAGGCGAGAGAGAAAAGTAAGCTATTCAAGAGGGGCTCGCAGAAGATTAAGAGTTTGAGACCGAACCCGGGCCGAACGATGAATAGATCTAGGCTCGATAGATTCGCGACCGCATGCGGCGGGTACTTGGTAGAGCATTGCGGGCGGCGGGCAACAAACCAAGAGATTGCTGCACAAAGGGTCCAGTGCCATGTTCGGAACCTTGAAGCCACACGCGCAAGAGTTCAGGGCGAAATGGAACAGCTGGAGCTACCCGCCCCCAACAGTCTGGTATGGACATGAGACATTGCTTACACAGATATGGAGACCCAGAGAGTTGGTTGAGGCTGACTTCAAACCTTCTGCCGGATGCGGAAGACTTCCATATCAGCTATCACCGCCGTGGCGTAAAGCCAGCTACCAAAACATCATTGAATCGGGGGAAGTAATTGTTCGCCGTCTTCTTCCCCCAGACTTAGCCTTGTTTTCCTCGTGTACAACAGTTCCTTGGTAACGACGAAAGGTCTTCGGTCAAAAGCCTTTACGCTACTCGACCGGGACGCGCACGCCGTTTGGCTGAGTCTATCAGTATGAGACTTTTGAGACAAACGGATCGTCGAGACAAGTCTTCCCAGAATTGTTCTCAGCCTCACCATCGGAGCCGCGCTTGCTCTCCGAAACCTAAAACCAGTGATATCCCGACCCCTACTACAACCAAAATGGCAAATGCTTGCCGCTACTCACCTCTTCGGAGTCCGTTTCGGAGGAGTGGGAGACGATTCTTCCGTTTCATACGAAAGCCTCACGCTGCAGATGTGACAAAAGCGAGCACCCTAAAAGCTGATATCGCGTGGCGATGGCGTTATCGTATTCGGGAGCGCAGCGCAACAATGGTCTATCGTCAACACTAGTTGACTGCCTCTCATCGCGTGTTTTCGGAAGCTCTTAATGGCAGTACAAAAAGAAAATTGGCCGTAATGATGAACTTGCATCTGGACTGTTTATGCGGCGCAAGAAGAATTTGAACTTGGATCCTTCTTCCCCGCAGCTTCCCGTTGTGCAGCGGCTGATGCATCCCACGCGGGGGTCAAGCGAGGGGCAGGAATGGCGGCACCCGTTACAAGTTGATGTTCTGAGCCGTAAAACCCCCATGAAAGCGCCCGCTCGGCCCGGCGAGGAAACGTTTGCTCTTGGGATAGATGGTCGTTGGTCAAGACAGGGAGTAGTGAAGGGTGTCGTGATTCGTTCGCATAGTTTTCTGACAAGATTGGATCGAGCCCCGTGGATTCGTATTGGCCCGCGGCAAGTTGTCAGCTGGACTTGCAGTGCCATGTGCAGGCATAAGACTCCTTTCTTACAGGCCAAAGTTGGCTGGTAGCGAATCGGTTGCCTTTACGGATGGTCAGTTCTTTGGTTTTGGGGCAGTGAGTGTGCATCCATAGGCTGACGTTGGAATCCTCGAGGCCAGGGAGAGAGGTTCCTGTGCAAAACGGATATGCATTGAGCCAATGTAAGGTCGCACCAGACAAGCTGTCGTGCGACGTGACTCCAACGCATAGCCCATTTGTCCGCAGACAGTGAAGCTGAGACGCTGGCTTCTAGAACTTCTCCAAACGGGCTGAAGCTTAGATTGGGTGACGAAAGAGGAGAGGTCGGTCGGCGACCAGCCATCGGCATGAGTTTCTCTTTGTGGTTTAGTTCGAGATGCATGCCATTGTTTGGGCTCGAGCTGGGAATGCAGCCGCACTGGACTGTCATTGACGCTGCCGAGATTCGGTCGTTTCTTTTCCTGCTGCGTGAAAGACGGACCTGAACTGCAGTTCTTTGGCTGTCGAAGATCGGCACTGCTTGTCTGCGACCAAGGCCAACCGGATGAAGATGACGTCTAACGGTTGATCGAGTGGAGGTAGATGACGGATGAGTGCTGCAGGGAATGCCTGCCAGATTCCTGAGATGGCACTGGTCTCACCAAGAGAAACAAAAAGTCCACAAAGCCAAGAAATTGGAAGTAAGAAGAGGTCAATAGAAAAACAGACATGCAGAAATCATGACATAATTTGAGCATCTTTGGAGGAGTCGTGGTAAGGTAGGTAGTCGAGGACGATGGCAATGGGAGTTCGGACCATCTGCAGCGGCAAGCTTTCCTTCCCACCCACCTCAGCTTGAAGCACGCACCACACCTTCCTCACGGTTCACCTCGAGCTCGAGGCTATTAGTTACGTACCCTCGCTTGAAGGTGCACAGACGGGAAGGCAGGTGCTCTGGAACCCCCGCCATGCGACCCCCCACGGCCAACGACCAAAAACGTGAAGGAGGCATGTGGTTCTAGAACAGTGTTACATAAGGTCATTGCACAGGAAAGTCAAGTCCGCGGAAGAAGTCGGAACAGCAAGGCGACTGCGATATGCGACTGCTTCAACCTCATTTTCAACTCAGAGTCTCACGGCTTCACCGACCATTCGGTCACCTATTCCGAGACGTCATAAAGGCCCGACATGCCCTCAGTTTCCAAATGAAGCGAAGACGAAGACACAACAAAATCCCGAGAGAGGGGTCACACCGGCGATCGTGACTTCCGGCGCCCGAAGCCCAAGGCCAGTTCCCTGCCGGATTAGGGCTCATAGACTCACGACGTTGGATTTTGAGACGCAAATACCGACGGTATTAATTAGCTTCAACTCTGCTCCGTAAAACGCCGTTACATTCATCAACGAGTCTCCCTCTTCGGTATCCATTCTCCTACATGACATGCGGCGGTGCAGCCCCCCGATTCCGCGCCAGGGTATTGAATCTCACATCTCACTGTTAGGGAGTATTCGTACGGGTGGCCAAGTCGGATGACACCCCGACTCGAGGCCAGTGGACATGACTCCGCCGGCCGGGACGGAATGTGGTGACCGCCCAGCGACTTGGGCGCAACCCGCCCTCTTGACAGGTCGGCTTGGCTTTCCTCTTTTCTCCTTCGTGATGCCGTCGGTAGGAAACAAGCGGGAATCCGTCCGCCGACGTTGGAAAAGGCGGCTGGGAGACCGCCGCGTCACATAATACCATCTGGGACCAGTCAAGCTCAGGTTGCTACCTATCCGTAAGGTACTTACGAGAGATGCGTGGCGTGGCGGCGGCGCCGTTGCCGATAGGGTATTGCGGCCCACTAAATCTGATCTGTGTTGGCTAGAGTCCTCTGGTGATCGGAGCACCAGCCCAAGAAAGACATCGTGTGAGAAAATTTCTCTCTTATTGACTCTCCGCTCTTGTGACGGGGGACTCGTGGCTTTGGAACCAGTTGCGATGCGCTGGGTTACCTCAACAACTGTCCATCGCTGTCTGCTGTTTCCCCGATAATCCCTCCGAAGAGGGGCCAAGAGGAGATACAAAACCAGGAGGTTTTTGTCCCGTGAAAGGACTCTGGGGAGATGGGACGCAAAGCACTGAGTCAGGAACTCAGGGTCGTCTTGAGCCCGCACAGACTGGACCCTTCATCGTCGGGCAGGCAAGATGCAACTTTGCCTTAGTCAAGCCATTTACATCGGAATCTATTGGTGTTTCCCAGCTGATATCCCGTATTCCAGCTCGTCTGCGGGTTGAGATGATGTGTCTTGCCTCGCCTTGCACATTCCGAGTTGCGACTGACAACGACGGATATTTCCCAGGTTGGAAGATACCTAGGGTCGGACATGAAACCTCGTTAGGCAGTTGTTTCGTATTCCAAGAAGGGCCAAATGGGGCACAGGAGTAATAGAAAGTGAGATCCGAGACTTGGAGATGAGAGATGAGAACGAAATGGCCGTCAGGCTCTCTGGAGAGTCTTTCCAGATTTCACTCTTTACGGCTAACTGGTACCATCCGCACACCGATACCCGTCCACGTCCCGGTTCCAAATGTAATATTCTCTCGGTTTCCGATTGTCGGTCGGCAGCAGTTGCTGCAAGAAATATTTCCAGACCGGGAGTTCCTTGAGAGGTGAGGTGTGCTGGGTTCGGTCCATTTCCATCAAGTTAGCGGCATCCTTGCAGGAACCAAAGCTTGGATCCGCCGACATGCGCCAAAAAAAATGTGTCTACGGAGGGGAGCTGACCAGTCGCCGGCCTCGAATGCCAGTGCAACTTAAGCACCCCATCCAGGCTGTCCACCTCCATCCTTCTCTGGGGTGGTCCCCCCACCATTATCAGCTGCTCCCGTCGTTCGCTGCCGCTGCCTCTGTCTCCTCCATCCTTTCTGCCAGCCTCTCTCCACCAAGAGAGGCAGGTTTTCCTGTTACCACCACCTTTCTCCTGCTTCAATCATCGCCTGTTCAATTTTCCAGTCGACCTCGTTGCTTCGCAGCCAGCGCGAGAGATCTTGTCTCTCACCGAGCATCTCCGGCGCGAGGCATTGCGCTTCTTATCAAGTTTTCTGAACCGCGACCAAATCTCTCGTCCCCACGCAATCCCGACACTACGTTGCCTACCTACCTTTACGACGCCTTTGCGCAATCTGCCGACCACCGCCGACCGATTTAAACCCGCAAACATTATCAGTGGCTGTCGTCACCAAACTACTATTTCGACAATCTACACCACTCGAACTGGAGCAAGCGAAGAAAAGTTGACAGGAAGAGCTCGGCGCATTGGTATTTTTTGTCAGAGTTGGAGATCGAAACCGAATTAGCGGCTCGGAATATCAACGTTGCCATGATGGACGCCGCTTCCTGGAACCCCCAAGACCCGGCCTTGGCCCCCGGCCACGATGACGAATTTCAACAATTTTTGAACATGGGGGGTATGGGAAACATGAGCGACTCAATGACTTTCGACTTCAACGATTACCAGGCGGGAAATGGCTCCAGCATAATGCAGTCTGGGCGCGACCAACTCGACACACAGATGGGAGGAACCGACGCCAACATGGTCATGGGAGACGCCAATTCTGCCATGCAGCAGCACCTCATTAACATGACGACCGCGACAGCGCACCCCGCTATCCCTACCCAAATGATCCCTCCGCCTACGCCAACGGACGCCATCACTGAGATCGACGCTCAGATCCAATATCTGCAGCAGCAGCGTATGCAGCAGCAGCATCGACAGATTCATGAACAACATGTGTACTACGCGAACCAGTCTCATGCTGTCCCACCAACCCCGCAAAGTCTTGAGATGCCTCCCGCCAGCAACCAGTTCTACCCCGACCAGCGCCAAACACCCATGTTTGACAGCCGTTACCAGCGGATGAAGGAACAGCAAGATGTGAGACTCGTCTTTTCACACTTCTCGAAGCATAGCGCTGACCTTTGCAGATGGCCTTCACCCCGTTAGTATCGCCTGCAGTAACTCCCTTGGATCCCCATTTCCAGATGGAGGCCGGCGGTTTCGGCGTTCCAAGCACATACTTCAGCCCTCTCACCTCCCCAGCTCTTCATGCCCAAAGTGATCAGGGCGGGCTCTTATACGACAGGCGTTCGTCCCTTTCGGCACACAACTCACCAGCCGAGATGGAAGTTGAGACGAACACGGCGAACGTGCAGCCAGTGCTCGATTTGGCCAAGAAGGCTCGCAAGACCAATGCTTTCAGGGCTAAGGCAAAAGCCAATGTCCGACAGTCGCCCATCTCAAAACCCCAACGCAAGAAGGCGGGCCCTACACCGAAGATGGTGTCGCAGGCCCTTACCGAGATGCAAGAAGTGAACGAGGATGGTCTGGATCAGATGCTACCTTCCACTGCCTTGCCGGGCCCTATGAGCAGTGAAGAGTCCGAAAACGCATCCGTATCGCCCGAGAATCTGTCGGACATGCCGCCACCACCCATCCCCCAGAAGCAGTCGAGCAAATCTCCCTTCATCCAACCTCAACCCCAGCCCCAGCCGCACCCGGCGATACCAGCTCACATCCAAGGGAAGCCGTCGCCTGCTACACCAGCCTCCCTTATGAAGCTTCCGGCATCAAGTGCGAATAACTCGACATCATCAAATCCACAGGACCTGGGGCCTTCGGAACACATCGAATCCTTCGAACTCCCCGAATCTGTCAACTTCAACCCAAGGCCGCAACCCCCACGTATTGACACGGCAACTCCGACTCAATCGCCATCAGATCCTGGCTCGGCGAGGGCAGCATCTTTCCAGCCGCTGCCTTCTCCTGTCTTCGCAAAGCCGACTGCTGCGGCTTCGGCCAGCGCAAGCCCCAATCTGGCCCCGGGATCGACGGGCCCCTCTGCGAGAAAAACGCCGTTGCTGATGGCTAGGGGTAGCAAGAGCAAAAGGGGAAGTGTGAGTTCCGTCCACGTCTCACCCGCTTTGCGACCCAGGATATCGCCCAGCATCAAGCCTCTTCTGCCTGGAACACCCGGTATGTCTGCGGAGGACACGGCATCGCGTTTGCTGGCATCCAAATCCAACTACCAGAACATTCTGGAAGGAAACACCGTCCCTGGTGTCCATTACCCGAGCGAGCTGTCGACGAACCTGACGTCGAAGCGTACGTCCCACAAGATTGCGGAACAAGGCCGACGAAACCGCATCAACTCGGCGTTGCAGGAAATCGCCACTTTGCTACCTCAACCTGTCAAGGACTCCAAGAACAGTGGCGAGAGCGACAGCGCAGATAAGAAGGATAAGGACAAGGACAAGTCGGGAGCCACACCAAACAGCAAGGCCAGCACCGTCGAGCTGGCTATTGAGTACATCAAACAGCTCCAGCAGGAAGTTGCCGAAGCCAACAAGAGGGCAGAAGAGGCAGAGAAGAAACTGGAACTGAAGGAGAAGTCCGCAGTCCAGGAGCCGGCGGAACAAAAAGAAAGAACAATGGGTTAATGTGTGGGTGCATGACGGATGGCTTGCGGCCTCCGTGTCAGCGGAGAGGCATGATATACGAGGTAATCTAGGAGCATAGAGGGTCGGTCATTTGGATTTGTATAATTCGCAGGCGGCACAATTGGTGTTTTCGCAGTCATGAAGATGGCATATACCAAGGCGAAAACAGGCGTGATTGGGTCAGCGCTGTTGTTCTAGAGCCTAGGTATAGGTTAGGGCGTAGCATACGCTATCGACATCCGGTGATCATGGACTATGCTCCAGGCGTCACGAAACTCGACACACGCAAAGTGTGACTGTAAATTCAGGGTATCACAAATGTAAAATAATCATGATGCGTCGTCCCTGTTCCCGTCCGTCGCACGTGTAGGCTTTCCTGTCCATTCTATCCCCGCCCTTTGGTGTGATCCGACATCCGAAACCGAAACCAAGACCAGCCCAGCCCAGCCTTTCCCTAAACTCCGCGTGACACAAGACTTATTGCCCGTCTTCCTTGTTGTGTTCCAGAACGTCGACGTCCAGCTCCTCCATGACCTCCACCACCAGGTTCAGGCTCTCCATCAGGCCGTTGACGGAGACGCGCAGCATGCGGTTCGTGGTGGCCTTGTACTGGACCCGGAGGATCGCGGAGGCGTCGCCGGCGGTCTCCTCGACGGAGAACGTGCGCCTGACGAGCGGCGACAGCTCCTTATCGACGGCGAGGGCGCGGTGGGCTACGGAGGCCAGGCGCGGGGTAGGGAACGGGACGTCGATGGTTCTGAGAGGGGGGCTTCGGTCTTAGCGTGGGGAGTTCTTTTCTTCTTTATCTGTTTGCTTTTTTTTCTCCGCGGCGCAAATGACACAATGCATGCGGCGGGACGGGCAAACTTACAACGAGCATGGGAATTCGTCGTCAATCGCGTTGTTGTCCATGGCTGCGGTTGTTGGATCGGGCACGTTGTCGGGGGTGCGCAAAAAAAGTTGGAGGGGTCTGGAATGGAGAAGGTTTGGACGGTTCGGATTTGATGCTCCGTATGTCATTGGAGCGGCGTCGCAAAAAGGGTGACCCGCAGACAGCAACGACCTGCAGCTACGGATCGTCCAGTAGTGTAGCTACAATGGAACTTCCTTCTAGATGGATCAGACAACTCATATAGCCCCGCCATTCCACTGTCTTGTTTCCATGGCGGTATTAGACCATGTAGCACCCGACAGCACATGCGCACAGGATCATGGCTTGGACTGGGTGTCTTGAGCAAGCTGAGAGTGCCTTGGCAGATTATCTTGACTGTGTCGTGTGTACGGATACTTGGAGATGTGGACGGCGTGGGGTTGCCCTGGCGGCTGCTAGACTGATGACTCAAAGCGGAGAAGGAAAAGAGGGATGCGGTTGATTTGTTTTGATGTGAGAGCACGGGAGTTCAAGACGTCCTTCGTGGGCGACGGACAGTGGTCAATCAGCCGTCAAAAGGGAGCCGGGGACTGGTTCGGGTCTAGAGCGCAGTCTGAGGCCCCCAGAAAGCCGGGAAAAGTGGTGTCCAAGTTCTGTCAAAAAGGCAAGGTGCACAGCAGTCGGCTGCATGGAAGGGCGGGAACTGGACAGTGTGGAAGGGGCGGGTGCGGTTGCCTGAGGCGCTGAACGACGTCGAACGATTCGTCAGGAGGCGGCCGTGGTGGTCGCTGGTCAGTGCTTCCCCTGGCAGGTTGTCTTGACAACGGTTGGCAGCCCCGGCAGCCCAGCGACCAAGCAAGCTAAGCTAAGGCACTGCGGCGCAACAACACTCAACCCTTGCTGTTTTGGGTCGTATGCCCCATATTGACCGCTCCTGGGAAAATAACAACCAAACCCATACAAAAACACCGTCGTCACTCGCTCTCGTGCTTGGAAATACCTTCCTTTTACCCATCTCCGATCTCTCTCCTGTTTGCCATATCCGACGCCTGTTGGAACACTCCGGTTGTGCACTGCGTTCGCTTTGCTTTTTTCCGAGTGCAATTCTCTCTTCCGGCCTGGCAGCTACATTCATCCTCACGCCCAAACCTACGGTAGACTACAGATCTTGTTGTTGTTATTGTTTCAGAGGGCCGATTCCAACATTCCTCTCGTCCGTACACACGAACCAACACAGCACGCACACATTCATACCTGCGTCGCCTCCTTCCCCTTGCGCGCATACTTTGCATACAAAGAGTAGCCTCATCGCTGGATAATTCGGCACCTGCCTTATCCTTCCCGAACCAGGCCGTCTATCTACACCTTGCGCAAGAGCAACCATCGCATCCACATACATTCGGAGGAAACAGAGTCACGAGGACAAATGGCGCCTTCTTCCAAGAGCCCAAACATGGGCCAGGTTATCGAGTATATCCCAGGTAAGCTTCATCCCCCGTTCCCCGACATCAATGCCTCATCTGCATCATCATCGCCATCATGTCGCATCATTATCCTGCGCAGAGCCGGTCGCCCAGGTCATCGCGCAGCAGTGATCTGAGCGCGAACGCCTCTATTGCGAGCTCGGCTTCGCAGCAGATACATCCCTACTTTTACTGCGCTTACTTCCCGATCACGTTTCTGACAATCATCCCAGACCGGCTATACCTAGCTGCCTACATCCACCCTCCCACGGCCGAGACCATCTTCCCCTACGGCGAACCCGTTCAGACCTCCCCTAGAAAGCGATCGCAGAGAGCCGCCGAAGGCCCTACACCTGTGCAGAACGCCGCCCGTCTCACGCCCCACTACTTCTCCGTCGACGACACTCTCCTGTACAATGCCTTCCACCACGACTTCGGCCCGCTGCACATCGGTCACCTGTACCGCTTCGCCCTGCAGTTCCACGATGTGCTCGGTGCCAAGGAGAACAAGGATCGCCCGATTGTCTTCTGGAGCAGAGCCGACCCCAGAAGTGAGTAGCAGCGTTGTCCAGTTGTGAGATCCATCCGCTAACCGTCGCCTAGGTCGCGCCAACGCTGCTTGCATGCTCGCCTGCTACATGGTCTTGATCCAGAACTGGCCCCCTCACTTGGCCCTTGCCCCCATCGCTCAAGTCGACCCCCCTCTGATGCCCTTCCGTGACGCTGGATACAGTCAGGCCGACTACGGCATCACCGTTCAGGACGTCGTTTACGGTGTGTGGAAGGCCAAGGAGGAGGGCTGCTGCGCTCTGGACAACTTTGATCTCGATGAGTACGAGAAGTACGAGAGAGTCGAGCACGGAGACTTCAACTGGATCACACCACACTTCCTCGCCTTTGCCTCACCACAGCACACTCCCGTTGCTAAGGTCATCGAGGGCACCGAAGAATGGGACGCGCTTCCCAAGTCTATGGGACAGTTGGATGCGAACAAGACGCTGCCCCAGCCCTTCAAGAACGTTCTGAAGCACTTCACCGAGCGCAACATTGGCCTTGTTGTCCGTCTCAACTCACCGCTCTACTCCCCCTCATTCTTCGAATCCATGGGCATTTCCCACCTCGACATGATTTTCGATGACGGTACCTGCCCGCCTCTCTCGACCGTCCGCAAGTTCATCAGGTTAGCGCACGAGACCATCACAGTCAAGAAGAAGGGCATTGCCGTTCACTGCAAGGCTGGTCTCGGAAGAACTGGCTGCCTCATTGGCGCGTACCTCATCTACCGCCACGGCTTCACTGCCAACGAGATCATTGCCTTTATGCGTTTCATGCGCCCCGGCATGGTCGTCGGTCCTCAACAGCACTGGCTGCACATCAACCAGGGTGTCTTCCGCGAGTGGTGGATTGAGGAGCGCATTGAGCGCAAGCTCCGAAAGGAGATGGCTGCCAATGCCGTTGCCCCTAGCACCCCCATCCGCGCCATGCAGAAGACCTCCCTTCGCAACGGCCAGGCCTCGACACCGCCTCACCGCAGCACATCAAACCGGACGCCTTTGAGCGAAGTCGACCAGGACCGCAATAACATTGGGGTCCAGGAAGATTACCTCCCTGCGCCAACACCGGGTCAGCCAAGAAAGACCAACAGGGCGGACCGCCATCATCCCTACCAACGGGCTCCTTCATACCACGCAACATTGGAAGAAGAAGGCGCTGTCCACCAGGAAACCGAGGTTATTTCTGTGCACAAGCAGTCGCGCGGGCCCAACGAATCCGATGAGGAATGGGATATCAGGATGCGCACGCATAGGAAGACTTCGCAATCGCCTACTCGCAGTGAAAAGCGGTCAGTTAGTCACTCCGCCGCAACTGTGTATCAGACATACATCGACAACGACGCTAGCAACGATGCGGAGAACATCGGAACGCAACGTGTCAAGCAGGTCGACCGTGATCGCGTTAGCAGCGCATCGGGTGTTCTCACCAAGGTTCGTGGCAGTAAGCGATCGGGCGATTCACCTCTCAGGACCAAGGACGGAGTACGGAAAACCAGCGGTCGCGTTGGCAGTGTCGGCAACTCAGCCATGTCCGCGACAGCATCCTCGACAGCACGGAAGGTTTCGGGGGCGTAGGAAACCCCTAGACCCCGTCGCATACGTCCTGGAATCTACTCCCCGGACCGTTAGGTGCTCGCCGATAGCTTACTAACCACTTATGATGATGATGATCACGACCGGTCCATGTTGATCTGCATGAATTGGCGTTGGGTTCTGGCAACCTTGGAGATTGCGGCAAAGGAAACTGGTGTTGAATGGGTGGAATCCGGCTTTGGCTGGTACGATGTCTACGACACTGCGAAATGATGATGACGATGATGAGGGTTACTTCGGCGCACCTCTTCGAAGGCTTCTGCATCTTCTCTCTCTCCTGCCTGGGCATGAAGTGCACATATACCTGGGCTGGCACAGCCAGCCGGTTCAAACTGCTTGGAGGGTTTCTCACACGGCGTTCTGGGGCATTACGGTGTGGAGTATTGTAATTGTATTTAATCATTGCTTGGTTGCTGTTTTCGAACATTTTTTGGTCGTTACGTGCGCATGGGCTAGAAGCAGAAGGGGGGTTCGGGTTGAGGGCAGTGGCAGTGGGCATGCCTTTCTTCCCTGGAGATGTTGTCAGCATCGTCGTTAGATGAAGAACGCACATGATGTATGAGCTTTGCCCTCTTGATTTTCCGCAGCAATACAAAAAGTACGCACACTTGATTTGCCTTGCAGTCTTTGGTGATGTGATCTTTGCCTGTGGACATGAGTGAGGCATACACCTGGTGCTTGTCGCCATGCTTCGCGAGTGCGTGATTCTTCATAGAGCTTGGACACACTGACGACGTACCATCACGTTCATGGCGCATGTAGTATCCAGCCCGTTTCTAGCGACACCAGCACCCGGAAGTTCAGTGCTGTGATGTATATATATATATGGGCTTATGGGCGTCTCTTGCCATTCGCAAAGCAACATCATTCCTTTCGGAAATCAATGCGACGTTGACATCGAAAGTCCTCAGGCTCTAGTTTACTTCTGCACAACCCAAGTACATCAGCCGGGACGAGGTAGACTTCTGGCTCGAGAGGCTGTGTAGTTTGAGGATATTCGGAGGGGCTGGATATACCAGGAACGGCGACGGAGAGAGATGATGGTTATTGAACGCCAGGCGCAATTTGCTTTGCTTCGACGCCGTGTCGAGTACAATCGCGTAGCTGGGCAAGGTGAACTCGTGCAAGCCTCGCAGCTCCCACACAGTCACTAGCCGAAGACTGCGAGTTGATCCAATGGTTTAATTGTTTCCGTCATTCCCCGGACATTGCGTCCTTAAGTTGCTTATATACGTGCAACTGTTGATGATAGCATCGACCGATAGAGCCGTCCTGGCGTGTGTGAGGAGGTCGGGGGGAGACGCGGCGTCTGGGTTGTCTGTGTTGCAGCGCTGGTATAAAAGTATACCTGCAGATCAAATGCATTGGTTCTCGAGCACGGCAGATACGGCAAGTTCAATCCTTGTCTGGTTCCCAACAGTTCGATGGTATTGTGTGCGTCGTGCTGTTCGGGGTTTAGCATTTTAGGTTGGGCAGATGTCCCTCTTCCGCGGTCTTGCTGGTGCGGACGACTGGAAGATTCGTTGTTATTTTGCTGAATACTTGAGGATTGGGAGAGTTGATGGGGGATGAGAGATGAGAGATAGATGTTGGTTTCGAGTGTTGAATCACTGGGACTGGGCTGTCTTCTGCCTACTTGAGTATGGAGAAAGCCACGAGATAACACTGAGAGACGAGCAGCAACAAGTGGATTCGTCACACCCTACCGACGGTGGTGTGACACTTCATGAGCAGAACTGGTCCTCTTTATATACCCTGACACGAGGGTGGCTGCTAGGTGAGCGTGCATGCTCCTTGATATTCAGTATGGCGCCAGAAACTAATGTGTATCATCTCGCGAGTCTGCACTTCTGCGGAATTAGGAATAGCTGCTGTGTTGTTGGGACATGGCACAAGTCCTCATCCTCCCAGCAATCAGTGATTCGACAGTTCGGGCTGAGTTCAAGTCGGAATCCTTGGGGGAAGAACATGCTCGGGGCCTGGAGGCTGTTGTGGTGAACTTTTGCAGAAGCTTCGAGGATAGCGGAGCTACTATGAATCGACATGGTTCCCGACGTCCTTTCGAGGTCTGTCTACAAGGATTCGGTCGTAGAGAAACTTGTGATGCAAAAACTGATCCGTTATTGGCCGACTCGTCCTTGAAGGTGGACTCAACCCTAGCGTTTTGCGCCGACGTCCGCGTGTATCTGCGCGGTGGGAGTCATATCCTACTATGGTTTCCACATCCGTCGTCCTTGTTTTCTGGCGCGTATTCCTGGACGTTTAAACGTGATTCTGTGTCGCGGCTGCTCGTTCTATGGCGGTGCTGTGATGTCGGGCGACGACAACTCAAGATACCTGTGTCATGTGTGCTGGTAGGTATGCAACTTGCGCTCGAAGCTCAGACCATTGTCCGCGTGTGTGGAATCAGAAGATGGGTCGTCCGCGAAGTCTGGTTTTATTCATTGACAATCTGTCACGGCAGATAAGCTAGCTTTTGAAAGGGTTTAGAGAGGCTGGGGGACCTCTCGAGATCAGAGCGCTGTTGGTGCGACCATATCTAGCCTTTAAATCATTGATAGATGATCCAAGACGCCTGTTGAGAGTTTTGAGCACCAGTGGCATGCCGCTAATTTCTTTTCTTCTCGGTTTCATGGTACTATTATCACCTTCGAGATGGTAAAGTCGAGAGCGTGCTGTTAGAGAACAGCAGTTGTTTGGAAACGATGCGAGGGAGTCAGTCAGTGTTAAACCAAATACACGCGGACCGACGAAGCGGGGGGACGAAAGGCTGGGAGCTCGGGGAGAGCAGCTTGTCTGAGACCGTGGTTCGTCTCTTTAATTGAGTCAATGATTGCGTTGGTTGTAAGACTCGGAGCAATCTTCCACACCCAACACCACTTCTATTGATGGAAGTCATATATTCCTGAGGAGAACGCTGTATTTGTATCATATGAATATGCCATCAGATCACCGAAGGAAGGCATGTAGTTGCAACGCATCAACTTTACTTGACTCTAGGTTTTGACGCGGCATCGGCTTGAGCACGGTTACGGAGATGCTCGTGATCTCACCCCGTCTCATGTTGCGAGAAAACCATGGAACTACCTCCTATATAAGCAGTAAGCATCTTCCCTAGTAGCCTCTCCTTCTCAATAGATGCACCGCAGCCGAAGTTGCAGTCATCTGGTGATGTGGACTAGGTTGGCTCGTCGATACTCGTCTGCCCGGGATGTCGAACGAGTCTCGTGGCTTACCTCGGGCGATGTGAGCTGTTCCGGGCACTCTTAACGACTTCATTGTACCTTACGTATCCCTCCCCGTCATTCTTGTCGTCCGGTGTGTGCTGGAGGGTATTCACGACTACGAACACTGCGTCCCTGGGGTTCCGTCTCAGGGCTGCATATAGAGACTTAGGGGACCGCCCACGCAAGATCTAGATAATTTGAGGAATACCCCAAAATGTCTCCCCATGTCGCCCCTCATGGTCAAGATTTCCCAAGAACTCGGAAACGCCGCCTTTATAGAGATGCCTCCAGCGCTATAGGGGAATTGGAAGATTTACTCACATTGTGACTTGGAATCTTGAGGAAGTGGCCGTCGTCACGAGTACGACGTCCTTCCGGACTCGTGAAAAACTCTCGAGGTAATAAGTTGGATAATCGACAGGTAGAAACCGCAGGAAATGAGTTAGTCTCGGAGATCAACATACGAAAATGACGCTCATCTTGAGAATAGAGGGAACGAAGTCCTCAAACCCTGCGGGCTTAGCAAAGCGTCGGTACTTGGGCTCCTTTTAAGCCGCAAAGAGTTCGACATAAGGGTGTTTCGTGTCACAGTAAAAGGTGTTTTTTGTCGATGATGACTCATATTTGCGTCTTGATCGAAACCCCCGTCTGCGCTCTGCCCATTGCAGGACTTCGTCATGTCGTTAATACACTACCATATCTGGTACTGACCTGCGACGTGTGTACTGTTTGTCTACTCTTTTCACCGCTGGCGTCTTGTGAGTATTTGCCTGATGTTATGGATGAGCCGCGATCGTTGTGGTGAAGAAGCCGACTCCAAGACACGCAGGCGATTGTTCAACGGAAGCGGTGTCCCCATAGCATCCGACATGATCGTAGAGGCGAGGTCGCCGATTTCACTACCGACGAATGTTCATCGCGAGTGATGTCCCTATATAATCAGCCGGGCCTAGTTAAGACGAGACGATACCGAAAGTCTGAGGAATGTCGATAATGACGTTGAAGGTCTCAGAGAAAGGAGCAGCAATACTACAACGGATGTGAAGGGTTATCTCGCAGTTGTTGCAGCACTCCATGACCACAGCGCTTTCCACGACAACTGGGTTTCGTGTAGACTAGTTGACGCTTGCACGCAAACCGACGAGGAAGACACACCATGTAAGGCCAATTTTACGAACTGAAGACCATCGCTAGACTAGAACGTGGTAGTCGCCATTTAAGAGTCTTGTCCTATGGCCCCACGTAACTCTGAACATCATGAGATTGATGGAGAAAAAGCGAGACTGTTGAACGCGAGGACCTGTATAAAAGAGACCGTCGTCGTTCAAACACTCCTGGCGTACTGGTACCGGAAGGTAGCTCCTAATGGTAATATAAGTCCTTCAGGGGATATTTCCCCAGTGAACGCTCTGCCAGTAGGTTCTCTTTAGTTGAGTCTCACGGACTTAGTATGTCAGTAATCGGTACCATCGTCCGTCTCTGCCATCTGCGTATTCATACCACACCAAGTTTTACAAGCCCATACAGAGAAACACTCCATTGCCTTTCCTCTTCCTTTGGTTCGCTGCTGATGCTAAGAATTGCATCTTCACAGCTCAGCACCTCTTGCTACTCCTATAACAGCGCCAGTAGACACGCTCGCAGAAACTCCGAGTTGCGCAAGGATAATTGCGAATTTAACACGGGTCCAGTATCGTAAACAGCATGTCAGCTTCTTTGAATCAACTCATAACCTGAAGACCACCCCCAGAAGGT